TTTACGTTTGAATTGAGCTACATACCAAAAAAAAAAAAGCGGTATTTTAAACTATCAATAGCCCAACCTCCATAATACTCAAAATGAGGATTCATGGATTTCTGAAATCGTTCAACCTTAATATCATGCGATTCTGATAATAACATTGCTTTCCAGCTAAATAAAGCTTGGAGTAGAATTTAAAGGAAAATCTAATGATACCAATTTTAAGTGTTTTGGCCGACGTTATTAGGCTGGTTTTTGATAGAATAGTTTTTGCGATTTTTTGGCTGTTTTTGACAGATTACCAGGTTTCTGTCATCAGAGCTTTACTTGCAATACTCATCATAGTGTAGAACAGACAAGAGCCTATCGAACAAGCCCTGATTCAAAGCTCTAGTATGGTTCTATCACGAGATATCGCCAATTTTGTACATCGAAAGAAATTGCTATCCAGATTTTTGCCTTGCTATCACAGGCAAAGTTTGCATAAAGATCGATGATTTTGCAAGATTACATTTTTTTGTCATATCTCAGGAAAGACGTGTAGTATTTGAATAAAACAAAAACCATTGAATAGCTCTACGTTGGATCTACTTTTATGTAAACAGTTCAAGTTACAAATATACGCTCCCTTCATGATTTTACTTAAAAACTCTGTATTTTACGATCTTTAGGCAAAAACATTGTCGAACAGTTCTAAATAGAGTTATATTAGCCACGGAACTTGGTGCAGAACTGAAATGCGCATCGAATAATACCACACATAGATAATGTTATGTATCTTGTACACAAATAAGCTTATTTTTCGTCTGTCTTGGAGATTCTCTAAGGGGAGGAGTATGTATCGAATCTGCACTACTTTATCATCTATACTGTTCTTCAATGTGTAGACCAAAAAGAAGGAACTATCGTTTAAGGCCTAAATCAAGGAAAAAGACTATCGTTTAAAGCCTTACATTTAAAGCGGTACCCTCAGTTTTAATAGAAGAGCTACACTACCAAAAAGGTCAACTCCAGCCAAACTGTCGAAAATGGATCGCTCAAAGGTAGCATTTGCTACAGTGGCGCATACAACCTTTCTTTTGCGCACCAGCATTCGTCAGCACTAGTCCATGCATGTGCCCTGTGTTTATTTTATAAACTTGAGTACTCTATAGGTGTTTCCGTGCTGTTGTCAATGAAGAAAAATGTGCTTTTGCCACTATCAACCCCAATCTTGGGGGGAGAGGGGGAGGGGGCTGAAAACTCCATTTTGGAAGAAAAGTATCATAGATAGTTATATGACGCCTTATCTTGTAGAATAAACAAAGGGGAACAAGATACAATGAATGGATTAAGTTGATTGAGTTGGGAGATTTATAAAACACGGCGTTCGTTTATATAATACATAATCTCTCAACAATAGCCTGCCATCCTATTATCTAACATTCAATTGCACCATTACTATTACTATTACTATTACTATTACTATTACTATTACTATTATTATTATTATTATTTTCTTTTTATCAACATTTGGTTATAGCAACATGCTACTTTCAATGCGAAATTCAAAATCGAATTTCAAAGAGAATTCAAAAGAGATGAAAAAGAGAAAAGTGTAAGAACTAGAGAAAAAGGTGCGCGAGCAATGATTTCAAGGTATAGTCTCTGCCACAAATCAGTATGTTTACAAGTCATACTGGACTGTCTCATAGGCAGGAAATCAAATGGTCTTCACCAATTTGGGTATTTCATATACAGTATTGTTGTCTTTTTGCTTAGGCTGCTCTACTACTGTATTATATGCATATGATATTCAATATACTCAAGCCTTTCATTATCGGTGTGCTTAAAACGATGGAATGGGATATGGGAATGAGGCATGAGGCATGATCTGAAGACGGATACATTTCAAATGGGTGACCTACCAAGAAGCGGTTGATCAGCAATCCTTTATTTACACAAGTAGGATATGAAATATCAGTGTCATTACTGCCGCGTCTGGTAGTAATGGTGAAGTTGGTAAGAGTTCGTCAAGCTTAATTCGTAGCTTACCCGCAGATTCAAGTAGGCCATTTTATTTTTGACTAATCCGCAACGAGTCTCTCAGAGCTATTTATTACAATATCCAATTAACATCACCACGTAGATCCAGTATCATACAAGTGCGGTCAATGCTATGAGTATGATGGAGCAATTCCTATGTGTGGAGGTGATGATCATTATAACCATAGAAAGAAAGGCAATAAAATTGATGGTAGCGATCATGAAGATGACAGAGAATATGGTGTATAGGATTATGGCAAATGCAATGCGGATTGTAACGCTGAGCATGGTAATGGCATGATAAAAAAGACGAGGAAGGCGGTGAATGTGAGGATAAAAGCGAGGTCGAGAATGACGATAAGAATGACGATGAGGGTGAGGATGGGCTGATAACTATTAAACTTCTAACATGGTGCACGATTGAATAAATTCTTAGCGTGAGCTTTTCTCTCTATGTGGTCAGAATGGCTATTTTCTTTCAAAACTTCTTGGATACGAAAGAAAATACAGATCATAATAGAATCGTGACAATAGAGTATCAGCGCTTGACATCATCACCCGCAGCTCACACTCAAAAGGGATTATATGGCATTGCTTTGGGATCAACTGCTTTAGTATCCTCTTATATGTCACTTCCCACGACGTAAACAAGACATTCAATGAACTTACATGTTCAGGCGCAAACCGACCTTGATCTATTAAGTTAGTATTGCCCTTTAAATGGGCTGGGCTAAATGCAACGTACAATTATTGCTTAATACGCTTTGTACTATGGCTTGGCCTTTCGAAAGATACATACACTCTTTTTCAATAAACTCAACACACTGTCTGGAAAGGAGTAAACACTGTTTTGATATTCTCATTGATTTGCATCGTATTCAAGTCGACTACACATTGCTTACTTCGTGCCAAATATATCACCTTGTATTATGAGACATTGCGATATTAATGGTAGTAGCCGATCAACCTCGCTATGTTCGATGACGGCGTCGCCCTGCGGGCTCTCGCCGAAGGCATTTCAAATCAGAGGCAATAAAAACCTGCTATTTAAGTAGATTTTAAACAATCTATCAATAATAAAAAAAGGTTATATCAGAGTCAGAAAGGGGGAGGTATTTCTCCCTGTATCCTCCTTCCTCTGCTTATACACTGGTATCAACGGAAGCTATTATTGAAACGATGTGAAAGAGAAATCAAGCTTTATGCAGCATTTGTATACTACATTCTCCGTTTGTGCCACATTTTTTGGTAGTAGAATTGTCATACCATTCGCTGGTGTTGCTTTTCAGCTGTCGACATATAGCTGGCTATGTGTAAATACTACAGGACCTGTGGAAGATCTACAGCGACTTTTTTCAGATATTTCCATTGCAAAAGGCTCTTTCATGTGGCAAAGATCCCCAAAAGAAGTATTTGCGCTAAGCAACTGTCCCTTCAGTTCCATGATCCCCATTTAATCAGCATCGCAATTATCATTGCTATCGTCAGAAAGGCATTTAGGTCAGCCAGCAGCAATGCCGCCGCCAAAATTGACTCAAAGTCAGTTTGTTTTTTTCTGTTCAAGATTGGACAGATTTTGTCTTTTTTCGACCTCTTTAATCTTCTTTGTGATATTCGACTATATAAATTGTAATGATCAACCTACGCTTCCTAATACGTCCCTGGTGGTAGGGCGAAGTGGTAAAACTCCCGTATGCCAACGGGAGGATCCCGGTTCAAATCCTGGTGAACGCAAGTTGTTTGATTTTTTTGACGTAGTACTGATGTCCTCGTTTGGTGTTTTGTGCTCTTATCCATGATCTATATTTTGACGATTTTCCGCAAGACTGTACTGGCTCTAGGAGTCGCACCTTATTAATAGTAGATTTCTTTTCATTATATATCTTATTCCCCATCATTGCAGACATTGAGTCCACCAACAGTCTTTTCTTTCCCTCAGTATGACATTTTAAGGACTTTAAATAAAACCTGGAGCTCGACTCCCCTACAAAAAAAAAGACGCTTTCTAATACATCCTTGAAGTGCTTTTCAAGGCGCTTCTAATGGTGCTGATTGTAATAAGTGTTTTGAAAGAAATTATTAAGAAATTTGGTAAAATATGAAATGAGGTTTTTAGCGAAAATAGCCATATTTTGCATATGAAAGCCTCATAAAAGTGGTTTCAGAGGTTGCTTTGGATCGAGAGAAGCATTTTGATTTGATATCATAACATAATAAATGTATACCATAGTAAAAGTCTTCATTTTTAAGGTGAAAACCGCGATCGTTTGATTTTCGTTTGATTTTCATGCTTTTTGGTCGATTTTTGGTCATTTTTTTTTAGCCCAAAAGTTGAGCAAAGATGTCAGGACGTTAATACTACTCAAGTGCATTTGTTTGGCGTCATCCCGGTGGCTCATAATGGCCTACATGTCGAGATATGAAAGCTTGAAATCTGTCGAATTTGGTTATGTATTGCTTTATAGCTTTTACTTACACGGCATAAATCACATCTTTAGTAGCTGAAGTATTCTGGGAGGGCAGTTCTGCAGCCTATGCAACTTATAATTCGAACAAGAGGCATATTGACTTCGGGAAAGCTGATTCATGCAAATTTTGATAGCAGTGATGAGTTTTACTTGCGAACCCAGTGTATTCATTTCCATAAAAGCCCCATGGTATCAAGCAGCTTAGCAACGTCGTGGCAAACCGACAGATTCAAAGAAAGAATGATCAATGATAGAATGAAAAGCATTAATGCAAATCACCCAAACCGCAGCAAAATGAGTATTTGAGGGCTTTATTACACACATGGGCATGCGAATTGTACATTTACTTTAGAAACCGGCACTACGGAAACCTTGTTGTCTGCTCAAGGAAATGAGTGAGATACCAGTGCTGAACATTTTCAAAGTGTGATTTCTGAATCAAAGCTTACCCGTTGGGTGAAGATTAGGACACTACTCTACGTTTATCTTGAATTTGACCTTTATTATGTACATTTGGATCTATTAAAACTTCTGAGCGATATTCAGAAACACTTCTTGTCGCAAAACAGGGCTTAAAAATATTCGACCAGTGGTGACGAAAAACAGCACCGTCAAAAGGTTGCATAGAATTGCTGTAATGCCTGTAGGATCTTGCTTGTACTTTCCTTTACGATACTTGACTTCCAGTGCTACCTCGATACCATGAATCAAAAAGAAAACGGTCAATTCAAACGTGATTTCTCGAGCAGCAGCCGCTATCATGAAATCATGGAACAACCCGCTAATGAAAAAAGTGAGCAGACCAAAGGCTGTGGGTGATGACATGAAGCCTTGCTTTTTCTTCTTTTTGTCGTCGTCTTTGGTATCTAATGTAGTGTTGGCCTTTGAAAAAATTAGCTTTCGAAAGAAATTTTTGACCATTCTATTCCATCTTCGACTATCGTTTGTCCAAAGCATGTTTTGAGTTCATTGCTTGCAAACGTTATCACACCCCAACTTACTTCCAAAAGTCTTTAGGGCTATAAAGAAGAAGACATGTAAATGTGAGAAACAAAGTGTCTTGCTTGTATGTGATACTAGATGATACCTTGTTGCTAAAAACGGATTATCAAATAGATCATGAAATCGAATCAGTAGTGTTGCCTGCAAAACGCCCATGAGTATATCCACTAGACTCATCATACAATAGATTCGCACAGCCAATACATAGGTAATAAACATTGCTCTTGGACTATAAAATGGCATTGCTAGCAAATCAGATAAATCGTCAGGCAAGACACCATCTAAAGCAAATTTCATGAACAACATCTTGGCGAAGCCTCGAGCAATCTTCTTAACTCCATCGAATCTAATTTGCTGATGGGTCTTTGCAGTAGGGCTATCATCGAGAAACAATACCACTTTGAATAGTGTTTGTAGATACTCTTTCAGTGTCACAGACGAGGTGGATAAAAAGATGATCTGTGCTGCCATAGACCAAGGATAAAGCATGAATGATATGTTTCCAAAATTATACTTGGAAGCAAATATAATAGGGATGAGAAAATGATAGATTGCTATCAATGCCCTCAGCTGCATTGGAGTGATGATTGCCGAGAATTTCGCGTCATTTTTGACCAGTACATAATCCAAGGTCAATACAAGTGTATAGGCAGCTGTCAGGGTGCCAGCAGGAACAGTGATTGCCGGCGGTAGCTTGATATCTACTACGTACGATGCGTAGCGTTGATTGCTGGTGTCCATAGGAATGACTGGAAGAAGAAAAAGAGCAGCATTAGCGATACGAGGCTCAGCTTTTAAATATAATTAGGAGACACAAAATGTAAAGCATTGCTTTATTTCAATTTAAAAATCATAATCCTCTTCTGTCATACAAGTATCTTCCATATAAAAGGTAGGCATCAGTCTCTGTGCTTTTGCCAAATACCAACTACCATTGCTCAATTTACAAAGATCAGCTCTGAACACCATACCCACCATCAACGACTCGACAATTTCTTTTTCCAAATGAATCTTATAGGTTGTCTGATGCTCGTCCTTGTTTTGCAGTATCACTTGCACTAGTTCCTCGTTATCTGCGCTCTTTTCAAAGGGGGAGATCTCTGCAATTTCAACAAACACAAAAGTCTCTGTCTCCAGCAATTGAACATCATCAGGGTTCTTGATCAGTTTTTGCACAATCTTCTTGGAGTCCTCATCAGTGGAGCCCACTGTATCCACTACAAATGACAAGAATTGCTTCTGGACTGTCAGTGTCTCTGCAGTCATCCATGAGGTATCCATCTTTTCTTGAAATAGAGTAGCGCAAGCTTGATTGTATTGCCCTGGGAGCAATGTGATGGCACGTTTACACTTGGGTAACTGGATCTTGGCCTCTGCACAGATGGAACGAGCCTTTGCAATGTCCTCGGCGTATTCAGGTGCGACATGTCTAATCTCCAAATATCTCAAGAATGCGTCAATGAGTGCAGGAGCATCGGCAAAGTCTTGAGTGCCAATAAACATACTCTCACGGATAAATGTGTTTCCAAAGTACACTTGAGCCACCTCGGCAAAGTTCACCTCGACACCTTCTTCCAATTCATCAGGCACAAAGTCAATAGCGACCTTGGCAGCCTCGAAATCAACAGCAGCGTCTGGATCATTCGGGGTATCTGCACTTGTAGCACGGCCCAAGAACATGTTGGGGCCAGTAATAATACCACCAAATCTGAGATAGTTGTCAAAGATGGCTCTTCTTGATTCAGTGAATTTGTGGTTTGAACGGTATTTCCAAATGGCGTATTCCACACGTTGCGAAAGAGGTTTGTCTCTGTTTTATCACAGTCAATGGCCCTGTTCTAATTTATCAAATAGCATCACTCACGGGCTAAATGGATTTTCAATGGGATCCTCTGGCTTCTTTTCCACGTAGTCGTCAGGCAGTTCAGAACCGGCTTCAGGCAAGTTGGCAGTCTTTCCCTTCTTTTTCTTCTTCTTCTTCTTTTCTCCATTTTCTTCAGCCTTGTTGGCTTGCTTCAAGCTGACGGGTGTTGATAGTTCATTGATGGTAGGGATCTCTTCATCCACTTGTTGACCGTCCTCGGTGCTGTTGGACATGTGAGGCACATCGTCGTCAATGTGGGCCTCGTTCAAGAGGTTTAAGCTAGATGAAAGATGTCAGCTTTGGCTGATGCGTTGTCGTATTTGATCTTACACGAATTCTTCTCTCTCTGATTGATCCATATGATTGACTTGACAAAAATATGAGAAAGAAGGAAAATGCTATTTGAGTAGATGTGCCAAAGAATATCAATCAAATTTCGCGTGCCCGTGTGTGCTTGCTTTTAATTATGCGCCAAAGCCATTTGTGCTCAAGTCTATCAGCTTTTCGCAGTCATTTGATGGATTGATTGATCTCTTTGGATTACACACTGTATGGAGAAGGTAAGTGATGTTGTTATTGAGGGGTCCCAGTCCAGTAAGTTTGTAGCCAAGGCGCTTGAAACTAATGCCATGTTGGGTGCCTAAGCTTACAAACCATACCCATCATTGAGAGCTTTCTTTTACATACAACGTATTCCATGCTCAATGATCCGAGTATCTCATCACGCAAAGAACATCTGTAGACAAATTACAACCTTTTTATTTGTGTTCAAGAGGAAACTGAAAGATCAAATCATTGTATTCACCCGGATTGACTGGCGATAGATCCGTTTCATTATACCACAATCTCTCGATAAAGGTAGCATTGTCATCACGATCAATCAGCACGATAGTGCTTGTTCTAGTGGCATAGGCCGGGTCTTGAATGCCCAAGTTTCCTGGAAAGTCGAACAGAGGTATTGAAATGCGTTCCTTGAGGTCATCAAATATCTGTTGAATATCCTTGTCATTGTTCATGGGTTTCGACAGGCTCAGCAGCCCAAATAACGCATCGATGAGGTCTCTCTGACTCAAGTCTTGTTGCTGGATAATTCTTTGGAACACTTCTTTTCCCATTTGTACCTTTGGCCAAGGGTTTGTCAATATGGAATTGGATAATCCTAATAGAGGAAGGTTACACCCTGATTCACACATAACGCATAGAAATTTGTCATACTATTTACCATAGACTTCACCCGGCTTTAATTCAACTGTGCCTTGATTTTCTCGGTTGGTGATATAAGCCATATCAGCAGGATCCTTGCTGAAATCAAAGTTGACTAGACTGAATCCACCATATTCGTTTGTATGCGCTTGTAAATGCTCCATAGAGTCGTGCACGGATTCTTTATCACATAAAAAGTCTCTCACCAGCACTCCTCGAGATACTTTGCCTCGAAAGTTGGATTCTCGATAATTTGTCAATGCAGAGAATCTACCTTCTTTTGTAATACCTAGCCAGGTGCCGTTTTTGAGGTCAAAGTCGCCTGGATGCGTTTCTAGATCAGTGCCAGCTAGCACATTGTCAAAAGGAGGTTCCCAGAAATGAGCTCTCGCTGTAGGTCGTCTAAGGAATTCGTCTCGGTTGCCAGCAAATATACTAGATCTGGTGAGTAGGCTAATCATATGAGGTAGCGCAATTATACTCACAATCGATAATTAGGGTGGTTATCTACCGTCCAGAATAAAATGCACATTTGTTGTATGTTTATGGGGAAAGAAGGAGACAAAAGATTCTCTTTAAATGCGTATTGACACAAATTGTGTCCCCGAAAAATGGCTTTCACATGGACGATAAAGCATTGAATATTCTCTACTAATACAAAATATTGCATGATTATTTACGAGTTTGCTACTGCGTTGTGGGCAGACATATGACATTTCTGAAGCGAGTGTGTATATGATTACAATGCCATTTATTTAAAAGTTACCACAGATAGTCAATTCACGCATTTGTTGCAATACATCATCTACACGATGATCCGCCTCCTCACTGCTAGGAGGAAAATGATGCCTCAGGCCCTCTAATTGCTCATAGCTAGCCTGACTGAATCTCAGTTGAGATTTGACTAGTGCTTCAAATGATGGATCAATGTACGGTACTCGCAATTCAATTACTTTGGGCAAGTCATTGACAATAATGGAGTTTAGGTTTTCGTACATTTCACGAGCCAGATTGGCTTCTTGTTCAGCCTATCATACATATCCCATCAGTATCCATCGCAGCAGAGAAGGCATTCAACTTACTCTAGGCAGTCGCTGAGGATCTTCGCTGGGTTTGTCTACCAACTTTCTGACTTTGGCTCTCGATGAATCGTAGTCCAACAGCTTCTTTTGTCTACGTTTGATCGCTTCATTGACCTCAGGAAAGTAGGAGCAAAATCTGCCCAATGGTTCCAGCACAGTAGCACGATATGCAGCATCCTTTCAAACACACATTTGAGTATGGACCTTCATCTCCTTAGAGAGCATGAACCTACCAGATTGGATCTGGCTTCTTCATCCAGCTTTTCAATGACTCGCTTATATTCAATACCAGATAGCCCCATAGGTGCTGTATCGTCGTAGAAATTTTCCATTGTTGTAGCAATGCGAACTTGTGCAGTGGTCATTGCTGGCAGCAGAAAAGTGTAAGCCGTTGGTTTCTGCCTGATATTGCCAGTGCACTTACCTCTCATAGAATCAAGATAGCCCTTGGCTTCCTTGGCGAGTTTCTCTGACTTTTTTTCCAGACTATACACGACATTTAGATGACACATTCAGTATGCGTACTTGTTATCAAACGGAGCGAGTGCTTACTTTTTGAATCTTTCAAACTCTTCTTCAAATTCACCATCAACAGTTCTATCATTTCCGCCTGTTCTCTGTTTAATCTAATGCACAAATTGGAGCTGTCAATCCATGTACTACGTTGACTGAAATTCATGTAGCTTGATATCTTACGCTTTGACCAGCTCTATTCAGATTCTTTTTGAAGCCTGACCTACAATCATTAAAACAAACAATTCAATGCTACTGCTTACATCTGAGGCTACTACTTGGACTTACAGGAAACTCATGTTTGAATGTTATACTAAATGAAAAAAAAAAGAAATATATTATAAAAGAGAGAAAAATCTGCCATAAATCCCTTGAAGTGTGTTGAATTACACAATCCAAATGCATTTAAAAAGGCGCTGAGAGCAGAGTGTCATATCAAAATGTCCCCAATCAATGTGTCAGATAGGGTAGCAGGAATGCTACGCTTGTATTCCAGCATTCTTTTGCATCAAAAATTACCGTATACGCAAGCCTCTCTTTCCTCATTCTCTTTATAGACAATGCTGACCGATGCAAGCTTGATCAACACCATCATACTGGTAAGCAATCGATTGATTCATGCCATGCTCGTACTCACTATGCATTGCTAGAATGGAATTGCCAACATCAGATACAAATGTTACGTCCAAACATGCGCCAAATCCTCCTTAGTGTCATTTCTCACTTGTGGGGGTTTCCATGACAATCCTTCTTACATTGATCCGCCAGAATCACACAATGCCATCATTGATGCGTACAAACATATGCTCGCATTAAATATTCCCGCTACTTGGCACATTCTATCAAGTCAAAAAACAGACAAAGAGACAGTTACGCTAGAGCTATGGGTCTTTTGGTTTGACAACAAGCACACAAAAGTCATCGAGACTGATGCTCAACTCAAGGAGCTACAAGGTAGGGCACGTACACACTCACACAGGATGCAAACAAGGACTCATACTCTAGCAGAGAGCAGAAACGGCTCCTTTAATTGGAATCAGATTACATCCGAGAACGGCCTGTCTCCTACATCGTCACCTCAATTGAATCAGCCTCAACCAGAGAGTATTACACTTGTGCCAGGAACAGAGTACAAGCTGTTCATCAAGGCTATCCGACACCTGATTCAGCGAGCCATGATACACAACAAACATGCCTTTGCATTGGGTGAGTTTTTTGTGTTTCCAGAGACGTATCAAGACGAGAGCAATGTCATGAAAGACGAAATTGCCAACCACGGCATGATGTCTGTAAAAAACACTATACTGGTCTGCATGTACAATGTGTACTTTACCACTTCCAACCTTGTATTCCAGCCAAATACCAGGCGAATGAGACTTCGACCTTTATCCATAGCCGATTTCTACACAAAACACTTGAAAGGTCAGTTAGCAACATGCTAATATGTTGGGGTTATCCAAAGCTAAAGTATTAAAGCACAAAGATTAGTCTTGCTATGTCCCACTGGCGAACACGCACACATCCTGTCCTTTCATAGTCTCCCAACAGACATGCAATCCAAAGCGTTGCATCAATGGGCCGAGTTCTACGACATGCCTGTATCACTCTTGACACAAGCCAGAGACTGCATACCAGCTCTCATCACCATTCGCACTGTATCGCAAGGCACTGTGGTCTATCCCTCTGCCCTGGTGTTTGTGCCAACGGATACCAAGCAATCTCCCGCTGCAGTGGCAGGCATGAACGGTATTATGGGCCTCAACCATGGGCTCACTGAAGATTTGGGCGCCAAGGCATCTCGTATGGCGTACTATGAGCGACTCAAACTCGACAACACACAAGCACAGGACGCAGCCATTGATTACTGGTCTTATTGCAATCCCATTATCCATGTCGGCAATGCTGTCTTTGAAGCGCTGTCCACCGTGGATGCGAGATACCAGCAAGATCAACTGATGTTACATCGAGCGCTCGCGGAACCCATTGTCGGCAGCCCCATCATGAACGCCAAAGGTGTCGTACCAACCAATTACGACTCTCCTCTTCTCATGTCAGGATTGCACCTTAAATCCATCACACCACCAGACACATCACCGGTTCCACAAGAACGCAGCATGCAATTGACAGAGTATGTTATGTCTCGCTTTGACGACGCATCAGCAGATGATTCCATGATGGATTTACTGCAAGATCCAAGTGTTGCTGCTGCTACTAGCAACGATAGCTTGGATATAGGTGGTGGGTCTCATTTATCTGCCTTGTTAAACAAAGCGCTCATTATTGATTCTACAGATCATCTGCCCTTACCAGCCAGCAACAACAGCACTTCGAGCCAAGCACCTCTACAAGCACCACTGTTACAGCTACAACCATCATTGGCACCAACACAGGCAAATACTCTCCCAATCAAAGATGAAACGCAAGCTTTGCAGCCGCCATTAGAAGACTTCAGTCTGATGTATGACCTGGGAAGTGCTAGTCTGCACACTGCAGATGATTGGGACGCAGACGATGGGTTTGATGATTTGGATCTTGATGTTACCGACGCTGATTTCGACTTTTTCGAGACTCCTGCTGTTGCGGCAGCAGCCGCATTACCATCAACTGTGCCAGCAAGTGAGCTCAATGTACTTCAGATCATGCCCATGGACATTGATTCCCCAAAGACAGATCAAGCAGTAGTACTGCCGCAGCCAGAGCCATTAGGTCAAGAGATGGTGGATGTACAAGTGTCAGAAACAAAGCTCACGCCAAACAACAATGACAGCCTATTCACACCATTTGTTGTCAGCCATGACAGTACTGAAAATGCGAGCACTGCTGCTGCTACCACAGCAAATGAAACATCGTACACGGCGACACCAAGGATACAAGAGACTTTTATACTTCAAAAGAGAGCGCCTTACCCGAAATTCACTCCAGAGCCTTCTTCATTTGTGCCTCGAGACTTTCTGCCTGTGCCTGTCAAAGCAAGTGTCAATGACGCTAAATACAGTGCTGGTGGCAAGTTCATGTATGATCCAACAAAAGAGCAGGCCAAAGTAGATAGCAAGGGCTTCACTGTAGCAAAGAAATCGTTGTTCTACAATCCTGATTATATTCCCTTGAAGCCCAGAAAGAAGCCCACCAAGCCCAAGCAGCAAGAGTTGAATGAAATCAAGTCTGATTCCTCTCTAAAGACACAAACCACAACCTCATGGAACAATCCTGATCAAAACGAGAATAGCAGTGGCAGTAGTAGTAGTAGTAGTAGTAGTAGTAGTAGTAGCAGTGATAGCAGCAGTGATAGCGACGAAAGCAGCAGCGGTAATGGCAGTTTCGCAACGGATGATACTCAAGACAGCGACATTGAAAGTGAGAGCGACATTGACACGATAGATGACAGCACGAGCAACGATGGTATGATAGAAAAGCGTTTAAAAGCACTGAAAAAATTCCAAAAGAGCGTGATTTACAGTCAACTCAAAGCGACACCAGCACCTTCACCCACAGATCGACTGCAATTTATCGACTACGATACCCCTTTTGCGCCTATTCTAGCACATGGGTCCATCAAATCCATTAAATGGAGGCACAGCAAAGTCATGGAGGAATCGCTTGCTTATCTGTGTGAGCAAACGGTATTAGGAGGCTACCCTTTGGCAGGTGGATTAGCAGAAGTGTCAGAAAATGGTGGAGAAATTGAAGGAGAACCAGCGAAGGTGCTAGTAGCAAGACGAACCAATCTCATGCAAATGACCCGTGGGGTTGTTACGCATGTACCGTCATTGCAAGCGGATGTATTTAATATGACCAACGAGTTCAAAAGCATACTACAAGACATATTTATCGGCACAGCAGTGGATGAGCAGAGTGATATGGATTTAGTCGACACAACGACAGTAGACGCACTGGAGCCTGTGGCTTTTCCAAATAGCCCTTTAATGGGAAAGATTGGCATTAAGGGCCCTTTGAACATTCAAGAGTACTATGATTTGAACGGTGCGTCTAAATAGCCTTTACTATGTATACTTTTACTAATGAAATGTTGCATAGAGTCGCATAATCAAGGACATTCGAAATATGGAAAGTACCAGGTCAAAAAACGAAGACCAGATGAGCCCAATCTCGACATCATCAAGCAGCCTGATATTGTCGTATCCAGGCATGAGGATAACATTGAAGGGTCCTCCACCATGATACCGTTTTGGGAGAAGCTAGGTTTAGATCCATACTCTGCAAAGAAGCAAGTCAAGTATCTTGTAGTCTATCCCAACAATAGTGCTATTGAAAACTCGGTGTGCCACTTTTTTAAAGGGCTAGGCAATGTCTATGAAGCGTGCCATCTGGGAAGACATGAGCCTGGACATACGGGACCATTCGTCAATGGATTAGTGCCTGTGTCCGTAAGTGGTAGGTGACGGTATAGATATACTTGATGGTAAGGCACTGAATGATTATACACATAGACTTGGACAGCAATGAAAGCAGTGTTAGGCAAAGGCTAAAGAGCTATGAAGAGACATGCGAGGCTGTAGGCCGCTATCTTGCTATGGACGAAGAGCAGCAAAAGCAGCAGCATTACACTCACCATTATTACACTGTGATCTACATTGTCAATCCAGGCCCTCACATGTCGTCCTATTTAGACATGTGTCGTTGCTTTTACAAACTCAAAGAGACCTATTCAAGAATAGCGTACAAGAATTTTACAGACCAACAGCCGAGAATCGCTCTTCAATTGATGCCTATTGATCATATACTACGGCCCTCTGCGTTTGGCGGATATACCATGTTGGGCATGAAGGACATTGCGTTTTCTGTGTACTGCAAATGCTTTACTCGAGTGGTCCGAAAGGTGAGCATGGATGTTATTTAAATCAGTACATGAGAGCTAATCATAAAGTGCAGATTACAAGGCCAAATCAAGAGTCTTGGACAGATGTATATGCGCCTGCTTTCGTATTGACAAAACCACTACAAAGAACCATCAAGTTTAAACTGAATGATATAAGGCCATTTCCTACCATCATGGAGCAAAATGCAGTGCTTCATATGGCTTATTGCTTCAGTTACGATCGTGCTTGGATGTCGGTTGTTTGGGTGGATGATCGTGGAGAGCTGCTGGAATACGATTTATTCAGTCGAAAAACAGCCTTCAAGGAAGCATGGCAGCGAACGTTGGAGATTGCAAAACGCACTGCATTTCCCTGGACAATCGTGGTTACAAAACTAGGGCTCATGTTCAACGATGAATTGCTCTACTGGCTTCGCTATATATCTGCAGTCATCGAGCACCGTGTCACGATTGTTGCCATGGATGCGGAATCAGGGCTCAACCTTCACTTCAATGCCTGCTATCCCAACCGAGACTCTGCTGCTGCACAACACACTTCGCAGCAGCCCTCCTTCTTGGACGCACCTGGCAAAACACATGCAGCAGTGGCAGGTGGAATAAACTATGCAAAAGAGCAGCAAAGCAAGCATCATCGATCCAACAGCGCTACATCCACAGCCGTCAATGAAGCACAAATTCTACTGTTGAACCATCGCATCAGCTACTCTCAGAAGCGAGAAAGAGCTTATAAGGGCATCTTGCGACCCGAAGCCATCACCGAGAAGGAGAACTGGATGACCCCGCTGGCAACAGGTTACTTGATCCACCACTCTTTGCCCAATAAGAATGTGAACCCTTGCATGGAGCAATTTAATAACGAAGCGTTTGTTGCAGAGGTTAGTCTACCTGTTTTATTCACACGCTAAAAATTAAGGTTTTTTTGGTAGATCCATTTATTGTACAATCGAACCGATGTATCCGCGTATAGCACACTGCAAGACATCATCAAGCGTCTCTATGCATTGTCGTTTATCAATCCTATTCCATCGAGTCATACTTGCATGCCATACCATGTTGTATTGGCCGAGAGACTGAGTCGTGTGTTGCTCGTGATTGACAATTCGATCAAGTAGATCAGGGCAGCATTCACACTCTGTAATTTATAGCATTAATTACAATAAAGCACTGTTTGCAATATCATGCAATTGGAGTGTCTAGTTCCTCATTGACTCAAGCGCACTAAAACATTCTAGCTCAAGCGCGTCTCACCTCCAGCATGATTGGGTGGGGAATCCTTAAGGTTACAAAGAATTCCATCTATGGAATAAAAAAAGTGAAATCAAAAACAGTTCCCTGCTTCTCTTTTTCTCGTCTTCTTTTTTTTTTTCTCATACATACTACTATCCGCATATTAACACAATGCGTGTCCCTGCCCAAGGTAAGCAGCATAAGGATATACACATACGATACATGTTACTCATGGCATGCACTCTTTTAGAAATACCTATATTAGAAAACCTCATTACAATAAGACACAAACTGTCTGCTCTGAAAAAGGACCGTGAGGCCCATCCAGACGCCAACTTGATCATCCCACTCTACAAGGAAATAGAAACACAAGTAGAGCTTCTAAACGAAACTCGAACTGGCGATATTTGGAATGCTGCCTCTCGCAACAGACTAAATGATGTTCTGGACGATATCATGGCCTTGTTGTCCCTGTTCTTTATGAGCATTGGAAGAAACAGAGAAAGTAGGTGCTGGTAATAGGCACATTGGCGGTGGAATATTGAATGTATGTCTTCTGTAGGTCCTGCTGTCTATGTTCAACTGGTCACTGTGGAGGTAGGGTCATAGTAGCAACTACCATGAGACATTGGGCTTATTCATGCATTCATGTAGAGATACTTGGATCAATTATCACACATGGGAACATACACGGATACAATTTTATTGGAAAATCAAGAGAGACTAAACGACATTGAGAACATTCTGTATTCTGATGCTAGTGATTCAACATTCGTCAAGGTCCTGAAACATAAACTGGAAAAGTGCAGTACGTAGCTGTGTTCATGTATGCATCCGGTGTGCGCGATATTCATTGATCCTCTTACAGAATCCTCGCTGTCTGTTCTATTGGCCAACACACAAGATGTCTCAGAGTCATTGTAAGTAGTTGTGCACCACTGCTTTAGAGAAGAGTTTATTCACCATGACACGGAAACAGAAAACCCTTGCATGAAGAATTGATCAATTTGAGACGAAAATTAGCCCTTTTAGCTCAGAAGCCAACCGGGTATACAGCTGCTGAAGTAAACGAAATACAGGAAAAGGTGGGTACAAATGAAAGGTGGTGTATCTGTTGTACCTGACACATGCAGCATGTAGCTCCGTGAATTAGACAATTCAAAACTACAGTTATTTGAGTCAAATCCAAAAGGAAAAGCGTTGATTGAAGGTCTGCTAGAACAGTTACATGAGGAATCGCAAGATTTGAAAGCATCCACAAATAGTGTATCCGAGTCATTAGCACCCATTGTCGATAGATTGAAGCAAATCAAATTACAGCTAGAGCGCTTAGCATTGACACATAAATGGACCTTGAGAGAGACTGATTTATACACCTACCATGTAAGCAACCTATACGCCTCACTCGTTCACGTTTCTCATCATCGAATCCTTGATGATATAGCTGCAATTACAGGAGGTCGAGAAACTTCGAATGGACGGTAGTTTCAAAGATCCCAATTCGGATACCATTCCAGAAGGTCAAGCTGTCATCAACTTTTTATTGCGTGGGTGTTATCGCATCATGGCAAAGATGTTGAGTGAGAATGTACCAGTGGCAGAGGCGTTGATGCCTGTTCATAATCAGTTGAGCACGGTGCGACGATGTCTTGTAGAAGTGACAAAATGGGGAAAGCCAGATTCAGGTAGGCACAAAACATTGCATAAGCCAGAATTCAAGTATTCACTTTTTTTTTTTTTTTTTTTTTTTTTTTTTGTCATTGTCCATGCTAGTTCGGGATCTTTATCCGTAAGTGGTTTTATGGGCAGATGTGGATCACTCGTCTGGGGTTTACTGACCAAATGATTGGAGAACAGGTACCAAATGAAGCTTGCTAGTATCGATAATATGAGAGTCAATGGTACTTTTTGTGATGAGGAAGGAAATATACCAGAAGGCCAAGCTATTTGCGTTGCATTGCTGAATGAATGTTATGACATCCTTCATGAATTGATTGCACTAGCTGATGCTTGAGAAAGAAATGACTGAAAAAGTACTTGTTTATGATTTATAATAAACATGCTTAATCATCAGCTACCATCACCAAACTGCATTTTATCATCAAGTGTGAGATTCATGCAGCATGATCATGATAATTCAATCATTATAAAAGTCTGCTTTCGTCGCTGGTTCTTCTTTTCTATTCTATCAATTTCTCATTTGTAAAATGCCTACTTCTTTTGTGCAAAAACTGAGATATGCTGTCTGTTGTGGGTCTGCAGATGTCGATCAGAATGAAGGGCCACCACCATCTCCTCCGGCTACTGCACCTCAAGCAGCAAATACCGCTGCAGCTATGGAACAGCCCCCGCAACAAATTGTCCCACAGTCTGTTCAATCTACTGCGGAAGCTAGTGCTGGATTCACCGGAGAAGAGCAACCAGAGCCTATTGAAGAAAACTGGGATGACGAAGAGCCAGAGCCAAGTCCTTACAAACCGGAGGACTTTGTTGTTGAGAAAGATCAATACGCTACATACAAATATGATCAAAGCCCATACAAAACATTTGATGATGTACAAAAATCATTTGACGCTGAATCTCAGTCCTACCGAAAGCCTGATACCGTGGATTTAGATACCCTTTGGGGAAGTCGTGAATATGAACGCTCTATTCGTAGCTGGAACCCTGAGCAAGAGTTCAATCCTGCTCAAATTAGAGCTCAGACCAAAGCAAGATAATCACCTTAATCTTCTTTTTACTTGGAAATAAATCGCACATGATTTCATGTACACTGATCTTGTATTTGTTACTTTTCACAAAAGCTATTATTGTACCATCGATGAAGAATAATTTTCACCCTGTTGAATCCATGTGCAAAACATGTAACCTATCATAATATGAGCGTAAATGAAAGCAATGACGGCACCTACAGATAGAAATTCCATTGTTAAATACGTAACATATGTTGTTGATAATCCAGTGTTATGCCCAATCGTGTATGAATCTTTATTAAGATGGATATTTTATTATATCTAAATGGCAAAATGCATTATAAACACTCGCAACCATGCAATGCTCAACTAATTATATACTACACTTTTTTTTATTCTTATTAACGCAGTGCATTTTGATATTGAGTAAAGGCTGCAACAATGAAACCCACTGATTAAAATTGAGAGACTCAAGGGCTGCGCTATTATAATCAAGGAAAGGCTATATGCGCTATTTGGTAAAGTCTTGACCGCTTGATCGCACCTGTGTAGCTGTCATATACAGTGTGGACTCAAAACAATCGATGCGATGCTTGTTTTATAGCGGGACATGCAAAAACTATAAAAATTAGAAGCAGGGCTTATGAAGAGAGTTGTTAAAAAGGATTTATATGCTTTTCGTTGTGGTGAAACTGTCGTATGTAACATCTTCCTGGCCTTTATACGAGGATATCAATGCATCGTCCAGCAAGTTATCTAACTCTGCTTTGTAAGCTTGAATGAATTATCGCTTCGATGCAGTGGCTGACTTTCATGCTAAGCTTGAGCAAAAAAAAAAAAATGAAGGCCAACAGAAATATCCAATATTTTAAAACGTGGCAACTTGACCACAAATTCTAGTATTCATACATATTTTTTACTGGCGTTCGATATTTTGCTCATAATTGTACGTTTACAGTACTACAAATCATTTGCACTTACTGAAAAATAACAATAGGACGCTTCCTTGGCTCATTTTGCGCTATTTTTTTTTGAAAAAAAACTCCAAGCCAAAAACATCCTGATAAAAAAAACCCTGTCATTAGAATTGAGCTTTGTGTTATGCAACGCAACCGGCCTATTGAATACAACTTGATTTTACCCACGGATCTGGCAATACAGCGTCTCACTCATCGGTTACACGTCAAATTGGACCCAAATCTGGTTATTTTTCAACGTAAATATCTCGTCTTATAGGTCATTTTATACCCTGAAAATAATGCTGAACGGTTGCCCTTGACTACCACTTACTTACTGATGTTTTATCTCAATTTTTTTTGGGTCATTGCAAATTCATGAAAATCGTCATTTTCACATGAGTATTAACAAGGGAAAATTCTTGAAAATCAAACGATCGCGTTTTTCACCGCAAAAATGGAGACTTTTCTTATGATACATATCAGACCAAATTGATCGTAAAGATGGAATGCAACACTGGAAGTTTTCTCTATAAGAATTATTTGTGCTAAATTATGACATATTCGCAAAAAATCGGTTTTGAAATGTTCGCAGATTGCTCATTATTTTCGGTCTGAAAGCTGAAAGTAACTAGGATCATTCGATGCGCCTTCATTGACTCTTTATAAATGCATTAGAAATTAAAGTATGACAACGACAATTTTCATAGTCAAATTTAGCAAAAACGTTTAAAGAATGTAAAATCAAGTCAAATTTGAACACGAAAATACCCACTGCATAATTTCAAATTAAAGTGCAGCAGGTACGGCAGCTACGACAGAAGACTGAGACCAAACCTACTGGACGTGACGTCGGGTAAGGCGCCCTCTCGTTTTTCCACTCCATCGTTTTTTATCCTTTTTGCAAAACGCGTTTATTATCAAACCATATTCGTTTTGGAACCCTTTTGATTGAAATAACACTCTAATTTCTGATAACATAGACTTGTAATGCTAAAAGTACGTGGTACTGCTTCTTTGAAGTGCAATATAGTAGGTACCATTCGACAACGAGCACTGAAAGACGTAGAGTCAGCACTAATCGAATTTGTTTATTATGTTTCGCTAACTTTTTTTGCCTGTTTGACGTAGGTGCTGCCGCCATTACTTCTTTACTATCTCTCCTGCCTGCTTCTTTGGTCTCTTTCTCTTGAGGTTGCTTCTTTAACCTTTGTCTGGTTTCTGGTGTCCCTCGTTCTTCGGTTTTTCTATGCTGCTGTTGCTTCTGCTGGTGTTGTTGCTGCTGATATTGCTGCAGGCGTTGCTGCTACTAGTCTGGCCTTTCTTGGCCTGCTGTCTCCGTTGTATGCTTGTTCTCTGGTCTGTCTCTGGTGATTGCCTATATTCTTATGGCCTATTCGTGGCTATGGTAAATGGTAAGTAACTTTTTTTCTTCTGGTTGCGATGATATAAAGCTTCTCTGGACGTTTACATTATTGCTTCCTCTCTCGTGATAATGCATTCGTAATGTTTGCTTTGTAGCGCTTTTTTTTCCTATCGTTGGCTGCGATATGATCAGCTCAGCGGATGCTTGCGATGTTGTTGCTTCGTATGTACGAACAACAAGCATGATATGCTGCTATATATCTGTATTGTCGCTGTAATACTACTTTGTTATATGGTCGTGGATTGTTGTTTGTGTTGCCTCTGCTGTTTCACATAAAACAACATTGATCATTATGTTGTATTGTGCACTTATAATACTGCTGTTGCTCCTGCAATTGTGCGTGTTTGTGTTGCTTTACATCTGACTATTATCATGCACGTTGCTCATGTATGCATTTTTGTTGCAACGACAGCGAGCTGTTCTGAACATCTTTGATGTTATATTTGTTATTATGCTTTTCTTTTGACTCACTTTTTTGTGTGGGTGTTCCTTTTTTGCCTACATACTACAGTGCGCGAAAAAAACGTTCCAGTGTTTTGCCAAATTGCACTTATAGCCAGTTTTCTCTGCAAATATCAAAGCTACTGGGGTTTGCTTAGTTTCATAAATAGCCTAAGTAGTTGGCTATCGGATGATATATTATGCACTTTATTCACGTAATTAGAAAAAGAATGGTAGCCTCATGAAAAGTGAAAAGTCGAATTTATTAAATCTTATAAAAAAGCTCAATATTTAGTTGGACCACCTTTACTCTTGATAACCGCTTTGATTCGGCGTGGCATGCTGCCTATGTATTTAAGACAGTCGTCTTTTGTGAATTTATGACATTCCTGTTCAATTCTGTCTTCTAACTCAGAAATGCTGGTGGCCCTAGTAGGGTACTTGTTCAAACGACGTTTTAGTTGATGCCAGACATGTTCAATGGGGTTTAGGTCAGGGCTTTGGGGGGAGGCCAATCAAGAACATTTTGAACAGAGAATCCGTGATGCGTGAACCATTTTTTAATGGGACCAGAAGTATGTGGTCTTGCGTTATCTTGCTGGAATCTAAACGTTTTCTTGTCCAGCCCATAGTACTCGATAGTGTCTAGCAAAGATGAGTCCAGAATTACAACATAAACTTCCGAGTTAACAGTTCCTTCGGTAATGGTGGAGCCATAGCTGGGTTCCTCCGCTGTTATCATGCCCCAGAAAACAACGCCACCACCATCTGCCGGGACTTGAGCCTCAGTTTGATGAGGCATCAACTCAGTGGGCCTGTCAGTCCAGTAGAAAGATTCGCCGTCAGATCCCCATATATTGACCCTAGTTTCATCGGAAAATTCCCATTTACGCCAATCGTCCGCAGTCAAATGTCGATGTCTCTTGGCCCACACAAGACGTTTTTTCCGGTTCTCCGCAGACACGAAATTGGTTTTTACCTTTCTTTTAGCCTTGAACCCTTTGCGCTTGAGTATATACTGTATATTCCTCAAAGTCATCTGAACTCCCATATGAGCAAGGTAGCACTGCACACCCTTGGGGCCGTCTAAATTACTATTGCGGAGATTCCTCTCAATGTAGTTCATATTTTGCGTAGTGATTTTGCTGCGTCTTCCGGGTTTGGCATGTTTTGAATGACCAAGAAACTTCTTCCTATAGCGAGAAAGTACACTGACGGACAAATTTGGGAAGATTTTTTGAATGGCACGGAGGAAACAACCTTGGTTGAAAAGAGCCTTGACAGATCCTTGAACCTCCTGAGGAATGGGACGTGTCATGTTAAAAAAAGTGATGAAGTAAAGATGGTAAAATATAATGAGGGAAAAGACCAAAATCTCAGGCTTCTTTATACTTTTTTAAGCATTCCTCGGATAACTAACATTTTAAACATAACTGATATAAAAAATTACGGCTCTCAGATTATTTTCGTGGAATGTATACAAACAATAAGGTCATCAAGCGATATTTCCAATTTTACAAAATCGAAATTTTTTACTTTACGTCAGTTGCACTTGCTTAATATCTACTGTATCAATTATTTTAGTAGCTCATTTTGTGGCTAAAAACTCAAGCTTTCGTAGTCTTACTTTAGTTTTAAAACTGGAAAAAATTGACAGAGCTGTAAGTGTAAAACTACGAATTGGCAAAACACTGGAACGATTTTTTCGCGCACTGTACAATAGTTTCGTTTGTCTTATATCTTTTTGTTAAAGTGGGATGACTTTCATGCGCTAAATGATACGGTGTATTGCTCTGAATATTTGCACATGAACTGATCAAGCTACGCTTGCCCAGCCATTGCTTAGCTCCCCGCCTTTGGCTTGAATTTCAACATTCTCAGTCTTAAAATAGCATCAATAGTATGACAAATGCTATAAAACATGGAAGTCAAGTGTAATATGATTTCTTAATCACTTCCTGATCCCTGGCTTAGACTATTGCGCTTCGCATCTATGTGGAAAAAAAAGAACCGAATTCATCTCTTAATGATTACACTGCAAAAGAAAATTCCTGTCGTATAGCACAAGATCCCAACAACTACCAAATGTTGAAATTAATTCGACCCGATACTTTCCTCGAGAGAAAAATACTACAAGTAAACAAACCAACGACTTCCTCGGAAGAAGGAGTTGGCCATGCTTGCTAGATGCCTGAAACACTGTATCTTATTGAGCTCCCGTATGTGCAACCAAGCAAAAGTATGCAATTTATTTGTAAAGTGGTTTTTGATTTGGTATCACACAAATGCGAATAATAAAAGTACATCATTTTCGAGTTGGCATGGGTCATGACAGAGGGCTTGTAGCTATCAAATCAAGGGTGCTTTGGATGATTCTGCCGTCAATTGACGGTTTTGGCGCTTTCCACGTCTGTAAAATTGAAATTTTGATGAGATTACACCGTGATCATTCTTAATTTTATGGAGTAACGTAATATAGCTCCCATCTTTGGATGCTTTGCCAAAGAACAATACCGATTCAAAAGGTGCCAGCTGTTTTAGACCATCGATAGTGAATCATCCACTGAAGCCTCCTGTAAAAGTGTTGATTTACTTTGAAATATGCCAGTGCCAGCAATGAGTATTCTGTAGTGGGTCAAAGCGCTTCAGTTTGTTGGTATCCACAATGATTACCCGTCCATTAGTCTAAGCATACAAACATAACCATGTAAGTTTCATCTTGACATTGCATGCAATGTTTATTTAGGAATGACTTACATCCAGTTCACAGTTGTCGTTCTTTTCAGGCAGTATGAGACCAAGAGAGAGATTTTTCCAAAGTATATAGTAATGTTTTTTGCTTCTGTTGATTTTAACTAGAAGTAGAAACAAAAGGTGAGTTATGGGTAAAAAGCGTCTGACGAGCGATATTTACCTTGATGCTGCATAATAAATAATTTTATTATACATAGTACCTCTTAAAGAAGGCGTTTGATCATCTTGATCCTGGTTTGATGCATTTTCGAATAATCAGCTACTACTTGCGAACTATTCTTCTCGATTCTGTATCGTTCCCTGGTTGATTTTTTGTGTTTCTGTGATGCTGCTGGATTGAACGTACAAGATAGAGCCCATTCCAGTGCCTTTTTCTCCCATGTATTCGATTTGGAGCAGTATAGGCCACCTTTCAAACATGTATATGATCTTGACGGCAGATACCAGCATTTGTGTGCGCATAATCCTCACTTTTTTCCCCTATACTACCCAGTACAGGCTGTTGATTTGCATTGTCATTGAGATGTTTATCCTGAATGTTGCTACGCATTCTGAATGTTTTGCTAGCAATCAGTGAGTCGAGGATAACCAAATGGTGTACCTGGAATAAGCAAATGGCCAGTTCCAGAGAAAGAGTTTAGTTCAAGAGCCAGTATATATATACAAGCAGGCATGAGCTAGCCACAATGAGAGAGTTTTTGTACATAATGCACCGTAGGTTTTGGAGGTCAGTTTACATTTCACACAGTCTTGACAAGGTACTGATATTGGAACACTTGAAGATGGCAGGAGGCAGAATATTAAAACTTGACAGCAGGCAGCGACTTCTCTTTCATTTCCTTGTATTTGGTGGCTGAATCAGACTGTCGATTGGCAATACTAGCAACGTTTCTCCTCTTGTTTAGCGCGACAAACCCAAACACGATCAAAAAGATAGAATGATAGACTGAGAGAACGGCTGTATATTGTGTTTGTTCTGAGATGTATCTTTGTTGGCTTTATAATAATACACTGCTGTGTATTCTGGAGAGTCATTGAGGGCGGATTCCAATGTTGTCATTTCTTCAAAGGTGTCGAATCGACTCAGAATCTTTTGCACATTGTTGCCGTATGGGGACTTGTTCAATGCTTCGTTTTATAAAAATTCAAGTGTGTCGTCGTTGCTAATGCTTGTAAAATAGTTCCATAACGTCTTCATCAGGCCCAAGTTGCCTATTTCGAAGCTGTCAATGATAATGCTAGAGTCACAGAAGTGCTGAGAGAGTCGTATCAATACTTTTTCAGAGGCTGAAACATATTTTGAAGGCGCCAGATATCGTGCTTGAACTTGAGAATGTCTTTCAAACTACTGCCAGTGCTATCTTTTTTTTTTTTTGTGAGCTTTGCTTTTGATAACGTGCTGAGCGAGCTGTATGCTGTATTCGCAAATGAATTGAAGATTGATTCCCTTTTCATACTTTGGCTGTGACAATTGATGACTGTGCATCATGGCTTGCAACAAATGGCTATTTAATATACATGGTTGTCGATGCTGTATTAAAAGTTGATAGAAGAGGGTCAGTCAGCTGCTTTGCTATTGCCGCTGTTGTTATATATCATCTCACGTTGACTTACTTATCTGTGTCTGTTATAATGCTATTACCGTTATCTACAGCGATGGTACCTTGACTGGATCGCGTTTCTAGTTAATCTGCTGGTATTTGTTACGATGGCCCAGGCACAGTGATAATTGTCGTTCCCTTTGTTAAGCAGCTGTAAGATAGGTTTGACTTTGTGCATTAAATTTTCTCTCTTACCAGAATGGATACATCTTGAGCAGCTTTTTGATCAACAAGTTTGTTGTTGTTGTTGTTGTTGTTGTTGTTACTTGCGGAAAAGAAGAAAAGGGAAAGACAGTAGAAAGAGAATGATGAACCTTGAGATTGGCAAACATTAGATGTAATCAAGGTAATCAACATACTTGTGGTCTGCCGCTCTACAAGGCTCATCATCAGCCTCAAACAGGTACGTAACCACGTCTTTGTGGAAACGTACCCGCCGAGAACCCCTCTCGTTGCCAGCAGACTCTTCCTCCACAGGAACTGTATCATTGAAAGAGTTGCTTCCATCCCCCACTGAAGGTAATTCGGATAAAGAAGAAGAAGGTAGAGGCGGATTGGAAGAGGAGGGAAGTGCAACTGGAGGAGTAAGATGAGAGGAGATAGATGGCTCCCCTTGAAGGACAAGAGTAGTATCCTGTCTCTTCAAAGGTCGCTCATCCAACTCATCATCTGCCGACTTTCTCTTTCTACTGCTGCGGATGCTAGTGGTAGAGGTAGGAGCAGAGAACTAGGCATGAATGCTTATATGTCAGTACGAAATATTGCTTCGCGGTAGTTGTCTTGTGTCATGGTACTTACACTGTATTCGTAGCCAGAGCGTAATAACATTTTAGCAATAATTATTTAAACGAGAGCAAAAGGTAAAGAAATAAAATCTACTGCATGAATTCACTTTTATACCTGCATTTGCCTTCAAAGAATAGTGGTCTAGGTTCTTTTCTCATAGCAATACGCGTCAATAAAGCATGGCAGAATGAGATGCTACTTTTCCTCGTGTATTCTACAGTTAATTTGAGACATCACCAAAAGTGAAGCAACTCTCAATTATCATTTTCCATAGAGATAGAAGCAAATGTAGTGCTTAGTAAGTATCCTTCCCTTCAATTTTGCAACAACGCTTTTCATAACAAAAAGTTTTACATTTTCCTATACCTGTGTAACAAAAGTCATCATACGATCACGGAGGGATTCAGCCTTACTAAACTTGCCATGGCGCTGGCGTCATCAACTCGACTTGGCCAAAGATGTGTACAAACAACTGTTTCATAGACACGCATAAATGTGTACGTACCAGCATTGCAAATTGCATGCATATCAGAAGTACCTTTGCAACTAGGGTGGAATCTACGGACAGTTCTTATGGATACTGTGTAGTGTCTGTTGAATAGCACTGAGCAAGTCCACACATAGCATCTGACGCAATCAATCTCTATAGAACTGGACACCTTGGGCAGGATCATTATATCCCTGAATAGATGAACTTGCCGTAGAAATTTGGCAAGAGGTCAATGTCTGCATCTAGAGATATGTTATCATACTGGACCAGAAGGAGAAGATAGACAAGCAGATAGTAGGCAAGGCGTACATGAAGATTAAACCCCTGAAAGAAAAGCTTACTGACATGAGCGACAGTAGACAAAATAATTATCCTAGCACCTTTGATGAAAGAGCATTCACTGACATTACACACCGCTTTAATAGTGTAATGCAATAACCTTTTTCACTTCAGAAGTCTGACTCATTTAGGATGCAACGTATATATAGCTAGTATCACGGATATAAGCACGTGTCTTATAGCGTGGATCATAAAGTGCATATCTGAAGCAACAAGCTCATATTGCATTAATCTTGGTGCCTATCCAGATATGGCAAACATCCGTAGTCAATGTCGGAATACAAGTATAAGTCTATAGAGCCATTCATGTCCGTGGTGCCATCTATAGCAGCAGCCTATATCTTATATAGTATGAGTCTTATAGTACTAGCTGTTTAGGATATAGATTATCTCTGAGAGGCAAATGTATTAGGCGTTGTATATTACATAAGAGGATCTGAGAATGAGCTGAGATGCATAGTAGAAGTGAGAGGTCTTTATTCCAGCAGCACGAAGGAACACAAGTGGTGCCATCAAATGGCTAATCTATATCCTGGTTCCTGGAGAGTGGTAGCCTATGGCCTTTCGTCCCTGGAAGTGGGTTTCAATTCCGACAAATGTTCTTCCGTCAAAGCTATTAGGAAGAACATTCTATCCTGGATCATCTTTGTTGTTTATCCTTGACTGGTTGTTCATGAGCTCTTATGCAGCACATTCTCGTTAACTGCTTTAAGGCTTATACAATTATCCCGCATTCAAGAACAAAGTCCTATTGCTGCGGCACTGTCAAATAACTATAAATACCTTTGATATCTACACTATTTTTGATCCCTATTCAATCCTGGAATAACATAATAAATATATTCAGTTCTAATTGTATTTACTCTGTCTATATTTCGTTATTCTAAACACTAGCGTATCTGAAGTCCATATCTTCTTACAGTATAAATCGATATCGTACATCTAATCCAGTGTACATACAGTTTATATCTAAATCTGGTAACTGGATGAACTGTCGGAATGCAGATCATAGTGGATGTATTCCACACTTTTCTTCCATAATGGAGTTTTCAATCCCCCCCTCTCTCCTCCCCCCCGAAGATTGGAGTTGATAGTGGCAAAAGCACATTTTTCTTCATTGACAACAGCACGGAAACACCTATAGAGTACTCAAGTTTATAAAATAAACACAGGGCACATGCATGGACTAGTGCTGACGAATGCTGATGCACAAAAGAAAAGTTATATGCGCCACTGTAGCAAATGCTACCTTCGAGCGATCCATTTTCGACAGTTTGGCTGGAGCTGACCTTTTCGGTAGTGTAGCTCTTCTATTAAAACTGATGGTATCGCTTTAAATGTAAGGCTTTAAACGATAGTCTTTTTCCTTGATTTAGGCCTTAAAGGATAGTTCCTTCTTTGTTGGTCTACACATTGAAGAACAGCATAGATGATAAAGTAGTGCAGATTCGATACATACTCCTCCCCTTAGAGAATCTCCAAAACAGACAAAAAATAAGCTTATTTGTGTACAAGATACATAACATTATCCATGTGTGGTATTATTCGATGCGCATTTCAGTTCTGCACCAAGTTCCGTGGCTAATATAACTCTATTTAGAACTGTTCGACAACGTTTTTGCCTAAAGATCGTAAAATACAGAGTTTTTAAGTAAAATCATGAAGGGAGCGTATATTTGTAACTTGAACTGTTTACATAAAAGTAGATCCAACGTAGAGCTATTCAATGGTTTTTGTTTTATTCAAATACGACACGTCTTTCCTGAGATATGACAAAAAAATGTAATCTTGCAAAATCATCGATTTTTATGCAAACTTTGCCTGTGATAGCAAGGCAAAAATCTGGATAGCAATTTCTTTCGAGGTAAAAAATTGGCGATATCTCGTGATAGAACCATACTAGAGGTGTGAATCAGGGCTTGTTCGATAGGTTCTTGTCTGTTCTACACTATGATAAGTATTGCAAGTAAAGCTCTGATGACAGAAACCTGGTAATCTGTCAAAAACAGCCAAAAAATCGCAAAAACTATTCTATTAAAAATCAGCCTAATAACGTCGGCCGAAACACTTAAAATTGGTATCATTAGATTTTCCTTTAAATTCTACTCCAAGCTTTATTTAGCTGGAAAGCAATGTTATTATCAGAATCGCATGATATTAAGGCTGAACGATTTCAGAAATCCATGAATCCTCATTTTGAGTATTATGGAGGTTGGGCTATTGATAGTTTAAAATACCGCCTTTTTTTTTCTTTTTAGTATGTAGCTCAATTCAAACGTAAATTCGCTACCCTTGTCAAATATTACCTCTTAATTACATGTAACGGATTAATAGGTAAGGTGTTGGCGAACCTCATGGTGAAAATTGCTAATTCATATCTTGCTTTGCTGCCTTGTAGCAAGCTATCAAATTCTAGTACTTACCTTGCGGTACATTGATAACAGTGACGTCTTTTAGCCTCAACCTTTTATTAGCATTTTTTTCCTTTTTTCGTTTATATATATACATATACTATACTTCGCAAGCTCTCTACTCATGAAACAACGCTACCTTTGTGAATAGAATTGAAGCAAGTATAACTGACAGTTATGCAATAGACGTAAGATACAATGTTAACGCGTTTTATACCGTGGTTTTACTTGCAATAACTCTACTAGGGATCTATTTCTGATCTTTTGCTGTGCACTGGCTGCACACTTGGCGGTGGCTGCTTTGATGTTATATCGTTGCTTCGGTGGTTCTTCTCTGATGTTTGCTTATCCTGTGGTCTGTTGTCTCTGATGTATGCTGGTTCTCTGGTCTGTCTCTGGTCGTGATGCTGTGGTAAGAAGTGGTAAGTATCTTTTTTTTTCTTGCGGTCGCAATGATATAAACTTCTTTGAACGTTTGTACTACTGCTTCCTTTCCCGCGATAATGCATTCATGCTGTTTGCTTTATTGCCTTTTTTTTCTTTTTTGCTGGCTGTGATATGATCAGCTCAACAAATACTTGCAATGTTGTTGCTTTGTATTTACGAACAACAAGCATGACACACTGCTATATAATTGTATTACCCTTCTTGTGATACTATGTTATATAGCTGTGGATTGTTGTTTGTGTTGCCTCTGTCGCTTCACATGAAAACAACATTGGTCTTCATGTTGTATTACAACACTTATACTGCTGCTACTGTTGCTCCTGCAATTGTGCGCAATTGTGTTCTTTTACATCATCAGACTGTTATCATGCACATTGCTCATGTATATATTTTTGTTGCAATAACAAGAATATAATAACGTGAACATTCTTAATTTTTTATTCATAACGTACTATACTTCTATAGTATTATTATGTTCGCTTCTTTTATTATTATGTTTCTTTGAAGCATACCTTTTATTTTACGTTGCGTGGATGTGCCTATCGCTGAAGCTCAACAAGACTCTATCCGAGGCTAGGAGGTGGATAGGCTGCCTCCACTTGGTTATCGCTACTTACTTTAGTGATGATTGAGGGTCTCAATGCCAGTATTTAAAGCTAGGTGGTGTAAGTAAGGCATGCTCTAGCACCTGAGGGAAGTTTGATGATAGCAGCGGCTATACTACTATTATAACGGCGCTTAAAATTTTGCCTCACATCAAAACCGGGGGAAACCCTCGCAAATTTTTTTTAGGTCAGCGGAGTTTTCAAGCAATTTGATTGGCTCGGAGGATGAGGCACCAAAGGGTTTTAGTTAGTTGATCTTCTATTGATCTGTCATTTAACACTATATTGTTTTTGTAATAAAAGGGTATCTAAACTGTTACAATTTAAGTTCTTTTTATATATTCTAAGGCAAGACAAGGTGCAACCATTTGATCTAGCATCCATTAAACACTTTCATATGAGGGATGTATCTTAAATTTATTTTACAGTAAAAAAAAAAAAAAAAAAAAAAGCTTGTGTAATAGTGTGTGCTATACAGCAATATACTAGGCACAGGGTTCTCCCAGCAGTAGTATCAAATGCCCCAACAAACACGCATTGTTTATCATCTGCAGTGAAATCAGGTTTGAATAGATTTCACAAAAAAAATAAAGCAAAGGTAAAATACAATAGAAATCAACTGTATTTTATTTTGTGTATAAAATGAACTGAAGATCCTGGAATTGAGTAAAAAAAAGAAGAGTATTTATACATTTGCATCTGGCTTGTAGGATTAGTGATGATAGAGAGCAATAGGTGCTGCTATTGCGTTATCTGGCAAATGTTGTTGATGTTTGATTTAAAGTGGTAATCAATGCAGGAGCACTGGCCATAAGGGTCGATTTGAGTAACCTTGATGGGCTTGGGTGAGCTATCGTCATAGCATGATTTAATGTAACCTTGATTGTTTAAAGTGTGATGTTTGTTATTGAAGCATGGAATCCTTTATCTGGGATATTGTGCAACTATGGCAGCAGGGCATAGTTGTCATATTTGAATATGCTTGTTATTGATTTAATTCTATTTGGATAAAGATACCATCACTTATTACGACCATCATGGGTGTGATTGAATACACTGTGATCAGGAGTGATTCATTCACACGATGTGCGATATAAGCGTGTATCTTTACTTTAGTATTTTTAAATGGGTTTTTGATGTACATTTGAGCGCTTTCATTAATAGATCCAAATAGCATGAATTTGAATGAGTGCTATTTGATGAACTTTGGTTTTCAATTAAGTTGCGTTTGGGTGGCTATTTCATTACAGTAGCCCTTCTGGCACAACATTTAGCATGTATCTGGTATATGGTATATCTATAGCATATCGTATGCATGTTTATAGCATGTCTCATATATAGTACAAGTCTGTAGTACATAAAGTATCTGTAGCTAGTATCACGGATATAAGCATGTGTCTTATAGCGTGGATCATGAAGTGCACATCTGAAGCAACAAACTCATATTGCATTAATCTTGGTGCCTATCCAGATATGGTAAACATCCGTAGTCAATGTCGGAATACAAGTATAAGTCTATAGCGCCATCCATGTCCGTGGTGCCATCTATAGCCTATATCTTATATAGTATGAATCTTACACTACGGCCCAACTGATGTTCTCACAGAACATGGATGTGCCCTTTTGGGAACATCGGTGTTCTCATGAGCACATTGATGTTCTCATTTGAGAAGGTGTAGTTTTCCACTTGAATAAAATGGTTTTAATAGCTAAACTATAATATTGTAGGCAACAGAGAGACTTTTATTATCTGTAAGATTCATAAAATTACTAAACGTATTATAAATTGCACGAGAAAATGGCAATTTAAAATTACCTAATAACTACTTATTAAATTAAAAGAATATATTTCAATAAGATATTCGGGTAGTTTAGTGGGAGGAACGTCAGATCCACAACCGATAGGTTCTGGGTTCGACCCCTGTAGGAGCACTCTTTTTTTCAGATTTCTGAAAATCGATGTGCTCATATAAGAATATGAATGTGCTCATATGGGAACATTTCGGATGTTCTCATAAGAACATCGGCCGACTTATAATAGATGTTTAGGAACGCCGATGTCCCCATATGAGAGCATTTTTCACCTTTCGGGAACATCGATGTGCTCATTTGGGAACATCAAATAGATTATCATATGAGAACATCAGTTGGGCCGTAGTGTTATAGTACTAGCGTATCTGAAGTCCATATCTTCTTATAGTATAAATCGATATCGTACATCTAATCCAGCGTACATACAGTTTATATCTAAATCTGGTAACTGGATGAACTGTCGGAATGCAGATCATAGTGGATGTATTCCACAACAACATTATCATTTCTTATAGACACACTTTGGTTAACGTACCAATAAAATATCCTCTTCACTCGCCATCATACCTTTTTTCGATTCTGGCATCATGTTAACTAAATCTAACAATGTTTTTATTATTTTGTATAAGACAACTAGCCGATTGATCTTGCTACGCTCGATGACGGCGTTGCCCTGTGGTGGGCTCTCGTCAAAGACATTTTAAATCAGAGATATCAGGTAGATTTTAGACAATCAATTAATAGTGAAAGAAAGGCTATAATATCAGAGTTGACTTTTCGAGAGATTATCATTGCGAAAGATACCTTTACAAGGAAACACTCTCTACAAAAGCAAATATATACATATATTTGGGCTAAGCAATTGTCCTTTCAGATACATGGTTTCCATTCGGTCAGTATCGCAATCATCATTGCCAGCAGCAGAAACGCCCGTCAAAATCAATTCAAACTCAGTATATTTTTTCTGTTCACAATTGCTCAGGTTTCGTCCTTTTTCGACTTGATTAAACTATTTTGCGAAATTCGACTATAAAGATTGTGATGATTACCCAACGCTTCCTAATACATGTTGAGGATATAGATCATCTCTGAGAGGCAAATGTATTAGGCGTCGTTTATTACATAAGAGGATCTGAGAATGAGCTGAGATGCATAGTAGAAGTGAGAGGTCTTTATTCAAGCAGCACGAAGGAACATGAGTGGTGCCATCAAATGGCTAATCTATATCCTGGTTCCTAGAGAGTGGTAGCCTATGGCCTTTCGTCCCTGGAAGTGGGTTTCAATTCCGACAAATGTTCTTCCGTCAAAGCTATTAGGAAGAACATTCTATCCTGGATCATCTTTGTTGTTTATCCTTGACTGGTGGTTCATGAGTTCTGATGCAGCACATCCTCGTTACTGGTTCAAGGCTTATACAATTATCCCGCATTCAAGATCAAGGTCCTATTGCTGCGGCACTGTCAAATAACTATAAATACCTTTGATATCTACACTATTTTTGATCCCTATTCAATCTTGGAATAACATAATAAATATATTCAGTTCTAATTGTATTTACTCTGTCTATATTTCGTTATTCTAAACAATACATTCTTGGAGTACTTTTCAAGGTGCTTCCAATGGTACTAATTATAATTGATGTTTTGAATGAAACTATTGAGCAATTTGGCAAAACATGATATGCGGTTATTAGCGAAAAAAGCCATATATTGCATATGAAAACTTCATAAAAGTGGTTTCATAGGTTGCTTTGGATCAAGAGAAACGTTTTGGATTAATATGTATCATTGTAAAAGTCTTCATTTTGAAGGTCAAAAACGCGATCGTTTGATTTTCGATGAAAACCAGGAGGGTACCTCATGCTTTTTGGTCGATTTTTGGTCATGTTTATTTTTGGCTCCCAAAAAGCTGAGCAATAGTGGCAACAAGTAACTATTAGATGAGAGCAATTGCTTGGTGCTATTCTGACAATCTAAAACGTCCCTGAACGCAAGAAAACGCAGTTCAAATGCACTCAGATTTTGCTGTATTAGGCACACTCTTGACTGAAAAAAGGATAATATCAGTATGATACTTGCCCATATATAAAGTAGCTACGTATATATGGATGTAGAACATCATATAAGAATCAGATCCACAGGTAATATAAAGGGGTTTCTTGTGTAAGTGGAGGGTTAAAATGAAAGTAGCAGTATTTTGATAAGATACGCAAGGGCGACGGGTAACGTTAGCTGCCGCTGCGAAGATTGGTTCTCACCGAAGCGAATCGAAGATAGAGAGCCATCCGGAGCGCAAACATTCGTATAGTAATAAAGAAGATATCTACAGACACTTGAAAAAGGGACGTATAGAAATGACTAGACACTAAAACTAAAGAACCTTTAACGAAAAGTATTTTGAGGTCCTTTATATACGAATTATCACCGTTCAACAAGTCAAACTTCCTTTAGCAATCAAGAGCCAGTAGAATAGAGTTACTACACCATTTTTATGACTTAGTGCTTTTCAGGAAGCATCCGGTTGATTGGTCGATCGAGATTGGTGTTCTAGCAACCACACCATCGATACTAAAAATTCATTTTATCTGCAACGTGCTCAGAGTTCCATCTCTCATTTTCGTAGCATAATGTTTCCTCGTCATCCATATAAAATTTATGTCGTTGAGCCTGGTATACGACAGAGTGATCACCATCTTGCGATCTAGCGTAGCATTTAAAGCCTTTTCCATGCTTAATGGGCATATATGTACGCTGTAAATGCATTAGCTGCCATGACTAGTCCAATTCTTTTTACGTCAAAATTTACATTACTATCTTGAACAAAACAATCATCTGCTTGAAAGGCCTTATAACGTTGGTTTCCGGCGCAAACACTTCATGTCTCAAAGGATAGATATAGTAATAAACTGGCCACTGATTGCATCTTTTTATGATGGCTGTCGTGAATTGCTCAAAAAAAAAGGTCATGTTCCTGATGATGGGGTTTACAATGACATCTCTTTCTGAATTGATGTCACTTCTTTCGAAATGATCATTAGAGTATAAACAACTCTGAGGCAGTGCAAATTTTATAGTTGACTCAGGCACAACTCCATTTATTGCGTTCTCACTTGATTTAGATTGGCTCAATAAAGTGCTTCCAATTTCCATACATATTATTACTAAAGTAAAGATTTTGACGCTTTCACTGACTACGAGATGGGGATGCATTATGTTTGATTGCATGAGCCTCTCCGAAGAGGGAGCTTTTTCCCACAAAAAAGCAAACAAGTTGAAGGAACAAACAACGAATCTCGGATATGCTCTCATTAAGGAGAACCATTGGCGAATTATATTTCATAAATGGATTTGATAGAAATGTTACACATTTAATTGATTCTACATGTTTGTTTAACGCGAGAACGAGGTTCATTTGATTCGCCCTATGCTGTTTGCTTGATCGCAGTAACCTATAAAGGCCTTGCTAAATACTCGGCTAGAGCCAGTGTGTGAACTCACTTTATATCACATCATGATGAAGCCTCATGGGAGGGCATCTAAAAATATCATGTTCTAAAATACAGCTTTACCTTATGAAGTAATTAGAAACACTGCTCGGAAAGCAGGAGAAAAAATTGCTTATATAAATAGCACTTTTACAACGAATTTACTGTTGTTTACTTATTTTTTTCTTGTATTTGTTTAGACATGAAATTACTAACTGTATCTTCCACCTTTGTTTGTTCACTCTTCTTTGGCTCTATCATACCGTCTGTTTTGGCTGCCAATAATACAGCTGAAGGCATTACAACCAGAACGATAGGTGCCCCTAATTCGGTGGACTACAAACTGTACTATGGTAAGATTGGCATGAATGAACAAACAAGCCTATACTAAATGTGCACATTGAACAGAGAAAGACGGCCATATCATCTCTCCATTCCACGACATTCCACTGTATGCAAATGACGAGAAAACCTTGTTCAATATGGTGGTAGAAATACCAAGATGGACAAATGCTAAAAACGAGGTAAAGCACCACAGCAGCCGCTCTCCAAATGGCATGAAATATTAACCGCATTCGTTGTTAGATCAACAAGGAAACTCCTCTTAACCCAATCATACAAGATACCATTGATGGAAACCCCAGATTTGTTCCCAACATCTTTCCATTCAAAGGCTACATCTGGAACTATGGCGCTTTTCCTCAGGTATATGTGTTGTCCATGTTCAACTGAAGCATGTAGGCTAATGAATTGTAGACATGGGAAGACCCCAACTTTATCTCACCTCACACCAACAAGAAGGGCGATAACGATCCTATTGATGTGATTGAAATTGGTTCTAGTGTTGGTACAGTGGGTCAGATCAAGCAAGTCAAGATTTTGGGCATCATTGGTCTGTTGGATCAGGACGAAACAGATTGGAAGGTGGTGGTTATTGATGCCAACGACCCGTTGTTCGACAAAATGAATGGTAAATAATTAAGCCCTACATGAAGCATGCATAACGACTGACCCCATTATGCAGATATTCAAGATGTCGAAACTCACATGCCAGGCTATTTGAAATCAACGGATACCTTTTTCAGAGTGTATAAGCTTCCTCAAGGCAAGAAAGAAAACGATATTGCATTCAATGGAGAAGCAAAGAACAAGGTAAATCACGCATTCATTTGTTATATGTGATGCATGGAACTGATTTACCGCAAATAGGCATTTGCTACTGAGATTGTGCTTGAAACACATCGTCATTGGGAGCTTTTAATCAACGGGACAACACCAAGACAGGATATTCAAACGTAAGTAGCAGCGTATCGAGTGGTGATTGTGTCATCTAACATGATTGCATTAATAGTATCAATCTGTCTGTTAATCATTCCCCGTATAAAACTGACCCTAGCAACTATACAGTATCCAGCGTGCCTGAAAATAATCCTCTTCCAGCTGCTGAGGTTGCCAAGCAATATGACATGTGGTACTACACATCAACACTTTCAAATACCACTGCCTCTGCAAATGACGAAGAAGATAAAGACGAAGACGAGAATGACGAAGAAGAGTAGTCTGTATAATGTGAAAACATGTACAATAAACATAATTGAAGTTGAACGTCTTATATACACATGCAATGCTATTTTGACAGCTTCGCAAACATGCATTAGACGGATTTACAGAGTGCATAGCATTTTACTGCTTTTCCCTAACAACGCAATGTCCATAAACATAATCAGGTGTTGTGATTTTTCGCAGAAAAGACTTACTATTCAGTCGATACCAAGACAAATGAATTTTCAGGATCAACCATTAATGGTAATTGGAGTAGCTCTGAGGGTTGCCTTGCTCATTCAAGAATCTCCGGTCTGGTGTTCCTACTATGTAATTGATGCTTAAGTGTAAAATTTTGAACAACTGATATTAAATTGAAAATGTTATTGTAAAGTAACTGCACTCTTTTTTTATTGTTATTATTATTGTTTTCAATAGTATGGCTGTAATTGAGGAAATAACCGAAGAGCCAATGGCTTCAAACGGTATCGTATTTCAAGGTCTACTCTTTGGATGAACTTAAACTCACTCTTATGACGCAGTAGTTGAGGAACAGAAAGCAAAAGACGCTCGCGAGGCTGATAAATTAGTGGAAGCAGACCATGAGGGTGATGTATTCTTTGATAGCGAAGAGTATCAGGCCGAGGAATTAGAGGTAAGTCGTATGCATCAAGCGCAAGTAGCATTTCAACTAAACGTACGTGCTTCTAGAAATTGATCAAAGAAGCTGGAGAATACAAATCAAAGGGCAACGCATATTTTGCTCAAGGAAATTACATTGAAGCCATTGCAGAATACGAAAACGCTCTGATGGTCTGCCCTCTATCACTCAACAAGAACAGAGCCATTTATTTTGGAAATATAGCTGCGTGTCATTTGAAACAGGTATTGGATAGATATGAGCAAGTCAATGGGACAATGACTGATGATTACTAGAACGAGTACAAAGAAGCGCGCGACATGTGTACTCAAGCATTGACATTAGATCCAAAGTACATAAAAGCATTGTTGAGAAGAGCACAAGCCAATGAAAAGATGGATACATCGACATCACTCACAGAGTCTCTGGAAGATTACAAGAAGCTGAAACAAGAAGCAAAAGACGCATATACCCTACGTGAATGTCAACGAGCCGAGAGAGAGCTGCCCAACAAAATCAAGGATAAGACAGAGAAAGAGAAGGAAGAGATGATTGGCAAATTGAAGGATTTGGGCAATTCAATCCTGGGTAAATTTGGTCTTTCAACAGACAATTTCCAGTTACAACCAGATCCTAATGGAAGCGGAGGCTATAGTATGAATTTTGTCAACAAATAAACTATTTATTGTGAGTGTATATATATAAAAACAGAAGAGGGTTACAAGTGTTTAATATAGTAACGAACAAATGAAAGAGAAAATTACAAAAGGGAAAGAGAAAGAAACAGTATAAATTATGGATGATCTTCATTTGTGGGTACATTAGAAAACATGCCAGGAGGAGGAGGTGGGTGCTGTCCATTCATGCCTCTAAATCTCATGTCTCCAAGAGGTGGCATGGGCGATCGCATCATACCAGGAGGAGGTGGCATACGGTTCATCATACTACCCATTGGAGGAGGCGCCTCTCTGAAGCTGTTCATGAAATTGGATGGAGAGGGAGGAGGATGCCCCTGTTGATGAAATAATGGTTGCTGCTGTTGCTGTTGCTGCTGTTGAGAAGGATGTGGAGGAGGATGGTGGCCCATAAACATGCCATTGAAGCTTTTGGGTGCCATATCATTGAATGGACGGTCCTGGTGCATCATTCTTCCTTGCTGTTCCATAGCAAATCGAGGATCCATCTGTCTCTGTTGCTGCTGTTGCTGTTGATGGAACTGCTGCTGTTGATGCATTTGTTGTTGCTTTTCAAGTGTCATCATGGAGGCAGGTGGCGGTGGTGGTGGTGGTGCCTGTCCACCTAGAATTTGCAGAATGGTATTCTGAGAACGCACAATGTCGCTACTAGACATTTCATTGTTGACGAGACGAACAGACATGATAGCAGGGTCTTGGAAGGACAATGAAGTAGCTGCTAAAAGACTCGAGTTAGTACACTATACAATTTATGGAGCCTATATGTGATGATCTTACCAGCAGGTTGAAGAGAAGGTTCATCTCGCTTGGGAGACATTTCTTGCTGCTGAGTAGACGATGCTGCTTTACGAAGGAATTCACCAAAGAAGTTTTGCGCTTCAACACGGACATCAGGATTGTTCTTCTTTTCTACCATTTCAGAGAGCTGATCTGGCTGCCATTGCTGATTCATAGGTGATCTCAATAGCACCTTTTCCTGCGCTGATTGCACAGAGGGCGAAGAAGCCTCGGTGAAGGAGGCATGTCTTGAAGAGCTGTTTGTTATATTAGGGTCACTGTTGTCCAAACGAGTGGGTATCTGCTCTTGCTCTGACATTCTTGGCTCTTGTTGATACAGTTGCGATTGTTGAATATGCTGTTGCTGCAATTGTTGCAGGTGCTGCTGTTGCTGCTGTTGCATTTGCTGTTGTTGCATTTGTTGTTGTTGCTGCTGCAGCTGTTGCTGACGCTGCATGATGAGCTGCTGTTGATAGAACTCTTCGGCTCGTCTCTTTTCTTGAAGATTATTGAAGCTGATCTTAACATTGGGCAAAAGAGCTCGAAGATCGTCACGTGATTGTTGATGATGTTCATCAGTACCATTCATATTCAGTCCATTAAACTCATTTCTAAGTTCTTCCACATGCTGCTGCTGTTGCAATTGTGGAGGTGGACCAAAGGGCGATTGCAAATTCATCATTTCAGGTGGAGGTGGAGGAGCATGTCGCATCATAGGATGAGGCGGTGGAGGGAACATACCCATAGGAGGTGGAGGTGGGGCTTGATGAGGCATAAATCCATTGGGACCACGGTTAAAATCAGGAGAAAATCCAAAGCGAGGAACTGGAGGATGACCAAACCCACCACTTGCAAACAAACCACTTGCTTCTAGCATACGTTGAGAGTGCTGTAAACGACGAGCAGCAATAAGAGAAGGGTCTTGACCGTTGAATGGATCGAAACTACGGTTCATCCATTCAGGGGGTGGAGGAGGAGGTCCGCTGAGACCAGGTGGTGCCATACGACGGTTCTCCGGTTGCATAGGCATGCCCAGGTCAAATCTGTTCATACCAGGATGAGGCTGTTGAGGTTGAGGTGGCTGCATTTGTTGTTGCTGAGGCTGTTGCAGTACATTACGCGAGGGTTGCTCGGGCGAATCCACCATAATCTCTTGCTGAACTAGAGCAGATAGCCTGTCCATAGCTGCCAAAGGTGATGAGATATTTTGAACCAATTTTTGTTCCTCCATTTCAGGCCGAGACACATCAGTATCTGCATCTTTGAGCTCTTGTTGAGTTTCGTCAGATTGAACCTTCTCAGATGATTCGTCGGCGGCAGCAGCAGCAGCATCATCAAATGCTTTAATAATCGTGTCATTTAATGAGGCCAAGTTCTCCATTTTTTCGTCATTTTCTTCTAAAGGCGCTTCATCTTGAGTCTCAGTATGAGCCTGATCTTGAGAAGTCTCCTCTTCCTTGCTAGTAACTACATCATCCTCGTCAGCAGTTTGAGGCGGGGTTGCTTCCAATTCCATGGGAATATCCTCTTCCTGTAATTGCGATTGTTCTTCACCTGATGGAGCAGTGTTTTGTCCCTTGATCTCCAGCATTTCAGGCATAGCTTCATCCAAAGCAGGTGTCTCGACGATACTTTCAGATGGGACTTGCTGCAATTCTTTTTCTTTATCACCGGTGGAAGAACCTTGTCCATGAACTTTTGTCTCTTCCAAAGGCAACTTACGTTGAGCAGTAGGCTCTTGAGTTTCTTCGGTGTCGCCAGGAGTAACAGATTCTTGTTTGGCAGTCGATGGAGATTTGGGCACAACAGGCACAATGGCTGGGGCAGGAGATTGAGCGGCAGCATGGGAAGCGATGGGAGCGGCCTCCGGTTTAGGAACCACCTTGGGCCTGCTCGCAGCCATTTTGGCCTCTCTCTCAGCCTCTTCAAATTCCTCCAGACGCACCATCTTACCTTTGCTCTTCTTTTCCTTCTTGACCTTGAGCGAGGGAGAATGCTTGGGTTTTTGAGGTGCATTCAAAGCATCAGACAAAGAAGGACCGAAATTGGCGGGTGTGATAACACTCTCATGGTTTACGACGGGCTGGGCCTTGGCCCAAGAAGCAGTAGCAGGAAGTGCAGGCTTTTCATCCTCCTCAGGTACCAAAGGTATCGTCAGTTTCTTGGTATGCTTCTCAGAAGCCGCTGGTTTTTTGTGAACCTTGGGAGTCGCATTTACCTTGGCTGCAGCAGATGTAGATGACGATGAGCTGGCAGCTGGTTTAGAGTGCTTGGTGGATGAAGAAGATTTGATCTCTTGAAATGGGGGAGAGGGGGGAGGGGGTGCGATAGGTTCTTCTTTTGGAATGACAACAGGAGGAATAGGAACAACCTTGGGTATGGGAGCCCATGTACGAGGTACAGTAGCAGGCTTTGCTTCCGGAGTAGCGGCAGGAGCTACGGTGGCTGTGGCTGTCGTAGGTTTGGTTGCTGTAGCAGGTCGCTTGTTGGGATATGCAGATGTTGTAGTAGAGGTAGAGGCTGTATTGGCGTGTTTACTGTCAATCACAAGTGAGTTATTATCTGTCCCTGACGTACAGAAAGCCCATAGTAAACTTACCCAATTGCGACCGTGTCCTTGCTATAACTATCCACATCATCCCCGGGTTCGTGAAGGTACATGCAATTAGGATTGGGACACACCATATGTCTCAAATAGTAGGTGCAGTACTTTGTAGTGCCGTACGAAGCTCTATGGGAAACTATGTCAGTCATCGACTAGATTTGACGCATTGCATTCATGTCACTTCACTGTACCTTACGGTTTTACCATCCACCTCCATACCATTGATACCTTCAATTGCTTTTCCAGCATCCTCCTTTCGAGCAAACGTGACATAGATTCCCACAGATGAGCTAGAACCAGTTGAAGGGGCAGAACGCTTGCTTATTACCACTTTTTCAATGCGACCATACTTTTTGAAAAACTCGTTCTATTTGTGAGAGAGGAGGGGGGGAGGGGGCGTTAATACGAAAATTAGACTAAAATGAGCTGTTCATGCTATTACCTCAACACTAGCGTGTTTTGAACTTAGACCAAGCACGTAAACAAGATTCTTCTGCACAACTCTGACATTGGACAACTGGCGTCTGCTAGGGTCTCGCATATCTCGTGTTTGACGGTCCTTTTCCTTCTTTTCCTTCTTCAAACGCATGATTTCCTCTGCGCTCACGGGAACGAACTCGACAATTTGATCGCTGTACAGTCTTCGACAAGCTGGACAACGCCCATTCAAGTTGGTTTTGATGTGATGCCAACAGAAGCGGCAGATCTAAAAAGAGCGTTAGGCAAAGCAAAAGAAATCAAGAGCCAAAAACAAACCTGATAGCCGCAAGGACAAGGTCTGAAATTACGGTCAGCAATATCCAATTCCTCCATACACAAAGGGCAATCGGAATCCTCCTCGTCAGAAGACATGTTGTTGTTGTTTTAGTGGTTGCTAATGTATTTAGTTGTTGAAGTAGTTGTTGTAGTAGATGTTGATGTTTTCCAAAATAAGAGTGTCTTTTTTTTTTACGTCTTTTCGTGGTAAACAGTAATACAGAAAGAGAGAAAGGGCAACAAGATACGAAATAAAGGGCAGTCAGTAAGCAAACACGACCACTCTTTTCTTCTATATTGTTTTTCTGATCAAGATTGATTATCTCCTTTTATTCAATGAAAAAAGAAGGGTGCTTTTTACCGAGAAAAACTGTAAAATGTTGGAAAAGAAAAACAAATTTTCTTAATTTCTATGCTTTCTGATTTATAAAGGCCTGGCAAGTCATCACGTGAGATCTCTGGTAGCCACGTATGCTAAAAATCAACTCCTGGTTGTTATACAAGACTAAATGACAGTTATGGTCCATCCATTGATGAAGAATTTGTACATTGAATGCAAGGCAGCAATATCAAGTCTTTATTGTATCCACAAGGAAAAACTCGGCATGTCAGATGGACAGCAACGTTAGGCAATGCAAACAAAAAAAGCTACAATCCATCAAAGCTGAAGCTTACTTCAGGTCGAGTTATCTTCTTGTTTTATCTAATGATATACTGTATTGATTTGCTTTCCTCGTAAACACTGGTAGCGACTCTGACTTTGGTCATTAATTGGGCTGCTGTAGAAAGCTTCTAGTAGTGGTAATGTTAAGTAGTAGTGGCATATACACTATCTAGAGATTGTATAATAACATTTGAGAACTGGAACATGTGTGACATTGCCACAGCAAATCTAGATCATTGAGACCAGGATAACAACATCGCAAATCTTGTTCTCAATGTACGAATACTTTTAGCGTATGTGCAATGTGATAGCCTATTATTGGTATAGGCGAGGGCTACGTGAAATAGGAAAACTAAAAGAAAGCGATATAATAATGGCAAGTGGTGTATGTCAATTTGAAATGGATATCGCATTGAGCAAATGATGGATGGTGATAATATAAATAAAATGAGAACTAGTCGAGGCAGCAAATTCGGCAGTGTTACCATATATAAATAATTATTCACTTGAACGGATTAGAAACTGCACAATAAAATTAGCAGCTACCAAACCACATGTTTCGGTTTGATTAAACTCGACCCTGTGCACGATACTATCATTCTTTTTCGGGTACGAGGAGCAGTGTTGCTGTCAGCAGCAGCCAAAAAATGGTTTAATCTCCGCAGGGCTTCTGCTCAAGATTGGACAAATTCTGTTCAAAAACGACTTGTTCGATCTATTTTACGTAATTCGACTATGTGAAATGTGATGATCATCCAACGCTTCCTTAAGCTTCCTTGAAGTATTTTTCAAGACGCATCCAATGGTGCTAGTTGTAATATATGTTATGACTAAGCTCAATGAGCAATAGGTAAAAATATAAAATGAGGTTTTCTGCCAAAATGTCGAGATTTTACATGTAGAGGTCTCACAAACAAAGTTTCAGAAGCTGCGTTGGGTCGAGAGAAACATTTTGAGTTAGTATATACCATAGCAAAAATTTTCATTTTCAAGGTGAAAAACGCGATCGTTTGATTTTCGATGAAAACCATGAGGGGTCCCTCATGCTTTTCGGTCGATTTTTGGCCATGTTTTTTTGATCCCCAAAAAGTTGAGCAAAGGTGTCAGGATGTAACTGCCAGATGAGAGCAACTGTTTGGTGCTATTCTGACCATCTAAAACGGCCTTGAACGCAAGAAAACGCAGCTCAAATGCATCCAGATATCACTGTAGTTTGAAAAGTTTTTAGTACTTAGAGGTAGTTCAGGTATATTATATGGTCGTATATAAATTGTTTCTTTTGCTACCGATGTTGTGCATCCTACAAAAGTCGGATCCCTACTTACAGAAAATATTTAGGTGATAGTGGTGGTAAAAAAAAAAAGGGGGGAGAAAAAGTTGCCTCGTGTTTAGTAGATCATAGCTTCTGTACCTTTTCTTTTGCATTTATATCATACTTTCAGCTTTGATCTCACATCTGATCTTGCGACAATCGACTACAAAAGCGATTGTTGCTATTCCCTCAATAGAGATGACGTTCTCTACTCATTTTATGTTGACTGCGAGATGTTACAAGCGTACATAGCGACATTCAGTATGAACCAGTATCAAGTGGCAGCAATCCAGCATGGCGGTTATCAATTTGAGTCAACAGCAGGCAAGCTTGCAACAGCGTTTCTGAATCGACCTGCCAAGGGCTTCATACATAACTTGGTCCAAAAGCACACTTATTTCAAGCACATTTGATCCGTCAAATAGCAAAAACAGAGAGCTGCTTAAAAATGACTAAATAGAAAAAGGTCATACATTTCAGATCGGCATATTTTCTTTTACATGTTCGATCCAATGTCTGGAGGCGCTCTGTACATACCCAAGATTTTATTTCTACCATGTTCGAGGTTATTACAGATGCTGCATGCAAAACTTCACTGGCAGCATACCAGTTCATGCACAGATCAGAGTGATGGATCGCAAAGGTCACAACCAAGGTCACATACTTTTGTTGAAAAAAAATGTTCAAAAGATTTGCTCGACACTGTCAATCAAGCTCATCAACTTTTACAACATATATACAACATGCCTAACGCAAGAAAGAAGAAAGCCGCCAAAATGGAGGACTTCAAGGTGGGTAAATGAAAGCATCGATCAAGAAAACCCTACTCACATTGACCTTCATCCTTAGAAAAAGAAGCTCAAAGTAGGCAAGCAAAAGTCTGTGCCCGACAACTTTACAGACACCTCCTTCAAATCAAAAAGTAAATCAGTAGAATAGCATACGTTGTATCAAAGCATGAACTAAACTCCCATTACCACCAGGCATTTCTCTTCCAAACCAGAGTATCAATGAGGACAAATCACATGAAATCACTACCAGCAGAAATCTGACATTGGCTGATCTGGTTGTTCAATTAAAGCATTACAATGCTGGTGTAAAGAAAGGTTTGTCTATAAGCAACAATAACTTAAAGGCATCAATTAACTAATATATGTATTGAAAGAGGCATTGTCGGGTTTGACAGACATTTGCCACAGCCATCCTGCTCTTTTAGTGTCTTCTTTGGGTCTTGTTGTGAATGGTGTTCTCAAGCTATTCGTAGACGACGATAGAGATGTCAGAAAGGCAACACTGAATTATCTCAAGAGTACATTTGTGGATATTGATCAAGTCGAATTACAGCCCTTTATGCCGCTTTTGATTATCTATACCTGTTCAGCCATGACCCACATCTTTGAAGATGTCAGATTAGATGCTGTCAAGCTGATGGATTTATGGATACACATTGCACCCGATGTCATTGTTTCAAAATTCTGGAATCGAGTTACCGGCAACTACATGAGTCTTTTGACTGTGGACTCAAACAGTATCAGCAATAGTACAAACGCAACCACAAGTACAGGAGCCACAACAACAGCCAGTGTCAAGGCAGCAGTGACCAAATCTCACTTACACATCCACAAGAATAAATTGGGCCTGTTCACCAGTTTATCGAAATTTTTAGAGGCAGGCCTTTCAGAACACGATAGAGATGATTATTGGTTCTTGTTGAACTATTTGGACAACAAACATGCTAGAGATGCTTTCAAGATCAAGATGGCACAATATCACACTGTAGACACATCAAAAGTAGCTGTTTGGGACAGCAAGCACAAAAACCAGCTCACACCAGCTCATGCTATGGTTGCATCAGTGGCACCCTATTTGTCTGAAGGCGCCAAATTGGCTACATTCTCTCAACTGCATTTGTTTGAGTCATCAGGGCCCAAGAATCACAGCGGTGGCGCTGCAACTGCAAGCAGTGGTGGTCAAACTGCCACTTCAGAAATCAACAACAATGAGTTTAGTGCAGAAGAAAGATTAAGCAACATCAAGGTAGGTACCGTTGGAATTCGATTGGACAGTGTACTCAAATGTTGATGTAGCAATTGATCGAGACATTCCAGCCCATCTTGGTAGCATCTTGGTTAGAAGCAGCTCCCTCTGTTTTCATTTCTATCAGCACCATCTCCATGACACCTGCACTCGAACTGCTGCATGAAATCCTCAAGCTCTCTTTGGTCTTATGGCGTGCTATGGTGGGATCCGAGATCATTAGCACACTTCCTAGAGATTGGTTGAATACACACTTGCAATCTCTATTGAAGCATTTCACAGTCTACTTCCCCTACGGTGCTGATTCATTCGGAAACCGTGGATCCAAAGTCGATGACATGTTGCAAGAGATGAACATTATGCTCTGTGAATTAACTTCATTGTATTTGTTGGCAAGAACCATGCAGACAAATAACGTGTCTCAACTCAAGTTATCAGAGCGTCAGCTGAAGCGTAGAAAGTTAGCTATGGAAGAGGAGCAGGACGATCAATTGCCTGACTGGGCAGAGACAGTGGTAGGCCATGTTTTGGGTGCTTTGGGCTTGGATGCTGAGGGAAACTCTGTAAGCACAAATTCGAGCTTCAGAACTGAAAATTTGGTGTCCTTATTACCAGCTATCTGGGGCTTTTTAAATTGCTTGAATTATGAAGAGAGCATCACCATGTTCAAGGCTGCATTGAGTTATTATCATGCTTGTCAGCCAAATTCATCGTCCAAAAGAGTGATGCTGGACTTTATTACCCGTGCTTATATGGTAACTACTATTCAACAGTATTATTCAACAGGCCACTAACTCTCGCTTAAACAGATTCAATCAACACCAAGTTACAATGGTCGTTTTGTTATTACAAAGCACTCAGAACTAGCTAACATGCTGCAAGAATGGTTCCTGAGTCTGCCCAAGGTATTATGGCAACTACGATCTAATTACATTGAAACCAGCAGATCCATTTTGAACATCATGTGCGATGTAGCCAAGCGAAGTGACAAGGATGTATTCGACATGTCGACATTATTAGAGGTTGAAACAAAGCTTGTACCCTTCTTCTTTGTGAATATTGCTAAAGGCCCTCTTTTTGGCCCTTTCAGTGAATTACCTGCCGATGTGCAACAGCGTGCATTGGACTATGTACAATATATTGATAGTAAATCAGAGAAAATGGCTCATGCCATTCAACAATGTAGAGAAAAACAAACTAGCATTGGATTATACGTTGAATAAACCTTTTATTTTATTGCTTATCGAGTTCTTCTTGTGTCTTGGTTTTGAGTGTCAAGGCGTGCAATCCCTGGTTTTGAAGTTCGTCATTCAGCAAGCCATAGATCAAGCGATGACGCTGCATCAAAGACTACAGTAAATGTTAATACCTAAAGTATCGCGTTCAGGCTGTTGAGTCCTACCTTTCCCTTGAACTCTTCAGAAACCACTGTGACCCTATTCAAGTTTACAATTCATGAGTTGAGGGATGGGATGGCTTGATTTGTGCTTACTTGAAATGGGTCTCCTTGTTGGTATTTCCCTTCATTGCGGCATGATGTGCATGCAAATGCGATTCATTGACTGCCTCGAGGATTGTAGGGTTTAAAGCCTCAGTAATCTGTAATCCCTGTTAGAATATACAACACACAGGGCAAATGCACAGCTGCTTACCTTGTTCTCAATTGAAATTTGAATGGGTCCCTTTTCTTTGGATGTCATGAATTCGTTTAAAAAGTGGGTCGATTTGGTAGAATGAGAACGGGTAAGAGTGCGAGAAAAAGCTGGTTGTAAAGTATAAACTTTAGACAGCAAGGACATAATGTAAGAGTATAAACAAAAAGGGTATGAAAACAATTGGCCCGGCTCCAATTTTAAGAGAGGGGGCTCTAAAAATCGGCAGACACCACACCATCCATCAGATGTCAAACTCATTGAAGCTTTTACGATAGCAATCAGTACGAAATGTCTGAATTACGATTTATTGATTGCAATTTCCATAAGGTGCGTTTCAAGATTTATTTTACAATTCTTCATCACTCTTATATCCATCCACATAATCTGTCTTTGCATCGTACACCGGTAAACTGGCGGAAGTGTTAGTTTTGATCTGAAATGACCTGATATTGTCCTCTCCTCCAGGTATCGCTGCAATAATCTTTTCGTATGCAGACATGAAATTCTCAAATGCGATGGTAGCATCTTGAGCTGTGGTGGCGATACGGATAGCATGACTATTGCCAGTATGGAAATTCATGTACGTTGATTTCGCTGTGCGCAAGATTTCTTTCTGCAAATCTGGTTTGAACAGTTCAATCGGGATAGGCTCTCTAAGCATAATCGTCAGATCCCACGTCAAGCAAACATTCAGCGTCTAATTACCTTCTCTTTTTATACACATCTTTGCCAAGAATCTTGTATAAATCTGTGATAATCGACTTCTCGGCCATGAGCATGTCGAAATCTTGTATTAATTGTTGCTTTGAATCTGGTGTGGGATACTTTTTCTTTAAATGCTTTAAATCAAGCACTTTGTGAACACCTCGAATCTTCTTCTCCTTGATTAAATCCTTGTACTTTTGTTGGTCTTTCTTGGTGATTAGGCAGCGGTGCACGCCGGGTATTTGACAGCCATGTTTGAGGACACTAATCATTCGTCAGTTACTGGCAATCGTACAATGCAGTCAATGCTTACATTCTTGTGGGTCTGCCTTTTGTCAGTGTCATTTTGTTGAATGTGTTCACCATTAACCAAATGGCCTCCTCTTGGTCGGCGTTTTCAGCCTCATGTTTGTACAAAGCTTTAAATGCTTTTTTGGCCTAATATAAATGGTTCAGTAGGTATTTACCTCGAGTACATGTGGGCAATTTACCTTGGCTTGATCTATCTGTACTGGCATAATAATGTGGTTTGTCAGGAAGAAGATTGAAAAAAATTAAACAATCTAAGCCTCCAATCAAGCGATGATGGCCATGAACTGGAAGCTTGGAAGAGGCGATGTGACGTTTTAATCATCCATTCAAAGAGGTGCTATTCATGAAAGAAAGGTTTTTTTGCACTCTTTTTATCATACATCACTCATCATGGCCACTGATAACATTTTATTCCAAGATATTTTCGACATTAAGGATCTTGATCCCCAAGGAAAGCGATTTGACAGAGGTAATTTGAGACGAATTGTCACAGCTGAACAAGTGATTTACATGTCGAAATAGTCTCTCGTCTCATCGGTCGTTCAGAGAATTACGAAATGGATTTAACCTTGGATTTCAATGCAGAAATTTACCCTATGCGAGTTGGAGAAAAGTTCTCTCTTGTGTTGGCTTCCTCTCTTTCACTCGAGGCAAGCGCAAGTGCAGGTGGTGTCGAAAAGAAGGAGAGCTGGCGTGAGCGTGCTCCTGGAGAGCGTGATTTGAGCGACGAATACGAATATGTCATGTTCGGTAAAGTTTACAGATACGAGGATTCCAACAAGGGTGCAGCAGCAGGCCAACAAGTGTAAGTTTGCATGACGAGAGAGTGAGGGGGGGGGGGGGATTGCTTGCAGAGACTGATTATTTGACATTGGATGTACATTAGATCTGTGTATGTCTCTTACGGTGGTCTTTTGATGTGTTTGGAGGGTGATTATAGACATCTGCAAAACTTAACTGTCGGCGAAAACATTTACTTGTTGATAAGAAAATAGAGGAAACCTTGTTTGTATACATTTATATATGCTGAATGTGTATCAAAGCAATAAAAAGAAGATGATGTACATAAAATAGCATACAGTGTTGCAGTCACTTTGCATTTACCACCTTTTCCTTTGATTTTTCCCTATTCTTATTCTCTTTAACCCATTTTTTTTTGTTTTACATTAAATGGTAGGTTTTGCTGAAATGAGTAGCAGGAAGACCACTCAACATGTTTATTGGGCTAGAATTTCCTTTTCGGTAAGAAGAAGACGCCAGCAGAAGTACTTCGTCAACATCAAAGAAGTCTACAGAAAGCTCAGCGAGAACTTGATAGAGAAAGAGAACGCATGGAGAGGCAGGAAAAGAAGCTGATCCTTGATATCAAAAAGTCTGCAAAGGAGAATCAAATGGTAGGTTTATATGCCTTGGTGTGTCAGGAACAAGAGATTGATCCGTCCCAAAGAGTGCATGTAAGGTGATGGCAAAGGATCTGGTGCGTACCAGAAGACACATTCAAAAGTTTTACTCCATGAAGACTCAGTTACAAGCAGTGAGTTTGCGTATCCAGGTAAGATGTGTTGGCAATCCTATCAGTGCGGGTAGAGTGTAACTGTGGATACGTAGACAATGAGCTCTAGCCATCAAATGGCCACAGCCATGCGTGGAGCAACGAAAGCCATGGGATCAATGAATCGACAGATGAATTTACCGCAAATCCAGAGGATCATGATGGAATTTGAAAAAGAGAGTGAATTGATGGACATGAAGGACGAAATGATGGGAGATGCCATTGACGACGCTATGGAAGAAGAAGACGATGAAGAAGAAAGTGAGGAAATCGTAAATAAGGTGCTTGATGATATTGGCATTAGTTTCAACCAAGAGGTAAGTGCAAACATGATTGGATGCCAGGAACACAGCTGACCTATGTGTAAACATAGTTGGATCAAGTACCCATAGGGTTCAACCAGCCTGTTGCATCAACAGCAAATGAAAAGATTGCAGAAACCAGCTCTGGTGATGCTGCGTTACAGGCACGATTAGATAATTTGAGAAGAGAATGAGCAATCGTTGTTTTATTCAAGATCTATATTCAGATGCCCAGATTGCTTGGTCATAATCCTCAATTAAATCCTTTTCTTTGCTATATTTATCGTGCCATCCTTCAAATCCGAATCTTAGGATCTTGACTTTTTGCTCTGTTTCTGTTCCCAAGTTGTTTAATGTTTCTGCATAGATTCGGGCTGATTTGGGGCCTGTTGCTTGGTGTAAATAAAATCTGCATTTGTGTGTGTGTGTGTGTGTGTGCATATTATTTACCTCTCACTTGTGAAAGGGCGCAATGAAAGTATATTTTAGGCACTTGGGAATACTTTCTGATGAGATCGTTGGCTTTATCGTACATTTCGCTTGCAGGAATATTGATGGATCCAGGGATATGGCCACCCTATTTATATAAATTCATGAGATTTCAATTTTGATTTTGGCGTTTGTCTATTTCTCACTTTATAATCTTCCCCACGGACATCTACAATAACGTAATCTTTACCAGGTTGTTTGGATGGATCACGAACGAGATCCATGACTTCTTCTGCCTCTGCATAAACAGGTGTATTTACCATTTGATAATTGAAATTTGAAAATGAAAGAAAAATAAGCAAATAAAAACACTATGGCCAAGCTGTAATGAATTGGGGCAGTAGTAGCTACCAAATCCTGTTTATTCAATTTCAGCAGAATTGAAGAAAAAAAAATATCAATCTCGATTAGCATGCGTACTCGATCAGGGTAAATGAAACAAAACCACAAAGAAATAATAGTGATTCTTTCATAACAATAGCATGACAGTATGATTAATTTAAGGTCTACATTGAAAATGTCAAACAAATTTTTTATAAGATGGCAATTTTGCATTTCGCATGTAGATATCCAACTTGCAAAGATAAAGCCAATGCATCATGTATAGGCTATATTCGAGAGAAACAATAAACGAGCTCGTCTAGGCTACGCAAATGTCGACTCTCAATCCCTTTCTTAATAGCATCATAAACGTTAATCGCCTTCATAATGAGAAGAGCATTGACTCTTCCTGCCGCCGGCGCATTTTAAGTAACGCTTGTTTTTGTGCTCAAGATTGGTCGATTTTTGTTCAAAAACGACGCAATTGATCTCTTTCACGAAATTCGACTATGTAAAAAGTGTTGACCACCCCATACTTTTTAATATGTATTGGAAGTACTTTTCAAAGCGCATCCACTGCTGCCAATGATAAAGAATACTTTGACTGGACTTGTTGAGCAATGTGCCAAAATATGAAATGAGGTTTTCGGCGGAAAAGTGGAGATTCTACATATAAAGATCTTACAAACAAAGTTTCAGGGGTTGTTTTTGGATCAGGAGAAACATTTTGAATTAATATATACTACCATAGTAAAAGTCTTCATTTTCAGGGTAAACAATGCGATCGCTTGATTTTCGATGACAACCATGAGGGGTATCTCATGCTATTTTGGTCAATTTTTTTGCCATGTTTTTCAGGTCCTAAAAAATTAGGGCAAACGTATCAGCGAGTTAGTCGTAGGCCAGAGAGATAGTTTGGCGCTATTCTGGCTGTCTAAAACGGCTTTTACCACGATAAAACACGGCTACAATGCACCAAATTTAACCGTGTTTACCATGTTTATGAGTAATAAGAGGTAATGGAGGTATTCTATTTATTCAAGTACGAGTTGTTTCCATTGACGCAGATACAGGGCGCTCGAAAAGAGTCAAATTTGCAGTTACAAGTAATCTATGAATGTTTACCATCTGATAGCGCAAAGTTTTAAAGTGAAATGCCAGTAGAAATTAGTAGGTATTTGACCCTTGATTCTGCATCTTTAATAAAATTTAATACGGTGTATGGACGGATGAATGAGATGAAAATGTAGATGAAATGGTAGAGGACATGCCTGCAGGAGGGCTTTCAGAACGTGAGCATCTTCTCTCAACGACCACGGGGTGAATTTGATGCACAGATGTATCGCTAGGAACAACATTAATGACCTGTGTATGCTGATCATTAGGTATAGACAATAGATTATCAATTTTTTGAGTTTTGGTGGGTGGTTTTTGCACATCGCTATTCATCATCGAGCCGACTGAGTTAGCAGACAACGATCTTGAATGTCGCTTGAACTTGGCCACTGCTTGCATCTACATTTAAATGAGTCAATACGAGCCTTGGCATGTAACGGTGCATCCACTTACGACTGTGAATATATGTCGCACACTGGTGATAGCGCCCCGGATATCTTCTTCTGTGATTTCTGATAAAATCGAATGACAATTGTCCTCTTCAGATACCATGGGCTCTTGCCCATTATTCGTGACCCAAGCATGATTCTATATTTTCGTATCAAAATGAGCTTGCTAACCTTTTTATACAATTGAAAATACCACATACCCGAATATCTTGCATGAGGATTCTTTTGGAAGGATCTTTTTCCATCAGTTTCTGTAACAGATCAACCAGATCTTTGCTTAAATTCTTGCTATACTGAATCCTGCTTGAATGCTGTGTTACCCAAACTGCATGAATAGCTATAAAATTTCAACTTACGGATCATTTAGAATCATTTCATGCAATCCTAATAAGCTTTCATTTGAAAATGGAACTCGACCATGCACTAGACAGTAAAGCGTTACACCCATTGACCAGATATCCGCTGCTTTGCCAGAGACGGGCCCTCCTCTTTCTGCTGTACACAGCTCTGGTGGCATGAATGCCGGGCTGCCTGCGGTTGATTTCAAAGCATCATCTCCCTTAACAAACATTTCCGACACACCAAAGTCGACTATTTTAAGTATACTGTTATCAGACAGCAATAAATTATCAGGCTTGATATCTAAATCAACACATTTCAGTTCTAGACTCCAGCATGTGCTTGTGTAGCATGAATATAGGTACCTCTGTGCACAATGTCATTGCAGTGAACTATTGTTTTAAATAAGTGATCTGATACTCTTAGTAACATGCAATACTTACGGTATTCAATGCCTAGAATTATTTGCCTAAAGTGATATCTCGAGGTAGATTCTGTGTATGGTGTCGCTACCTGATGCAAGTCAATCTGCATGATAACACCCTTATGGGCCATCTCTAGAACTATATATCCTGCTGTCAGCACACTGCATGTAGTGTGCCATCTGTGTATACCTACCCATATAGAGTGAATCGCCGTCTGGGTCATCCAGCACCTCATACAATTTGATTACGTTGCGATGATTCAACTTTTTCAAAATAGCAACCTCAGAACGGACTAGATCCAAGGGACTATTCGACAGCCCATGATCTCTGTTTGCGGCTGCAATGCCACCTCGGCCTCGTCCTCGACCTCGTCTCATCATGGCCATTTGTTCCTTCCTTCGAAGCCGCGATTTACTAAACTCTTTGATAGCCTAGTAAAAGATCATATCAGCCCGTCGTATCACATGCAAAATAGAGACATACATACATATTCTTCGTTTGTCAGTGTATTTACACCCAAATGCACTGTACCAAATGCACCATGTCCAATCTCTTTTTTCAGCAGATAATTGTTGATTTTTCTCAAGCCATCTTTTGTTTCTGATGTCTTTGCACCCAATGTCTCGATAACAACAGAAGGTGTTCTTTCACTTGGCTTTGAATGAGTTGCCATAATTACGAAAAAAAGAGGTGAAAAAATTACAATAGGCTGCTTGCACTACCACATGGCTAACAAGATGAAATCAATGCCCGTCATTTAAATGAAATCTAACATGAAGAAGGATTCAACAAAAGAGGTAATAGTTTTTGCCGTAAAACCAACCATCGGTATCAGATTTGATTTTGTGGGTTTTGTTCGAAACGCTAGGAATTGAACTTGTTGGCTTACAGCAACATCACTCCATTTTTTGGCATTTGATTCATATTATTTAAAGGGTTTCAAACAAACGCCGCTTCCAACATCAAGATGTGGACGAGATAAAGACGTGCAGCTGGATCATGATGGCACATTGCTTGCATGTGTGGGGGAGCAATGACAAATAAAGTAAAAATGTACATGGGAACATGCAAACAGCCACTTCAGATCATATTTTTAGATTAATTTATATACAATATTTATTGTTTAGTAAAAAAAAAGAGGGGTGGTATACACAAAAAAAAAAAAGAGATGAGGCTCTCTATAATGATATGAAAATGCTAAAAAGTCTATACAGGATGATGAAAAAAAAAAATGCAATGTAGAGAAAATGATTAGAATAAAACTGAATGAAGAGATGGAAGAGACTTGTCGACATATGCATATGGATTCATCATAATGGGAGGCAAGACACGAGCTTGAGGAGGTCGGTCCAAGAGATCTAATAGATTTGCAGCAGTTACAGCGGAATCGACGGCAGCAGGAGAAACATTAGAGGCTTTGGGAGAAGGTCTTGCAAAGACAGGATCAAGTAATTTACATTCAAGAGGAGCCAACTTTTGCATATGGGGAGCATTTGATAGAATACGAGGAGACATTTGAGGAGATGTCTCTGGAGTAAAGAGGAATTCGGCATCGGAATCCGAGTGATGTTGAATGTCATTGAAGTTTGAGCTTGCAGTAGACAAAGCAGGAGAGGGAGGCATTGAGGCAGTGGGCGCAGAGGAAGCAGCAGCAGCAGCAGCAGCACGAGCACGCTTGGATGTCTTATTTTGTCGGCGTTCTCTACGCTTGTTTGGTGAAGTGTGAATGCGGACATGACGAGTCAGTTCATCAGAACGAGAGAAACGCTTTTCACAGCCAGGAAATGTACATTTGTGAGGCTTTTCGCCAGTGTGCGTTCTGATATGGCGAGTTTGATGTTCAAGACGATAGAAAGATTTAGGGCACATGGGACATTTGTACGGGCGAGGTGTATTTGCTTTGTCAACAGCTGCAATGAGACGCTTTTTATTTTGATGTACTGGCTGCTGTTGTTGTTGTTGTTGTTGTTGAATCATGGGCATTGCATTTGATAAACACAAAAGACTAGAAGCTGCTTGATATGCCATTTTATTGTATGAAGAAAAGATAAATCAAAAAAGGGGGGATAAGCAAGGAAATCCCAGTGTATTTATAAGGACTACGGGAATACAAGAATTGCCTGATTTAGGGATATAAAAAAAACTGGCCATTTGATCTCATAGATTAGAGAGAAGATGGGGGGAGTGCTCTTGGTTTTCTTAAGGTTTTACCCTTTAGATTTCATAACACATTATATGAGACATTTTGAAATATATAAAAAACCCAAAATAAGATAGGGTTGATTTACTAAATCAAGTAATCAACATTTATACAGCTGTGTAATTCTCACGTTCAGTATCGGCTGCGATATATAAAGCATTTCCATGGTAACCATTGCAGAATCATTAAATATTTGTGCGTTGTGAGAGCGTGCGTTTGTATGTGGGGTAATTAATTTCGCTTGCTTATCATTTTGTATTTCGTATGATAAGCATCTTCCATAACATATCACGCAATATCCTAGAAATCACCCCACCATGTATGGAACCCAAATGTTAAAACCCAATGTTCAGCTTTGTCGGCTTAGATCAGACCTGAAATCTCTCCTCCGCTGGCCTCTCTCTCTCTCTCACTCTCGCTCTTTCTGCTATTCACGCTCAAGCAGTCTGCTCCACGCAGGCGCCAAAAACAAGCCACGGGTCAGCCCGTGGAAAGGATTAGCAGGCACATCGCAGCCGAAAAAATCAATGCTTAATGATGCTCAACTGCTTCACTTTTTTTTTCGTTCTTGCCCATTCCTACAAACGCGCATACAATATGGCTACTACAACCACCACGGCCCCTACAACAGATAAATTCGAAATCTTTAGCAGAATCCAACCACACGAATACTTGAAGCGATTTTTGGATCAAAAAGTCAGACCCGATGGAAGATCATTGAATGAATTTAGAAAGACCATGATCACCTCAGGTGCTATTTCAACCGCTAATGCAAGTGCAATGGTGCGTTTGGGTGGTACTACTGTTGTATGTGGTATCAAAGCTGAAGTGTGTGAACCTAAAATTGATGTTCCTAATCAAGGCTACTTGGGTAAAATAGATCAAATTACTATATGCATAAATAATTAACAAAATGGATAGTTCCCAATGTTGAATTATCGCCACTTTGTTCACCCAAATTCAATCCTGGAGCACCATCTGAAAAAGCACAATCTACCTCAGAGTTTCTTCATCAGTTATTCGTGAAATCCCAAGTGTTTCCATTAGAGGATTTGTGTATCGAGGAGGGAAAGGCAGTGTGGGTATTATATGCTGATATGGTCTGTCTGAATTACGATGGAAATATATTGGACGCAAGCTTGTTAGCACTAACCACTGCATTAAAAGACTGTAAGTTTTGCTTTATGTGTGTTGCTCAAATGTCATCTGACGTGGGGACTAAACTCTATAACTTATAGTGAAATTACCTAAAGCGCATGTATCCCCATCCTTGGTGGTTGAAGCTGATCCCACTGAATTCACAAGCATCTCACTCTCACGATTCCCTGTTTCATCCACATTTTGCATTTTCAACAATCCAGATATTACTTTATCTGATCCCAATGACACTGAGGAATCACTGGCAAAGGAGACTGTGACAATAGTGATGGATCTGGATCTTCAACTGTGCAAGATATACAAGAACGGCGGCACCACCATCACAGCAGAAGGGTTAAAGCAATGTATCGATAATGCAAAGCAGAGAACCAATCAAGTTAGATCCTTGGTCGATGAAGCCATCTTGTAAAATAAAATAAAATCCATGTGTGCGTGTGTGTGTGGGGAATAGTATATACGCTATCATTATAGTACGACATACTGCTTGAATGTGGGGATGGTTGAGCTTATGTGAATTATTACAAGTGTGAGAGAATTGTCATATTTAGATGTCAAACCGCGGTTTGACATATATATTCAAGCAGAATACATGTAGCACAGCTATGTCAAATGAATTACTTCAGCAGCACCCCCCAATTCAATGCGTAATTTCAAAAGAACGGATTAATCTGAACCACAATCAATAAAAACATCAATAATGAGACCACTTTTTCTTGCAAAGGGTGCTTATTACGCCAGATGGCGATATCTAAATATCAGATAAATGCCAACATGAGGGGGGGGGTGGTATCGGAGTAGGTGGAATTGGCTGAAATGATTGGACCCTGTAGTATGGTGGCATCAGGGTCTTTTGGCCCCGCAATAAAACCATTCTCTTCCCACCTCCTTAAATTGCGGCAAAAGGTTTGAAAATTCACAATGATCACACGAGTTTTAGGTCCTCACCTCCCCTCCCCCGCCCCCCTCTTGCCCCCGCTCTACTGCCTGCCCATCTTTATATTACTGAAAAACGTGGCATGTTTCAATCTATAAATGAGATATTATGATCTCCCACTTTTTGATGAATAGGGTTCTATAGTAAACTTTTTTTTTTCTATAGAGAACCCCTATTATAAATCCAAGAATTTCTTCCCATCTATTCCCATTTTATTTGTTGATTTGTATCTCTGCTTTGATAGTATAAACAAGATGGAATAGGGAAAACAAAAACTAGATAAAAATGATGAACGCTAGCGGAAATTTGATCAGTAAGATAATATTTTGTATCAGATAGAATGGACCGATGCACTTGGATTGATATCATCTTGCGATAATAAGTGATACATTGACGAGTGCACCCTCACCAGTGTATCGACTAGAATTTAGAGAAATGCTATCAAACTAAAAATGAGGGACCCGGCTATAACTTTGTAGATGAAAGATCGTATGAGATACATATATAACTGAATCAGGAGATGTTTGAAACTTTTTTTTTAATCAAAATAAGGGTATTGGCAAATGAAGTACGTTTATTTAGACACAAATCAAACATTTCATGTCTCACTGGAGCCCCATACCGTAAGCATTTCCACCCAAATGTGCTGTGAAAGTCTTTTCTTGACTCATCAGATGTCATTTTTCTATCGTTCGAAGGGCATCTTTGCGAAGCTAGCGACAGAGCTAATGTAACGCCCGTAAGCTCATTCGTTTTTCTTCAGCTGAACTACTGAATGTGGTGCTATATTGATGGAGGTACGCCACAGCCATCATCCGCCACACACTCAACATTTGGTCTGGCCTCTGAGCTGTTCTTCTTTCAGGCTTGATTACAAACCACCTTAGAAAATTCACCTACTGACTCCATACTTATGGCACTTGAGCGCAATATCAGGTATATTGACTCGTATAAGACAGAATATTATACATTTACACCTATCTCTTTTTACCAATCATCATTGCCATAATCAGAAACGCATTTGAGTTAGCCCGCGGCGCCCACCACCACCAAAATCGATTCAAGCTCAGTTTATGTTTTGTCGTGTAACACCATATCAATGGTATAAAGATCCAAGCATCCACATCAATAAACGTCAGTCTTTCTTCTTCCTACATATTATAGTGGTCCCTTTATTCCTGAACAATACATGGTGAGGCTCCCTAACTGAATTCTCGAACCCGGAAACCACTAGATATATCAAAGGCTCACACTCGACTACACCAAATCACACATATCGCAAGATCACACATATCGCAAGATCACAAAACATCGCTCCAGCACACAGCTGCAATCACCTACTCGCAAACAGGCCCGAACAACAGAACCAAAAAACTACTTCACGCAGCAAGTAAAATTTATCGCATCCCTTCGAAAGGTTTACACCACAACAAACAGTACCTCGTCTATCACATCATCTTATCACACCACCCCACAGTCCGTTAACATGGCCGATTCCAACACCAAGGAGTTCATCCAATACATGAACCTTGAAAAGGTCAAGTCTATTGACATGCCACGGTATGAATTGCATTCTAGCTTACGTACCTACATCAAAGAATTTGAATTACAGGCAAATTTCGTAGGCATTGAAAACATGGATATCTGTACCGTCCAACTAGGTCGCTTCATGCCTCCCGTCATCAAAAACTGGTTACCTACCTTACCTTCCTCAGTCAGACAAAACTGGGCCAACGTAACTGAACAAATGCTGTTACAATTTGGTCGTCCTGCCGACGAGGAATATCGAGAGTTCAAGTCCAATTTGAAGCGATGTCAACAACCCAAGCAGGAGTCCATCAAACTACATAGTGCTAAATGGAAACATTTGCTAAGTCTGCTGCCGGATAATCATATCTCGGATGCTCATCAAATATCTTTATTTACTCAATCGCTACACGACAGAGGATTACGTGCTACATTAACAGCGTATGTAGAACTCGCTAAGGTCACAACGGTGCAAGAAGTTATCACGAAGGCCATCGATTTTGAACACAAGGCTAGGCTCAATGATAATACTGATGAACAAGCACACTTTTCGGGATCCCACACTCAATCCACGATGGATGACCCAATGGAAGTTGATTATGTTAATAGCTCAAACTCGTACAAAGACAAAAGTACTAAAAGACCATTCAGAAATAGCAAAAAGTCATTCAATTCCAAACCTCGTTCACGATTTCCTCCGGATCCTGTACCTCGATTATACAACAAACAAGGACATCCTGTCTGCGGTCACTGCTTCGGCGAACATCGAAATTACGAATGTCCCACACAGGCATCCTCTGTGCATCAGACAGACACTATTGAACACCCAGAGGATGACTCAGGATTAATGGAATTGGGGTCCCCGGTTCCTCTTAATCACATTCGTGCTACTTCCATGCATGCTATTCGAACCACTCAACATGACAGTTTCACTCCCACAACTAAAATCGTCATTGGAGATCACACTATTCATGCATTATGGGACACAGGTTCTGCTATCACTGCCATGGATTATGACACATGCGTTACACTGCAGTTGACAATAGACAACAATCAGATCATCAGTTACACAGACGTGAACAATCGTACAGCACAAACGATGGGTATTACTAAATTGAATCTTTTTGGTTACGAAACGAAATTTCATGGTATACGCGGTTTGGCTCGTCAGGCTATCATCGGCTGGGATTTCATGTGCAGATTTCAGGTCAATATGAATACTAAACTCAAAATGTTCACACTACAAACTGACAATCATCTTATAAACTTACATTACGAGACCACGGCTACGAGGCGTTGTAACATCCAATTAACCGATTCCCAAGATGCTCGGATACAAGATGTATTACAAGAGTTCAAAGAATTATTACGCAAAGACTCGGACAAGCCCTCAGTTACTACCAAAATGGAATTCACCATCGACACGGGAGACCATCCTCCCATTTACATTCGACCAAGACATTACCATCCTGACATACAATCGAAGATCGACGCCAAGCTCTCTGAACTGGAACGCAATGGAATTGTCAGCAAAGTCAACTTCACGGATTGGGGCTTCCCAGTAACAGCGGTCCCTAAGCCAAACGGCTCTCTTCGCATATGCGGAAACTACGTCAAACTAAATGCGATCACAAAGACTATCAAGTATCCGTTTATCAACCTCCATCATGCACTGCAGTCTCTGGGCAACGCAAAATATTTTTCAAAAATAGATCTCCTGTCAGGCTATTTTCAAATTCCCATTGCTGCTGCTGACAAGCCCAAGAGTGCCCTGGTAACACCTAACTCTACATATGTTTTTAACACGATGGCCATGGGGATGAAAAATGCCCCAGCACACTTTCAATTATTAATGGATCAGGTACTCGGGGACATGAGATACAGAACTGCTATCGCTTATCAAGACGACACCATACTGTTCTCTGATACCTTTGACAATCATGTGCTCCAGTTACGCAAACTCCTAACGAGACTGAGGGAAGCCAATTTGACCATCAACATTGAAAAGTGCCAATTTGGGCTAAATCAAATCAATTTCTTAGGTTTCATTGTCTCTGATCAGGGTGTCCATGCTGACATGGATAAAGTTACACCTATCACTAATCTACGGGCTCCCACAAATATAAAAGAGGTTGAAAGGTTACTCGGCATGGCAGGAGTGTATTCCAAGTTTATATCCAAGTATCAAGTAATGGTGGAACCAATTCGACGCTTGAAGATCAAAGATGTACCATTCGCTTGGGAATCCGAACAGGAGCACGCGTTTCAAGAACTCAAAAGGTCTCTCGCTGCATTACCTTACTTGAAACAACCCAATTTCAAACTTCCATTCGAGCTTCATTGCGATGCTGCCACCTCAGCAGGCATTGCTGTCATACTCTGCCAACGGTACGATGACACACCTTACCCTCTCTCCTTCGCATCCCGCAGTGTCACCAAGTTTGAAAAAAACTACTCCATCCGTGAATTGGAAGCTTTAGCCATCATCTTTGGGGTTAAGAAATTTAGAATGTATCTTGAATGCAACCAATTTACCGTATTCACTGACCATTCATCCCTCCAGTGGCTTCTTAATACCGATGCGGACAAACAACCCAGACTTTGGCGATGGTGCCTCTTTCTACAGGCTTATGATTTCAAGGTTATATACATACCTGGAAAGGTGAACCATGCTGCGGATACACTATCTCGTGCTGCGATTCATGCAATTGTCTCTCATCATCCGGACATCGATTGGGCCAAGGAACAAAGACTGGATCCCATGTTACGACCATACTTTAACAACACGAATGTCAAGTACTCCAAGCATAAAGTCGTCGATGGCATACTATACAAGGTAGAAAACAAACAGCACAAGACCATAGCCACAGACATGTACATAATGGTACCTAGCCATCTGGTAGCGAATCTGATCAGCAAACATCATGACTCCAAGTTTGCAGGACATGGCGGTATCGCCAAGACCAAGGCTTCCTTGGTAAAAGCGCACTTGTACTGGACCAACATGACTCATGATATCAATGCCTATATTCAGAAGTGTCAAATTTGTCAAAGAATCAAGGGACATGTTGCTACTAAGCATAATATGACCACTACCCATGGAACAGCTCCGTTCATCAAGGTCGCAATCGACTACTTTGGTCCTCTGCCAACGTCAAGCGCGGGACATCAATACGTGTTGGTGGTTATAGACACATTCACAAAATACGTAGAACTATATCCTACCAGGTCTACAGCATCTCAAGAATTGGCTTCCATCATGTACACTCAGTTTATATTGCGACATGGCGTTCCCAACGAGATCATGTGTGATAACGGAAACAGCCTTGGATCACAATTCACCCAGCAAGTAGCAAGATATGTAGACATCAACATCGTATACACACCGCCGTATCATCCATCATCCAACGGGATAGTGGAACGATTCATGAAAACACTACGAACAATGATTTTATCATACACGGATATCAACCAGATTTCTACAAGATGGAGCAGCAACTTGAGGATAATTCGATTTGTATACAACAATATGTATCACCATTCTATCAAGACGTCCCCATTTGAGTTGGTCCACGGGCGCACAGCACGCACACCATTATCAACGATAATACCAGAGAAATTACCGGATTCATACAATGAACAAGACACCCCGGAATCACACTTCGCGAAACAGTTACAAATCAAGCTTCAAGTTACATTTGAACATGTACACAAACATTTGGAGAAAATATATGATAATCAAAAACTAACACCACAATTTGAAATCAATGACAAAGTATACATTTTCAACAATCGTATTTCCACTCGCAACAATCCAAGAAAACTACAAGTAGATTGGATAGGTCCTTGCACAATACAGAAGGTCCTGTCCACCACAAGATACGATGTAATCAATGATGCCACAGGTCAAAAACACAAAAACACCCATGTGTCTTTTCTGAAACCATCTCACTGATCAACTTCTACCTATCATCAAGCTTTTTCCTATATTAGGTTTTTTAACGCGATTTTCATTCATACATTTATATCATAGTCCTTATTTAAATTCTATATCTTATCACAGCGGTGGGATGTCGTGTAACACCATATCAATGGTATAAAGATCCAAGCATCCACATCAATAAACGTCAGTCTTTCTTCTTCCTACATATTATAGTGGTCCCTTTATTCCTGAACAATACAGTTTTCTGCTCAAGATTTGCCAAAGCTTGTCTTTTGCCGACTTCTTTAATCTATTTTGTGAGTTTCGACTATATAAGTTGTGATGATCAGCCGGTACTGCCTAATACATTCTTGGAGTACTCTTCAAGACGCTTCAGATGGTACTAATTGTAATAGGTGTTTTGACTGAATTTATTGAGCAAATTGATAAAATATGAAACGCGGTTCTTAGCGAAAATAACCATATTTTGCATATGAAAACCTCATAAAAGTGGTTTCAGAGGTTGCTTTTGATCGAGAGAAATATTTTGATTCAACATATACCATAGTAAAAATCGTCATTTTCAAGGTGAAAAACGCGATCGTTTGATTTTCGATGAAAACCATGAGGTACCCCTCATGCTTTTTGGTTGATTTTTGGCCATATTTTTTTTGGCCCAAAAAGTTGAGCAAAGGTGTCAGGCTGTTGCTACTATTCAAGTGCAATTATTTGGTATTATTCCGGTGGCTCAGAAAGGTCTACATGGCAAGATAGGAAGGCTTGAAAACTGTCAAATTTAGTTATGTATTGCTTTATAGAGTTTAATTTACACAGCTTAAATCACATCTTTAGTAGCTGCAATTTACTGGAAAGGCAGTTCTGTAGCTCGAGCAATTTTTAATTCAAATAGGAGGCATATTGATTTTGGTAAAGTTGATTCATGCAAATTTTGATGCGATATGTTGCTGGTAAGCTTATTAGCAATGGAAATGAAAACCCGAATTTGCTGCTTGAATACTATGGTTCTGCACCCTCGCTTCACTACGGTAAAACCCTCATTGAGATGATTAGTATCAAACGTTGGGTTAGATGCTTAGTTGTCATGGTTTTGCACATTCGCCTTGCTATGATAAAACCCTCTTATAGGTCAATGTTACCAAATGTTGAATCAGATGCAATCTCGCTACGCTTGACGCGAATGTCGTCCTGCGGGCTGTCGCCGTAGACATTTCAAATCAGTAATAATAAAAATCTGCAATATAAGTAGATTTTAGACAATCAATTATTAATCCAGGGAATGAATAATCGAATTTACTGCTGAATGCTATGGTTTTGAACCTTCGCTTCGCTGTGATCAAGCCTTTATATAGATGAATGGCACCAACTATTGGATTAGACGCCTGATTACCACGGCTTTGCACTTTTGCTTCGCTACGGTATAACCCCCTCCCCATTGCCGGCTTTGCCGGTGGTTTTATTCACCTTGTACGGCACACAATTCTTTAAAAATTTGAAAGGATATGATTTGTTTGTCTACTTTTCTTGAATGTTTTGCAGTACATATAGTGAAGTTGATGACAGTTTCAGCATATGACTGAGCCATCTCTACGGACATAGGCTCGTCATCAACATGGTGTCATTCTGCAAGGAAATAAAAGGTACTTTATATATAGAAAATTACAATGTATTACACTACGCATCATCCTCTTCTAATCGAATACGCCCACCACCACTCCACCTTGGCACAGCCTGACCAATGCCTCTAGCATGTTGAATCCACTGGTATACATGAACGGTAGTTCTATACAACCAACGCATCATATCGCTAAGACCACACCAGGTATTCGTTTCCAAATAGATTTCTAAACTAATCAAGGTCAAGACAATAACCGTGTAGAACATGGCATTGCATCCGTACTGCTCATAAATGACGCCTCCTACCAGACTCCCTAAGCCAGCGCCAATACCAGCGTACATGGCAGCCAACACGCCTTGGGAGGTTGCTTGCAATGAGGGTGGTGCAAGTTCGTCTGCCTGAACAACACCAGCACCCCACAGAGCAGAGAAAGCAACGCCATTCAGTAAATGCAATCCAAGAGCGATGTTTGCACCGGTGGGTCCTTTGGGTATAATTGTGTAAGCGAATACACGAATAATGGTCAGCAGATGACCCAATATAATCAAGCTCTTGATACCAAACAATCGGATAAGCTGTTATTTAGATGTTAGTCTTTGGTCCATGCGACTACACTGGCTCAAAGGAGAACTTACGTCCTTGGAATAAAAGAAGAATACAAGCTCTGTGGTTGATCCTATGAGGCCGGTTAATCCCACTTGAGAGGAACTTGCACCCAAATCTTGCTTGAGGTAGATAAACAAGAAACTAACCACCATATTCAAGGCAGCACCCATCAACATCATGGTAAGAAAGAACAGGGATACGTCAGGCTTTTTGAGCAGCTGTATCAACGTTGCTGGCTCGTCTAGATGAGGTGGCCTGGCATTGCGTCTATGCGATGGTGGATTGGACAAGTTCACAGCTTCTATAATGCTGGATTCCGTTGCAAATTGGATCAATCGCTGAATCTCATTTTGTCGTATTTGTGAAGAGTCTAAATCAATGCCCACTTCATCATAGGGATCCACTTGAAGTTGCTTCATCTTGCGTCTATTGTTGCTATTGCTAGTTGTATTGGAAGATGTGGATATGGACGTCATACGATGTGGAGAAGGAGGAGGAGAAGAGCTCTTTTTGTTATTTGTAGTCGGCGTACTGTTGAGGGTGGGTGTCATGTTGCTGCTTGATCTGGTACGAATGAGATAGGGTCTATGGGGTGCATCGTCAATTCTCTCAGATTTGAACTGGGTATTACCGCACACCAGGATGAAACAGATGGCAGAGAGCGCATAGATGTAAAAGATGGCGTTCATATCGCCTGTCCAGTCAGTGATGAATCCCACCAAGGAAGATGCTACGCCAAACGAAATGGATCCAAACATGCGCTGTCTTCCGTATTGGTCCTTATTTCTGCCCAGAATCTTGAGCACGCCTCCATCCACTAATGGCAGCACAGGAACACCAAAGAAAGCAAAGCATACCGAAGTGACAGTGACGAGTGCTATCGTAAGTTTGTTTCTATCAACTTCATCTACTACAGGTTGGACCACCACTGATATACCCATGACACTTACTATAGCAATAGTAGCTAATGTATGAACAATGCACATGATGTAACTATGAGTCTTTGTTTTATCAGCAATGGCAGCCCATAACGGACAAGCAATAGCAGAGATAAAGGGAGCTAGAGCACAATGTCAATCATCCCGGTGCGATTTCAGAGGACATGTCTGTATGCTTACCGATAGCAACGAGTAGACCAATCTGATCCCCTTTGAGGCCTAGTTGAGAAGAGTAGAATAAGGCAAGATAGACTGGAGCAGAACCCTGACAAGCAAATAGAAATGTGTATAGTAGTTTAGGTGCAAGATAAGGCATGGCCCTATTTTCTCTGTGTATGTAGTATATTTATATGTCTTGGGTAATGCAAAATGATGGAAAGAAAAAAGGGTTCTTTATCTCATTCCAACATCATCATTCAAGCAAAGCAAGAGCATTTGGATGTGACCATTTGTGGCATATTAATCAACCGCCAATATAAGCTCATTTGAAAGGTGGCCAATTTGGCTGTTTGTTTTACCAGTGTCAAGACATAAACTGGTTGTAAATCCACCCAAGTCTTTCTCATACCCATCCACATCAATTTTTTTTCCTAGTTCCATATGGTTAAAGGTATGTCTATATAAAGAGGAGCTCTTGTTCAGGTTTGACATAACAGATGGTCACTCATGCTTTCGTCGCAACATAGCAAATTTGAAGATATACCCTCTTTGTTTCCTCACGCCAAAGCAGTATGATGAGTTTGCCCAGGGACTAGAGTACGCCTTTACTCAAATTGATGATTGTGCGGCAGGCATTGACATGATTTTGCTTATAGGAAACTTGAAGAGATAACACACACAGAGATCAAATACGACTTTTATGAAAGGGTAATGACAGTGCTACCTTTTTTAAATGCAGGAACTTGTTGTGTTGATCTACAGTAAACCCATCTTAGTGTTTTGATATCACATCGGATAATCAGAAACAATGTTTGGAGGCGTGAGTGTTGCTCCAAGAACCCCCGTTTCATAAAAAAAAAAACTTGTGGCTGACACATGCTTGCTGTAGTGAAACGATGATCATCCAAAGCTTACTGCCTCATTACGTAAGTAAACCATGCCAACAGCATCAATTAACACACTGACCACGCTGCCATTTCGACAACAGAATGAGCAGATTGATAAACACTACATGCATGGTACTTTTGAGGATTTGGCAATGATTCATGCATCTACTCAGGAACCACCGCATACCCCGATACCCACTCTATTACCACCACAAATCATTTTACCCGGCCAGCCATTGGATATTCAAAACGCTGATGAACATCACCACACAGACGATAACTATGGTGATAAATACAACGAGGAGAACAGCATCAAGGGAGCCGCTGATGACTCTCGATCCAACACAGATCATAGTACAGGTGCATCCATCGTTATCGAGACATTCAACATTTCACCACAGATCCGCAATATCGACGACTTTTTGATTGGACCTTTGCAGCACAACATGCAAAACGCTGTCTACTTACGATTGATCCCTAAAATGACAGATACGACATGTACCTTAAATGGACGTAGCATCAAGATTGAAGGGGCTATAGACGATGTCAAGGAGGCCTATCAAAAGTTCACTGTCATCCAAAAGACCTATGTGAGTATCATGCGCGCATTTTGATTCGAGGTGTTTTACTAAATCGGGGTGTGGGTAGATTGGGCTTTCTAAAAAGACCTTGGTATCATGTCTGCATTTTCATAGCAACAACGTCTTTCGAGTGTATTTCTGCCATTTGCCCGCCTACAAATACCACAACTATGTGCAACATCATTACGAAAAGTTTGAAAAGCCAGGCAATTATCACGTTATATTACCAGTGTTTCTCAATGACGATAGTAACGAGTTTGACCCACCAAAGGACCTGATTATGGACTACATTGAACCGCATCCCAGTAGAGATTATGATGACAGTACATACAATCAGCCTGTGCATCAGACAAACAGCAATATTAGTGCTCTGGATCGGGCAATGCGATTGGTGCAGGACGCCATGCAACAGCACATAAACAACAGCAATCCGCCATCCAGCAGCCCATCCGCTGTGGGTCCAAACGAGGATGACCGCTTCCAACCTCCTCTGTGGGGCCTGGATCGAGATTTCAATACAGCTTGCAACACCGGTAGTAGAGAGTACATTTCTAATGATTGCCTTGCACAGGCGTTCACTCCGCCACCACCCGCCGCTACTATATCCAAAACATTCATGCCGAAAGACTTTCCTCTATTCCAAACAGACTCGAGAAGATCGTCTTTTTCATCCACTTCTTCCTCACTCTCATCACCATCCAAGAAACCGAATGACCACAAACCCTCGTTGAACATTGGCAACTCACCTAAAAGACGGGTGTTGCGCATTGTTCCGCAGAAAACATCGCCCAGATCACATAGCCCTACCCCATTCCCCCTTGTATATGATCAAATCAGCACGATCAAAAACTACAATTATGGCAATATAAAAAAAACACTCGCAACTGGATTAGAGAGTGTAAGGGGTTTTAAGGGAGAACTCAAGCTATTTGCAAAGTAAGTATGTAGACAAATGGTGCTCCATAGATACTCACCCAAGGGTGCACACACACACACAGAATTGGAAAAGTATTATGGACTGTAGAATCACCTGAAGTGAATCGCAAAATCTGGCAATACGATCAAATCATTGATATTGTTATGCGAGAGCACGGCGCCATGCCCAACTTCACAAACATGTAAGTTCGACTTACTCTTATTCTTAAATCAAAGCTAAACGTATATGGACACGGACAACAGGACGACTAGTGAGGAAAGAATTATCAATATGCTTGCTTCTAAAAACATCATCAAGGAGGCTCAATGCCGCAGCAAAACCGCCATTTATGAATTTCATTGCTCTGCTAGAAACTCGCCTAGCTTGCCCTATAAGCCCATTGTGCTTTATATGAACCAAGGTGTCATTGACGTGCGCAAAGTCGTTTTAAGCGAAAAAACGGTTGCTGAGGTGGACTGGGTCTCGCTGGATAGACGTTATGATTTCCAGATGGTATTAACAGCAAAACATTTGGCGAGATGTGATGTCAAACCTTATACCACCTTCAACAAGTGGGTCTCTGTCTGGTAAGAGACTCTGAAAAACAAAGCTCTTCTGAATCGTACTCACCACTCATATCAGCCCCATTACACGTCAAATGACGTTTGAAAATGTGCCTAATTTCTTGCAAGTCGACCATGTCCTATTCAAACAAACTACTCGCTATGCATACACACTTCCGTTTATTATAGACATCATTCGCGTGGAAAAGGTGCCATTGGTACCAGAGGGAGACAGCAAAAAGATCAAGGCGTTCCCTGGTTCTGGAGAGGCCTGGTATGACTTTGAAATCCACAACACCTTTTACGATGCCCCCTTCAAGTCAAATTTGAATCTAGATATTGGCTGCGAAGTGTCATGGCAAGTCGAGGATATACTGCAATCCAATGATCCAGCAAACGATACCATCACCAACTATGTCAAGAATCTGATCACATTCATTGAAAGGATTGAAAATGCATTAAACAAGATGCCACAGTAATCCAATCTCTAATCGCCCATTATATATCGCACTATTTACCCATAATTTCCTTCATTTCTCCCAAACATACACACAAATAAATACCTATTCGCCATTTGCTGTACGACCATCCTTCTAGAGATCAGTTTATTATTAAGGCGCTTTAAAGAACAAGACATAACCAGCATCATCGTAGGCGACCACCACATTGGACAAGGGATGACTTGCCATACCAATGACCTCGTTCTCACACACTTTGACGTTGCCCACTTGATCACCTGTTGTCAGTTGAAAAGCATACATGTGCTTATCTTCAGCGATACCATAGATTAAGTCCCCTTGAGGCGATGTGGATGCCGTGATGAAATCTGAGCCTTTCAGTTTATTGTGCGTGAGTGTTTTGATGATCTGGCCTCGGATGGACATAATGAATAGAGTGTTTGTTTTGTTGCAAACCAGGAATTGGTCCTGGCGCTTAGGAATAGGCATGATGGTTTGAACAGACGCGTTGCCGAGGCCACCTATAGGGTTGAGTTGGTCCTTTTCAATCTTGGGCTGAGGATTGACTGTGTGTAGACAAGAGGTTGTCTTTGCGTCCCAGATCTAAATCAACGTGATAAGCACTTATCATTTCAGGCAACAATAGATGCACCGTACCTTGACTGTGCCATCACTGCTGGCACTCAACACACGCGTATTATCAGTACTGTAGATCACTGCATTGATGAATGATGTATGTCCTCTGAATTCCTTAAGCATCTTGCCTGACTTGAGACCGTGTATTCTAATCGTCTGATCATAACTCGCCGTCAAGACTTGTGTGCTGTCGCGGCTGAAGCTGATGGATGTCACACCCTCTGTGTGTGCTGCAGGAATCCTCTTTTGACACTGTCCAGACTTGATTTTCCATATAGCAATCTTACCATCCAAAGACCCTGACGCCAGCAGCTCGTTATCGTGGCTAAACTGAACGCACAGCACTGATTTATCCATGGCCATCAAGCTGTCTTTGGCTTGGTATGCCAAATCCTTTCGTAGTTTGCCTGTCAAGTAGTTCCAAATCTCTATGAACCCATCCACAGAACCTGTTGCCAGGTAGTGTCCGTTGCGAGAAAAGGAGGCGCACTCAGCGTGTGTCTTTTTGCCTGGAAATTTGATGGATACATATGGTTTGGAAGGAAACACATCTTCCTCTGCTTTGTGAACTTGGACAGTGCCTTTAAAAATGTCGTAAGTCGAGTCTGGCATGATGATGCCTTGATGTTGCTGCCATTTGATGCTTTGGCCCAATAGAGTGAGTAATCGACTGCCTGGTGCCACCGATATCTCCTTGTCTAGACCTAACATCACCATGTCAATCATTGGATGCATCGAGCGCTGGTTTGAGTCATGTACCTTTGGCTACAGCTGAACGCCTCTCTTCCGTTGTGTATTGTGTCTTGGTGATAGGTGCTTGCTCTAGGTAGTCTTCGATGGTTTGGTATCTTTCGGGATGCTCTTCTAGCAATAAACGCATCACATTTGATTTTCGAAGCAGTATTTCTGCTGTGCTTAGTTCATTAATTTCAATCATTTCCAGTGTGATCTACTATAGTGTTAAAACGTCAACGTAGCATAAAGCAAGCATAACGGACTTACCTGTTGGTACAAATCAAGCAGCTTCTCATTCGAGATGCCCAGCTGGCTCACTTGCTTTAGCACAATGTCCCATCGGCCGTCTATAATATCTTGCAAAAACTTGGATTTGTTCTCAACAGTGTTTAGTGAGAGGTTAGATTCTCGCTCCAAGACTGAGCGAGTTTGGTTGAGGTTGTTTTCTCTCAGAAACTGGATGACGAGCTTGACAATGCTACAGCAGCGAGATTAGCCTCACGATTTCACTCAAATATATATGCTCGAAATGCGTTACTCTTGTTTATCGATGCCTGACATGCTTAAACCAAATGTTGAAAGTGGGTTTCGTCTTGACACCAAAGTGAAGGAGAGCTGATCAACCTACGGGATTGCCCTGTGACCACATTTCCTCTGATGGTGGATTCCTGCTCTTCTGTGTATCACTGTAGGGCACTAGTTTAAATTTTTCACCTGTAATTCAATCCTGCTTTTTCTTTTATATACACACAACACAATACTTAATGAAGATCCTTGAGCAGACAGACGAAGAAATACCCAACCACATCGTATCGTCTGTCGATGCAGATACACTGCGAAAAGAAGAGCAGTTGGCTCGTTTGCATCGTGTCAAGCGCCGTAGAGACAGTGGAGCACAGAAGGTCATTGATGTGGGCCTTACAATCAGCCGTGATGGTTCAGACAAGACAGCTTCAACCAGACGACGAAAAATGAATGTAGACCCCCCAGAACATGTGGAAGACGATACTGACATGGATCAAGTCGAGACAGGCGAAGTCTTGTCGCATTACAAGGCTCAACCTAATGATGCGGATGCTGACAAGGAGAACGTAGATGTGAGTGGAAGGTCCATCTTCAAGTTTCAACAAACTGTAAGGAAATCAGCAAATACCATGATGAAAAAGGCACTGGTAGAGGAGAAAGAAGAACCAGAGACATCCGCAGCATCAACTAGTAGGAGAAAAAAGACAAAAGCATCTAGCAAGACACAGACCAAACACGCACCTGATCATGCCAAACGACGACGTATTCAGCGGCAAATGGAGCTGCTCAAAGACAACCACAATGACGACGAGGATTTAGACGAGATACCCGAATCATCAGACGAAGAGGAAGACAATCCATCAGAACAGACACTGCGCAAGCTCAACGATGATGAGGAATCAGAGGAGTCAGAGGAGGAAGGAACGCATCAAAGAAAGAGTATGTTTGTCGAGCAAGAAGGCTACGAGAGATACTTTCAAGATCTCCACGGCAGTTCAAAGACCTCCAACAACACACTCTCCAAGCTGCAGGTGCTAGAGCCACAAGAGTTTCATCAAATCTTGCAAGCTGCTCCCAAGAAACACCAAGATGAGGTTGCCATTCTGTCAGAAATGCATAAACAACACTTTCCACAGTGGTTTTTCGAGCTTCATTCTGGATTCAACCTTGTCTTTTACGGCTATGGTTCCAAGCGTAACTTGCTCAATGAATTTGCGCAATCAGCATTGACAGATGGGCCCTTGATTGTGGTCAATGGATTCTTCCCCTCCATCTCCATCAAAGATATATTACTCAAAATCACAGCGGGCGCACTTGGCACCACAGGATCCACGGGTTCGATCCAAGATCACGTTCAGTTCATTTGCGACTACTTTGCCAGTGAAGACCGAGACTACGAGAGCTTATACATTGTGGTGCACAACCTGGATGGACCCAACTTACGAAACGAGCGCACACAAACAGCGCTCTCCATGCTAGCCAACGCCAACAACATTCATCTAGTCGCTTCAGTGGATCATCTCAACGCAGGCTTACTATGGGACAATGTTAAGGCCACGCGATTTAACTGGATCTGGCATGATGCGACTACATTCGACGATTATTTGGTAGAGACAAGTTTTGAAAACTCATTGCTGGTGCGTACGGGTGAATTGGGTGGCGCACGCGGTGCCAAGTTTGTGCTCGATTCATTGACCAGCAATGCGCGTGGTGTGTTCAAAATTCTGGCAGAACACCAATTGATGGAGATGGGCATACAAAACATGGAAGGACGCGGTAATGAGACCGTTGGATTGACCTACAGCCAATACTATCAAAAGTGTCGTGAAGGGTTCTTTGTTTCCAGTGACCTGGCACTGAGAACGGAACTGACTGAATTCAGGGACCATAAATTGATATCTACCAAGAAGAACTTGGATGGCACAGAGCTCTTCTTTATACCTTTGGATCAATCTACATTAGTGAGCATTGTGGAAGAATTGAGCTAAGTCCCTCCTCGTTGCAGATATTTTGTACATAATTTTTATATAAAAACTTTACTACTTTCTAAATACAATGGACTCAATTACGAATGCATTCAATGTTGGACAATACTTGGCTCCATTGCTTGATCAAGTCGGCTTTGCTAACGTTTTCTGCTTCTTGAATCTTTGCGCTCAATTTCTTTATGAAATCAATCAGCTTATCGTTGGAGGTCTTGTAGCTGGCTGCATCTCTTTGCTCCCGGATTTGCCGAACGAGTTCCCTGATTTCTTTAATAAGGCTGTCATTCTGCTTTTTGATATCGCTGACTTTGGCAATGTAGTATATGAATGTAGGGTTATTCTTTCGGCATCGCTGTTCATAGCTTGTGCACCATAATTGCTCTATTTCAGCGACAACAGCTGTAGGGAACATATATAATTAAACATGACAAACGGATGTCAAGCAAGGTGGCAGTAATGACACTGATATTTCATATCCTACTTTTTGAGCTACTGCTGCTCCTACTACTTTTACTCTTGCTGCCATTGTCTCCATATAACTCAAGCACAACATATCTTACCGTAAATAAAGGATTGCCGATCAGCCGTTTCTTGTTAGGTCATCCATTTGAAATGTATCCGTCTTCAGATCATGCCTCATGCCTCATTCCCATATCCCATTCCATCGTTTTAAGCACACCGATAATGAAAGGCTTGAGTATATTGAATATCATATGCATATAATACAGCAGCCTAAGCAAAAAGACAACAGTACTGTATATGAAATACCCAAATTGGTGAAGACCATTTGATTTCCTGCCTATGAGACAGTCCAGTATGACTTGTAAACATATTGATTTGTGGCAGAGACTATACCTTAGAATCATTGCTCGCGCACCTTTTTCTCTAGTTCTTACACTTTTCTCTTTTTCATCTCTTTTGAATTCTCTGAAATTCGAATTTGAATTTCGCATTGAAAGTAGCATGTTGCTATAACCAAATGTTGATAAAAAGAAAATAATAACGATAATAATAATAGTAATAGTAATGGTGCAATTGAATGTTAGATAATAGAATGGCGGGCTGTTGTTGAGAGATGATGTATTATATAAACGAACGCCATGTTTTATAAATCTCCCAACTCAATCAACTTAATCCATTCATTGTATCTTGTTCCCCTTTGTTTATTCTACAAGATAAGGCGTCATATAACTATCTATGATATTTTTCTTCCAAAATGAAGTTTTCAACCCCCCCCCCTCTCCCCCCAAGATTGGAGTTGATAGTGGCAAAAGCACATTTTTCTTCATTGACAACAGCACGGAAACACCTATACGGTACTCAAGTTTATAAAATAAACACAGGACACATGCATGGACTAGTGCTGACGAATGCTGGTGCGCAAAAGAAAAGTTATATGCGCCACTGTAGCAAATGCTACCTTTGAGCGATCCATTTTCGACAGTTTGGCTGGAGTTGACCTTTTTGGTAGTGTAGCTCTTCTATTAAAACTGATGGTACCGCTTTAAATGTAAGGCTTTAAACGATAGTCTTTTTCCTTGATTTAGGCCTTAAAGGATAGTTCCTTCTTTTTTGGTCTACACATTGAAGAACAGCATAGATGATAAAGTAGTGCAGATTCGATACATACTCCTCCCCTTAGAGAATCTCCAAAACAGACGAAAAATAAGCTTATTTGTGTACAAGATACATAAAGTTATCTATGTGTGGTATTATTCGATGCGCATTTCAGTTCTGCACCAAGTTCCGTGGCTAATATAACTCTATTTAGAACTGTTCGACAACGTTTTTGCCTAAAGATCGTAAAATACAGAGTTTTTAAGTAAAATCATGAAGGGAGCGTATATTTGTAACTTGAACTTTTTACATAAAGGTAGATCCAACGTAGAGCTATTCAATGGTTTTTGTTTTATTCAAATACGGCACGTCTTTCCTGAGATATGACAAAAAAATGTAATCTTGCAAAATCATCGATTTTTATGCAAACTTTGCCTGTGATAGCAAGGCAAAAATCTGGATAGCAATTTCTCTCGAGGTACAAAATTGGCGATATCTCGTGATAGAACCATACTAGAGCTTTGAATCAGGGCTTGTTCGATAGGCTCTTGTCTGTTCTACACTATGATAAGTTTTGCAAGTAAAGCTCTGATGACAGAAACCTGGTAATCTGTCAAAAACAGCCAAAAAATCGCAAAAACTATTCTATTAAAAATCAGCCTAATAACGTCGGCCGAAACACTTAAAATTGGTATCATTAGATTTTCCTTTAAATTCTACTCCAAGCTTTATTTAGCTGGAAAGCAATGTTATTATCAGAATCGCATGATATTAAGGCTGAACGATTTCAGAAATCCATGAATCCTCATTTTGAGTATTATGGAGGTTGGGCTATTGATAGTTTAAAATACCGCCTTTTTTTTTCTTTTTAGTATGTAGCTCAATTCAAACGTAAATTCGCTACCCTTGTCAAATACAACCTCTTAATTACATGTAACGGATTAATAGGTAAGGTGTTGGCGAACCTCATGGTAAAAATTGCTAATTCATATCTTGCTTTGCTGCCTTGTAGCAAGCTATCAAATTCTAGTACTTACCTTGCGGTACATTGATAACAGTGACGTCTTTTAGCCTCAACCTTTTATTAGCATTTTTTTCCTTTTTTCGTTTTTATATATATATATATATATACTATACTTCGCAAGCTCTCTACTCATGAAACAACGCTACCTTTGTGAATAGAATTGAAGCAAGTATAACTGACAGTTATGCAATAGACGTAAGATACAATGTTAACGCGTTTTATACCGTGGTTTTACTTGGATATAACTCTACTGGGGATTTATTTCTGATCTTTTGTTGTGCACTGGCTGCACACTTGGCGGTTTCTGCTTTGATGGTATATCGTTGCTTCGGTGGTTCTTCTCTGATGTTTGCTTATCCTGTGGTCTATTGTCTCTGATGTATGCTGGTTCTCTGGTCTGTCTCTGGTCGTGATGCTGTGGTAAGAAGTGGTAAGTATCTTTTTTTTTTCTTGCGGTCGCAATGATATAAACTTCTTTGAACGTTTGTACTACTGCTTCCTTTCCCGCGATAATGCATTCATGCTGTTTGCTTTATTGCCTTTTCTTTCTTTTTTGCTGGCTGTGATATGATCAGCTCAACAAATACTTGCAATGTTGTTGCTTTGTATTTACGAACAACAAGCATGACACACTGCTATATAATTGTATTACTCTTCTTGTGATACTATGTTATATAGCTGTGGATTGTTGTTTGTGTTGCCTCTGTCGCTTCACATGAAAACAACATTGGTCTTCATGTTGTATTACAACACTTATACTGCTGCTACTGTTGCTCCTGCAATTGTGCGCAATTGTGTTCTTTTACATCATCAGACTGTTATCATGCACATTGCTCATGTATATATTTTTGTTGCAATAACAAGAATATAATAGCGTGAACATTTTTAATGTTTTATTCATAACGTACTATACTTCTATAGTATTATTATGTTCGCTTCTTTTATTATTATGTTTCTTTGAAGCATACCTTTTTTTTACGTTGCGTGGATGTGCCTATCGCTGAAGCTCAACAAGACTCTATCCGAGGCTAGGAGGTGGATAGGCTGCCTCCACTTGGTTATCGCTACTTACTTTAGTGATGATTGAGGGTCTCAATGCCAGTATTTTAAGCTAGGTGGTGTAAGTAAGGCATGCTCTAGCACCTGAGGGAAGTTTGATGATAGCAGCGGCTATACTACTATTATAACGGCGCTTAAAATTTTGCCTCACATCAAAACCGGGGGAAACCCTCGCAATTTTTTTTTTAGGTCAGCGGAGTTTTCAAGCAATTTGATTGGCTCGGAGGATGAGGCACCAAAGGGTTTTAGTTAGTTGATCTTCTATTGATCTGTCATTTAACACTATATTGTTTTTGTAATAAAAGGGTATCTAAACTGTTACAATTTAAGTTCTTTTATATATTCTAAGGCAATACAAAGTGCAACCATTTGATCTAGCATCCATTAAACACTTTCATATGAGGGATGTATCTTAAATTTATTTTATAGTAAAAAAAAAAAGCTTGTGTAATAGTGTGTGCTATACAGCAATATACTAGGCACAGGGTTCTCCCAGCAGTAGTATCAAATGCCCCAACAAACACGCATTGTTTATCATCAATTTCCTACAAGCTTCAGTTTCGTGGATTGCTCTCTTTTACCTCATACCAAAGATTTTGGACATAGTACAATAGTATTTTTGGCTATTCTGAAGCTTATTGAACAAATCACGGTAATCATGATTTAATATCTCTTGCTGGGTAGATAGTAAACCTACCTGTATGATAGTTCATCACCATGCTATAAACCCTTGGCATTTTGAAAATTAGATAAATGTATAGTATCTTCTGGATGCATTCTTAATAAAAGTGTAATTTTTTGGTGGATTCAATTTCACATTGTGTTTTGACATAACAACGATATTCAAGTAATTCATTTTAAAATTCCTGTTATCGGATAACTCTGATTTATCAGAAATAAATTATTTATAAAAAGAGTATGAAATTAATCAGGTAAAGAATATCGTTTATTACATTGGAAATAAGAGGGTTTATATACTATTCGAATTGAGGGATTTGATGTGAGGATAAGGTATTAGGTGGGTTGATTTGGGTGATACGATAATAGATCCAATCTACTATCCTGAACATGCCATGATATGGATCGTAGCTGAATCCTGTTTTATGTCAAAGTTTATTATCTGATGTGATCGGTGCTTGAACTGATTGTTTCTACGCATTTGGAGATCCGGTTTAGAAATGATACATCAAACTCTTTGAATCGAAGCAATGCTCTTTTTAGCAAATCCTTATCTTTTATAGTCGTCAGGTCCATAGAAACGCAATCCCGTTCCTATTCTTCCAATATTGGACGGATTTTGCCAATGGTAGCCTGAGGATTATCACTATTGATGGCTTCATTTTAGGAATCAAGCCAAGGTAAAGGTGCATTATATTGCATGCTCCAAAGTTAAAGCCAAAGCATTAAAATATGACATGCCGAATTGATAAATAATCTTAGAAAACATGAAATGAAGTGGGTGTGCTATGAGTTATCTATCTCATATCCTGGGCTTGGGTTCCTAAACCAAGCCTATAGCACATTGCGTTCATGAAATTGATTCCTGATTTTAAACCATGCTCTTTCGCCAAACCTATTGTGCTATGAAGCGCACTCGACCCCATATCTAACTACACCTCGTCTGATTTTGAGCTTTCCTCGTCAATTTCATGTCCGTCAGGCCAGCTGCTATAGATCAAAGTCTATCTCCACACTGCTACATTGATTGCTATAACTGCAATAAGCTCAAATCTCACACCGACTGGATACTGATTGAATCCTGGAATGAGAAAGCTTTAAAAAAAGCACAAAAGGGTTGTCTTTTTTTTTATTTTTTATTTCAAGAGTAGTCAGCAAAGAGAATATGGCTCTGTTGTATAATGAATTCCACTGTATCTATCATTTCTCTCATTTGTTGTTCTTCATTTCCTGCATAATGAAACCTCAATAATGTAGGACCAAATACCATAGCTAAATTTTTCAAGGGCATACGATTAACGGAATGGTTTTCATGCACCCTATTTGATGAGAAATTCAGTGCCTGGATCTTATTGCAATTAACCCCTCTAAATTACCTTCTCAAATGTTGCACAAGAAACTTGATGGTGCAATACGATTCGATTGGCATATTATGAAGGATGGCATAGGTTTTGTTCAGTCGTTCTTGATTGTTGAGTGAATGTGGTACTGTATTAAAAGAGAGTTAATTGATCAACCCCCCAAAAAAGTTTAATTGTTTGCTGTTACTTACAAATAAAGTCGCCAGGAAGCAGTGGTGTTGACAACTCTCTGAAATAGAGTTTTAATAAGCTAGTAATTACATTAATGTCTTGGTATTTGGAAAGCTTAGGGTTCTTGTTCTCGTCAAATGCATCTTGTAACTCCTTGACCTGACCAAGTGTGCCTGATTTTCTATAGATGCCTTCAACAGAAAGCCCTCTTGCCTCTACCTCTCTCACGCATTTAAGTACGACTGAAGGAATGACCGAGTTCTCAGACCTTGCTTGTTGAATCAAATCATTACCAAATATCAAATCTAGTTGTAGGTTGAGTACTCGCTGTGTGCATCAATGCGCATTGAGGCGATCACTTACTCTTTTTCCTCTTGAAGCTGGTACTGGAGTCTTCATCAGCCTGCTGATGAAGTCGATTACTACTATGTGGAGAAGAGATGACCACAGCAGGATGCAAGATTGAATCAGATGACGAGGATGATACAGCATCTGTTAAAGGCTCTGTGATATGTAATGAAGAGCTTGGATGCTGTTGTGTTTCTTCTTGTTGTGGTTGCTGCTGTTGCTGTCTTCGTTTTCTACTAGATAAACGAAGGCTAATCTGACGAAATATACCGGTTTCTTTCTTAACAGGTGCTTCTGTTGCGGTTGGTGCTGTTGCTGGCTCTGTGGACGGAATGCTTTCGTTATTAGTAATATCAGCCGGCGGTGATGGCGGTGCAGGAGGACTCATTGCTGTTGATAGTGGTTGATCTACCAAAGTGACACCGACTATGGGGCCGTAGTTATCTTGATGTTGCACTGATGATGTAGGTTGATTGCTCCCATACATAAATGCACTGATATGGGTTTCCTTCTCAGCGATTGATCTACTCAGTTGGTCATTTCTTGCATTTAAAGTCATTGATTTTTGATGTAGCTTGAGAACCTCTTGCACTAGATCCTCACGTGCCATGGATAGTTTTGAGTTTTGCTGTGTAGCTGTCTCAATGTCTTTTTGAAGGGCATTGAGTCGATTGACGTAGTAGCTTTCAATGGTTTCCCAGTAATATTTGTGATTTCTGCTCGATTTATTTGTTTGTTGCTCGAGTGTGTCCACATTGCATGCAGTGCTTGGGTCCTGATCAAGTCCTGAAGCTTTGAAAAGGGTTCTAAGAATGGTAATTGCTGTTAATTTACATGAAAAAAAAAATATAGGGGATTCTATCTCAGTAACGAAAAGGAGATGTTTAATTACCTGCAATTGGAAGCGCCCAAGTCATATTCGCAGAAGGATGCAATTGTGTGTCTTTTAGTGATATCATTGCTCTTTGGCTGTGCATTTGATTAGTCAATTAGGGCCATCATTTGATAAATGAGTCTTACATTCAATGAAAACTTGCGCTCCAATGCGTCTTGTCTTTTAGGCCGGGGAAGAGTTGTGGAAGTGGTAGGGTTTTGACAGATCATTTCAAATATGGAATGTTGAAGTAGAAGAAAAAGAAGAGAGGAAAATTAAGAAAAAGATAAACTTTATAGAAAATGGTCGAGACTTTCTCACCATAAAGATTTGCTTTAGTGTATGACAGGAGATTCTAATTTAGTCGTAATTATTTATATGAAATGATCTACGCTATGATACATCAGTTTAGCTAAAGAGCGGGCTTTTTGTTTCTTGTTGTGAGTTGATATGAGCATTCGATGTGTCCTATTTGACAACATCAAGATGTGCGTATGAGATGTGCCTGAAGAGCCAATACCACCATCACTAGGAAATGATATCTTGTTGTATCATTCATTGCTGCAAAGAGCCTAAATATATCCAGAGGTCTGTTACCCTGCTTTTTTATATTTACATCATTTCCATCTATTTATAGTAGTTGAATACTATTGAAGCATTTTGTGATATATTTTCGAATAAAATCATGATTGAACAATGGAGTCTTTCTAAATGCAGGTACATTGAAATTTAGTGACATTGACAGGGCAAATATACACTTACATAGTTTACGGCTTTTGCCTTACTATGTGCTTCTAGAATCCATGGATTTGTCGGACATCCTTGTTGTAATTGAAAACGTTTTAAGAAAACAGAACTGAGAATGACAGGAGACAGAATTTCAAGTATTGTAGCCCTTCTGTCATCATTTTCAAACCTAATACATGCCCTTGAGCGCTATTTGCAGAAAAATTGATGCTAGAATGATGAAATGAGACAGCCAGGGCATCATAGTAAGCTAATATCATAATCTGATGCCACGCTCAATATTTTTCGCAGGCCTACAAATTCTTTCAGCATTTACACATCTCAGACGGATCTAAAAATTTGAATTCGGCTGCTATTTATAATTTGAATGATCCATCCAGCTCATGTCAGCACATGAAGCGTATGGAAAGGATATCTTTAATTTACTATTTACATGGTATTTCACCTATCTAGGCAGCAGCATTTGCTGCATTAGTGGTGGCGACTGTAGCGGTTGTTGGTTCATCAGTGTGAGGTGTAGTGTTTGCTTGTTCGTCGCTTAGAGTTATGGAGGTTGCTAGCTCATTGATCTGAGACGACGATCCAACGTTGAATTCAGTTGCATTTGCCTCATTCTGTGATGTGTTGTCGTCTCCCGCTGCATTCGCTGTATTGCTCTTGGTTTTATAAGCGGGTGGCGGGATCATTTCATAATACGAAGGCAATTCATCGTCGTGCTCTCCATTGTTGGGCCTGTATAAGGGTGCTCGACCAGACCCATGTGTGGTGACAATTCTGGATCTGACATTCATGTTTGTTCCGGATGCGGTGCTACTGGGTGGCGTGTAATATTGGTCGCTTTTGCAGAAAATAAATGGTATCCATAGCGCTAATCCTACTAAAATGCTAATAGAGGTGATATTGTATGTGACAGTATCTATTGAACAATGAGTTTTTCGGGTTCTTTTATTAGACTGACTCGGATCAACTTACAGTAAGCACTGCTTGGATCCTGGATGAACCAAGAGGTGAGGGTTCTAAAGGCGATGGATGCCACTGAAAAGGTGATGCAAGCACCAGACACCTTCCACGGACTATTGTACAAAATATATCTCAAATTTCTTGCTACGAGAGCTGCTACTGATATTTGAATGATGGCGACAATGATGACGAGGAGACTCTGCAATCGTTATGAATGATGATTTTCTGTGTATCATTGCAGCATTTGAACTTACTTGGCCCGTATAGCCGACCATTGTTGCAGTGGCAGGGTACTTTTTATATCGTGCGTTGCTAACTAGTGATACTATATCAGTCATTGATGATGGCATTCGCTCATTGTTTTATTCATGACAGATACATCGCCCATGTATGCATAAAACAAGTACTCGTACTTACTTGCTTCGGTCGTAATGACAATGGCTTGAACTATCAGCTCAAGGACGAGGATGAGCCTTGCTGTATGCAGCGCATTGAATACACTCATTGTGCTTGGCCTAAAGCATGGAAATCCAGAATTTATGAAGAGAAGAGGCATTTATATACAAATAATGGTCTCAAGTGCAGTATTATATTGTAGCAGTTTCTCCAAGTGTAACGTTACCCGATTAGACTGCAATGGCAAAAAAAAAAAAAAAAAAAAAAAAAAAAAAAAACGGCTAAGCAGGAGCCAGAAGATGAGGAACAAAGTGAAGGTTTGCAGTATTGATAAGCGCGATTGTTCTGTTAGTCTTGCTTTGCACACCAGCCATTTGGAGTTGATGTCTTGGCAATTGTCGCTTGATGTATCCTTCATCAAACGTACCTTATATGATCGATGATGATGGTAGAGAACACAGAGTAGAAAAACGAACCAGCTACTTTGTGCAACTGATCTTGGTATGCTTTTGGCGTCATTGCAGTGCTAAATTGTCCAGAGCGAACGCATTTCCAATGATGATCTTTGCCATGGCACAATGTAGTTTAGGTTTCTGATAAAGTAAGTCTCTTTATACGCATCAGTAATGGCCTGTATCGCGATATGTACAATAATCAGATGCAACAGCGTAGTAACCAGGCACGACTTGTGGAGCTCAGGCACAGCAGTGGAAGCTGATGAATGAACTACACTTTTCATTGTTCTAGGCCAATCACAGCGTCATGAGTGCAAGAAAAAAGGTCAGTTGAGTGGCAGCGTAGCCTTTTTCAATATTGGCTCTCAGTGTGTGATTCCACATCCTTTTCTATTTATTTATGCAAAAAAATGTCGCGTATGCAAAACTACTTTAGCTCTGAATTCTTGGCATCTGGTTTGAGTGCTGAATTCAATGATTTCATTACCAGAATCACTCAGGCAAAGAGCAAAGCAGTAAGTACGACAATCAAATGAATGCTGATTCAGCTTGTATTGACATTTCAGTGATAGGAAGAAAAGAGCCTGGCAACAGACGAGTTGGCCAGATTGTCCTCGAAAATGGCATCCCCTGATATATCCTCAGTAAGCGAAACACAAGATCCCGCTTCAAAAAAAGATAGTGTACTGATCACTAGGATGACAGACGAGAATGAGAGATTATCTGATACGGCTGATGCATTGTTACATGCTGGGATACGATGTCGAGTTCAGCATTATCTACGCTATCATGGCATCTCAAAGTGGAGAGACGGCACTGGACAGAAGAGTTGGTAACTATTTGAATATGGAGCTGAAGGACAGGCCTATCAACACACAATACTATGTAGGCTATCTTGCGTGTACTTTGTTTTTGACACAGGATCACGAATTGGGAATCATGTTGATCAATACGCTGCAAAGAGATTTGAAGAGTCAGAATTACCTCGACAAGTGTGCCGCGTTGAATGCCATGTGCTATCTAGAACATCAAGAAATGCTGGATAATGTGTTGGATTCAGTGATACTAGCAATGGAGTTCCCCAAGTAAGTCATCTGGACACTGTGGCCATATACAATGTCTGAACATGCTGGTAGACAAATTGTGCGTAAGAAGGCGGTGGTTGCACTGTATTTTTTGTATGAGAGGTCATCTGTGGATATTGAACGCATTGAATCAGCATTGAGAAACGCACTAGAGGACAAGGACTCAAGCGTTGTATTCTCTGCTTTACCCGTGTGGAAAAACATTCTCTTGCAGCACGCAACAAAATTTGAAGACTTGCTCCCCAGATTCCACGCAATACATAGGCAAATCATGGAAAAGAGGATTCACAAATCATTCATGTATCACGGCGTCTATGCGCCTTGGGCGCAACTAGAGTGTTTGGAGATATACAGAATATACCAAGATGCAAACATAGGGTATATATTCAAAATGGTGGCGAGAGGACAGCAGGCATTGATGTGTATCATGTAGATCGCCGAGAGATTTTTACGATATCATCATGGATTGCCTTCAGTGTGTGGAAAAGAAGGTGGATGCAGCATTTGGTATGTATGTGGGATAGAGGTGTACCTGGATCAGATATTGATCCAACTTGCCAACTCTAGCCATTGTATTGGAATGTGTCAAGTTGCTTGCCTCGTTGGATTCGCTGTTGCTCGGCACACTATCCGTGCCTGAACAAAACCCATTTCAGGTGCTGGTGCCATTTTTAAACTCATCAAATCACAATTTGAAGTATTTAGGGTTGTTAGGGATGTCATTCATTGATGAAAGCTTTTGGAAAAAGAGCTGGCTGGACGGCACACTGTTGGCAAGCATTGTTGAGTCATCTTGCGACGACCACACTATCATCACGCAGTCGATACAGAACATGGATACCATTGTTGATCAACATGTCCTCAGAAATATTGCACCGCATCTGATAGAAGCTATGTCTCGAAACTACGACAACAAGCAAAGCAACACAACTATTGCTTATTGGCTCATCAACCGCATCATTGAGTATCATACGGAACAAGACACATGGTTTGTGGAGACCATGCTGAACGTTTTAGCTGAATCAAGGAAGAACTTGGATGATGACTATACGGAATCCAAATGTAGCTTGCTGAGAAATGGTAGAGTATAGCATGATGGCGATAATGTCCACAGTATTGACACCGTATCTGTATGTAGCCTTGACGGAGAATGTGGATGGAAGCGGCACAAGAGAAGCTGCCGTTAATACGTCGTATGAGTTACTGAGAAAGGCCAGTTCTGAGGATAGATACTCGCCATTACTAATACAGCTTGTGATATGGGTGAGTGACACATGAGATGCCAACTCGTCCTAGATTCTTACTATTTGATAGATACTTGGTGATGTCGGCTATCTATCCTCGAAATACACCGACCTGGATATAATGCTTCAATTACAAAGATGGATTCAACTCGTACGAGGTAACAAAAAGAAGCATTCAACCACATTAAAGCCGAGAATCCTGACAAGAAATAGACGAGTACCTACAGACATGTGGCTTGCAAGCGATCAAGCAATGCATTATGCGCAGTAAAAAGTGGTTATCAGGAATAGAGGCTATTTTGAAGGAGTACAAAAGGTCACCTGTACCTGAGAAACAAGAGGTGCGTATTCTATTTTAGGTGGGCACATGAACGCTGATAGCTCACGTACACGCTAGATTGTAAGAGAGTTATTGGATGTCATTGCTGATGCTAGTTTCGAAAAAGAGTTTCAGGAAATTGCAACACCATTGCCACCGTCCATTTCAGAGGTAAGAATGACACGCCCTGAAAAAAAAAAGCAGCCCACACTAAATGTGTATCATCAGCTATCCGCGAATCCTAATCGACCGACAACCATTGGAAAGTACAACACAGGCACCAAACAAGATGGTAAATGTAAGTTTTGTATGCATGTTTAGGCAAATAGATACGTTGATCTGATCAAATTCGAAAAAGATGCACCTCGGAAAACTAGAAGCCATCATCCCCCATCATCGAATACAAGCAATGACTCAATCCATGTAAGAAATCATTTGATTATGAAAGACTCGATGTTCATGTAATTACTTGCAACGTCTAAAAATAGCTAAAAACAAAGGCCTCGACTAGCGCTTCCTCCCATATAGGTAAAGACTATTCTACTTGTATCACGCTTGTAAGACTAACATATCTACTCCCATCAGTGCCTTCCTATCACACAGAGGTAAAGGAATGACAGGATAAAGGCTCAAAAGCATGATATCTGACCACAAACGCTATTTAGACTCACCTCGTTTCAAGTCTGATTGATCTTGAATTGCAAGACGATGACGATGAGGACAGTAATAAGCTATCTACAGAAGACTTTGGTCGATTATGGGTGCAATATTCAGTGGAAGAAAAGCGAAAGTTTGAATGCTCGGTCACTCGATGTGATAAGTTGGCTAGGAAACTAAGCAAATCATGGCAGATACACATCATTGAAATCATTGGACAAGAGTTTATTGCAGTAGACGACAGCAGTAGGAGTGTGCTTGTTCATGTTGCCATGTTACCAAATCAACAAATTGAGTTGACCTTGAGATCAGATCAAGATATGCAACAAATAACGCAATTCCTATCTAAAAGACATTTGTAAAACACAACTTTGTAATTTCTTTATATAGGTAGCAATGTTCCAATGGGCTGATCAACAATCATGTATCCTATACCATTTACATTTGACACCAATCACATCTGAAAAATAAAAGGGATCTCTTGAGGCGTATTTTCATACAGTTGTTTCTCCCCACATCATAGCTGGATATTCAAGATCTCTTTACCTCCATCATCATGAATCAACCTCGCAAAACTCCTCAATTTAATTAATTGTTCGTACAACGTAAACCCATTGATGCCTTCTCCATTTATAATTATGATTTTATTTTGCAGATATTATATAGATAGAGTAAACTTCATAGTAGAGGGAACGACGACAAAGAAAAATATAACGAGAGGAAGGGAAGGAGGGGTCGAGAGAGAGAGGGGGGGGAGAGAAAGGAATGAAACAGAGAAAACGTATAAATTATTGAGATAATGTATAGACATGATAAAGCTCTCGTATCGTTTTTTTTTTTTTTTTTTTTTTTTTTTTTTTTTTTTTTTTATCAAAAGATTGACAGATCATTTTTGACGATTGTCCCCATATAAATTTGCAGCTCCCTACACACGCAGCCAAAACATGAAAAGGGTGTGTGAGTTTCTTGCGCACTTACTCCGAAACTCTTAAACTTACCATAGAAGGCGATCCATTCAAAGAGCCATTTTCCATTGAAGCATCGGGAGCGTTCAAACAGGATTGAATCAAATTCTTACCCTCTGGTTTGGTCACTAGTGGCTGCAATTTGGGCGTAGTGAATGTATACACCAAACCTGTTTCAGATACAACAAGCAATAACACCTGGGTACCAGTCAATGTGCTCAATTCGTATGCCTTTATGATTTGATATACGTCAGTATCAAACGCGGGAGGGAGGGAGGGGGGGGGGGGAAACAAGATTCTGTATAGACGCATACCTTCTTCATGATGCCAGCCTTTCTTTTTGAAAATGTAATATGGCGTCTTGTCTTGTCCTCGATGTACTCAATCTTAATCTTACGACGCCCTGATCTTCTTTGGGGCTTCTTTTCGCCATCATCCTCGTCCTCGTCATCCAAACCGTCCTGACCATTGTCCATGATTAACTGTGGTTGTGCTTGTTGTCTCGGCATTTGTCTCGTTGGTAACGGTGATGTCTGTTGTTGCTGTTGATGCTGTTGTTGCTGTTGTACCATATAAGCTTGTTGCTGCTGATTTGGTGATTGATAGTAACCAGTAGATTGCATTATAAATCTATTCAAATCAGAGAAATTAAAATTGATTAAATATGGTAATGTAGTAAGAAAATAAAAAAAGGTCATTTACAGTAATAGCTTATTTTAGATAGAGTCCGTGTTTATACTTGTTTTGGGAAGAAGAGAAGAAAAGAGAGAGAGTGTAATCAAAAAGAGAAAAAAGCTCGTTAAATAAAAAGGAAAGAGACAGGAAGAAAAAAAGGGGGTGAAATAGCACATTGAACTGGACCTGGGCAAACCTAAATAAGGGGAACCTAGATATTCTCATGACTCCAAATGTTAATTTCAATGTTCATCAAAGAAAGGCCTATACAACGCATGTGCTTGAAGAGCACATTTATTTGCTCATCATGAGTGTTTTGTTTATATGGTTGCAAAGTTCATGCTCTCTCTCCCCCTCGTTTTTCCATATCAATTACACACAAAAGCAATAACAACAATGAATGTGATCATTAACTTGTCGAATTAGTGTAACATGCAAACCAGAAGAAATCTGTTGCGCCATTCAACTCCATTCAATCAAATCCCTCCTCGTCCCCTTCATGAATTCTATTCAATATATTCTGAATAAACAGAAATCAGTCTCTCTTTTGGAGTGATGAATAGTAAGGATGCGTAGCCAAAAAGGTGGATATGCAGCAGCATTGTAACAGTAGCCACAATTGGATATGTAACATATCTCAATAATAGTGCATTTCATTTGGCGAAGAGGAGGATCAAATGTGTAGAATGCAATTTGTCTCTGGTGGCACATTAGATCAAGTTGACAGGGCATACATTTGCTCATTTGAAAGAGTAGGCTCATTTCGTTTGTATCGTAATGCAGAGGAAAGAGCAATATGGGAAACCACCTATGCAGGTCAACATCAATACATTTATAACTGTCGGATACTTTCAACGCCGTATGAAAAAAAAAATCAGCTTATAGATAATACGGTGGTGATCCAGGCTAGTTACGGTTATCAGATGTAACATCATGTACCAAAATTATCAGTTTAAGCTGTAGTAAGTTTCGATCCAGGTCCCATTACAATTAGCTACACAGAGGGCATTTTGTCAGCCAAAGCTATTTAAACCTCAGACTATTCTTTTTTTTGCTCGAAATGATAAAAATGGGACCAGAATCATTTCAATCAATCTACTTTGCGAGATTCGACTATATAAGTCGACACTATCATCCCTTTCTTCCTTAAGCTTCCTTGGAGTACTTTTCAAGGTGCATCCAGTGGTACCAAATATAATTGATGCTTTGACTGAACTTATTGAGCAAAGGTAGAAAGTATGAATTGAGGTTTTTGGCGAAAATGTCGAGATTTTACATATGTAGGTTTCACAAATAAAGTGCTAAGGGCTGCTTTGGGTCGATACAAACGTTTTGATTTAATACATGTCATAGTAGAAGTCTTCATTTTTGCGGTCAAAAACGCGATTGTTTGATTTTGTCAAAATCCATGAGGTATCCCTCATGCTTTTTTGGTCAAATTTTGGCAATCTCAAAAAAGTTGAGCAAAGGTGTCAGGAAGTAAGCGCTAGATGAAAGCAGTTGTTTGGTGTTATTCTCAATGTTAAAAATGGCTTCTAACTCGAGAAAACAGGACTCTAATGCACCAAGATTTAGCTATGTTTAACATATTGTTGAGTACTAGGAGGTAATAGAAGTGTAATGTGTGCCTTTATATCAACTGTCTCAATTGATACAGATGTGAGGTACTGAAGATGAGTCAGATTTCAAGGTTTTGAAAGGCTCTCATATGATACTGGCAAGTTGAGACGTTCACATTAGTAGAAGAGTAGATGAAGTTTACATTATTATGGTGAGATGGATCAAGTCGATTATTATCGCTCGTATTTCGTCAAGACGTATTCTTGCTTGCTTCGTCGAAGAATAGAGAATGTATATATGCGTCCATTATAGACTATAATTTTGATCTAGTAGGCAAGACATAGGATATCGCTGTTTGCTGCATCGAAGATCACTGTTTGCCAGATTTCGATTGGCTTCTCTTAGATTGCTCAGTTTACTCAAATCAAAACGTATGGTTTGATAAATGTCCATTAACTTGTTCTATACAACATGATTCAATGCATTGACGTACAAGAGATGATGGTAAAGAACGTTTTCGGTCATCATCAAGCTTTTTTGTTTCGTCCTTACACAAGATTCTGTAAAATTCAAATTATCAGAAAGGTATCTATTAAAGATGTTTTGTGTGTTTATGATTCTCGAAATAACCGACAATGGAATTGTATTCCTTACTTGCTAAAGCAGTAGTTTGTGTGTGAAAACAGCATACCCAGCGGTAAGGTACCTGATTGAGATGGTTCATAAACACTCAACGAGGTATGTTTATATTTATTTGCTTTAATTTTATGTAACTTATTGCCTACGAATACCTTTTTCCAATGCTTAATATTTACAGACACTTTTTGTAGTGTTTTGTATTGTCATTGCTCCAAGAGGGACGCAGCTAGAATTGATTTGAAAACATATCGAACCCACAAATCAACAAGGCCTATCTTGATAGATTGCCACCTGACAAATGAATTACTGTAGTACCCTTCAAGGAAAATCAGTTTCTTTTCCAACATCTGAATCCTATAACCAACACCACGCTCGAAACTTGAATTAGGCTCCACACCAGAGTCTCTTACGGCACAACAGCTACAAAACGGTGGGAGAGATGTATGCAATTTTCGAACCAACACCATTTTGGCTCTGAACGATATCCTGCTATCAAAACCCGGTCAAGCGTGTAGTGATTAGAGAGCATTTTCGTGGACGAGAGTATAGGCAAAATGACTGATGACTTTTGACAATCATTTCATATTGAAAATCAAATGCTGGGTGCAGCTTTGGAGAGACAGATGAGGACGACTGTTCTGGTAGGCTTCAAGATGTGGGAGTGATGGATATGAAATTCAAGTAAATTTTCAATGCTGCATGCATGACAAGACCAATTTCACATAGTCCTGTTACACACTCTTTGTGAACCACTTGTGAATACAAGACCAAAAGAGGGATAACAATCATCACTTACTCTATTGCAGGTAGATTTTTTGAAATTGAAATCTGCACTAATGACGGTAGTCATAAAAAGGAATTCGATGCAAGTATCTGAACTAGACATAGGATATAGCCAAATTCAACAAAAAACAATCAAATAACCAACGAGTATGGGGTGAAATGTATATACATTAGATTGCAAGTTTATTTTCAAAGAGGAAATATATACACATATGCCATTTTTAAACAAAACTTTCTTCTCGATGCTGTTACTGTTGTCTACAACTGATTTCTACCAGTACTGTCATCAATTTTGCGTCGCTTTTCATTCGCATACAAATACCATTGTTGCTGTTGCTGTTGTTGCTGATCATTCATTGATTGTATATGGCCTAACTGGGGTATAATATTACTGTTTGAGCTACTCGCAACAGCAGTGACGGCAGCTACAGTCGTAGGTATTGTTGTAGCAGCCGAGAAACTAGCGTTGAATTGTAATTGTTGCTGTTGCTGCCGCTGCTGCTGCTGCTGCTGTTGTTGTTGTTGTTGTTGTTGCTGAGGCAGTTGCGGTAAATACTTAATGCCTTTTCCTTTTCCTTCCGTATTGTTATTAGCGTCCTCGCCATCCTCAATCAGCGTTAATTGTGGCGTCATATCGTTTAATCCTAATAGACTGCCATTCAATGAATAGTTTTGCTGAAGTAACTGAAGCTGCTGCTGCTGCTGTCTTTGTCCCACCAAATGAGCACAGTATCTCTCCAGTAAACTACCCAATGAACCTTGGTTGAATGGCTTTGGTAAGATGTCTGTCATTCCGCTCATAAAATACTGTTGGATATCCTGATCTGTTGTGTTTGAAGTCATGGAGATAATAGGTGTCCAAGTATCGTATTGTCGAATATTTCGTGTGGCAGACATGCCATCCAATTTCGGCATCATGATATCCTACAAACAGTTACAGTCAGTCATCTGCAAGACTGAGTTTTGGCGTATCAGACATTACCATTAGCACCAAATCATATTTGCCTGTGCCCAACTTTCTCACAGCCTCCATACCATCAACAGCTACATCAATTGTACAACCTGCAATTTGGAGTAACTTTGTTGACAATCTACGGAATAATGAATCATCATCTACCAATAAGACTCTCGGTGGCACTGACCACCCGGGTTGCATGCGCTTTCTTTTTCGTATATGTGCCGATGCGTTGATGACGGGTATCATGGACGTAGAACTAGCGATTTGTTGTGCCTGTATTTGTTGCTGTTGTTGTTGTTGTTGTTGTTGCTGTTGTTGTTGTTGTTGCTGTTGTTGTAATTGCTGCTGCTGCTGCTGCTGCTGCTGCTGTTGTTGTTGTTGTTGTTGTTGTTGTTGCTGATGTATTTGTTGTTGAGAGTTATCAATAAGAGTCGGCATCATGACTTGACCAGATGAACCAGCTGCTAGATTTGTGTTCCCACTCAATGTATCCGATAATCGTTCCAATTTTACTTCTCCCATGGTCGACGCCGTGTTGTATGTATCCATCATTGCTTGCAAGTCTTGCCCCACAGCCACATTATTTTGCTTTGAAACAAACGACATAATGTCCTTCATAAGTAAATCTTGATCCTTCATGTTTTGTCGAAATCCTTGAATGCTATCCAAAACGACGCTGTACTTTTTGTCGAACCCTTTGATCTTGTCCGTCATCTTTTTTTGTGTATCTTTGAGGCTGTTGATCTCCTTCTGAAGATTGCTGGCGAGTGTCTTCATCTCTTCTGCCAGCACGTTGGTGGGTAATCTTGAGTTTGCTAATGACGAACCTGTCGCATTAGACGCTGATGATGATTGACTTGCTTGCGCCGCTTTTCCAGTAGGTTTTCTCTACAAGATGGTTACGATAAATATCATGTTGATAGGCGCCATGAAGCAATTAGTACCTTGATATCTTCCAAAAGCTCTCTTCTGTTGTATTTGAAATTGGGATGCTGAAACTCCCATGCCTTGATGCAAATTTGTTAAATAAGTTGCAGTTTACTAAAGTGTATACGTACCTGGTCGCCGTAAAGACGGTGTCCATCATCTGGCATCCTCAGCTTGTGGAAATCATACTTGTTCAGCTGGCGTACAAAGCTTTGAAAGTTGGAATGCTTAAAGTGTTTTGGCAAAATGTGGCGAGCGAATTCATTGGGATCTTTGACAACAAACGTGTCTCCTTCGGCTCCCCAAGAGAAGACCTGAGGATAAATGTTGTCCTCTAGCATACTATAACCGCACGATGAGTGATTACTATTGCAAAAAAAAAAAAAAAAAAAAAAAAAAAAGACAATCGACTCAAGTACACCTACCCAAACAACTTCTTGACAAACTCGGGTATACTATTTGAATTCGGTAAGCTAGTATGTGCTTCATTTATTGGAGGTGAGGATCCAAGCATTATGTTGTATAGATGATCAAAACTGTAGTTAAACGAGAAGAAAAGAGAACTGTAGAAAGCTGCTGTAATGGAGCAGAAATAGAAAAAGGAATAAAAACTGAGTTGCAATGGGCTATATAGTGTCCCGAAACATGTGCAACACAGCCCTTTATTATCCATTTAGTCGAAAGTCAGTGGTGTCTGTCGCAAACGATCGAAAAAGTCTCTTAAACGTACCAGTCAGCATGCTGCGTCCAGCACACAATGAACATTTATAGAGCTACAGACTGGGATCCTGTCAAATACGGCATTTCATTTGATCCACTGGCTTTTACATTGGCTTGATTCTACGTCGACTGAACGAGCGCTACTGGCGCAGATTAGAGCCACATCCAAGGCGCTATATTACATTTGCTAATGTCATATGCTTGCAAGGTACTGCATTTGACACCTTCCAACAGGCCCTCAAATCAGACATGTGCCTAATTTGATAGCTACTAGCCTGTAATCATACTGGAAATCTTCAAATACAACATGTATCATCAGTGATGTCAATATCAAATCAAGCACGTTTTCAGGGTGACTAAGATGCCATGCGCACCCAGAAAAGCGAAATTGAACTTTTGACAGTTCTAGGAGGGCCCATTTCACAAAGCTAGCGACATTTGAAATTGTTTTTTAGTGCAACATCTATGGAATAGACGTATATTAAAATGATGAATTAGATGATGAAGAGTATGACACAAAACTATATATATATCATATAAAGCTGCTAAAGTAGATTTTACTCCTTCTAGTTCGAATGCAGTAGACATCGATATGTGTGTGTGTGTGTGCAACATGTAAGATCTAATCTTGCCCCAACAGCTCTTGGAAATAAGCTTTTGTATCGAGCCTAATACAACGGCATGACCTTTAGATGCATAACTATCTTTGCATAATCAAGCAGACACCGATAATTCTGTTTGTAATAAGCATGTGCTGATGATGATGAATAAAGTGTGTTCCTGAAATTCTAATGGGACTAAAAAGTAACCTTATGGCGCATCCCAAGCTATAGCATGTCACCATAGCATCTACCATTCCATACTTGTTAAATGCCCAATGGCTCTCTTTTGCAATAGTTGATAGATACCATGAATAACATCATATCGTAACATAATAAATTTATGGTCCTAGACACTCTCAAAGCCTCAAAAAGGAAAGAAGTTGATCTAACAAGTATGTTGGTAGACTGGTGTTATTAAATATAGAATTCAAAGGGAATAGCTTGGCTGACAACAACGCTATGCAATCTGCCACCTACTTTCCATACGCTTCAAAAACGTCTATTACTGTAATGCCTTCATAATGAACAGGGCATTGAGTTTGCCAGCCGGCCCCGCAAGCCAAAATCAATTCAAATCCAGATACATAGTCTGTTCCAGATTGGCCAAATCTTGAGGATTTTCGACTCGATTGAGCTTTTTTTTAGCAGATTCGACTATGTAAAATATGCTAATCATCTTTATGCTTCTTTAAGCTGTCTTGGAGTGCTTTTCAAAGCGCATCCAATGGTACCAAGTAAGGTAGGTGTTTTGAATAAACTTACTGAGTACTTTACAAAAATATGAAAAGAGGTTTCTGGCCAAAATGTCGAGATTTTGCATATGAAGTCCTCATAAACAAAGTTTCAGAGGTTGCTTTGGATCGAGGGAAGCATTTTGAAATAACATATGCCATAGTAAAAGTCTTCATTTTGAAGGTCAAAAACGCGATCGTTTGATTTTCGACGAAAACCAGGAGGGGTACCTCATGCTTTTTTGTCGAATTTTGGCCATGTTTTTTGGGTCTTCAAAAAGTTGAACAAAGGTGTCAGAAAGTAACTGCCAGATCAGAGCAACTGTTTGGCACTATTTCGGTAGCCTAAAACTGATTTTAACACGAGATAACACAGCTGTATTTGGCACACTCTTGACTAGAAAGGGGTAATATTATTATACTGGTTGCCCGTATATGAAGTAGCTACGTGTATATGGGTGTAAAGCATCACATAAGAATCAAATGCACAGATAATATGAAGGGCCTTCATGTGTAAGTAGAGGGTCAACATGAAAGTAGCAGTATTTTGATAAGATACACAAGGGCAATCGGTAGCTGCGCAGGTTGATTCTCACCGAAGCGAAGCGAACGTACAGAGCCATCCGAAGCATAAACACTCGTTTATATAATAACATTTAACAAGTCTAGTTGTGTCGAAAAAACTTCATGCCCATCCAATTCCACAGTACCCAATAGATCCAGACAATCGCGGTGATGGGTATAAGCAAGCAGTAGTAATTATCGTATTTAATCCAATCCAGAATCTATTGACATGTAGCATTTAGTGATCATCTTGGTGCCTTGTGCAAAGCAGTCTACCTTGTTGTTTGTGTCTGGCATGTATTTGCTTCCTATGATTGAATAGCCAGACATGACAAATACAAAAATAGTGCCTATGAGCAATGCATAGCCATAAAGATAAGTGGTATCGGGTATAGTCTCTGGCAAATGCACTGTCATTCTTCTGGCATAATTGGGCTGCCCTGCTGTATACAGCGTGTTATTCATTGTAGCATTGTTATTTGATATTCTTGGTAGTAAGATGGATTTTGATGATCTTCTGCGATGATGAGTCTGCATACACTGGATGAAAAATTATTTGATGAAAAAAAAAAAAAAAGGAAGAGAGGAGCATCAAATATTTTATTTCTTGTTCCCAGGCAAATAATCCTTTGATAAATCGATATGAGCCAAGTGAGTATTAGTGATTTTGATCCTCTTGTTTCTGGTCTTTGATTTCTTTGGCTTGGACTGTTGGCATTGCAATTAGCATCATGATCTGTTTCACTGTCTCGTTCTTAAATATACCTCTGATGTCACTTTCTTTTCGAACACTTCCATCGTCTTGAGACCTGCTACCTCCAAGGCCTTTGGCAGATCAGTTTCGTCAGGAATAGGGATTTCTGCCCACATCTTTTTGAACTCTACATGGGCACTCTGATCAACATCTCCTGCTGAACATTTTACTCTTATACCTACCTGGATCAATGGTTGTATTGTATTGTGAATCGTTGTGAAATAGTACTCGAGGATTTCCATCCTTGTTGCGCACAACCAAGATTTGTCCTTCTGATGCCAATTCTTCTACTGCGCTGCTCAATTTCGAGTACGAATCCTTGAGGTCTTTGTAATCCATGCCGCCCTCATTCTTCTTTTGAATCAATAATGATAAAAGGTCCTCTTTGCTTCTGATCTGGTATGTAGGCTTGTATGCAAATGTCTTGTTGGCTGCGTCGAATTCAATCTTGTTGTTGTTGACTAGTTTATCCCACAATGCTTGATTCTTTCCAATATCCACTTTAGTTCGAGATGCAATACTGACAACAGACTGCGGATTATCACTGTCTTTGAGGAACTGAATGACTGTGTACAATTGACTCATGGCATGATGACCCGTGCCCGTATTGGCAGGTTGTGAATAGACTATCGATGCGGTAAATAACAGATGAGAGCACATCTAGCTCATTCCATCCTTACCAGTGGATCTCTTTCGCTTCTTGTCATGACCATTCTCAAAAGAAGCCTTTGTGTTGTTTGCAATAGTTCCTGTGTATGATTTCGATTCCTTTACGGGCGCTGCTTGGCCAGCACGCTTCACAGCAATGTCAGCATTTGCCTTGAATGATTTCTTGAAACTCTTTAATTGATCGTTTAATGCAGACATTGTGTGGTGTTGTAGAGGAAAAAGAAATAAGGAGACACGAAAAATTGACATTCAACAATTTAAATACTCTATAGAACAGTAAAAACAGCCACATACACACACACACACACACACACACTACACAGCTTTCATAAGAACAACTGCACACACTCACAGCAGACACATTATACACAACATCTATCGTTTATACAAATGTTTATTGTTTTAATAAAATAAGAAGCGAGGAAGAAATAGGTAGAGGAATCTAATGAGTCTTGGCAATTCCTACAGCAAATATGTCATTAGCACGCCATATCACACTCTCTCCAACACAGCACACAACTTACTTTGGACATCGATAATAGCTTGCTCAAGAATTTGTTGTTGAATCTTGGGATCTTGCAAGTCCTTGTTGATCTTCTCAATCAAATAAGCAGCCAATTGCTTTTGCTCACGATCACGAACATTGGCTTCATGACGAACCCAAGAGTCCAAAGTGGCCTTGACTTCATGAGCAACGTCAACTTGTTGCTTCAACTTGAAGGCCTCAGCTTCCAATTGAGCAGTTTCACGAGAGAGCTCGAAAAGAGCCTTGGTAACTTCAACAAGATCCTTCATTTGACCGACTTCGTTGATGCGTTCGTTGACAGCAGTCTTATGATCTTCACGAGCTTGAACCAAAATGTTCTTGATGCGGTTGATGTGGTCGTTGGCCATGTCGTTGAAGGGCTCTCTGAGGTACTTGAGGAGGACACCGAGGAGACCAGCAGAGGCGACCAAGACCAAGGTTTCTTCGTTGAAGACGTAGATTTCCTTGGAAATCATAAAGGTGGCGAGACCGGTACCCAATGTAAGGAAACCAGTCTTGGAAACGAGGCTGTTACCAGGAAGGGCGTTGATGATGCTGTTGGCCTTTTCCTTGGGTTCAACTAATACACATGTATATCGTCAGTCTATCATATTCCTCTACATTTCATCTCGTTTTCAAGGTTGTACCTTCTTTTTGGGTGGTGTAATGACGAACACTAGCAACATACACATTTAGCTTTTGGAAATGAGATGGATCAGGTCAATGTACTTACGCAGTAGCGCCCAAAGATTGGCGAGAAGTGTTGATTAAAGTAGGGCGAGCAACGATGGCAGCTAGAAAGGAGAAAGCAATGGTCAGTTATCGCTCGTAATAAAATCTACAATGATGGTGATTTTTTTTACCATTAGCGGCACTCTTGGAAATTAAACGGAAAGCCATGTTGAAAATAGCAGTGGAAAGGGGTGAACTACATCGACTATATTAATACAGGTTATCAAATGTGATAATTTGTATATCTCTTACAATTTTTACTGTTAAAGAGGAAAAAGAATAGAAAAAAAAATATGGGGTTTGGATTATTGTGAGTTGAATGTGTCTGTGGATGTGTGGTGTATTGTGTTGTGCGGGTGAGTGGGTGGGTCCCTTGCTTCAGCCTGTAAACTCGTCGCCTATAAAACAAGAGGCCGGCGACAAGTTTGTGCTAGTCGACATTCGGTGCTCTAGTTGAATTTTCTATTAGGGACCATTAGATGAACAAGGGGGAGGCTACATTTTACGTCACCCATGCCATCATCGAAAAGTCTTCTCACTGGGATTTAAAGGTATTCCTCTCTTGGAAGAAACCCATCTGATGGATCATGCAGATTTTATCTGAACACTTGCTATGAGATTTTCTCTATGAGTATCCAGGCTTGCTTGATATTCAGTCAAATGGAGGCAGGCAATCAAGATGCAATCAACTTGAATTAATGATGCTCACCTGCCCACATTTGGATGCCATCATGATTCACATTTCATGTTTTCATTCGGGGTTGCGCATTGGAGACCCGGATCATCTGGATTTCATATAAATTTGCATGATTTGATGCGAAATTGCATTTTACATAACTTTACATCATGTCGAGAATACAACAAGGCATTGCACAAGAGCATCCAGTAAGTTAATCTGCTTTCTAACTACTCCTAGGAACTGAACAAATGTCCATTAGGAGTGGATTTTACCAAGGCTTTGTCAGCAAAATGCTAATAAAACCGGTGTCTACGCAGCGAGTATGATATTCTGCATATTGTGTTGGGAAGAGGTTGATTAATACTAACATTTAATATAGTTATTGCTGGTCTGATTGCGTGTAAGATATAGCATAGCGAGTGGATGATGATGAGACATCTAATTGCCATTGAATACAGTGCCAGTGGGTCGTCGTCTTGGATTAGATAAGAACAGAGCATTATTCTCTGCATTAGGTAGGCTTAATAGACATCAATGGCACTGGCGGTATACTCACCGCCATGTACAATCAGGTGCTTCTGGTATTGCGGGCTATGTTACTGCAAAATACACCTATGCTCATTGCGAGAAAACGTACGGCTTCTTCCATGGCATGGAGCATGTTCAGCAAGAAATTAAAAAACAGAGCGAAGAGAAGCACGATGCAAGCGGTTCAGAATTGCACTGAATTGTTGGGAGGATACTCCTACTATAGCATTTATATTGAACAGCATCTTGAAGGATTTCCATGCATTTTGAACGGACGCTGCCATTCTGAATTTCTGATCATCGCCATGATGAGAGTATTAGCATATCGTCATTTAATAAATAAAAATGCATTTTCTCAACGCATAACTTGCGACATGGTGCGCCTCTATTTTCATGGTAGTCGCATTGACACAACCTTGGTGATTCCAACCATAATGATTACCACATCTGATTGCCCCAAAAGATACACTCCATAAGCATGACAACATGCATTTAAGGACCGTAAATTTAGTATTAATGCATATTTGCTCTTTTTCATTTCCGTTTTCGTCTTTGCACCATGTACAGTTTTATGAAAAAACGAGAATATGGAGTGTTGAACCCATTGCGATTAGAGAGAGCAGAAACAACAAGACGAGTGTATAGCTTGCAATTAAGCAAAGACAAAGAGCTGGCTCTTTCTCACAGAGGTTTGTAGAAGACTCACGCGCAGCAATACTGAAAGTACATTTCATCTCATCGGGCCACACTATAGGTGGAGTGAATTCAATTAAGATCGAGACGATTGAACAGAGATAGTGAGTGCTCAGATCTTTGATACTATCTAGTGGATTGTCATTTACCTTTATAGCCTACTATCTGGAGGTGGCGATGGCAAAGTGCATGTGTTTGATTTACAGGCAATGCCAGCCGAGCACATGAGGAATGAGCCCATTGCAAGCACAGCAAGGTAAGGCATTGTTTGTATATAGGGCATGGTGTTGCAAACATGGAGATCTTAATTAACGGTTTAGAATGGATCGACATAAATATGCTGTCACCTCAGTATCATGGTTTCCTTTTGATACAGGCATGTTTGTCACATCCAGTTATGACACAACAATCAAAGTATGGGACACAAATGAGATGAAGGTTAGTAGGAGTTGATCCGTGAACGGTATCCGTTTTTAATTAACGGAAGCTCTTTTCCAGCCAGCCTATGAGTTTGACATGGAAGCAAGAGTCAATTGTCAATCCATGTCACCGATAGCATCGCATTCACTTGTAGCAAGTAAGTTGAATTCTGGAGACATCCTTCGTCATCATAGACTCATGCTCATTTGCAACAATACAAGGTGCCGCTTCTGAGCCCAGGATTAGATTGTGCGACCTCAATAGTGGTGCCTTCACCCACTCCTTGACGGGTCACTCTGGATCGGTGTTGGCCTGTACCTGGTCCTTGAATCAAGAATATATTTTGTACTCTGGAGGGTAAATTATATATGCCTCTACATCATTCTATTTGACTCACACACTGTCAAACATTACAGCGATGATCGCACAATCCGGGTATGGGACATACGACGAGCTTCTTCCTGCTTGATGTCTCTTGACCAAGACAATGCTGGTAAGAAGCCAAGCGTCTATGCATCAATTGCTGTCACATCATACTCACCCCCCTCCCCCCTTTATTAGCGATGCGAGATCCCTTGGCAGAGACCAACACAGCACATGGAAAGGGCGTAAATGGATTAACAATGACACCAGATGGTCGATACTTGGTATCACTCGGCTTGGATGAAAAGATCCGGTTATGGAATACAGAATCGGGAAAGAACACATTTGTAAATTACGGGTCCAGTTGGAGAAACAGGTTCAAATTACACATGGAGGCAACTGTGTCTAGTGCTGATGTCTGGCCGCCACTTTTGTATATACCCAGTGATGACAGACAGGTGCTTGTCTATCGATTGCTTGACGGCGTGCTTGTTCAGCGGCTGAAAGGGGCGTATGGTCGAGTGATCTGCGTAGAGAAACGAGATGCCTATCAAGAATACTACAGTGGATCCAATGGAGGAGAAATACTAGTTTGGGAACCACCGATACAAGGTGACACTCTAGATACCATGGAGGATGTGGATCTGGACGCTTGGAGCGTTAGTGAAACGGAAGATTAAATAAATATGTTTTGGATTTAGGTCCTATATGGAAAGATCAAGGGGTAACTTTAGTATAATTGAATCAAGGTGGATACAAGTAGTAGAAAATAGAGAGCTGTGAGCCTTACCTTTGTAATAGAATGGAGCATTTCATGAGGCATGCATTGAGCTTGAGGAGAAATCGCTTGAAATCATAAAACTAGAATGATGTAAAGCGAGCACGCTTGTACGCCGGAGATGGCCTATATGACACGCTCAAACATCATGATATGGAGGTGCTGTGTACGTCTTTATCGTCCGCGTGAAGAAAGCGCCTACATGCCCTTTTGTGTAATTGTGTTACCCTTGAGGGAAGGTTAAAGAATTTGGGCCCGAGTGGTGAATACATGAAACACACACACACACACACACACACACACAATGCTACTTCAAAAAAAGCCAAATGCAAATACTTATAAATAACCATACGAATGTGAAAGGATATTGCTCTTTTTCCTCTTTCATTTTTTGCTTTTCATCGCTTTTTATTTACACATCGTCCACACTATACTATAATAAATCAAAATGGGTTGCTGTATTTCTCATCCTTTCTTTGAAAAGGTACAATTTAAAATGATTAAATTTGACATGTCACTAAATGTCAATGATTCTAGGAAACTGTCTATGAAGTTACATTGGATGCTGATGGTGTCGCTCAGCGTGTGCCTAAAGGACAAGGCACTCATTTCATTCACATCTCTTCCAAGAACGGAGAGACTCACTTGGAAGAAAAGGTACGAAATGATAGAGTGTAAACATGTATAAAGCGTAACTTATTTTGTACAAATTGAAAATGCAGACTGAGCAACCATCACGCCCTGCAGTTACTCACGATGGCAGCAATAACAAGTGGCCATCACTTACAACACCACCTAGTTACAACAGCAAAGTGGCACCTGTGAATGATGTGCAAGAGAAAGATCAAGTTTCATCTTAAATTAGCTTATATAACACATCAAGCTCAAAACAAAAGAAGGAATTACCAACACTCCTTTTTGTCAAAAATTCAAGAAAATGATCAAAGCTATCGATTTCATGTAGTTGTATATATATATATATATCCATTCCTTTATATCCCCCCCCCCTTGGCATTACTGCTATAATTTGTCTCGCCCCTTCTTTTCCCCTTCCTGCTCTTGTTGTATGATACGTCAAGTTGTTCTTATATAATTAAAATTCGTTGATTTGTAATAATTGTTTACATTTGATGAGTATTTGCTCAAATTTATAATATAGAGTACAAACAAACGTATTATCAACAAACCGTTTTACTGTGCCATCAGCACTATCCTCGTTCAAGTTTCATTCGCCACCGTTTTCCCTTGATGATGGGGGATGGGTCATCATCATCTACACTCTATAAAGGCATCTAGTTCAAATCACAATTTGAATGATATGCTGACGGAAGACATGTTCGGGTGCAAAACCGCTCCGAAAGAGACGACATGGGCGTACAAGCACCTTCTTTTGTACAAGAAATCTTATTATAGATGCTGGTTAAACCACACTGATTCTAGATGAATGGAATCAGATGTGCCTGAATTTGGTCATTTTTAGCAACCACTCTCAAACATGGAAATGTCATGTTGTGTCCATTCAAAGCCAGAGGGAAACAATGACACTGAGAGAATTAACCTCACAAATAGTGCACCAATCAATGCAACAACGCTCTCATCTCTTTGGTAGTGTTATTCAGCCACATTTGTGCTTATTGTTCGCTCAAATGCGCTCAATCTTGCTTCAGAGCAGGGCAAAGAAAGAAAGCAAAGGTGATCCAAATGTTATGTCAATGCCATTCCATGTAAGATTCAGCTCGAGATGATTGGAATATGTTTATAGCACTAGCTGGTAAACAAGTAAACAAAAGGATCATAGAACACAGTATAGCATCGTGATAAGTGTAGCGGGGCTCATCAGGTGGTACACACTTGCTACCACTCAAGCACTATCTCACTAGTATTCCCACTGCTATGCGAAAGTTAAGAATTCGACACAAAGTGCGTTATCTTTAAAGAGTGCGTATTTATACCAACATGTCTGTTTTAGCCAAGAGCTGTGATGTACAACGCTTCCAATGTAACCCACATCATGCCTTCAAATAGTGTTTGAATCACGCAACTGGCAACCTTGGGTAATGCCTAACTTTGAATGTTGCAATGCCAACACAGAGTGCCTGTGGTAGATGTCAGGGCAGCATTGAAGCTGCTATAACCACAGTATTTGCCATTAATGCAATCCTTTTACAAAGCAAGTTGAGCAACTGTACATGAAATGCAATGATGGCAGTCTGGCGCAAGATACGCAATCAAGTTGCATGCATCTACGAACAGTCAGACCAATGCAAGAAGATGCCTATTATTAGAGAATTTAAAAGTCTAAGGAGTTTATTGGATATTTTACAATGAAAAGGGCCGAAAAATGAAAGATGGAGTTGCGTAAATTACAGAGAAATTATATATAGGATGATGGGATCATCAGCGAAATTAGAGATAGATGGCAAACGGGATGGATAGGTTTAAATAGGTGTATGCACAGCAGAGCCTGTATTGGAGTGTGTAAAACGACTACTTGCTGTATCTTGTCGAGCCAGCTGTTGAGAAATCGATTGCTTGTCAAAATCAGAGTTCAAATCAGAAATAGAATGGGCACGAGGACTATTGATGACAGAAGCCGTGTCGCCGTGCATGTCAGAGACAGACAGTTGGGATTGCGTCCATTGAGGGAGCATGATGCTTTGATGCAGGTTGGTGATGCGCTTGACGTAGATGGCGGTTCTATTAAAATGTGGTTGATGAGCACACCCATCTCAATGTTATCTACTAACACTACTTACAGTTTCTTGTCAGCAAAGGAATTCATGGCCTTTCGTCTCTGTTTATCGCCAAAACGAGATCGGGGAAAGTTGCTAGGATGCACTATAATGACTGTATCTACCAGGAAGGAATGATGATCCAGTACAGCATTGACAACGAGTGGCACTACAGCCAAAGCATGTTCATTGGTCTTGACAGAGACCACTGCCACCACTTCATCTTTATGCTGGAAAACAATACTATGCAACAAAGTTAGCATTCGGCTATACCGCATCACTATCCACACACTTACCTTCCACCAGATGGAATGGCTGGATGACATCGCTCAATGGAAAGTTCCACATCAATTGGAAAGTAAATCAAACCATTTCTAACAATGGTTTCGCTGGCAGGACCAAGCACGTAGAGACATTGACCTTCTTCCAGCATCATGGGCTGCATCATTCGGTTATCCACGCGACGTCTTACATTCCACAAGAAGCCGAAATCACCGGTGCGCATGTATTTGATATTAGGGTCATTGCCAGCAATGGTAGCTTCAAATCGCTTTTCGTGTGTCGCATCGTCCATTTGGAACATGGTGGTGGCATTGCTGTCTGAAGACACCCAAATCTCACCGACCACGTTACTTGGACAGATGGTCAATGTCTCTGGATTTACTATAGCCACCATGGTGTTGCTGGGTACGATGCCAGAGTCATTGAGCAAGATGCCATAGTGCTCTTCTTCGGGGCTGAGTGTGCGAATGATACCTTGACGCAGCCAGTAAGGGTCAATGGAGATGGCAATAGGCTCCATCAGCATGTAAGAGCGTGTCGTAATCATGGGATTCGCAGCATGGCTGTACACCGTGTTGATGGACTCCTTGTCCAGCTTTTGTCTCGCAAAGTATCTCGCCATGTGCTGATACAGAAGCGGTTTGGGCCTGCCGTCGTTTGCCAGCATGAGATTCTGGACACCCTTCAGTGTAATGTGCTTGCAATCATTGTTGTTCATGCGGTTCATGGCAAATTGCACCAACGCATTGGTCAAGAAGGCGTCTTTGGTCTTGTAACGCTGCAACGACTCAAAGAAACAAGCAGGATTCATGTAGAAATCAGCAGAGGGGATCAACACAGTGCTGCAGCCAACATAAACACCACAGAACAGAGCGTGCAAGAAACCCAGGCCCTCGTACGTACCCAAGCCAGTGGTGACTATGCCTCGTTGAAATCGCATTTGACACGTTGTCTTTTGTGTTCTGCACTGATTCAGAATGGTGTCATGACTGAGATGCGTATAGCAGCGACGGCCATCTGAAGTGGTTTGGATCAGCACAACGGTAGGTGAATGTCTGTTCTTGTTGATCCAGTCCGGACGCACCATGAAACCGCTTTCTTTGCCCAGCATCTTGTGGTGCTTGGGTGCTTTGGAAATGTTGATCACTTCAGGGAGCTTGTAGCTCTTGTGAATATGCGTCTTGATAGCAGCCTTGACAGCACTGTGCTTCATCACATCATCACCACCCGAGTTGACCAGGATGGCTGTAACGCCAAGTTCGCGTGCTACGTCCACTATTTGCATCGAAAACTCGGATATACGCTGTGGTTGCTGCTGAGGATCGACAGGCTCCACAGGCACAGGAACCACGCCCATCGCAAGACATGCATAGATACAGATAATGTAGTCAATGCCAAAAGGCATCATCACCAGAACCTTGGCACCTCGTTTCAGCCCCTTCTTGGTCAAATGCGTTGCCACGGTAGCAGACTTGTAGCTCAACTTTCTCCATGTATAAGGCTTGGTGCTGATTGTAGACCCATTCTGTGTGGACACCGTGTAGCACACTTCCTCTGGGTTCATGGTGGTACGCCATTGCAAGATATCCACGATATTGGTAAATCGAGAAACGTCGTATTCGGTTCGTTCATCTACCACCACGCGTACCTTTTCCATGCCCGTGTGTTGATGCTGAGGGTGAGGTACAATCGCGCCTGTTCGAACCGCCTTTTCATACGCCATGCCAGAAAGCCACAAGTCCTTGGAGGGGTCTTCATTCTCGGCCAAGTTGAAGATGGTGCGATCCACGTCAATTTTGATATAGCGGATAGCGAGCTGTCCTTGCAAAAAGTATCTCTTGGTCAACAGCGGATGGATAGCACGTCGTCCGTGAATCAGTTGTCTGGGTAAGCCATTCTCCTTGACAAACACAATGGCATACGCTCTCAGTCCATGAAATTCAATCAATGCTTCATCTATTTCGGTTGCTACTCGAGCAATATCAGATCTTTGAGCACTGGATTCGCATACAACTACTGGTAGATGTTGATCGTTGACTCGCACTTCAAATACAGTACTAGAGCAGAGAATGAGAACATGGACACATACCATAAATACAGCAGCCAAAACTTACCACTGCTCAATACGCGCACGTTTTGTTACTGTATTCAACAATTCACTAGCATAGTAGATATCTTCCAACCCAAAATCAGCACCCAAACGTTGCTGTCTAATACGTTCTTCATAAGAGCCAAGCACAAACAGCCGACCACCAATGATGGTACCACACAGCCCAGTTCTCAGAAAAGACTCGCCGTACACCTCTGGATAAGACGATTCAGAAGGCACAATCAGAGGACGTGCATGAAAGATGGATTCTGTGTGCTTTGGTAATGCCCAGAAACCACCGTCCATGGTAGGCGAATTCACCCAAATCTCACCCACCGTATCAGCAGGACAAAATGTCGCTGCGTCAGGATCCACAATCGCCACCGATGCTTTTGGCATACAAAAACCGAACGATTCCACACATACTCTGCCTGCTTCATTAGCGAGTTTTTCCTTTTGAGCATCTGCGCCTGCAGCTACCACCATGACCTTGTTCAATTTCAAGGCTTGCGCATCAAATAAACAAGCAAAGACATCACGAGAGCTGCCTGGTGCCAGGACAGACTGCGTTTTGATGACGGGTCGACTGATTTGATGTCCATCTTCAGTGATGATTTCCTCGGTTTCGACAAATTCTTCCGTGTAAGCAGGTCCCAGGTTGTCTCGCATACTGAGGATTTTGCCGCCGTGTTCGGGTAGAGACAGTACAGGGCAGACTACTTCGAGTGGATTATCGGTATTGCCCAGTGGACGCAGCAGTTTGTCGGCAATGTCTTGATTCAATTCAGGGCGCACTGTGTTGGTATCGACTATGAGATATCGAAGCGAGGACAAGTCGGGTGTCACTTTTTTGCTGTGCGAGTTGACCTCTTTGGGATGTGCTTGGTAGTATTTTGTGATGGATTTCAATGCAGGGTAATCGGCCAATGCCATGGTTGCTATGGTTACCATGGTTGAGTTCATTTGATGGTATGCACATGTAAGAGTCTAATGTTACCTTTATACTTTGACAGGACGTAAATCCAAACAGCAGGCGAATCCACAATGGAACCGCTGGCAAATACCATGTTGTTTCCCGCATAGACAGAGTGTAGGACAGACAGAATCAAGCCAATTTGCTGTCTCGGCTCAAAATAACTAACCACGGTCTCTGGACTACGAGCATTCTTCTTGGGCTTGACCAGAACAGCGCCATCTTCCCCAGTGATGATTGTTGTCTCTGTTGTAGCCGCTTGAAATGTTGCACATTGTTCCATAATAGAAGCATGGGAAACGGTGACACCCTTCAATTCGCCATTGCTTGCTTTTGCATATTCGATATATGCAATTTCAGGCACTTTGATAGGTGGATATTCAGCTGCCTTTTTGGATGGATACCATGTCCCCATCTCGTTTGTCTTCCACCAGCTGATACTGGGAGGAAATTCGATGGATTTTGCTTGCATGTCCTTGGTGAATGCTCGCTGGTTGTGATCGGTTGTCAAGATGAGGTAAATGTTGGCCAGTGTCAAGATAAAGGAGAGTTCAGACAGATCCTCGGCAGCATTGATAGGGACAGCTGTCACTCCAGCCAAGAAACAGCCAAACAATGCTGGGATGAATTCGAGTACTTCTGATTTTCGATAGATGAGTGCAATACGATCGCCTGGCTTGACGTTGCCCTTGGATTTGATAACTTGAGCAATTTTCTCGGCACGCGCATTCAGTTTCTCCCAAGACAGTGTTGTAGGCTCCTTGCCACGCGCATCCACAAGCGAAAATGCATCTTTCAATCGATCGCCACTCTTTGCTGATCTGAATCGAAGCACGTGTGCTAAATTTGGGAAATCTGTCAATACCGTTTTATTGTCTGCGTCATAGAGTGTGAATGGAATAGATCGACCCTTCAATGGTGTCATTTGACGGCCTGCCAAGTCTTGCAGAAACATTTGGTCGATAAGATCGTTCAGCATAAGTTTGGGTTGTGGGGCTGGTTCAATGGCTTTGAAGGTGGTAGCCATGTAGCTGTCTCTGTATCTGCTTCTCCCGTTAATGCTGTTGCTTCTGCTGCTGTTAGAGCGAGAACAACGTACGGTAGCTGGTCCATATAAATCGACCATGGACAAAAGACTGTTGGATGAGAGGGATTGACGCATGCGACTGGACGCTGACATGATGGACGCCTCTCTTCCAAGACCACCACCACTAGGTCGCCATGAAGCAGATGAAGTCTCTATTCATGAGATGAGCACACGATGTGTCATGATGTATGTCTCGCACTAACACTTACCCCAATCTACAGCAGAAGGCAAGCTATCTGGTTCAGCCACCATGTCCATTTGACGTACGCTTTGTGGATAGCTCTTATTGAGCATATCATGTTTTGAATCCAACGAGGGCGATCGATTATGTTGTTGAGAGAATGGAGGCACAATATGAGTAGGTGTGGGAGGTCCATTCGTGGCATTTAAATGAGATGGTGGTCGATAACTGTACATGGACTGTGGAGGAGGCGGTTGAGGCCGGTACATTGGGTTCATTTGAGCATTCGGCAGTGGAGGAGGAGGAGGCCTACTAAATCCGTTGTTCATGGGAGGTCTACCTATATACTGATTACCATACATGGGACGAGCAGGACCCATACGCGGATCAAATACAGGGCGATTCATGTAACTTTGTGGTGGAGGTGGAGGAGGTCTATTGTTGGTGTTGTAGCTATTATCCGGCATGAAAGGGCGGGGTTGTTGTTGTTGTTGTTGTTGTAACTGTGGTGGTGGTGGTCGGATAGAGCTAGTCGAAGAAGTTGGGATGGTATGAGACGGTGGAGGAGGACGACGAACACCCATTTGAGCCATTGGGTCTGATGGTTGTTGCACGGTAAATGCAGAGTTCTGTTGTTGTTGCTGCTGGTGGTGCTCCTCCATCAATGCTGCGCCTTTCGTATCTGCTGCTGGCGAATGTGATGGAGAAGGCAAGAAATCAAGGAAATCTGTAACATCAGCAGCACTTGGCTCAGGACCGAGGTCGAGAAGAGCCAACTCGGATGTAACATTGGTGTCTGGCTGATCATCTTCGTTCGTAGAACTCATTCGTCGTCGGTTCATGGCAGCAGCCGTCCTCTCAGCAATCAAGTCTTGATAAGGCTCCAACAGCTGATTCCTCTTCTTTTCATAGCCTTTCTGTGTAATATCGCCTTCTTGTAATTCGAAATCAAGACATACTAGCTGGTCTGCTACGTCCCAAGGAAGATCGTCGTACGAAAACTTTGACATGGCAACAATTTTTTCTCCTTGTGGTTGTTCAAATTGCTGTTGTTCTAGTTCCTGTCTTGATAAAAGAGAAGAGTATCTCGTTCTAAAGTTTCCAAGCAAAGCCTAGTAAGAAAAGAAACAAGAAAAAAAAAAAAAAAAAAAAAGGCTTTAAATAGTGCAAGATGTATCCGGACCTCAAGTCGCTTTACTATACAACTACTACATTCTAGATTAAGGATCAGCTCTTTTGTGTGTGCAAACCAGTAGTGCTTTCTTCAGTTGTACGTCATTCATCACCATTCGGTCGGCTAATATTTCATGAAGCTGTACTCTCTATTTGATGGCTCGCTATTGTTAATGCGCTTTTAGTAGCTTTCTCAAATAATGGACTCTAAGCCAAAGAAATCTGGCATTGCCATTCAATCATCTGCTCCCTTGTATGCTCAGAGAAATCATCATCACGCTGTATCCACTGCTAAAGAGCACGTACAAGACCATGATCATGGTGTAGACGAGAAGGAGGTAATGTATTGAACCCATCGTTTCTATCAGGGCAACTGTACTGACCCGTGATGACGAAGCAGATCCATGCGCAAACGCCTCTTACTCCTGGTGATATGGACAACTCACCTAAGCAGCATCAAAGCACTGCTCACAATCATTCTCATGACCACCATAACGAAGAGCACGGTCATTTCCACCATTCGCAACCACAACAACAGCATTTTCATAGCCACGCACCATTAGATCATACAACGTACGGCCATCATAACCACAGCCACGATCATAGCCATGATCACCATGGACATGATCACGCTCACGCTCACGCTCATGCCTTTCCCGCTGTGTATACTAGACCTTTGCCTACATGGACGCAGATCTTCTCCCATCTGGCACCAGCACAAAAGACGATATTTACCTGGTTTGTGCTTCATTTGGGTATAGGTATCTGGCTGTATTGTATGGGTACCAATAGAGAAAGCCTATGTAAGTACATTGTCCTCATTTACTTGGATGTACATTGGATTGACATAAATACACGGTCATAGCCTTGATTGGATTTGCTTATTTGATGATTTTTGATGCGTTGGGCGTACTCAATTCATTCATCTCTAGCATATTGAGGACAAATGCTGCTTTTGGCATCTCTAATACAAAGAGACCATATGGGTAAGGTGGCACACTCTGAAGCTATGCGATAGATCACTGACAGGCCAAAATGATAGTGCACATCGTTATGAAATTGTCTTTGCCTTGGGCACTACAATATACCTCATGTTTGCCACTATGCACAATACAAAAGAATCGCTGGAGCATTTCCTGTTGCAGGATCATCATGGTGTAGAAATCCATGATACCGAAGAGTAAGTAGAGTGCTTTAGCATACAAGATGAATTGTCATACTCAGTGTGCTATTTAAAAAAGGCATCATTTACAGTTTAGCCTGGGCATGTTCTTTCTCGTAGGTACAGCCATCACAGCCACCTGTTTATCCAGCATCACTCTACGAAATCACGACAATTTTGTGCGATACTTGCGACGACGACCTTCTACCGTGCATGGATTCACCTACAATGTGATCAACAGGGCCAGAGGAAATCCCATCCATGCTCTGCTATCCAACATTTACTCCAGCTTGATTGTGCTGTGCGGATCCGTCATCCTGTTAACCTACATGTTTGGCATAGCAACACCATTTGTCGACAAGTTCCTTGCCTTGTCTGAATCCGTTGTCATGTTTTACTTGGGATTCCCAACAGCCAAAGCTTTGGCTAAAGTATTACTGCAGACAACACCCAATACTGTACAAAATGGAGTTGAGAACCGTCTTCGGGAAATCCAGCAGGACCCTCAGATTTTACATGTCGATCGTGTTCATTTTTGGCAAACAACATATGGTAAATGTGTTGGCACCATAGAGATCCAAGTGAGACCCGAAGCAGATGAACAGGCCATTCTTCAGTTGGTGTATCAGAAATTAGAAGGCTTAACAAGCAGTGATGTGAATTCAGATGAACACGGTGGCAGTGAACTCACTGTGAGCATTCTCAAATAGCTGCATTTGAATAAATCACATTTGTTGAATACAGAATGGAGCTCTTCGTAGCATTTTTAGTGCTCCTTCTTCTCTCGTATTTTACCCCTTTTCTTTTACCTCTTTCTCTCTTTTTTTTTTTTTTTTCTTTCTCTTTGCATCTTTGCCTTCATTTCATCATCAAAATAAACATGCCCGATTCCTTTCTCAAAGGCCATTTACCCAGTTGGCTAACGTATGCCATGACAGTTACTGGCTTGACCGGTCTTACTGGCGTCATCCTTTTGTACATGTACCAGTGCAAACTCATTTACCCTGCTTCATACCCTGAAGGGTCACGTCAAGAAGTTAGTTGATGCAAATTGGACGTTTGTACCTAAACACATACTGAATTTCTCTTTCATGTCAACTAGGTAGCTGTGCCCTCTGATTTTGGTATGCAATATACCGAAGAAAACCTCAAAACCAAAGACGGCATCAACCTAAAGAGTTACATTATCTTACGGTCAAATACAGAACAAGCAAAGAGATCGCCCACTATTCTTTATTTCCACGTAAATTGCTGCTGCTGCCCTTGAAGAACACAAAGAAAAATCTTGACTAACAGGTATTTTTGATTTACTAGGCAAACGCAGGAAACATGGTAAGGAGAGAGCTATAAAAAAGGAAAGGGAAAGGGGGAAAAGACTCCATATCAACATACTTGCACATTATTTTAGGGTCACCGTCTGCCTATTGCCAAAGTATTATACGATAGATTTAACTGCAACGTCGTCATGTTGTCTTACCGAGGATATGGCAAAAGTGATGGTAGTCCAAACGAGAAAGGTCTCAAGATTGACGCTCAAGTAAGATTTACTTTTTCGACATTTCAGCACATGAGCTAACAACTGTCAAAAACATGTAGACCATGCTCGATTATGTAAGAGAACACCCTATTTTACAAAACACACCTCTGGTGGCATACGGACAATCCATTGGTGGTGCAGTGGCCATTGATCTAGTATCTCGCAACGAAGATTCATTCTCTGGACTCATGGTGGAAAACACATTTTTAAGTCTACCCAAGTTGATCCCCAGCGTGATGCCATTCCTCAAGCACTTTACATTTCTCTGTCATCAGCAATGGCCTAGCGAAAAGAGCATTCAGCGTATTGTCAAGACACCTATTTTATTCCTGGCTGGAGCAAAAGACGAGTTGGTGCCACCCTCTCATATGGTAAAATTGAATGAATTAAGCGAATCACGTGCTGAAAAAACTTGGTGTGTGTTCCCCAATGGTATGCACAACGATACTTGCATGCAGCCTGGATATTTTACTGCCATTCGTGAATTCTTGGAATCTCAGATCTTAAAGCAGAGCCCCGAAGATCAACCTCAACAGCCTGAAATTAAGACCACACCATCAGCAGCACCGTCAGCAATGAATCAAGAAAAGAAAAAGACGACATTGGATGAAAGCTACATTGATGGTCAGCTCGTTAATGAAAACAATGACAAATCATATCAATTGGTGAGTGGTGTTGTAGATGATAAAGGTTTATCACATAGCTTTCAAGTTGAGGAGGTGGAACTTGAAGAAGATTAGCCCTTTTGGTGTAATTTTAAGCAATGTACATGGCCAATAAAGTACAAAAATATATCATAATATCCTTAATATATATTTGCCACTGAATAAGTAATGTGCGTAATGAAGGGATGCTTGATATGCGTCATGTACTTCACTTCCCAATGGTTATCGGAATAAGCATGATATCAATGAAATCTGCATATATTTCGATAATAAACCAGAATAGTTGGAGCTAACACGTACTAGCTACAAATTAAAAGCAACCGGCTAAGCTATAATGCATTTCAATTTATGATTCCATCCAAATTAGCCTCACAAACGTTGGCTACTTTCATCAGGAAGGCATTTCGCCAGCCAACCCCAATTGAATCTCCGTCAAATTAATGTCTGACACCTGCCACCCATCATCATCTCTAATATATATTTTTTTTTGTAAGAGATCTTTTCTGGTTTTATTTAAAGTCTCTAATATATTTACCAGAAAACTATATAAAAAACGTCGGAGTGACCAATCAGAGATCAGAGACGTTAAAAAAAATTAAAGCACTGAGTACCGTACAAGGCTCGAAAAAACCACCGGCGAAGCTAGCATTGGGGAGGGGGGGGGGGGGAACTTGGTTCCTCTACCAAGAACATAGCGCATCTAATTCAACATTTGGTAACGTTGACCTATAAGTGGGTTTTACCTTAGCGAAGCGACGGTGCAAAACCATAGCATTCAAGCAGCCAATGCAGCTTTTTATTTCTATTATTATTAAGCCTACCAATAATATAACGCATCAATATTTGCATGAATCAGCTTTACCAAAATCAGCATGCCTCCTATTCGAACTAAAAATTGCTCAAGCTATAGAACCGTCTTTCCGGTAAATTGCAACTACCAAAGATGTGGTTATGCCGTGTAAATAAAAGCTATACAACAAAACATAACCAAATTTAACAGCTTTCAAGCCTTGATATATGGAAATGTAGACGTTTATGAGCCACCGGAATGACGCCAAACAATTGTACTTGAGTAGTAGTAACTTCCTGACACCTTTGCTCAACTTTTTGGGGACCAAAAAAACATGGCCAAAAATCGACCAAAAAGCATGAGGGATACCTCATGGATTTTTGCCAAAATCTATCTCGGGGTATAGTCTCCAGCACGTCAAGCCTATAAGCAAGAGAACAAACAGTTGGGTGGCTCCTCCTCCATTGAAAGTACTCGCATATGCGGATGATGTCCTGACTTTCGTCAAGTCTCGGGCAGAACTTCTTGATCTGGAAGAAAGATTGAGAACTTACAACAAGGCCTCGAACTCCAAGATCAACTACGACAAGTCCGTGGCCTTCCCTCTTCATGGTGGAAGAATGACAAGCCAAACTGGTGGCCTAATTCAAGATCATGCAACAAACAATCTCAAAATCAAATGGTATGATTCTACGTCTACAGGATTTATAAAATACCTAGGTTATCCAATTTGGTTCTGCAATCAACAAAGAGACGTATACATCGCTAAACTGCTGGGTGATATCACTACTGCTGTTGAAAGGTTTGCAGCACGACAAGTCTCACTGTACGGCAGAGCGAATATTGCCAACACTATGATATTGTCCAAACTATGGCATGTCATTCGGATCGTTTCCCTGCCCAAAGACACAGTCAAGAAGATAACCTCAATCATTTATCAGTTTGTAATGTCTGGCCTGTATCCACCTCTAAAAGGCAACTCCCTCTTCCTACCAAGGTACCAAGGCGGTTTAGGACTGATTGATTTAATGGCGCAACAAAAGGTTCTGCAATTCAGATACCTGAACGCTTTGCTGACAGAAAACAGCAACAACATACCTGGTCTCACGTATAGGCTACTAGTGGATTATTTGAAGATGTCGCACGACTCACCATCGCACATAATCCCTATACTGTTCCAAACGGCTAGATACAAAAACCAGTTAAGAGGCTTCCACCCTTATCACATGATGTTCGAGGCAATAGATACTTATATGAAGCATTCCCCATTCTCACTCGCTTGGTCTGTCAAACCAAATGTCATGACACTCTTGTCATTGCCAGTGCTGGAAATTCTTGATTTTGTCAATGAGGAAGTAGCCATGGGATACACAAGCAGAGACTCGATCAGGGAGAGTAAAGTTCATGACTTCTTCCACGTCAACCAGGAAACAAGTACTCTGCAGATAAAGCCAAGAAGTGAATGCAAGCGACCAAACATTAGGAATCAGATAGAAAGAGGTCTTCTCTGTGGGAACATCAGATTGGAATCTTTCGCGGATACAAGAAACATGGAGGCTCATCTAGACCTACAGCCTTTCGTTGCTATGCTTAACTACCAAGACCGCCCAATGCTTCAAATGTCAAACAAATACTTGAGATCAATTATGCTGGACATACACAACCTTGATGTTGGACGAAAGTTCAATCATACCATCAGCAAAGTCCAGTGGAAACACTTCTATCATCAAAACATGCATCACTCTGTGAGAAATGTCTGGTATAGAATGATACACAAGCAATGCCCGAGCAAATCAGCTCTTTTCGTTCGACGCCTGAGGAACGTCGAAGATGACAAATGTACCCTCTGCAATGATACTGAAGATGCCAAACATCTCATGGTTAGCTGCCCCCACAAAAACGACATTTGGTCCAACATCTTTGAACAATTCCTGGGATACCCCAAGGTTGCTAATCCACAACAAGTATACCAATCTATAGTTAACTTAAACCTGAAGCAATATTTCATCTACAACCTCGATATCAAGATTACAATCTTCGACCTGTTTGCTGCCACCATTCGTATGATATGGAGATTCCACCTCCTACAAACATTCGAAGGAGTGCCATTTGATACCAACAATGTCACCAACAAGATCAGTGCTGAAGTGATGAGGTTGTCAGATCTCAAGCATCAATATTAGTAGTAGCTTTAATAGATTTTATATATGGCAAGTCACTTTGTTACATACACTTGTCCATCATTTGATGTTCTTATTATAATGTATATTTACTAATAAATAAGCAACATCCATACAAAAAAAAAAAAAAAAAAAAAAAAAAAAAATTTTGCCAAAATCAAACGATTGCATTTTTCACCTTGAAAATGAAGACTTTTACTATGGTATATCTTGAATCAAAACGTTTCTATCAATCCAAAGCAACCACTGAAATCATCTTTGTGGCACTTTGATATGTAAAATTTCGACATTTTGGCCAGAAACCTCTTTTCATATGTTCACAAATCATTCAATAAGTGAATTCAAAACATCTATATAACTTGGTACCATTGGAAGCGCCTTGAAAAGTACTTCAAGGATTTTTTTTTAATTTAACCGTAGTGTATATACTTTTATTTTTATTTAACGATTGGCCTAATATTTACAAAACTTCTACGTAACGTTATGTAAAGCAAAGTGTATCTGAATTGAGAAAGAGGCTGAGAAGCCAATCGAGTGGTCTCGATGATTGAAGAATTTTATCTGGAGTTCCTCTGAAGAGTGTGCAATTGGGAAAGATTTCGTCGACCAGAGAGGGCAGTGTCCAGAGCAGAGCACTTGATGCGGCTGCTAATTTTTGTCATACTTGTAACACCTGATAAACAACTAAACACCAAAATGGGACTACAGTATCACACACTGCATACCAAAATTCTTGCTTCCATCGAGATTTGAACTGGTGACCTTACGTTTGGCAAACGCACTTTCTACCACTATGCCCAACCACGAAGGGTTTTACTTGTCAGATGCGAATACGTAGAGATAGTATATGCAATCTGAGATCTGATCGAGATAGATATAGATATAGATGTAGGGATTATGCAGGAATGTATATAGCCTTTTAGTTGAATGGATAAAAAGGTACTTTATTAATATTAGATTTGAACATTGATTTTATCCAATATAGTTTGTGTAATGTTGTGCGCTATCCAGGTTAATCGCTGTTTAATGTTCCTGGTAGCTGGCGCTCTAGGTTTAAACCTGCGCTTCTTATTCTTGTTTGTGTTTAGTCTGTCAATGATATCCTGCAGATCTAAATCACTGTCAGAATACCCTTCAACCCTGACATACTTCAAGGATGTATTAGGAAGCGTAGGGTGATCATTACAATTTATATAGTCGAATACCACAAAATAAATTAAAGAAGTCGAAAAAAGACAAATCTGTCCAATCTTGAACAGAAAAGACAAATAGAGTTTGAATTGATTTTAGCGGGTGGCACTGCTGCTGGCTGGCCCAAATGCCTTTCTGTCGATGACAATGATGATTGTGATGCTGATTAAATTGAGGTCATGGAATTGAAAGGTCAATCGTTCAGCTCGAATGCCTTTTTTTGTATTTGGTGGAAATTTTCCCTATAATAGCGGTGTTTTTACAATGACAACTTCTCAAAAAAGTTGCTGTAGATCTTATACAGTACAGGTACTGTATGCGTAGCGAGATTGATCGGCTAGTCTATTATACTGAGTACCAAACGTACACACAGCTTAGTTTACAGAGCTCTTGCACAATTAAATACTTGCTTCACAGGCAGATACTGGGTGTCAGTTGTGGAGTAGTTGTAAAGCAAGTGTACCCTCTTCCAGTATTTCATTGTAATGCTAGCGGATGTATTTGTACTTATTGAATTGCACAATGCTTTATTTGCTTTTTATACAACTTTTTATTGATCAAGCTTGTGTGTCTTGTCTTCAGGACAAGATAGGTAACATTTGAATAATGTAAAAATAACTGTTGTCTAATATGCGACGGTATATCTCTGCATCTATCAAACAGCTATTGACAACATTATTTAAGACACCCTAAACTTGTTCTAGATCTGATATATTGATGCCTGACTTGTAAAATCCCTTGAAGTATTCCTTCATGAAATCTGCATCCATTCTCAGTATGTATTTCTCTTCTCTCCACTCTTTCTCGTTCCTTTACACTCTTTGTTTGCGTAGCATCAACACTATCTAAAGCCATTTCTTAGTTCTCGTCATATTTTTGTGTCTTGACATCTCTTATTTATAACCAAATCTATAAAGCACTACTCTTGTTACAGTATGTATTGATCTGGTTAATCGCCGTACCATTACAAATGCTCACATTTTTCTTGTCTAGTTATTTGTTTCTGTGTCAAATGTCTAGTGTGCGAACAAAAGTAGAGCAAAGGGATCCGTTTACTGGCACTCAAACCAGTCGTCCTCCCCAAAGAAGAGTCGTTGCTAAAGGGAAAAAAAAGAGAATAAGAAGCTGTAGCATCCACAAATGCCATGTCCACATCAAGTTACCAGCCTGTTGTCAAAAGGCCCAAGTCATTCGGTGCCTCGCCGCAGCGTTTGATGGATAGTTTTTTTTCAAGCAATGAGGGAAATCATCGAAAACAAAGCAAGGCCCATCACTGACAAGCCCAGTAAATTGGATGTACTCAAGAAAGTATTACTCTCAGTGAAGAGGCTCCCCCTAGGTGTCATTACTACTGCTGAAAAGATCTGTCAATGCGCCAAAGATGAGTTGAAAAATTATCTTGAATACCATGGTACTAATCAAAACTTTCAATACTTTCAAGAGTACGTCAAGGATCACTTCAATGCTGCTGTGGTATCTTTACAGCCTCAGGCCACTACGTCTACATCCACTGGTGAAAGTGCATCCATCCCAGCTACACCGGTTATTGCTCCTTCTGACTCTGTAGCGTTTCTTCGCCGCGACCTCTCTGGCATGGACATGGCATCCGACATGTCTTCTGTGTCTGGCGCCCCTTCACATGCAGCAATGTCTTCAATCTCGCATAATCCCTCTGATATATCCATGGTTGAAGCTCCCCCCAGACAATGTAGAATACCGCACTTGTACCGTGTCTTTCAAGAGCCTTTTACGAAAGGATGTGCCTTCCAATCTTGTCGAGTCATTTTTGCAGAAGCTAAATACTGCATTGCATGATGTATCTGACTATGTTATGGACTTGCAATTGATGATATATACATTGATGCTCTCAATGAAGTCCTCGCAGCTCTTAGCTTGTAGTGGTAATATTCAGCTGAAGAAAGCTCGTGGTTTCCAAATACAAGGCATCCTCCCAGCAGGCTACAATATGAAAACGGATGTCACTACCTCTGCTCCTCCATTGCCCTCTAATGCCTTGAAGTCTACGGCTTTTTGCAACGGTGTCAAGGATCTTTTCCAGAGCAGACACATTGATTACCTGCATACTGCTTTGTTTGGCCAAAGAGATACTAAGATCTCGCATCCTACATTTGCTGCTCTGTCGTCCGCCAATGCGCCAATACTTGGTGCTATCGTAAGGGATACGCCTCAACCTGCTAATGAACTCATGATGGTGGCTCGAGGATTGTACAAAACAAATCTCGAAAACATGTGGGCAAGTAATAAGGTATTTAACAAATCACTGAACAAGCTACTGGAGATTCTTCTTCGCGTGCATCTCGCCCCAAAACGAGAGTCGCATTACTGGAAACGTCAACAAACCAAAGCAAAGAAGCAACCCGAGCAAGTTGTCAATTCGACCAGAAACTCGTTTCACAACGCCATCCGATCAGAGAAGTACAAACTGCAAAGATATCAAAGAAAGGCACAGGGCAAACCAGAAGACAACAACTGGGCGAAGCTGGCCAGAAATAGTCAAGAGCGCATAACTCACATGTACGCTGATGCCAAGCGTCCTGTCAAGTCTGTTTCTACTTCTGGTACTACACTTGATCAAGCTGCTGTATCTGCTTCTGGTTCAGGCTCTTTTACTACAACTGTATCTATTCCTACTGCTCCCTCTGGCACTTCTGACGCTGTTACTGCCTCCAATGCTAGTTTTGATCTTGATAGTGCTGATATGCCTATTGACGAACTGCTCCCCCTTTCTGAACTGATGGATGAAGAAGATGACCAAGAAGAAGAGGAAGGCATCCGTGATCTGCCTAGAAGACGAATTATGATTCTCAAAGCTACCCTGAGAAATCTCTTGGTGAGGCAAGCTGGAAAGTCTATTACCCATATACAGCTCAAGAAGGAACGTCCCGATATCACGGAAGAAGAGAATCGCGTGTGCATGCTTCTGGGAAAATTATTGCTGCCTTATATACCTACTAGAGATCATTATAGCTACATTGGCTTCCAGTTGCCATTCTTATTGTTGGCCAATGATATCTTTTGCTCTGTTGGCTACCACAAGTTTGCCGTGGATCTGTGTCCAATTTCTTCCTGTGGCTCATTACATGCAATGCGTGTGGACGCGGCCTCTCTGTATGCCTTATGTACCAGAGGTGATGATCAAATGGATATCTTTGACTTTCAAGGGTTTGTCATAGAAAACGTTGGAATAGCAATACAATACAAGGATGCCGTGTTTAATTCTTTTTTCGACATTCGTGCCATCACGCAAGCCTGCAAGTCCTTTGGTCTGACATTTGCTCACAACCTTACCATTATGCCTGGTCTTACCTCTGTCCGTATTTTGGGTACCAAACCAAGTTCTAACAAGTCAGTTTCCAATACGAAGAAACCTCTAGATATTGATTGGGATACCGTGAGAGAGCTTCAAACCAGAACTAATCAAACACTGAAGAAAGACACTGGCCAACTGGAAATCGATAACAAGGCTGTGTTTGATGAGCTGAAGGCTGCAAACAAGGATTACAAGAAGGAGCAGTATTCTACAAGGATCAAGGACTTGAAGAAGCAGTGGCACACTGATCGTAGCAAACACCAAGAAATCAAAGAGCTGAAGGCTCAAAGATACCAGTTGTTCATCGCCATCAAACAGACCAAGCAACAACTGTCCAACATGAGAACTCGTGCCTTTTTGACAAGGAAAGCCATTGAATATAGAAACAAAGACATCCCTCTTGTATCGAATTACGAGCCTCCTACTTCTGACCAACATCTCGATTCAATGGTGTTTTCGGGTACTGATAACGGGCTGGCTGTAATGACAGAAACTATTGGCATGAATCTGAACAAATACAAATATCACTTGTCACTGCATAATAGATTCTCTCCTCTCACCCATCTCAATGCTGATGAAGGCAATTTGTCTGATAGTACTGGTACTGCTGCTGGCAACGATGGCAATGGCGTTGATCAAGTTATTACGAACGATGCTATTGACAAGGATGAAATTCGTGATGGCAGTGTTAAATGCGATGGAGATCCCAATGGTGATGATGACGACGCCGGTGCTACTGCTAATGATCGTGGTCAGACAACAACATTTGAACCTCTGCCAGAGTCATACAAGATGCGTGCTGAAGATGTCGACTTTGGTTCTGGCCAATTTATGAGGCAAAAGATCACTTTGAAAGACAAAAAAACAACAGAAGAAGGAAAGAAGGTTCAAGAGATTGAGCAGCAATTGCCGAGATCCAGTGTGTTCAGAGCCAAAGAGGTAGAGGATGTCGTGTCAAATCTTGATGCACACAGAAGCAATGGCCCAGCATTGTGAGCGTTCTACCACTCAAAGAAGCAAAATACTCTAACAAGGTTGAGCATATCGACAGGCGTTTCCGTTCTCGTTTTGCTTCGCGTGAAAGATCCTTTTGTGCTGGTGTTCGTCCCCAAACGTCACTTACAATGTTCATTGGAGATCGTGGTCTTTGTGTCGGCTCTCGTTTGAAGGGTCATTTGAAGTATGGTGGAAAATGGAAGCCTCGCTTACATTCATCTGTCGCCACTGTGCATACTACCAACGAACACAAGACATCCCAGACGTGCATGTACTGCTTTGGGCCCACCTCTCATCCCACACAAACCATCAAAGCAAAGGATGGTAAGACCAAGGCAAGGTCCATTCATGGTGCATTCCTGTGCTTAAATCCTGCCTGTGTGTCCGCTCTCAATTACAGAGCCATTCAAGGTAGAGACAAGACATCTGCTTTGGCCATCGCTGTCTCTGGGCTTTCCATTCTCTTATTCAAGCAGCCATTGCCTGTACTCAATCCAAAACCCAGTCAATCCAACACTGGCATTATTTCCAAGACCACCTCTTTCTGCAGCAGAAACGAGAAAAGGGACGGCAGCGGTGCTGTATTAGCGGACGCTTGAGTCTTCAAGGTAATGTGCTCAATCTGGCTTTTTCAAGAGACCGCTTTACTAATTTGTCACTTATTATTATACTCGCAAGATTCAAGCTTTCGTTTTATCTGGCCAAGATTGGACAGATTTGGTCGATTTCGAATTGATTTATTCTATTTTGTCAAATTCGACTATATAAATTGAGGTGATTATCCTGTACAGCCTTAAGCTTTCTTGGCGTACTTTTTAAGGCGCATCCAATGGTGCTAATTATAAAAGATATTATGACTAAACCTACTGAGCAATCTTTAAAAATAGGAAATGAGGTTTTTAGCAAAATCGTCGATATTTTGCATATGAAAGTATCACAAATGAAGCTTCAGAGGTTGCTTTGGATCGATAAGAACGTTTTGATTTAATGTATCATAGTAAAAACCTTCATTTTTGGGGTGAAAAACTTGGTCGTTTGATTTTCGATAAAAACCATGAGAGGTACCTCATAGGAACCATCCCAGCTGACATTCGACGCGCTTGCAAGAAAATCCTGAGGCAAATCAACGAGAACAAAGTACATATCCAACCGTACTTTAACCTCATGCTACAACCCCCCTTAGGGTGGCACCAATCGCACAACCGACATCTCCTTTAAACCGTTCATTGACTCCTATGACTTCAACAGCCAGCAAGGACTCACTCGACAAATTTCAACCAGAGCATTCCGCACAGCATGCATCGAGGCTCATATCTCCAGCATCGCCAGGTCCGACTGGAATTTCTTCTGGTCTCTGTCCCTGAACCTTGTCCACCGTAATGTCATCTATCGCTTCCTCACCCACACCATCCCGACCAAACGCCTGCTACACTACTTTGAGATAGCCGAGTCACCTCTCTGCCCAATCTGTGGTAACGAAGAAAATGCTGTACACTTGTTTTTCCTCTGTTCCAGTAAGGCATCCATCTGGAAAGCTATCATCTTTGAATTTTTGTGGCCAACCGTTTCGATTGGTGATATTATCCAAGCCTGTTCCTCGCTTGACTTTGAAAACATCAAGTATGTCTCCAAATCATACACCACTGCTCACATGGCCGTACTGGTAACACTTGGCAACATTTGGCGAGCTCAAGTTCGTATGATCTTTCACTCGACTCCATTTATATGGATCGATGTGGTCCAGCAGATCAAGAACGAGCTCCTTCAACTACATGCCCAAACTGAAATTCACAAGCAATTGTAATTCTCTAATCACAATTGTCATCTATCATCTGTTCCTGTCATCTATCGCTTTATCCTAAATACAATTGAATATCATATCAATTGCGCCCGCCTCTTGGTAGTGCCCTAGGGACCTACTTACACGGAGCAATCAATAAAAACAATTTAAAAAAAAAAAAAAAAAAGTACTTCATGCTTTTTGGTCAATTTTTGGCCATGTTTTTTTGGTCCCCAAAAAGTTGAGCAATAGTGTCAGCAAGTAACTGCCAGATAAGAGCAATTGTTTGGTGCTATTCTGACCATCTAAAACGAGAAAACGCAGCTCAAATGCTCAAATAAATCGAATCTCGCTGTGTTTTGCGTATTTTTGAGTAGTAAGAGGTCATGCAAGTGTGCTGCTTACCTGTATAAAGGTTGCTTTTGCTGGGGAAGACGTAAGCACTCGAGAAGTGCTAAATTCACAGTTATGAAAGCTTCCTATGCATCATTGAAGAAGTAAGAAGGCTACAATAAAAGAATATTTGATGATGCTTACAGTCTTTTGCTGCACAATATTTTTTTTTTATCTTGCCTTCTAAGGCTACTAGTTCTTGAATATACTGTAGATTAAGAGCTTAGAACACAGCATAATGCAATGTTGTTCAATACTAGATTCTTCAGACATAATAAAGGTATTGAGTGCGAGTGTTTACAACTATATTGGATATATACAAACATGCGATGACTGAAATTACATATGTTTTGATTCGATTATACCCTTTGACAGATGATTCATCTACCAAGAAGTTGTATATATACGTTGCATCCTAAATGAGTCAGACTTCTGAAGTGAAAAAGGTCATTGCATTACACTATTAAAGCGGTGTGTAATATCAGTGAATGCTCTTTCATCAAAGGTGCTAGGATAATTATTTTGTCTACTGTCGCTCATGTCAGTAAGCTTTTCTTTCAGGGGTTTAATCTTCATGTACGCCTTGCCTACTATCTGCTTGTCTATCTTCTCCTTCTGGTCCAGTATGATAACATATCTCTAGATGCAGACATTGACCTCTTGCCAAATTTCTACGGCAAGTTCATCTATTCAGGGATATAATGATCCTGCCCAAGGTGTCCAGTTCTATAGAGATTGATTGCGTCAGATGCTATGTGTGGACTTGCTCAGTGCTATTCAACAGACACTACACAGTATCCATAAGAACTGTCTGTAGATTCCACCCTAGTTGCAAAGGTACTTCTGATATGCATGCAATTTGCAATGCTGGTGCGTACACATTTATGCGTGTCTATGAAACAGCTGTTTGTACACATCTTTGGCCAAGTCGAGTTGATGACGCCCAGCGCCATGGCAAGTTTAGTAAGGCTGAATCCCTCCGTGATCGTATGATGACTTTTGTTACACAGGTATAGGAAAATGTAAAACTTTTTGTTATGAAAAGCGTTGTTGCAAAATTGAAGGGAAGGATATTAAGCACTACATTTGCTTCTATCTCTATGGAAAATGATAATTGAGAGTTGCTTCACTTTTGGTGATGTCTCAAATTAACTGTAGAATACACGAGGAAAAGTAGCATCTCATTCTGCCATGCTTTATTGACGCGTATTGCTATGAGAAAAGAACCTAGACCACTATTCTTTGAAGGCAAATGCAGGTATAAAAGTGAATTCATGCAGTAGATTTTATTTCTTTACCTTTTGCTCTCGTTTAAATAATTATTGCTAAAATGTTATTACGCTCTGGCTACGAATACAGTGTAAGTACCATGACACAAGACAACTACCGCGAAGCAATATTTCGTACTGACATATGAACATTCATGCCTAGTTCTCTGCTCCTACCTCTACCACTAGCATCCGCAGCAGTAGAAAGAGAAAGTCGGCAGATGATGAGTTGGATGAGCGACCTTTGAAGAGACAGGATACTACTCTTGTCCTTCAAGGGGAGCCATCTATCTCCTCTCATCTTACTCCTCCAGTTGCACCTCCCTCCTCTTCCAATCCGCCATTACCTTCTTCTTCTTTATCCGAATTACCTTTAGTGGGGGATGGAAGCAACTCTTTCGGTGATACAGTTCCTGTGGAGGAAGAGTCTGCTGGCAACGAGAGGGGTTCTCAGCGGGTACGTTTCCACAAAGACGTGGTTACGTACCTGTTTGAGGCCGACGATGAGCCTTGTAGAGCGGCAGACCACAAGTATGTTGATTACCTTGATTACATCTAATGTCTGCCAATCTCAAGGTTCATCATTCTCTTTCTACTGTCTTTCCCTTTTCTTCTTTTCCGCAAAACAACAACTTTCAGAATACACACAGTATACAGCCAACTATTTTTTTTCACTGATGGATAAGAGGCACTTTGATCTGTGTTCGGTATCGCCTACAAGACTCTGGAGCAACCTTTCGATACATGACGACCATCTACACCCTTGCATTACCAGTGCCAATATCTATAACATGTCAGTATTCTCTATCAAAGAAACCGTGCTTGATCTTTACTGACATCCATAAAAGATGACTGACGCAGCTTTATGCTGTCTTGCAATACATGGACATTCTACCCCTTTTTTCATTCTTACCATATTCCAAATTGCACACATAAGCAACGGCATTACTATAAACATATTTATTTAGTCTCATTCTACCCTTTCGTATAATCCATATCCATGCCATTACAATAAAATCCTAGATTTTGTATTAAATTCTGTCTATTCAAGTTGTCCTGAATAGTGATATTTTACAGCCGTTATTCAGATAGAATATATCGTATATAATCCGAGAATACAAGGTCTTGCTTGCTTCAGATTCGATTAGATATTCAAATAATAATTTTGACTAAGTGGTTGCCATGGTTACAATTGGCCTGTCAAGAGTATCTTTTTATGTCAATGATTTATTAAATAATAATGTTAGCATGATATGAGTTTAAGGGATAACAATAATGGATTTAGATTCTAAAGTAACATTGCAGTCTAATTTCAAGGATGATCCCAATGTAGTTTCATCATCAGAGAGGATGGATTCTGCAAAACTCTCTGGTCTTGTATTATTGACGATGGATTTCTTGCTTGTACTTGCATTGAACCCTGTCTGGCTGCCACTATTTCGAAACAATTTACCCTTGGGAAAGTAAGCCATGAAAGGCACACATGTAACTAGTAGCATAGAAAAGACAAAACATAACCAAAAGAATCCAATGATATCATTCAGCTTGGATAGAAAGTAGCCCAAAAACAAACCAACCCCTGACATGAGATAGATGGTGGCGAAGATGGCTGGCATGTGCTGTTGTTGGTATTGCTGTTGCTGCTGCTTGGTCTTTTCAAATTGCTGCTGTGATAAGATCTTTTGCATGGTTTTGATCGTGCTATAAACTGTGGATACAGACATGCCTGATAACGTAATGCCGCCAACAACAAGAGCTGAAACGACACTCTGGATGTTCTGATTAGGAACGCCAATCCAGATGAAAGCAGGGATCGAGATAATCATGGAGGTAAGTCCAACAATTTTTGTACCAAATCGATCACATAACCAGCCACTAACAATTGCTGATACTGCGCAAGGTAATAAGAATGTGCTGAGGACGATATTTCTGTAAGCCATGTTGAGCACGCTCATTTGAAATTCGAGTTTGATCATGAGAGACGGCTGTACAGTGTATTGATTAGTATGAGAGCATTGCATCAAGTATGACTCATACCTTCAAAGCACCAAGAATGGCTGTGATGGCTATTACTTGGTACAACCAGAACATTCCGCACAGCATGCATCGAGGCTCATATCTTCAGCATCGCCAGGTCCAACTGGAATTTCTTCTGGTCTCTGTCCCTGAACCTTGTCCACCGTAATGTCATCTATCGCTTCCTCACCCACACCATCCCGACCAAACGCCTGCTACACTACTTTGAGATAGCTGAGTCACCTCTCTGCCCAATCTGTGGTAACGAAGAAAATGCTGTACACTTGTTTTTCCTCTGTTCCAGTAAGGCATCCATCTGGAAAGCTATCATCTTTGAATTTTTGTGGCCAACCGTTTCGATTGGTGATATTATCCAAGCCTGTTCCTCGCTTGACTTTGAAAACATCAAGTATGTCTCCAAATCATACATCACTGCTCACATGGTCGTACTGGTAACACTTGGCAACATTTGGCGAGCTCAAGTTCGTATGATCTTTCACTCGACTCCATTTATATGGATCGATGTGGTCCAGCAGATCAAGAACGAGCTCCTTCAACTACATGCCCAAACTGAAATTCACAAGCAATTGTAATTCTCTAATCACAATTGTCATCTATCATCTGTTCCTGTCATCTATCGCTTTATCCTAAATATAATTGAATATCATATCAATTGCGCCCACCTCTTGGTAGTGCCCTAGGGACCTACTTACACGGAGCAATCAATAAAAAAAAAGTACCTCATAGGGCGGCCAAAGTTGTTTTTGGGCGTTTTCTGGTTAAAAAACAGCACCAATCGAATGCCCTACAACATTGGCCATCCTTGATCTGCTGCTGTCAATGTGGTCTCATATCCTTTCCTTTTTATCAATCTACAACCTGTTTTGATTACATTTATAATTTGAAAGAAGCGTGAGTATATCAAGAGATGAGAGGAAAAATTGAAGGAGCAATCAGTGGCAGAAGAAACAGCTAGATGTAATGATCTACATTACATACGTTTCAATCCGCATGATTGAAACATTAGTATAACACACACACATATATATATATATATATAGATAGTCTTTTTTTTTGACAAGCATTGAACGGTAGTGAGAATATCTGTCATTACTACTCATTATATACAGTACTTTTATCACAATAAATCCATCACTTGATCCTAATATTACTCGCCCAGAAATATTTTTCATGTTTTCTAATAAATATTGCCCAAGTTTAAAGACATGCAAATAGTAACACCAATCCGCCCCTCCCTAGTAGATATATATATTATTTTTTTTACAGAATCATTGCACTCTTATTACACTAGACTTGTAACTGTTTTTTTCAAAAAATGAAGAAAATTATGCAGAATGCCCAACTCTTGAGGTGGGCATTATTTAAGGTTTTGGGCGTTTTTTTCGACCAATTGGTTGCAAGACCAAAAATAACTTTGGCCACCCTATCATAGTTTCTTGGCGATCCCAAAAAAAAGTTGAGCAAATGTGTCAGTAAGTAAGTGCTAGATGAGAGTGATCGTTTGGTGCAATTCTAGGGGCCTAAAACGGCTTCTGACCTGAGAAATCACATCTCAAATGCATCCAAATCAAGCTGTATTTTACTTACTTTCGAGTAGTAAGGTCTGCTATTAGTATGCTGTGGGCCCTTAAATGAATTTTTTGTATTGCTACAGACGAAGTGCATTGTAAGAGAGTCAAATCAACAGCTATGAGTGGCTTTCACATGCCAGTGGAAGGTCAAAAGACTCACACTATCAGGGTATTTGATGCTTTATACGATATTTTGCTCGATAATAATTTTTTGATCCCGTCTTTTATGGACATTGCTGTTCAGGATATAGATTAAGCTCGAAACGGTAAGACAAAACTCCTCCGTGATCTTGTGATGACTTTTGTTACACAGGTATAGGAACCTGTAAAAGTTTTTGTTATGAAAAGTGTTGTTGCAAAATTGAAGGGAAGGATGCTAACACTACATTTGCTTCTAACTCTACGGGAAATGATAATTGAAAGTTGCTTTACTTTTGGTGATGTCTCAAATTAACTGTAGAATACATGGGGGAAAGTGGCATCTCATTCTGTCATGCTTTATTGACGCGTATTGCTATCAAAAAAGAAACTAAAACACTATTTTTTGAAGGCAATTGAAGGTATAAAGGTGCATTCATGCTGTAAATTCTCCCTCTTTACCTTTTGTTCTCGTTTGAATAATTACTATCAAAATGTTGTTACGCTCAGGCTATGAATACAGTGTAAGTATCATGACACAAGACAACTACCGCAAAGCAATATTTCGTACTGACATATAAGCATTCATGCCTAGTTCTCTGCTCCTACCTCTACCACTAGCATCCGCAGCAGTAGAAAGAGAAAGTCGGCAGATGATGAGTTGGATGAGCGACCTTTGAAGAGACAGGATACTACTCTTGTCCTTCAAGGGGAGCCATCTATCTCCTCTCATCTTACTCCTCTAGTTGCACCTCCCTCCTCTTCCAATCCGCCTCTACCTTCTTCTTCTTTATCCGAATTACCTTCAGTGGGGGATGGAAGCAACTCTTTCGATGATACAGTTCCTGTGGAGGAAGAGTCTGCTGGCAACGAGAGGGGTTCTCGGCGGGTACGTTTCCACAAAGACGTGGTTACGTACCTGTTTGAGGCCGACGATGAGCCTTGTAGAGCGGCAGACCACAAGTATGTTGATTACTTTGATTACATCTAATGTCTGCCAATCTCAGGGTTCATCATTCTCTTTTTACTGCGTTCCTTTCCTTTTCCTTCTTTCCGTACAAAATCAGCAACAACATCAACAGCGTCCCAAATCTCTCAATTTACAGCAAAAGCATTCTTACTACCCACTAATGGATGGATACTATCTAATCAGTGTTCACCGTTGTATACAAGATATCAAGGTAAGCTATTGACGTCTAATGACTGCCCACGCTCTGCTAAAACCAGTACAGATTACCATAACATGCCAGCCAACAAGACCAAAGAAATTGCACTTGAATATTCAGTGACATCTATGAGAAATGGCCAATGCAGCTTTATGCTCTCTTATTGCAGATGCACAATAGCAATACCATTAGTTTAATGCATTGTATTCAATGTAATTTCGCCCTTTTATACTTTAATCCCATACTCCTAATAAAACTATGTTTTGTATTAAATTTTATCTATCTAAATATCTTTGAATAACAGTACTGTACAGCAATCTCTTATGTCGCAAATATGGTAAATGTAATAAATCATACAAAGTGTAATTCGCTTTATATCAGACCAACGAATGACTCAAATATTGATTGCATTTGACCTGGCATTATTTGTTAAGCCAAAACAGTGAGAACGATCAAAGTTTATTTGTTCTTTTATATGGCCCTTCTCATTTCAAATGCTACATCTTCTATTCGTCGCCCAAGTCATTTATGGTTGTTAAACATAAAATCAATCTCTTCCAAAGTTTTTCCTTTTGTTTCGGGTATAAGCACCACACCAACGAGTGTCAATACAGAGCAGGCACCAAAAAATAGATAGACGCCAGAGATGGTGTAAGCCATAAAGAAGGGCGTGCAATAAGTAATCACAATACTACCAGCCCAGCTGATAGCATATGTCAAGGAAAGCCCTTTGGCACGACAACGCATACTAAATATTTCTGCTGTATATACATAGTTTGCGACTCCCCAAGTACCGGCAAAGGAAGCTGAAAATACGTAAATGCATAAAATAATGACATACCTAGCATATGGATTAGCTACAATCACAGTATCGTCTTTAGCTACACAAGTGTAAAGATAAAAGATGAATCCAACAGTAAACATGCATATAGCAGAAATGGTTGAGCCGATAAGAAACAGTGCCTTTCTTCCCCAGAGATCTATCCACCATTGCAGTGATAGAGCAGTAAAGACAAGCGAAAGGAACCCAATGCCCCCTGTCAATGCCAGCGATATCGAAACATCACTAAAACCCGCATTTTTGAATATTTGAGGGGCATAGTACGATATAACCACATTCCCGGTGAAGCAGGTAGCAACGGATATGAAAAATGCATGTAGTGCTCTCTTCAAATTGGAACCTTGAAACAGCTCTGCATAAGTGCGGTCTTGGCCATCCAGCTTCTCAGTTTCAATCAATGTCTTGATCTCCAGATAATCTTTTTGTACCACTTTATGCTGTTGTGGCAAATGATGCAGTTTTGACAGCACAGCAAGACCCTCGGCCTCTCTTCCTTTATCGATAAGCCATCTTGGTGAATATGGCAGAAAACAGATAGCGACCGCAAACAATAGACAAGTGATGAGCTGCACCAGCCAAGGCATCCGCCAGCTCCAATGGGAAGTATAGTAGCTGCTTTCAAACGTGACAAAATAGCCCACCATCTGACCAAATGATCCCAAAAGTGCAAATATGCTGATGAGTCGGCCACGAATATCTGGTGGTGCAATCTCTGATTGATATAAGGGTATCGCATTCGTCATGAGACCGGTGCCTAAGCCGCCTATCAGCCGCCCAAGAAGTAATGTGTGCGCACTGAATCCTGATAGCTCACAAGAAATACCTAGCACAAGAAAGCAAGTAGCAAGTAGCATGGCGTACGTTCTTCCAATGCCATCTTGGTACAAAAGTTAGTTATTAAAACTGTCAAACATGAGAATGTACCATAATGATAGTTACCACAGAAATAACCAGAAAAAAAGGCACCGCACATGGATGTAACCAGGTAGGATGCCAGTAGAATACTCTCATAGTAAGCTAAAGATCCATTAATAAAAAATCTGCTTTGAAACATTGGCAGCGAGATGATGCTGGATATGGAGCCTGTATCGAATCCGCAGATAAACCCACCCACTGCGGCTATAAGGCTGTATAAGTAGACGGATGTTCTAAAAGGTATAATTGCATCTTGCAACAGTAGTGGAGTTGCCTCTGTAATGAGGTTAATTGATGCTGGCATAGGATCAGTGTGTGATGTGACACTGATACACAATGTTTGTCTAGAGGATATAAATAAAAAAGAGAAACAGAAAGAGATCAATTATGAAATAACCTAAACTTTTGAACGGGTTGTACGCGGAGCCTTAAAGAGTTGATTCTGCTGATCCCTTGCTAGCATGATACAATCATAATTGGTGCCTGAATGGTGCTTTTCTAAACATTAAATAGATTCTTCTTGATTTTTATTAAATGGTGATTTTATTTAGTTCTTAAAAAATAGCCATGATTCATGCTGTTGTTGCTTTTTCAATGACACGATCGAAAACATTTACTCTACACACCAGTGCTTGTACAACAAACATGCAATTACCATTTCACAAACATTTGTTAGCAAGGTACAATTGGCATTCTCTTACGACCATTGGTGGAAATGCCTTTATGCTTCTTTGACTTGCTGACGGTGACACCAATCTCGTCACATTTTGATAGAGCCAAACTCAATCGCACTGCCATTCTGTACTCGAATGCATATTTTGTACAGGACAGAGCCTTTTCCCAAACCTTGCGGCTCCTTTCGTAATTTTTCATGCCCCAGCTGGTTACTCCAGACTCTGTTCAACACTATTAGCATGTCTTCTGAACTGCATGTTGATATACTGTACCCCAGTAGGTGAATGGAATAATCCATGTCTCTGATTTCAGCTGGTGCTTGTGATCCATGATCCAATTGAGATGAGCAATGCTGTCACTGTATCGTTTCAATGCGTTCAAAACTGATGCTTTGATCAGCAAGAGGATGGCGCGTTGATCGTAATAGTCTGGTGGATTGGCTGATGGCACCAATTCTCGCAATCGGATCTTGTACTCTGCTCTCTCCCTTTCGTATATCAATTCCAACGTACTCTGCACAATCAAGAGACACACCTCCAGGGCATTCTTTTGCATTTGATCAAAGGCATTCCATACCAGCAAGAGCTCCAGTCCAGGCAAGCAAAAATCCATGTCCTGATAGCCGCTCTTTTGAAAAAACTCGACCTTTTGCTGAACGTACACATCAATGTACGACTTTCTTTGCTGCTCATTTACTTTTTGAGGTACTTCTGCAAATGCTAAAATGCTCTCAGCGCGTTTCCCAAGCATACCACGGCAAGCGCCAATAAAGTATTGACAGAATGCTGGAGACCAGTAGTACTTTTCTTTTCTCAGCTTTTCAAAGTACACCTCTGCTGATACCCAATCGAGCTGTAATGCAAAGTTGAAGCCAATCTCATAGCTGCCCATGTGTGACATGGCCTCATGAGCCCATTCACCACGACTAGAATCCACGGCAAACGTGAATGACTGCGTCGATAGTGGAAGATTGCGTGCAATGCGGCTGATGCGAGCAGCATAAAACAAGAAGAAGCAAGAGCTTGGGTGGCTCTTTTGCGCGTTTGTAAGGCATTCCACTGCGGGTCCCATCAGTTCTTTGGTATAGATTTGAGGAACAAATGATGATAGAATGGAAAAGTATGTCAGCAATCTAAACAGCATGTCTTGTTAGCATGGCCTATACATCTGCTTGATCTGCAATACTTACACCAAGGAGGCCAAAGGAGCTCGAATGCCTTTGCCTTCAAGACACAGCTTGAGCAACGCAAATCCCAATTGTTTATCACTCTTGAAGCCGAGGGTTGAAAATATTTTGAGGATCTTTGGCGGCAATGACGACAGTAACAAGTGCACCGTGCCGATGCCAAATTGTATTGCTGATACTGTATTTCTGTCCATGTATTTCGTATATGCCTGCCCCATTCTTTTGTGTTCTTGCCACACCACCGTGTAACATCCATAGGCTTGTACGTGGTCGTGTCAGTCAATTAAGGCTCTCTTTGATTATATGCAAACATACCTCTTCTCAAATTGAGTCCACATTTAACATAGCCAACGACGCTTTCCTGAGTCAGCTGTAGCATACCCATCAGTAAACAGCTCTCTGCCTTTACGACGTTGGCTCGCAACACGCCATTTGGTAAGAATTTTGGACCGTCATTTGAGTAGCTGGTATCGTCCGTCTTCATTGTCACTACAGGAGGACAGCTGGGAAGTCCAGTCTGATTAGAAGAAACCATAGTCGACAAGTAGGAGGACCATGTGCTCTTGTATGGCTTTTTAACCGCTGCATTATCAATCTGTACTGCTGCAATATTGTACGCGAGTGTAAGGGTATCCATGGCGAGCTGAATATCATCTTCATTGTATGTCTATATGTCGAAATTGGTATATAAACCCTTTGTTGATATTTGGCACTTACCATCATGGCTTTAATGAATGTCATGGCTCCCAAACCAAGAGCATACAGTGGATCACTAATAACTATAAGTTGACGGTCTATCTTTGGATGGCAAAAGAGCTCTACCTGTAGCATCTCTTTTGAAACAGTGATTTCGCCTTTAAAAAATTGTTGTCAAACATGTACTTCATGCCTTTTCGCACAGGCTCATCTATACACCCAAACAAATGAGCTGCAGCTCCAAGTACGTTTTGAAAAGGCATGCACTTACCCGCTTCTTCTTGTTCTCGAGGCCCTAAGCGATTGACAGGAATGTTCTTGATGCTTTTATCTAGGTTGTTCAAACTGCTATTGTACAGTTGAGTATCGATGGGAGGTCCCAAAGAGTATTCAATGTCCTGTGTATCCGTGCTGTTTATGCCGCGCTCTTGTGCTGGTTTCAAGTGGGCATTTGCTTGTGCTTTTTGGCGTTCCTGTAGAATGCCCAGGTTTCGAATGACAATTTCCATGGCTGGCAAATGCACTTGAGTTTCTTTTGGTAGCTCATGATCATAGTCCATGTCGATGTCTTCAATGTCCTCATCACCATAATCCGTGCCGCTTTGACGTTCTAGACTGAGCGATGTTGGTATAGCCCTGTATGAGGCTGATGACACAGTATCCATGGCATCCTCTCTCTCTACTGATAACTGTGCCACTGTAGCATCATTGCAGGCTTGTAATTCCACACTCTCCTTGAAAGGATCTATGTCTCCCATATCAAACAATACTTGATTTGACTGATTGCAATCCAGTGAAACAGGTGTTGGTGTAGTACACTGCTCACTGGACACTTTTGGTAGCAATTGATTCATTATATGCAAGTGAAAGAAAAGAAGCAGAAAAAAAAAGAGAAACGTTTTCCAGGATTGATAGCGTTTAATATGTATAACAAGAAACTGCCTCCCGTTTTTCTGTTGTATTACCCTGACATGAGCTACTCCTTTCAAATTTTCATTAATGCGATTATATTCCCTCGATAGTCTTTGTCCTCTCCTGATTTACAATTCGCATTTAATATGATACTGCAACTGATATATTGGTGTCTAGCAGTAATTCCTGCAACACTCTGTTTGATGTTTCAACCTGCTTATATATATATTCGGTATCAGTAATAGGCTTTGAGGTGTTTCCCTTTCTTTTCTCTCTTCATGTGCATCAATGAAAAGCAACATGTCAGCTCATTGCCAACGCCTGTTCACTGATGGTCAACGCCTTTTTGTCGGATATTCAGTGCCTATTTACGGACGCCTCTTCCGCAAACAACATGTTTAATCGACCTACTATGAATGCCAATACCTCCATCTCGCAAGTTACGGGCGAGATTGGCGCTCCACGGGAGTTTTCTGGTTTCCCTGTTTCAAATATCTTTGGGACTCCTGAAACCTACGAGCTTCAATCAGAGGTTTTTGGAGCATACAAGGAAAGCATCGAAACCAAAGTGCCTGATAACCATACACTTATCATTCTCAGTCGAGTACAGGAGATAACGATTCAGCCAAGAGTGTAAAATCTGACATGAAGCTCATTCAACTCGAAGGCTACAGTCTGTTGACTCGAATAATGACATTTCAATCTCTCTCTTTCTCAATTACTTATTCTGCCTTATCATTCTCTTCTAAATCAATATTTTCCTCTTCCAGGATCTAGCAATATCCAATCTTCAAATAAAACAAATTGAATTCACAGCTTTCTGTTGCACTTAAAATATTATAGCAAAGCAAAGCAGATTGAGATGCTCTGATAGTGCTGGTTTTGATGTATGCCTATGCCAAAATCGGCCATTGCCAAGCTACTTGACTATTACTACCATTTACACCGTCATCGCTCCTATGCAAAGTAAAATTACCACTGGAATCATAGATGTTGCTTTGATGGTACATATTGATGACCATGCCAGCAAGACATCTAACCCTCTGAATTGCAATTGAATCGACACAGGTCATTGCAAGTAGCTCTTGCAAAGAAAAAAAAAAAAAAAAAACCTAGATAATTACTCTCGGTGACATGGTTCCCAGAAGGACCGCATCATCTATCATGGGATTAGACTACATGTAGTGAATGGATAGCATACCCTTCACTATGAGATAAATATAGTCGCCCATCTCATGCTGTTGGTTAATCCCAAGCTGTTCTTTTTAATTATCGAGACTAGTTGTGCAATTAGCATTATGCAAGCGAACATTGGCATTAGATGGCTGCCGTTCCTGAAATTGGCATTAAAGTCTTGAGCATTCCCAGCACCAAAATCAAATCAATAATGTATGCTACTATCCGAGCAAGTTCGCATAATGATTATGATCGAATCTGCAGTGTTTAATAGTTGGATGTGTCTCATGGTTCAACGCTTTTGATTGTGTTTGGTGACGTGCGATCGGTTTTTCTCAGCTGCTACGCCCTTTTTAAAAGCAATCTCCTTTTTCGCACCTCTTTTTCTTTCTTCTCAAATCAATTAAACAGCAAATAAGGTAGATTCACATCGCATTAAACCAACAGTAAGTAGCAAGAAAGGAAGCCATTTATCTGCAGCGAAAAAAAAGAGAAGCATTTTGTTTATATCCTTTTCTTTTTTCTTTACTTTTTTGCATCTCTGTTTTCTTAGGTTTATTTGATCATAATACCTTGCTTTTTTTAACTCATTTTTACCCTCAAAGAGACGCTTGTAAGTGCTTTGTTTTTATCTGTTACATTCGAGCGACGCGACATACTAGATTCTTTGCTCTTTTGCCGTTCTAACCATCTTTTTGTATCTTTTTTTCTCTCTTTTTTTTCATTATCGCGCAATCTACTTTGTACATCTATTTACTTATTACATTCATTGGTGTGTCCATGCTCTCAATTTCAAAATCTCTACTCGAAACTATCAATTTCATACAAACATTCATGTTAGTTTTCTTTCCCCCTTTTTTTTCAACCTTATTATCTCCTTGAAAGCACTGCAATCTGATCAATTTGACAATGGTTTATTAATTTTCTCCTTTGTCTTTTCTTTTATTTAGATTCAACATCACAACACACTAAATATCAATGGCCTTTAGAATCAAACACAATGAAACGCTCAAACGATGCTCAACAACAGGATGACAACAAGAAGCCTCGCTACTCCAATCACAGGTAGGTTTTGCCTCCTTCACATTAGACAGGAGTACTCATCGTGCTCTAGTGATCTGTATGCTCAGTATGGTATGATGCCTCAGTATGGTCAAGGAAATCCATTTGCACAAGGTGCTGCTGCAACTACTGGCTACGGTAGTTTTGTTCAACCTAATACTGCTGCTGCCATGTACGCTATGGGCTATGGCAATCCTCATGCAATGATGGCTGGTCAATACGGTGGTGCTTATCCTCAGGCTTTCAATGCAGGCGCTGTTGGTGGCAGTGCAATGCAAACAGAGCCTTTGCGTTCGATTTATTTAGGCAACTTTTCCAAAGATATGGACCCTCATGATGTGCTCAAGTGTGTTCATACGGGCCTCGTTGATTCCTTCCGTGCCATGCCTGAAAAGAGCTGTGCTTTCTTGACATTTGTTGAACCAGCTGCTGCCCAGATGTTCTATCAAGAGTTCCTTACCAAGAAGCTGATTGTGGGCGATACAGAGATCAAAATTGGATGGGGTAAACCTACAAAGATGCCTCCTCTTAGAAAACAACAAATCCAAAACGGTGCTACTCGTAATGTCTACTTGGGTCGTTTGACTGAAGCCGATACAGAAGAGACGATTCAAGCCGCAGTATCTGAATTCGGACCCATTGAGCAAATCAAGCTGCTCCGTGAAAAGAACATTGCTTTTGTTCATTTTCTCAATATTGCTGCTGCAACCAATTGTGTGGCCGCTTTGACTATTGACGAGGTGTGGAAGAACAAGAGAGTCAACTATGGGAAAGACCATTGCGCTGATTTGACTGAGCAATTCAATCCTGCTGCTGCATACAACCATCCTTACGCTAACATTGCTGCCAATTACGCTGCCCATATTGGGCTTGAACCCTACACTATGAATGTCAACTATACTCCCTTTCAAGCCAACGACAACGCAGCTCAACGCACCCTTTACTTTGGTAACATTCATCCTGAAGCCACCTGCGAAGATCTCTGCAACATCATTCGTGGTGGCACCTTATTCCAAATTCGCTATTTTCCCGAGAAGCATATTGCTTTCGTCACATTCATGGATGCTGAAACCGCATTGACAGTTCACAATCATGCAAGTACTACTGGATTCATCATCAAGGGAAGAAAGGCTCGTGTTGGTTGGGGTAAGCCAAGTAAGATTCCTCTTGCAATGTTATTGGCTTATCAGAATGGAGCAACTCGTAACATTTACCTGGGTGGTATCGATGACAAGTTTTCCGCCGAAAAACTGCGTACAGATTGTGCTCGCTATGGTGAAATTGAATTGGTCAACTTATGCCAGGAGAAGAATTGCGCATTTGTCAACTTTACATCTATGAGTAGTGCGGTTGCCGCAATCCAGGGCTTGAAGAAGTTCAATGCTGAATATGCTGATCTCAAGATTAACTATGGCAAGGATCGATGTAGCAACCCTTGGAAGGTAATGAAGAAGGGAAAGCCAGCAGGCAATACTACTACCAATATCAAGAGGGAGGATAACGAAACCCCTAATGATGCGGCTGCTGCCGATAGTTCAAAGCAAGGCGAACAAGTTAATACTTTTAATAAGCCCAATAAAATTGAAAATTAATGCGTAGTATATAAATATAAATATGAATGGGTTCAATAAAAGATAGAAAGTGGGTGCTTTGAGTAGTCGTGTTGCAAGCGTATATAATGAATGTTGTTCTGACCTAAATCAACGTTTTTGTAATAAAGAAAGGTATAGGCTTGAATGGTGCAAATCGCAATACCATTCAAGCGACACTTTAAATCAGCTTAATGTAATGACAGATTATATCAAAGGCTTCCTACTGTGAGGGCTTTTATAGTGAAGGTTAGAGATGGATGAACGTTACTAAGGACGAATCCGTATAATTGAAAATTAGTGTTACACGTTCTCAAAGATACCGTAGTAGCGGGATGTTATCTGATGGTACGATATTTATCAGATTTTAAATATCAGGAACCATCGCCATCAAAGCAACCCTGCAATTAAGCGACTTAGCAAATCAAGCACATGTGACCTATTTTTTCTTCAGTGTATTCTTTAGTAAGCATTTCAGTTATAATAGTACAATGTACAATGCATTCAGGTAGCATTAGAGGCTTCTCTTTTGAGTTACAGCCTTCTAGAGGTTCCTTGAAATCAGATAATATAAACTGAGAGCCAAACCAAGCGCGGTCTGGTGGTTTATCCGTCCGTTTCTGCTATAAAATTTGATTTTCTTTGGTATTACACTAAAAGGTCTCAAATCTTATTTAGGTTGTGAATGGTAAAAAGAAAACAAGAGAAAACAGGGATCCATTAGAGTTTAAACGACGAGAAAAGCTTTCAGTTCTACCAGATCACACATATATAAATGGCCTTCCACGAAACTGCGTACTTGTTTCTTCTTTTCCCACATCTTTCCTCTTGTTATAAATCAAAATGCGTTCTGCCCTTGCCATTGCCGTTGTTGCTGCTGTTGCCGTTGCTGTCCCTGCCGAGGATTGTAATCCTTCATACAATGTCGCTACTTCTGGTACTTGTTTCACCAATTGTAATGTGGTAAGTGATTCGAAGTGTGCAGGTGTCTGTCTTTTATCAGATTTTAATGTGATGTGTTAGAATGCCGGTAACTCTTTCGTGCCTGGCTGGACTATGGATCACACTTCTCCCAACTTTATCCCTTCTCTTACTCTCATGTGTAATAAGGGTACCTCCGAATACTTGGCTTTCATGTCAAAGGCTGGTATGTGTATGGCTGGCTGTCCTGATGATCAAGCACTCTTCAACAATGAATTTGCTGGTGCCTGTGCTTGGTGGGCTGAACACAAGAATGATAAGTGTGGTGAGGTTGGCGCTTCACCCAACGCTACTGCTTCTGCCTCTGCCTCTGCCTCTGCTTCTTCAGCTGGTGCTGCTCAAAGCTCATCTGCCGTTGCTGATAGCGCTGCTTCCACTTCTGCTGCTGGTCAGGCTTCTGCCAAAGTACAAAACTTGGTTATTGCATTGGCTGCTGGTGCCGCTTACTTTGCTCTTTAAATTCTTTCACTACACATTCTATCTTCACCCATTGTACCATAACCACCTAATTTATAACTTATAGCGTAAAGAAAATTGACAGAAATTTAACATCATCTTATCAAACTACATTATTATATCACTCAATGTTATAATTCAATTTTTATTTGTCTTAATAAACTCAAGTATGACCATATAATGCTTTCGGCACCTAACATGTGATTTGTATAATCTGATTCTTAAGAAAGATGTGATTTGATTAATATGATGCCAATTCAGAAATAGCAAATGGAGATATTGGAGACTGTTTTCTTTGTTCAATGGTCTCCACCATGATGCAGTCTGTAAACATGCAACACACTCTGTATCTCCTTTGAGATATCATTATAATGGCCCACTATATAGATGCTTTCGAGTGAGTCCAAAAAAATAGTCTTGTACACCTTTCGCAGACCGATGTAATCAGATCTTTCCATCTTTTCTATGGAGCACTCGTGTATTGACTCCATACCTCGGCTATACGCTTGATATGCACAAAGAGAGCGGAGAAATATCTACCATTGTAAAAAGGATCTGATAACAGATTGTCTCAAAAGAGGCGAGTGTAGTTGTACAAATACTGGTCCCTCCTGCTTGATGCATCCATTCTGATTGACGCATATTCTCATTCAGTATTAAGGGCTTCGCAAAAAGAAGTGCAGATTCAGTATGCCGCCATTAGCGACATTTATCTGATGCAACTCCATTCAAATGTCAAATGCTTACTCTTTTTTGTGGAACACAAATTCTACATAGTTTATCCAACAGTGCAACCATGACCATTTGAGTGTACCGCTTACAAAGGCAAAAGTGTTGTTCAACCACGATTTCTATTTCCTAAATGTGCGTTCTATGGGGATTTTGATTATAATCTCTTTTTGTCTCATACAAATAATCAAATACTTAACGATGAAAATTGCAGTCGATCAGAAGAGCAGCCAGATGAGTATTAGAACATGAGTCACTGATAAAACCGTTGTGCTATATGATCATTGCACATTGAAGCTCGTTTGTATATGAGGAAAATATTCATTTGCGACTCGAGAGGAAAAAGCCTTACAAACAAGCAACATAGTGGCAACCTGAAGGCAGTTAGAGATTTTACAATTGAAAGTAAATAACTAAGAGCACGCACACGGAGAGCATGTATTTTGTATCAGCATCATGGTTAAAAATGGCAGAAATATACACGCAAAGCGATCAGGGATAATAAATCCGCTCTATGATAAATTACAATTCAGGAATTGAATCAATTACACGGTATACATATACATATTATAATTTCTCATCAATGGCTTTACATATAAAAACGAAAACTTTACATGTAACGTTTCAACACATACCATCGCCATACTCATGTATACATATTAAAACGATATGGCAAGTATACACGTTTGCCAAAGCATACAATTAACTCTTGGGACGGTTGTTGATTGACTCTGATGAAACGTATAATCGTTTAAGTATTGATATGAGACTTGTTCGGGTACCTTGCGTTTAAGAAAAAAGTGTATTCAATGCTAGCATTTTTAATAGGTTTGCTAATAACACGAATTAAGCAATGCATTCTATAAATTCAGCGGCTTCCTCATTGAAAGTGAAAAGGAGGGGAGGCATAATATATTGAATATGATAGCAAGAGTATTCGTATGAAGATTCTAATAAGGTATTTTTTAGAAGCTTTTGCGAGTGAATTGGTCGATCAAAGAAGTGAGGATTCACAGCGTTTCCTCTGTTAGCTCAGTTATCAACAGTAATCCATCAAGTATAACAATGCAGCTTAACAATCTATTGAGGACATCCAATATGTCTACATCGTATCTATTCCCATTATATCCCACTAGATACCTAATCTATTCTAATTATCCATTCACACAATTCATCTTTATGTTATTCATGATTTATAATCCTAATTTTCAATCATTCGTTTTAATTAAGACCAAATTATTTATCAATAAAACGGGGCAACTTAGTTCCACTAGCTATTTAATTCTGATAACTCATAAACCCTGACCAAAATTTCTAGTACATAAGTCAAACATTGTGTTGACAAAACGCCCGTGGCTTCATTTCATACATTTTAAACTGAGAATGTATCCCCATAGAATGGCATATCTTCATATTGAAGCATCTTGACTATATTCCTTCTGTTTATGCTAATAACCCTATGAACCAAACACCACTATATTTACGAAAGCTCCTCAAACTAGAACGCAGGTTCGATGTTTCGGACTCCGATTTCGGAGCTTTTATTAAATTTGAACCTCCGCTTTTGTCCTTTAAACGATGGTGCAATTGAAATTTGCGTAGGTAGCATGGTTGTTGAGAGAAGGGAGATTTTAGAAAATAGTTAATTTTGAATATGATTTATCAGAAATAAATTATTTATAAAAAGAGTATGAAATTAATCAGGTAAAGAATATCGTTTATTACATTGGAAATAAGAGGGTTTATATACTATTCGAATTGAGGGATTTGATGTGAGGATAAGGTATTAGATGGGTTGATTTGGGTGATAGGATAATAGATCCAATCTATTATCCTGAACATGCCATTATTCGGATCGTAACTGAATCCTGTTTCATGTCAAAGTTTATGATCTGATATGATCTGTGCTTTAACTAATTGCTCCTACGCATTTGGAGATCCGGTTTAGAAATGACACATCAGAATAGATGTTGCTAGTAAAAGTTTTTAAACTACTATATGAATGTGGTATGTATGTATAGTGAAAGTTGTAGAAGAAACTCTTTTTGACTAGGGCATGTTTGATGTGGGGTTGTGGAAGATAATGCAAATGAGTAATGACGGAAAATGTTCCAAATGACCAATTTTCAAAGGGCCATATTTCAGAATTTTATTAAGTGAACGAGAGCTTCAAACTTAATAGCTTCTGTTTCTTTTTCAATTCTCTATACAATGGTATAGTTATTATAGATAAATAAAAAAAAGGTTGAATATCCCTATTAAGTACAAAGAATAAAAGGATTATTATTTGTAGCTTATAAAAAATGTTCGATATTATAAAAACAAGAAAAGACTTATTTGAATAAGATCAGACACAAAAACTAAAGATTTATTGATGAAGACAAGAGTTATTTTATTTATACTAAGTTCTGAATGCCAAAGTAGCAATTTATCTTGTACAACGCTTATCACATCTGATGAACCTCAGTATTTAGATAGCTGAGATGCTCTTCAATTATCATAACTTGTCCATGTTGTTGCACAACACAGACATATCTACCCATCAAGAATACCTTAATCTTGATAGACAGTTGTAGCCCTTCTGACACAACAATCCCCTGCTTGTAGTTCATAAAATATATGATTTTGAGCAAATTTATGAAGGGAACGTACATCTGGTACTTAAAACTTTTATATTATAATGGATATAGCGTAGAGCTATCGAATGGTCTTTGTTTTGTGCGAATCCAGTGAGTATTTGTCGAGAAATGGTCAAAAAAGGGTATCATGCAAAATCATGGATTTTTGTTCAAAATCTACGTGTGATAGGTCACAATTTTTTGGTCAGGACAAGATTTTCAATATTTCATGATAGAGTCATGCCAGAGCTTCAAGCAATAGCTCATTCGATAGGAAATTTTTTTGGTCTACTATGTTTAGTAATGCTTAACAAAATGTTTTAGTGACAGATACTGATTAATCTTTAGAAAACAGTGAAAAAGTCGCAAAATTTAACTTATCAAATATCAGCTGGACAATGTACAGCAAACACTTGATATAAATACCATTGTATTTTCCTTTTTTGAATTCTCTACAAATTTCATATAAGTTTGAAGGGGTGTTTACTATCAAGAAACGCGTAATTTTAAGGTCGATAGATTTAGGAATCCTATGGATCATCATTCAGAACAATATAAATTGAAGCTCCGTTTAGCCTTCGCATGTGTACACCACACAAGGATGAATTTGGCCAAGCACTATAAAAATCGGAGCGTACGAAAAGGGCCATATTAACTTGCTGGCTTTAAGTTATCGATAGATACTTGACATGATGAAGAATATTGCTTTTAAGATTAGAGAGTTGTAGCTTGCTTTGTTCAATTAAAGTAAGTCTTCCAATTTAAAGTATGCATATTCCCGAGCTTAAAAATAGCATCTCCAATGTCGATTATCTCATGAAGTACGCATTTCCAATATAATGTTCCCACTAAGAAGTTGCTCCAATATCATTATTCTACAACATATTTTAGTTTTATATGATTCTGATTTTTTTTACCTATTATGAGAACCTGGATGTACAAAATGTTTTTTGATTTTGAGATTTTCAACTTTTGGACGATCGAAAATCGATTTTCTAAATATTAATGCTAAAGCCTTGAGACTAGCATGTTTCTATGTCAGTTTTTTGCCCTTTAAACGATGGTACAATTGAAATTTGCGTAGGTAGCATGGTTGTTGAGAGAAGGGAGGTTTTAGAAAATAGTTAATTTTGAATAGATGTTGCTAGTAACAGTTTTTAAACTACTATATGAATGTGGTATGTATATATAGTGAAAGTTGTAGAAAAAACTCTTATTGACTAGGGCATGTTTGACGTGGGGTTGTGGAAGGTGATGCAAATGGGTAATGACGGAAAATGTTCCAAATGACCGATTTTTAAATGGCCATCATTTTGCAAACACTACATGTGAAAGTATGGTAGTTTTGCGTAAGGTTTCCTTGTTAAAGTGATACTATTAAAAATCAACGATGTATTATTACATCTTATTAAAATAGTTTTGCAGGGCTAGTCAACAAGATAATGTAGGAAGTTTCACATTTGAACTTTGTTAACTGTATGAGTGAGAGTGTGAGATTCATTTGCAAAATTATAACGAACCTACCTTTTATGTTCGGCTGTCGCCTATAATCTACACACTGCCTTAGCTATCTACATCTTTTGTTACACAAGTCAGTTAGTATAAATATTGTTACAAAGCGGTTTATTGTAGTGTGAATAGTAAGAGTGGAGATAGAGTAGATATATGGATAAATAGCCAGAGCAGATTCGTCTATAGAAATGAGCACTGTTGCATACAAGCATGCATCTTAGGCTACATTCACTTTCTCCTCAAGCCACCTTTTACAGTGTAGCAGCATAGATGATGTTTATCGTATCACATCACATCTATGTTTACAAGTCCAGTCAATTGTGTGTGCACAGGTGCCTCAGGAACTACAATACATTCAATCTCCCCAATGTCAAGATATCGAGATCCACCTACACTACATGAAACATATCGACTTAGGTGGCCTCTCAACAAGCTATACCAACAATCCATAAGGCCCCAGTGGCCTGCTATTTATATACCATCTCAACGTAGTAGTCATTGACCAGGGATCTACCATATTTAAGCAAGCTAGATGCCCTGTAATAAAGAAGCTCTTTGCTTTCGTTTTAGATACAGTTGACAACTGATTATTATCATCGACTTATTATTACGAATTCATCAAGCACCAGGTTTATAGTTGTCCAACTAGTAAAGAATATAATAGAAATAAAGAAAGGGATATGTAAATAAAGTGATAAAAGTAGATAAAGTACAATGAATCGAGGTGTTAATGTATAGAAAGAATTCAAGGGATCCTATAATTGATAAGTTCTATGAAATAACAAAGACAATGAGCTATAGAGCTATATAGATATGGATTTAGGTAGGAATAAAATAATATTTTATTGTTTGATACTATTTGAATATTTATATTAAATTAATTTTATGGATTATGTGTCCTGAATTCTGCTTCTATATGCTATAATTTGTAATGAAGGGCTGACCCTTCTATAGTTAAATTGACTTTGATACCCTTAATAATCCTAAAAGCTTGAACAGTTTTTATAGCTGGAAAGCTATATTTGTTGTTGAAAGATGGTGAATGATGATATTGATAATGTTACTAGAGGATGAAAGGATGGGTAATGTGGAGTTGCTTCCCATTTGTGTGCTTCCATTAGGAAAGAGAGATGTTTAAGAGTTTGAATATATATCTGTCAAAATGGTACGAGGCTGTGTGGTAGCTGATTTGTTATTATATATTATTGAGATAGGATTCAGAAGAGTATATTCGAATATAAGAAGCATTTAAGAGTTTAATGTCAATTTGTAGTAACAGAAGTAGAATTCAATATAGTAAGCAGTGAAATGTAGTTTATACGATAGTGTAGGCAATTTACAACAAAAAAAAGAGAGATTCAGTTACAAAACCAAAATCGATTTGTAACAAAACGATGAAAAAAAAAATATGGCTTGGCTTGATAATGTATCTACATACACCTCTAAAAGACAAAAGAACAAAATTTTCCCCAACGGGGAGTCGAACCCCGGCCGTATCGGTGAAAGCGATAAATCCTAGCCGTTGGACCATTGAGGAGGAGATACTATCGACTCTACGCGTGTAGACATCAGCAGTATTTATACTTTTTCAGAAAAACCTCTTGCCGTTCAGCCGCCTGTTTAGCCGCTTAATCACCCCAACCATCTTAATCTTTCGCTTTTCCGAATGCCAGGTTCGCCGATCCCGCCGAATCTAAACCCTGCTCCACCGAGTTCTACCGGTGCAGCACAATCCATCGAGGCACCATCCTCCGATTGGACCTCCACTATGATCACCACCTCTGGATCTGCCTCAGCTTCTACCAATGCATCCACCTCCACCTCCAATAAGCGCCGCCGCGATTCAATGCAGCAAGACATTGCCGGCCGTGATTATTACAATAACTTGAAGCAATCAGAGTTGATTGATCTGGTAGTCAAGCTCCAAGAACAGAATCTGATTCTCACCCGTTTACTGGAACGATCCACCCTCACTGCTGCTACCAATAATACCTCTGCTGCCTCAGCCACTCGTCTGAATCTTACTCCAAATGTCAGCTTCACACGTACCAAATCTGGATCTGCTGCATCTCGTTATGCATCGGAAAAGGATTTCCCAACCTTGAATTCAGGTACCAAAAAGGGATCTGCCAATGCCAAACCTACTGCCAAACCTACTGCCAACTCTGCCACCACTACTGCCAACTCCAAGAAGAGCTCTGGTTCTAACAAGAAAACTTCCAAGAAGTCTTCTTCTAAAGCCAAAGTCCCCTCTGATGCTGCTGAAGCCAAGAAATGGGCTTTACGTCTATTTTCTACTCCTACTGCTACTGACTCAACTGATGGTGATGATATGCAAATGTCTTCCTCCTCTAATACCGCCACTTCAGCTCTGCCTCCTCCTGGTTATACTTGTGTCTACCTTCCTTGTAGCCACAAAACCAAGCACGCCGATCTTCGCACTCGTTTAGAGTTGCTCAAAATCAACCTCAAACGTGTATATGCCATCCAACGTCCTGCCAAGCATGTTGTCTCTCTTCTGGTACACTCCCACTATGCTACTGAAATTCTTAAGATCTGTGAAAAGGACGAACTTTATCCCATCACTGATTTCAATCCTATCTCTGGTAAAAATCTGGGTGATCCCCATCTTTTGAAGACTTTTAATGCTCAACAACTGGATGATAAAGCTAAGGCCATCTACTACAACCGCATGCTCCAAGCTGCTACTCAACTTCGTGAATCCCGTATGGGTCTGATCATCCTCAAGTTCTTCAATGCCCTTGACAGTGCTGATAATCACTTTGTCCCGCCTGTCATTATTGATGAGTTCATCAAGCTGAAGCCTGATTGCGTTCGCAAAATCGGCGCTGCCAACACTGCTCGCTCTGTTCTCAAAGGCTTTGATGCCTCCAACTTGTTTGCCTCTCTTACTACCTCCACCAACAATGCCGATGCCAGCATTTCTCAACCTGGTTCAAATCCGTCACCTCTGACTGCTGCTAGTAACGCTGGCTCCAGCCCCATGGATACGAATCAATGATTGTAGACTCACAACCTACTCTTAACCTTGCAATGCTTAATGTTTCTGGTATCTCTACATCCTTGGATTTAGTGATACACTATATAGAAACACATCACATCGACATTTTACTACTCACGGAAACCTTCTTGCTCAAAGGCGATCTATTCACTCAATGGGCTCAACATCATCAATATGCTACCATCTCAGGTGATGCGTCCAAAGGCAATGGTGGTTTGACATTTCTAATTCGACCTCATTTTCCTCACTATGTTCACCGTAGCACTGATCCAACAACCACACAACACAACAAGCTCAGTATCGTGATTGGTAACTCGCTTACTGTCCATGGCTTCTATTTACCACCAGCGCTATCCTTTGCAGACTATCAAACTGTATTGGGTAGTGTTGACTTCAACTCTTCATCGTCAGTTATTTGTCTTGGTGATTTCAACACTCGTCTTGGCTCATTCACTGGTGATACTCGTAGTACGAACCCTCGTAGCAACTATCTCCTCAATTGGCTTACAGTCCATCAGGCTAATCTCTGGAATCGTATTTCTACATTTGGACAACCTACATTTGAGTCTAATCGAGGCACAAGCATCATTGATTTCGTGATTTCACGCCCCAATATATTCTCGGCTAATCCCTTGTTATCTATTGAAAGTGATATCAATCTCAACTCGGATCATCACCTTGTGCAATTCTCGTTTAAGCTACACCAACAACCTCAACTCCTCCCAACATCGACTTTGGCTGGCAGCCGTCGTCTTTGGAACTTGCAACGTTTGGAAGAAAAAGACGTATTTGAATTATATCGCAAAAATTTCTTTTCCAACATTTTCAAACTGCAACAAGAGGTCAAGCACTTTATGGCTTTTCAACAACAGCAACACCCCAATTTGTTTGTGCTCTCTGGTGACACAGCAACTAAGCATCGGAAGGAGGCTACTATCAATCAACGGATCAATGCTACTAATGGTTTCTATTTCGAGGTTGTGGAATCTCCCAAGGATTTCATTAACCGTATTGGCATCGAAACGATCCAAGCGATCCACTCAGCACTTGATAATTCAGTAACACCAAGAACACCTAGGCCTAAAACCTGGAAATTCTTTTGGGATGCAGAATTACAACATTTGGCTGACATTAGACAACAATGCTACACTGATTGGAAACAACACAAGCACCACAGAAGATCATTGATTGGCTCAACACACCTCTGGTCTCTCTATCAACAAGCTTGCAACAACCTCAAGAAGGCTATCAAGGCTGCTAAACGAAGACATTGGAAGAAATTTTGTAATAACATGAGTGATTCCTCTTCAAATCAGGTGTATTCCGTTCTAAAACGCTTAAGAAAGAAACACACTACTAATCATTGTTTTTCGCATAGTGAAGGACCTGAAGTAGCTGCAAATGTAATGGCAGATTATCAAAGACACATTTTTGGGGGAGATCAATTGGATTTTTCAACATGGAGAGCCAGCAGATCACCACTCCACCAGCACACCACTAAACCAACATTCTTTTCTGCTTTAGCAATCAAGCAACAACTATCAGCAATGGGTAATCGTAAGGCACCTGGAGATGATCATATTGTAAAGGAGATGCTCATGCCTATATGGTATCCTCTTTGTAATTTCCTCTCTGAGTTCTTTACTTTGTGCTATACATTTGCCTGGACACCTACCTCTTTTCGATCTGGTCTTATTGTCCCTATCTTCAAGAAGGGTGATCCCAACTCAGCTGCAAACTATAGGCCCATCAGCCTCACCAACACTTTCAGAAAGCTCTATGAACGATGTCTCAAATTTTGTCTTTTGACCCACATGCCGTCTCTTGATGTTGCTCAAGGTGGCTTTCGAGCCGCTCGCAGTGGAATCAGTCAAGCATGGAATCTCTTGGCTTTACAAAAGCAATTTGAGCAGCAATACGGTGTCTCACCAGCACTCATCTTTATGGATATCAGCAAAGCATATGACAGTGTCACTCGATCCAAGATCTGGCAACTACTTCATCCTCATCTACCAAAGGCTCTGTTTTACACCCTGCGGCATCTTTTTGATCATGTCACTCTCAATGTAGTCATTAACAATGCTACATCACTGCCAATCCATCCAAAGCGTGGTTTGCTCCAAGGCTCCATCTTGTCTCCATTTTTGTATGCCATCTTTATCAATCAACTGCCTGCTCTGTTGCGTACTGCGCCTGTACGTTTTCCACTCTATGTGGATATCGCTACTCGTGCTCGTACTGATGGTGATGGTCCTTCAGCTGACATTACTGAACCTAGTTTTGCTCTTGTGAAATACGGTGCAGGTCCACGTTTGTCTGAAACTGCCAGCAGCTGCTCTCCTCGTCTTGGTGTTGTTCGTCAAAAAACAGCTATCCACTCTCTCTTGTATGCTGATGATGTCTGTCTTATTGCCCATCGTCGTGATATGCCGTTACTGGTTCAACTGTGTGAGGAGTACTCGTTGCGATTTGATTTCAAGTGGAGTCCAACCAAATGTGCTCTTGTCAACTATCACTCTAGGCGTAGGCCTATTCAATTGTATGGTATCAATGTCCCTATTGTTCCTAGCTATGAGTATCTCGGCGTGCCCTTCAATGCCTCTGGTATTGATAACATTGCGTTCCTCAATGCTAGCACAAAGAAGGCCAAGTCTACCATGGCTCTCTTTCGTCGTCTTGGTGTCCATCAGTATGGCTTTGGTCTCATGTTGGCACTTCAAGTGTATCGGGTGTTTGTACGCCCCATCATGGAATATGCTCTTGCTCTTCTTGGTTTGAATGCTACCTCTGCTATGGCTATTGATCGCACTCAAGCTAGCTGTCTGAAAATGACTCTCAATCAATCTGAACGGCACAACGCCCCGTCCATGGTTCTCAATATGATGGGCAATCTGCCTGCCATGTATACTCGTGCCCAGATCTTGACTTTCAAGTTTTGGTATTCGCTTCAGTTGAAAGCTCGTCCTTTTACTTTGGTGGAATGCATCCTGTATACGCATCAGCGTCTTAAAATTGCTCCTGCTCTGTGGCGTCGTCTTAGCTCCAACAAGATCTGGAAGTTGTACAAATCGTCCCCCACTCACACCACTCCCGTCTCATTTGCGAAGAGTTTCAAGATGCTCAAATGTTGAGATGGACTAGCCAAAAATCATCGTGTTTGCGTGCTCTGCGTGAAGACACAACTGGATATGACCCTCTCTTGTTTTATCCGTGTACTCGGTTGGAGCGATTGCGTCTGATTCGATGGCGTTTTCATCACCTCCCAAGTTTCCCTCTCTCTGCGTGTCGTTGTGGCGCACCTAGTGCAAATAGATTTCATTATCTAGCCGCCTGTCCTCTGGTTCAAGACATTGTCAACCGCATCCATCTCAATCTGCCTGATGACTCCATTCCTTTGGATGAATCCTATGATGACCAAGGTATCGCTACCACTCATATTCTGGATCGTATTCTGAATTCGCTACCTTCTAATCTGTCTTTCTGTCTGGGCACACACTGGGAGAGAACTTGGCCTCTTGTTCTTGAGCTGATTACTCAAATTGACATTGCAAACCATCCTGCTGGATCTTTTGCTGAGGAACCTCCTTCTGGAGAGCTTTTTGAACATTATTTGACTCAACAACATCACTTTCAACAACAGCAGCAACAGCAACGACAGCAACAGCAGCAACAACTCATTCAACATCTATAACATTGATCTTCTCCTTAAATTTACGCTTTGTATATGATGTCTAACACATTCTGTAGTCTATTTTTTGGAAATTCGCTCCCTGTGATTCTCATTGAGAGGTTGGGTGTTTTGATCCTACTTGTTTATGATATGTTTCGCTCGAGATGTTGAAGTTTCATGAATGGAAGCTACTCTTTTTCAACCCTTGTTCTTTTATTAGGTGGTCGTGCTCTACCTTGTTTGTAGTACAAACCCTATTTTGGCTATTTCTTTGTTTGTTTCAGATCAAAGATATATCTTTCAATTTCTTTTTTTGGGTGTGCTCTACCCCACATTTTACACAACTTTATTTTGACATTTCTTTACTTTTTGGATGCAATTTTTCACTTCTCTACTAGTGTTTTTTTTCATTGCTCCACCTTTTCAACTCAATTATCTTTAATTACTGGGATGGCCATTGTATTGCCCTACAGGGACGAAGCCTAAAATCCTCTCTTTTATAATAAATTAACATTTAAACTGGACCATTGAGGATCTTTCCGCTAAAGAATTTTTTATATACTTTCATAGCCCGAATTATATCGAAGATTCCTATAACCCATCATCTCTCATCAAGTACTTGCTATATCAATACCATAACCGAGCAAAACACTTTTAACAAGATTACACCTGCTGACACCCTTTCGTCCGGTCAAAAAAGGCCAATTTCAACCCTCTCTCCACCTTTCTTTGCTGCTGATATTTCTCAACATTTAAAAGCAAAGAAAATGCAACCTCAAGACCTCCCCAAAGCATCTCATTTCACATCCTCGATCGATGTTGACCCCAACTCGATTGACTTTGGTCTCACTTCCCTCCCACCTGCTTCGCCCACTGATCAAACTGCGTTGTCGACCTTTATGGTTGAGGTCAGACATCGTTTGAGCAGATTAGAATCTGCCCATGCTAAAATTGCGCAGTTGAAAACAGCCCTGGCTGAATCAGAGGCTGCTAGAGACGCCCTTGCGGCTCAATTGGCAGCTATCAACGCTCAATCCACCACCATAGACGCTGTATCGTCGAACACTCCAACACCACCATCAACAACATCTGCCTCCAAGTCTACCCCCAGCTACTCCCAATCTCAAGTTACAACGCAACCATCTTTTGCTGCCGTCGTTGCATCCAATGCAGGTGCAAAGCGTAAGAAGAAGCCTGCTGCTCGTCCTCCTCCATCTGCCACCAAGGCATCCGCTACTCTTGCTCGTCTTTTTGCTCCTCAAAGTGATATACCATCTGGTTATCAATTTGTGTACTATGCTACTCCTGTCCGCCGTCGTCTTTCTGAGCTGCGTCGCCTTGTACAAGGCGTAGGATTGAATAACTCTCGTGTGCTGGATATTCAATATCCTGTACAGAATGTGATTTCTTTCCTTGTTCATAATGACTATGTTCTCACCCTCACCAAAGCCATGCATCTACATGGTCGTGGCTCTTCTCCGTTGGTTGACTTTGATCCATGTGATCCAGTCAATCTCAAAGATCCCAAATTTGCTTCTCTCTCTCCTGATCTGCGTGTCCAAAAGGCCATTGAGGTCGAAAACCTTCGCTGCCTTCGTTCGCTGTCTTTTGTCCGTCGCTCTGTCCGTGTTTCTGTTGCTCGTTCTTTTCTTTTGTATGATCGCATCAACCAAGCCCAATTTGATGCCATTTTGAAAGAAGAAATGCTTGCTCGTTCCTCCTCCTCTGCTGCTGCTAAACCACCATCTCGATCCTCTGATCAAGAGCGTTTAGCCAAGAAACAACGTTTGAGTTATCTTGGCTACCTCTTGCATCATGATGCTGAAACTGCCTCTCTCTTGGCTTATGCTGTCTCCCCCACTCTCTCTGCTACCAAGGATTTTGAAATGTCAGAGTCTTCTGATAACTGATTGACACCTTGTTGTTAAAATCGTTTTGCTCTCTCATTCCCACTCTCATTGTTTCTGTTTCTGCTGCCTTTGTGGTAGTGTCTGCATTCACTTTGTCCTCCTTCTCTGCTTCTTTCTCGTTTGGTCCTTGTCTCTCTACTCATTTTGCTATATGCAAATGCCTCGTTTTCTCCTTTTTTTTCTTGCTTTTTTTGTGCCACTGAGGTCTGTGGGTTTATTTTGTCTGTGCTGCTGTCTGAACATCGAGGTATCCTCAATTGCATGTCTCATACACCATAGCTTCTTATTCTCTACCCTTTTATCTCACTTGTTTTACTCCTTTTTCCTGCCTGTACTTTTTTTTACCAGTTTAATTTTTAGTTTAGGACCTTTTTTCCCTTTTCTGGACACTTGCATGTTGTTCCTGCATGGAGATCAAACTATCAATTTAAGCTTTTTTGCTGTACGTCGCTTCTCAGGACTTGCAACTAATGATCCAAAGATCGCATGCATATAAGTCTGTATTTTTTACATTGCTAATTCATTGTAATCAATAAACAACCATAAATTTTCGCCTGGACCATTGAGGAGGAGATATTATCGACTCTACGCCTGTATATGTCAGCATTATTCAAACGTTTTCGGAAAACCTCTTGCCTTCTCGCCGCCTGTTTAGCCGCTTAGTCACTTCAACCATCTCGATCTTTCATCTTTCCTAATGCCAGGTTCGCCGATCCCGCCAAATTTGAATCCTGCTCCACCGAGTTCTACCGGTGCAGCACAATCAATCGAAGCATCATCCGCTGATTGGATTTCCACTATGACCGCCTCTGGATCTGCCTCAGCTCCTGTCAATGCATCTACCTTCACCTCCAATAAGCGCCGCTGCGATTCAATGCAGTAAGACATTGCCGGCCGTGATTATTACAATAACTTGAAGCAATCAGAGTTGATTGATCTGGTAGTCAAGCTCCAAGAACAGAATCTGATTCTCATCCGTTTACTGGAACGATCCACCCTTACTACTGCTACTAATACTTCTGCTGCCTCAACCAATCGTCTGAATTTTACTCCAAATGTCAACTTCACACGTACCAAATCTGGATCTGCTGCATCTCGTTATGCATCGGAAAAGGATTTCCCAACCTTGAATTCAGGTACCAAAAAGGGATCTGCCAATGCCAAATCTACTGCCAACACTGCCAGCACTACTGCCAATCCCAAGAAGAACTCTGGTTCTAACAAGAAAGCTTCCAAGAAGTCTTCTTCTAAAGCCAAAGTCCCCTCTGATGCTGCTGAAGCCAAGAAATGGGCTTTACGTCTATTTTCTACTCCTACTGCTGCTGACACAACTGATGGTGATGATATGCAAATGTTTTCCTCCTCTAATACTGCCACTTCAACTCTGCCTCCTCCTGGTTATACTTGTGTCTACCTTCCTTATAGCCACAAAACCAAGCACGCCGATCTTCGCACTCGTTTAGAATTGCTCAAAATCAATCTCAAACATGTATATGCCATCCAACGTCCTGCCAAGCATGTTGTCTCTCTTCTGGTACACTCCCACTATGCTGCTGAAATCCTTAAGATCTGTGAAAAGGAGGAACTTCATCCCATCACTGATTTCAATCCTATCTCTGGTAAAAATCTGGGCGATCCCCATCTTTTGAAGACTCTTAATGCTCAACAATTAGATGATAAAGCTAAGGCCATCTACTACAACCGCATGCTCCAAGCTACTACTCAACTTCGTGAACCCCGTAAGGGCCTGGCCATCCTCAAGTTCTTCAATGCTCTTGACAGTGCTGATAATCACCATGTCCCGCCTGTCATTATTGATGAGTTCATCAAGCTGAAACCGGATTGCGTTCGCAAAATCAGTGCTGCTGCCAACACTGCTCGCTCTGTTCTCAAAGGCTTTGATGCCTCCAACTTGTTTGTCTCTCTTACTACCTCCACCAACAATGCTGATGCCAGCATTTCTCAACCTGGTTCAAATCCTCCACCTCTGACTGCTGCTAGTAACGCTGGCTCCAGCCCCATGGATACGAATCAATGATTGTAGACTCACAACCTACTCTTAACCTTGCAATGCTTAATGTTTCTGGTATCTCTACGTCCTTGGATTTAGTGATACACTATATAGAAACACATCACATCGACATTTTACTACTCACGGAAACCTTCTTGCTCAAAGGCGATCTATTCACTCAATGGGCTCAACATCATCAATATGCTACCATCTCAGGTGATGCGTCCAAAGGCAATGGTGGTTTGACATTTCTAATTCGACCTCATTTTCCTCACTATGTTCACCGTAGCACTGATCCAACTACCACACAACACAACAAGCTCAGTATCGTGATTGGTAACTCGCTTACTGTCCATGGCTTCTATTTACCACCAGCGCTATCTTTTGCAGACTATCAAACTGTATTGGGTAGTGTTGACTTCAACTCTTCATCGGCAGTTATTTGTCTTGGTGATTTCAACACTCGTCTTGGCTTATTCACTGGTGATACCCGTAGTACGAATCCTCGTAGCAACTATCTCCTCAATTGGCTTACAGTCCATCAGGCTAATCTCTGGAATCGTATTTCTACATTTGGACAACCTACATTTGAGTCTAATCGAGGCACAAGCATCATTGATTTCGTGATTTCACGCCCCAATATATTCTCGGCTAATCCCTTGTTATCTATTGAAAGTGATATCAATCTCAACTCGGATCATCACCTTGTGCAATTCTCGTTTAAGCTACGCCAACAACCTCAACTCCTCCCAACATCGACTTTGGCTGGCAACCGTCGTCTTTGGAACTTGCAACGTTTGGAAGAAAAAGACGTATTTGAATTATATCGCAAAAATTTCTTTTCAAACATTTTCAAACTGCAACAAGAGGTCAAGCACTTTATGGCTTTTCAACAACAGCAACACCCCAATTTGTTTGTGCTCTCTGGTGATACAGCAACTAAGCATCGGAAGGAGGCTACTATCAATCAACGGATTAATGCTACTAATGGCTTCTATTTCGAGGTTGTGGAATCTCCCAAGGATTTCATTAACCGTGTTGGCATCGAAATGATCCAGGCGATCCACTCAGCACTTGATAATTCAGTAACACCAAGAACACCTAGGCCTAAAACCTGGAAATTCTTTTGGGATGCAGAGTTACAACATTTGGCTGACATTAGACAACAATGCTACACTGATTGGAAACAACACAAGCACCACAGAAGATCATTGATTGGCTCAACACACCTCTGGTCTCTCTATCAACAAGCTTGCAACAACCTCAAGAAGGCTATCAAGGCTGCTAAACAAAGACATTGGAAGAAATTTTGTAATGACATGAGTGATTCCTCTTCAAATCAGGTGTATTCCGTTCTAAAACGTTTAAGAAAGAAACACACTACTAATCATTGTTTCTCGCATAGTGAAGGGCCTGAGGTAGCTGCAAATGTAATGGCAGATTATCAAAGACACATTTTTGGGGGAGATCAATTGGATTTTTCAACATGGAGAGCCAGCAGATCACCACTCCACCAGCACACCACTAAACCAACATTCTTTTCTGCTTCAGCAATCAAGCAGCAACTATCAGCAATGGGTAATCGTAAGGCACCTGGAGATGATCATATCGTAAAGGAGATGCTCATGCCTATATGGTATCCTCTTTGTAATTTCCTCTCTGAGTTCTTTACTTTGTGCTATACATTTGCCTGGACACCTGCCTCTTTTCGATCTGGTCTTATTGTCCCTGTCTTCAAGAAGGGTGATCCCAACTCAGCTGCAAACTATAGGCCCATCAGCCTCACCAACACTTTCAGAAAGCTCTATGAACGATGTCTCAAATTCTGTCTTTTGACCCATATGCCGTCTCTTGGTGTTGCTCAAGGTGGCTTTCGAACCGCTCGCAGTGGAATCAGTCAAACATGGAATCTCTTGGCTTTACAAAAGCAATTTGAGCAGCAATACGATGTCTCACCAGCACTCATCTTTATGGATATCAGCAAAGCATATGACAGTGTTACTCGATCCAAGATCTGGCAACTACTTCATCCTCATCTACCAAAGGCTCTGTTTTACACCCTGCGGCATCTTTTTGATCATGTCACTCTCAATGTAGTCATCAACAATGCTACATCACTGCCAATCCATCCAAAGCGTGGTTTGCTCCAAGGCTCCATCTTGTCTCCATTTTTGTATGCCATCTTTATCAATCAACTGCCTGCTCTGTTGTGTACTGCGCCTGTACGCTTTCCACTCTATGTGGATATCGCTACTCGTGCTCGTACTGATGGTGATGGTCCTTCAGCTGACATTACTGAACCTAGTTTTGCTCTTGTGAAATACGGTGCAGGTCCACGTTTGTCTGAAACTGCCAGCAGCTGCTCTCCTCGTCTTGGTGTTGTTCGTCAAAAAACAGCTATCCACTCTCTCTTGTATGCTGATGATGTCTGTCTTATTGCCCATCGTCGTGATATGCCGTTACTGGTTCAACTGTGTGAGGAGTACTCGTTGCGATTTGATTTCAAGTGGAGTCCAACCAAATGTGCTCTTGTCAACTATCACTCTAGGCGTAGGCCTATTCAATTGTATGGTATCAATGTCCCTATTGTTCCTAGCTATGAGTATCTCGGCGTGCCCTTCAATGCCTCTGGTATTGATAACATTGCGTTCCTCAATGCTAGCACAAAGAAGGCCAAGTCTACCATGGCTCTCTTTCGTCGTCTTGGTGTCCATCAGTATGGCTTTGGTCTCATGTTGGCACTTCAAGTGTATCGGGTGTTTGTACGCCCCATCATGAAATATGCTCTTGCTCTTCTTGGTCTGAATGCTACTTCTGCTATGGCTATTGATCGCACTCAAGCTAGCTGTCTGAAAATGACTCTCAATCAATCTGAACGGCACAACCCCCCGTTCATGGTTCTCAATATGATGGGTAATCTGCCTACCATGTATACTCGTGCCCAGATCTTGACTTTCAAGTTTTGGTATTCGCTTCAGTTGAAAGCTCGTCCTTTTACTTTGGTGGAATGCATCCTGTATACGCATCAGCGTCTTAAAATTGCTCCTGCTCTGTGGCGTCGTCTTAGCTCCAACAAGATCTGGAAGTTGTACAAATCGTCCCCCACTCACACCACTCCCCGTCTCATTTGCGAAGAGTTTCAAGATGCTCAAATGTTGAAATGGACTAGTCAAAAGTCATCGTGTTTGCGTGCTCTGCGTGAAGACACAACTGGCTATGACCCTCTCTTGTTTTATCCGTGTACTCGGTTGGAGCGATTGCGTCTGATTCGATGGCGTTTTCATCATCACCCAAGTTTCCCTCTCTCAGCTTGTCGTTGTGGCGCACCTAGTGCAAATAGATTTCATTATCTAGCCACCTGTCCTCTGGTTCAAGACATTATCAACCGCATCCATCTCAATCTGCCTGATGACTCCATTCCTTTGGATGAATCCTATGATGACCAAGGTATCGCTACCACTCATATTTTGGATCGTATTCTGAATTCGCTACCTTCTAATCTGTCTTTCTGTCTGGGCACACACTGGGAGAGAACTTGGCCTCTTGTTCTTGAGCTGATTACTCAAATTGACATTGCAAACCATCCTGCTGGATCTTTTGCTGAGGAACCTCCTTCTGGAGAGCTTTTTGAACATTATTTGACTCAACAACATCACTTTCAACAACAGCAGCAACAGCAACGACAGCAACAGCAGCAACAACTCATTCAACATCTACAACATTGATCTTCTCCTTAAATTTACGCTTTGTATATGATGTCTAACACATTCTGTAGTCTATTTTTTTGGAAATTCGCTCCCTGTGATTCTCATTGAGAGGTTGGGTGTTTTGATCCTACTTGTTTATGATATGTTTCGCTCGAGATGTTGAAGTTTCATGAATGGAAGCTACTCTTTTTCAACCCTTGTTCTTTTATTAGGTGGTCGTGCTCTACCTTGTTTGTAGTACAAATCCTATTTTGGCTATTTCTTTGTTTGTTTCAGATCAAAAATATATCTTTCAATTCCTTTTTTTGGGTGTGATCTACCCCACATTTTACACAACTTTATTTTGACGTTTCTTTACCTTTTGGATGCAATTTTTCACTTCTCTACTAGTGTTTTTTTCATTGCTCCACCTTTTCAACTCAATTATCTTTAATTACTGGGATGGCCATTGTATTGCCCTACTGGGACGAAGCCTAAAATCCTCTCTTTTATAATAAATTAACATTTAAACTGGACCATTGAGGATTTGATATATTTACACATTTGCAACATTTAAGTAAGCACTGTAGTTTATATTTTTTTTTAAGTTTCCCTAAAAGGATTTATTTATTTATTTTTCTTTGTGAAGCTGTTCGATTTAGAGTGTGGGTCTGCAAGTCATTTTGCTACTATTTATTTCTAAGTAATTTATTGGAGATTATATGAAAACGTCGACGTTGTACAGCTGGTTTACTTTTAACTGGTATTAACTTGGTTTTATTTGGTACATGCTTATCAAGACGGTGGTGTCCTGTACTCTGAATATGGTTTATTCCCGTTGATTTGATGATTGCCTATAAAATGCAGTGTAAGCATGAGGTATTTTTATATTATATGGATATCGATATACTCGTGTATTGTGATTCCATTTATCTCATCTCAAGTTTACTGGATGATCCACTCAATCAATGTGTGGGGCTGCGTTTACTAAATCAATTAATTTGTCATTGATCTAAATGGTAATGCGAGTTGTAATTTCGAGGATTGTCATCTCGAACTGTCATGTTGACTCTGGAATCTGACTCTGGCCTGCTACAAACTAATTGAAAAGTGTTCAGACCAAATTAAAGTGGAATTACAATGAATGTAAGGTCAAGATGCTATTTTAAACTAATGAATTGATTCGGTAATCTGGCTCAGGAGCACAGATGTACAATTTTGACATTGAATTGAATGCAATCGAGCTTGAGACTACATTTCAATCTGGGCACTGACATTTGGATGCAAACGCGTTTGACAAAAGAACAACAACAACAATTATACTGTATCATTGTCAGCTCTCGTCCAGGCATCAATGTCTTTTTTTGTTGTATCTACAGGGAGCGGCTCATCGAAGAATACATGTCTGTTTGAGTTCTTTTTTCGCACCATACATATGGATTTAGACCGCTTCATTGTTATAGTTGATAGTGCCCATAATTCTGAATAAAATGTATACGTTTTTATTCTTCAGGAAATATGCTGTAGCTCTGGTGATTTCTACTAATCGAGGTCGAAGCACATAGCCTTCGACAATCTCTATGTTGAAGGCCATGGACTATTGCTGGACATCACTCGCTTTCTGATACAGGCCATCAAGGGCCACAGTAGTACACATGGATGAAGAACCCGCTTTATCAAGTGTTATGGCTTGCCGTGTGTCCTCTACTGCTATATTCTAATTGTACATTGCGCAATATGGTGTAATTAACTTTGCTGAGCATACTAAGCTTTGGAAGCATCTCACTACGTTCTTTATCACCTCTGGGACCATCTAAAGTCATCAAATCTAAAGATAATAATGACCATTTAATGATGGCCATATAAATGGTTGCAGTTTTTTCTACGCGTCTAAACATGCCTCTAACTGTTGAATTTACTCATGATTGCATCAATGCATGGGAATGTCAGACAATCAGAGCGACAAATGTACAATGCAGTCGCGAGCACAGACAACGCACTTGCCGAACATTACTAGGCACCATTATATTTCAAGATACATTTTATAATGTATCGCAACCACATGGTAATATGTGTGCATAAAGAGTGAATTCAAGTTCACTTGCAAGCGTTATTCACGCACTATTACACCAAGCCTGGTAGTCATCCTGTGAAGCTTACACAAAAATATATCCGATGAGGGTACATTTGAGATATGAAGAAAGCAGAAAATGGCAAACTTTAATATGTGCCCGATCCCAGATCTTTCACACATCTAAACTCGAGCAGTAATCTTATCACATTGATCGTGTAACAGATCAAAAAAAGATTTGACAGCTCCGGGAGGAGACCGCCATTAAGGGCATGCAAAACAGAAGCACGATTTGTTCTTTTGGAGTGTGTACATTTCGACGCAAAGAGAAGATGATGAGATTTCATTGGAAGATAATACATTGTAGATTATTTGCTTTTCACCATGTATTAGGAAGCCGACATGCCACTATTGAATCTCGTTGGTTATGATTATCCCGCCTGTGGTTGTACCATGGAGTATAGAGCTTTTTTTTTCTTTCTAATTGAAAAAATCTTTTTCATCTGAACCCTTTTTGCTACATCTCTTTTTCTCCCCTCCTATCTGTAACTTGTTACAAACAGCCAAGCAAGATGCAACTTGGACTTTTGTCTCATGGACAACTGACGTTTGATCCATTCAAGCCGATTATTCTGAGAGGATTACCGACAGAAGATGCATCTACACTATTCGCTGGTAATGTCGTCTTGAATTTGTCTAAAGCAACCAAAATATCCAACGTATCGGTCACCTTGAAAAGCCATGCCACTACCTATTGGCCAGAAGGTAAGATGATATCTATACTTTAGATAAAAACAATGCCTGATTCTGTCTTATTTACTAAATAGGCATTGGTGCTCGTGGAACAAAGTTAACAGCAGAAAAATCGCTTGGACAACAGAGAGTAGAGATCCTGGCTCCCAACATTGATAAAAATGCACCAGTCTTGGTTTTACCGGCCGGAACACACCGCTTCTCATTTGCCTTTGTCGTACCAAATGTATATGGTTCCTAGAAGAAACTGATCCTTAGAATGCATATAAACTAACTTGATTTTGTTTAGTCTACTGTTGCAACTATTGAAGACACTTTTGGCAGAGTCCGTCATGTTGTAGAAGCCGAAGTACAAAGGCCTGGAATTGTGATGCTTTCCAGCTGGCATATTTCCAAACCTGTTATGATCTTGAGGACGTACATGTCCAACTCTCTCCTGACAAACAACTCGCTAGCCAATTTATCGAGAACATTTGAGAAAAACATGGTCTTTGGCGACATTGAAGTATTGATTGAAGCAGCCGCATTTTCTTCGGGCGATCTATTTTATATCCGCATGATTATCGAACCACACCTTAAACACACCCGTATCGAACATATGGAGGTCAATGTGACGGAAACCAGACGCTATAGTGTACCCGAGATGAGAGCATGGAGAAATGACGCTATTACATTTCCCATGCCGTTTGCAGGATCAGTCAGGCTAGCAGAGTTTGGTGAAGTCGATGTGACAACCAAGCAGTTGGCACCCATCTTTGATAAAAATCAAAATGGTATTGAGTTAGTGCATGATTTTGCACATCGCTTAGCGTTTCATGCACCCACATGTCAGCAAAACATTCGCCATACAACCTACATCAAGGAGATACAGTTTAGACATCATTTGGAGATAAGCTTGACGTTATCGTATCTAGATGTTGAAGGCAATCGTCAGTTTATGAGCAGAAGCAGTAGTCAAACTAGCCTTGAAGACACTATCGCAGTACCCGAACCTCCAATAGCCACGGGTACCCTCACTCCACCGCCAGCAGCTCATTTTGCAAATCACAATCACCACAATAGCTCCCGAGCCATCGGGTCTCCAATGGTGCTTCCACGATTAAGCAGACCACCGACACCCACTAGCAACAGTAGTAGCTCCAGTTTACCCAGCACGCCAACCTCTAGTATGACCGCGGCACAACTATCTCAGCAGCAGCACCAGAACAATGCAAGTTGGTCCAATGTATTGCTTCGATTGAACAAGACCAAGGTAGATCAAGATATTCAGGATGGCCGAAACAGAGAAACAATTACATTAGATTCAGCCATCACTGTGTTTGATTGTAGATTGAAAGAGGATTACGGAAGACTACCTTCTTATCATGAGTTAGGGGTGAAGCCATCACTCACTGTCAGTAGCACGAGCAACAAGAAGAACAAGTACAAGGTGCAATCGACAGTGACAACGATGGATAAACCTAATCAACCACATCCTTATTTGTGCGCATGTTATCATGCCTTTTGTAGAGAGATGGAACTGGCATCACAGGCTTTATATCTGCCAACTGAATCAGCACCGGCCATGCCACTCCTGGATCGTATCCCGTCGATCCCCCCACCTGATTACGCAGCTTGAAAAACAGTGATCCACAACACATCAATTTGATATACCCCCCTTCCTTTTTCCAAAGTAATAAAAAAAAAAGGCGATTGATATGAATTTGTCGTACTAAATATTCCAATTAATCCACGTTTTCTGTGTCTTTTGATCTCTATATCGATTTAATTGAATCTCTTTTGTCTCCTTATACTATATTATATGAAATTACATTTGTGCGATATTAAAATATTAATTCTTGTGTTTATTAAAAAAAAGTTGGGGATGAGGACATTTGGCTTTTGCCACTGCTAAAGCATGTAATGCGAAATTTACGGTATGCCATAAAAATGATTCGATTTAACAGGTCGAGACAATGTCAGGCCATTCTCATGTCTTGATTGTAATAAACCTTTATTACAAAAAGAAACGAAGCCTGTATATATCAAGTATAGCACGTGTACCATATAAGCTTGTTCGACAATATGTGTAACAAAAATTAAGGGCTCTGTCTCCAAGCGATATTACATTGAGCCAGCCGACTTTGCGGTTCAACGGGTGGGCTTGCGCAACCACCATACAATCGAATCTCCGATATCAAATGTTGTCAATTCCATATAGCATGTAAAACCATGCCAATTGGAATCTAACCACCAAAATAAAACGTTCTAGATGTCCTGTACCTTGGATCCATTGTATATATATGAAATAGCGTGCAAAGTCGTGCTTACACGATCATGATGTTGATAGAGTGTGCGGAATAGAGACTAATATAAAATTCGAATTCGGTAACCTGTCAATTAATAAACAAGTGCGCAAACTTTATAACATGATGCACCAAGGCACACACGTACGCACAGTGAAAAACTTTGTACTAAAAGGTCCTTGCTTTCTCTTTCTTTTTCTCTATTTTCTCTCTCTCTCTCTCTCTCTCTCTCTCTCTCTTCTCCTTTCCTCTCCTCATTTCAGATCGGTAATGAACAATCCATCATCTTCATCTCCATCACTACATTCATTACATCAGCAATATTCAGCAATATCATCATTACCCCTTCCACCGCCACCACCACAAAGCGTTATACCCAATGATAAGGAATCCAGTGTCGATTCAACCAGTACACCGCGTAAACGAACCCGTGCTACGCCTGAACAGCTTGCTGTTCTAGAAAAGACATTCAATGTAAACCCAAGTCCTAATAATCGGGTGAGAGAACAACTATCTCGAGAACTTGGCATGTCTGAGCGATCTATTCAGATTTGGTTTCAAAATAGAAGAGCTAAAGTCAAAAACGTAGCCAAGAAATCAAGTATGTTACATGATGAGACGCTGAGAATGCAATACTATGCTTCTTCTGCTGCTGCTGCTGCCTGTCAAGCTGCTGTGTACCAACAACGACAAAAAGAAGGCAAAGACATCAGCAAAGTAATGGAGGATCCCATCAAAAGCAACCCTGATTTGTATTATTACTACTATTACTATTATTTTAATCAACAGCAACAGTTGCAGCACCGTCAAAAGCACCACCATCAAACGTATCATCCATATATGCAGCAGCAGCAACAACATCAGCGTTATCATTCCTCCTCTTCGTCTTCTTCCTCATCCGTGCCTCCGCCTCCCATCTCTCTAAAATCCATGCCTCCTCCGCCTCCACCACCTCCACATTCTGTCGCTGCTGCTATTGTAAATGACACGACTGGCTCCATTAGCCCTTCTGATACATTAAAGTCGGATCCATACAGTCAATGGTCCAAGAAAGAGGTCCATCAGCAACGAGCAAGAGCGCACACCATTGGCCCCTATCCATCTAATTTTCAACATCAATCCAGCAACAACAGTAGACAGTTTCGCGTCTCCTCAGCTGAACTATCTAATAAGAACCCTATGATACCACTTAGTATAAACACAAGTAATATAATAGAAAATATCAACTACACCTCCATGATGAATACTGCAAGCTCCTTGTCGCCAAATCAGCATGAGCAATTTGCAAATCTAACCATGCAAGACTTGTCATTCTATGAACAACATCCATATTTACAACTGCAGCAACAGCAACAGCAGCAACAGCAGCAACAACAGCAACAACAGCAACAACAGCAACAACAGCAATTAACGTGGACAGATTTGCCATTTTGTAAGTATCTTAATTAGAGACAGCTACAAACTCACACACTCACACTCACACACTGTCTAGATGAAGATCCCTCTCTCATGATGACACCTACTACACCTTCTATATTCACATCTAATAATAACAACACCTATGATATCCCTTCTGCCTCTACTGCTACGGCCACCACCACTACAAACACTACTAATATACAAATCATCTCTGCCGAAGCACTGCAAATTGGTACCTGGAAGAGAATGACATTTGAACCCAATGACCTCTCATGCCAGTTTGATAGAGACAACAAACTCTTCAGCTGGTGCATCCAAGACGGCATCTCCAAGTTTAAAATGGAATTCCCTCAGGAATTTGTCCAATCTATTAAATTATCATCATTAACGAGTCGACCTGGCTGGGCCAGATTGGAGATGAAGGTATTATCAACTCAACACATCTCGTTCTACATGGAGACACCACAAAAAAGCTGGATCCAATGTCGAGACTATACTGAGGACAAGCAGGCTTCCATCATCAGCCTGCACCAACTAGACGGCCCTGCACTTGCTTTAAAGGCAGAACTAGAATCCCTCTCTAAAGAAAACGACTATCTAGCTACCATCATTCATTAATTTGCATCCCATTGATTGGTGCGCTTGATTAAAACTGTGTAATATAAAATACCTTGTTGACCTCTCTCCCTTTTGCTTTTCTTTTTTTTTTTCTCTTCTTCAACATTTGTTGCTTATTCTCCCTTAACTTTTGAATAATCAACTTTCGAAACACCCTTTAAAAATGAGAGAAGTTATTTCTATCCACGTTGGTCAAGCTGGTGTCCAAATTGGTAATGCCTGTTGGGAACTCTACTGTCTTGAACACGGCATCCAGCCTGATGGTCATATTCCCGAAGAGTTGAACACTGGCGATAACTCTTTTGATACCTTCTTCAGTGAAACTAGCTCTGGTAAGCACGTTCCTCGTACCGTCATGGTTGATTTGGAACCCACTGTCGTTGATGAGGTCCGTACTGGTGCCTATCGTCAATTGTTCCATCCTGGTAAGTTGTTTGTTTATTAGCAAATATTGCATGCGTGTACAAGCACATGTACTCACTCCTTAAATATCCAAATAGAACAACTTATCACTGGTAAGGAAGATGCTGCCAACAACTATGCTCGTGGTCACTACACTGTCGGTAAAGAGTTGGTTGACTCTGTCTTGGATCGCATCCGTAAGTTGGCTGATAACTGTACTGGTCTTCAAGGCTTCTTGGTCTTCCACTCCTTTGGTGGTGGTACCGGTTCTGGTTTCGGTGCTCTCTTGATGGAGCGTCTTTCTGTTGACTATGGTAAGAAGTCCAAGCTTGAGTTCTCTGTTTACCCTGCTCCTCAAGTTGCTACCTCTGTCGTTGAACCCTACAACTCTATCTTGACCACCCATACCACTTTGGAACACTCTGATGTCTCTTTCATGGTTGATAACGAAGCTATCTACGATATCTGTCGTCGCAACTTGGACATTGAGCGTCCCTCTTATACCAACCTCAACCGTTTGATCGCTCAAGTCGTCTCCTCCATCACTGCTTCTTTGCGTTTCGATGGTTCTCTCAACGTTGATTTGAACGAATTCCAAACCAACTTGGTCCCTTACCCTCGTATTCACTTCCCCTTGGTCACTTATGCCCCTATCATCTCCTCTGCCAAGGCTTACCATGAGCAACTCTCTGTCCAGGAAATCACTAATGCTTGTTTCGAGCCCAACAACCAAATGGTCAAGTGTGATCCTCGTCATGGCAAGTACATGTCTTGTTGTTTGTTGTACCGTGGTGATGTTGTCCCCAAGGACACCAACGCTGCCATCTCTACCATCAAGACCAAGCGTACCATTCAATTCGTTGACTGGTGTCCTACTGGTTTCAAGGTCGGTATCAACTGTCGCGCCCCTGCTGCCGTCCCTGGTGGTGACCTCGCTACTGTCCAACGTGCTCTCTGTATGTTGTCCAACACTACTGCTATCGCTGAAGCCTGGGCTCGTCTTGACCACAAGTTCGATTTGATGTACGCCAAGCGTGCCTTCGTTCATTGGTATGTCGGTGAAGGTATGGAAGAAGGTGAATTCTCCGAAGCTCGTGAAGATTTGGCCGCCCTTGAAAAGGATTACGAGGAAGTTGGTTCTGACTCCTTGGGTGATTCTGAGATTGAGGATACTGAAGAATACTAATTTCCTCTTCATCTATACATCATTCACAATAAAAAATTGAGGGAGAATGCTCTCTATCTTTTTTTGTCATTATTTTGTTTTAATTCAGTGGAGTTGATTTGTCTCCAAATCATGTAGCACAACTCGTGCTGTATTTTAAGCGTGTCGCACTGAAATGTCGGCACAATAAAGACCGCAGATCAAGTCATACAAGAATGTGCTTGACGTGTTCTTACATGTGCACTGCTGTGATGCCTTGAAAATAGTCTTTACGGGATGCCACATTATGTTCCGAATCTGATTTGAACGAGACATGGACATGCTTCTTACGTGGATACATGTTATTATAGCTGTAGCTTGCATTTGTCAGGTCAAACTATAATAGACTTGAAACTCTACGTACATCCGATACCCTGGCAGATTCATCTTGCCAAATTTATATAGATTAAACGTATTCACTAGTATCTACTACTCGTATCAGCAAGGCATAAACATCTCCCTTTTCTTTCAACTATCTTACAAGCATGGTTGTCAACGCGGGCGATAGTCTTTTGGACGCTGAGCAATCTCCCATAGTCACTCCACATCGAATCACTATCAAAACAGACCAAAAAAGATGGTGGCCCAAGACTATTTACCACACTTACTGGAGCCGCATGTTTTTCTGGATACAACGCAACATTGTGTGGGCATTAACAGGTGTTGCAATCATGTCCATTGCGGGATATCTGTTACTGACACCTAATCACTCATCCTCTGGCGTTAACACATACAATACGAGTGCAGAAAGCATCCTTAGGAGCATCAAGGAAAAGCTCAACGATCCCTCCTTCTTCAACTATGCATCTCACCAAGAGAAACTAAAGCCATATGGGTCTGATTACATTGCTCCTGATACGCACATCAATTGGCACGCTGTAGCCAACTCCACCAGCAAGGTGAAGGCTGCTTTTGTAGCTTTGGTACAGGAAAAAGACATCTACAAACTGAGGGGCACAATGATAGAGCTTGAACGCACGTTCAATGAGCGTGAAGGATATCCATGGGTGATCATTAGTGATCAAGTGTTTTCAAAAAAATTTAGAGAGTGGATTACGAGTGCGAGCAGGGCGCCTGTGTATTTTGGCCAAGCACCTGCAATTGAGTGGCAGGAACCTTACTGGGTGGATATCAAGAAGGCTGAAAAGAACATGAAGCAGATGGTCAAAGATCACAATATTGATAGCGGTGAGAGCATGAGCTGGCGAAGAATGACTAGGTAAAACACGTTGTTTATTTGTTTTTATGGCTTTGAACGTGTATATTAAATTTGCACCATCTTTTTTTTTTCCAGATACAACATGGGATTCATTGCTCATCATCCGCTACTGAAGGATTTAGAGTATTACTGGAAAGTGCAACCAGGTTCCCGCTACACTTGCGATATTCCAATAGACCCATTCAAAAAGATGAAGTCCAAAAGCCAAAAATTGTGTAAGTTGCGCTGTCTGATGGTGGGTGTGTGTACTCCTCAACTAAACGGCCTATGTATGCAGCATTTGCATTGACCATAGTTGAAAATCATGAAAATATTAACGAGTTCTTCAATGTGGTAAATGGTTTCATTGTCGACAATAAGGATATGCTTCAACCTACAAGCAAGAGTATTTTCAAGGGCCTATTGCACGAGGAAAGTAGAAAAAGGCCAGTAGATCCAAGCAATCCATTGGGCGAACACATCGGCCACTTTACCAATTGCATGATTTACAACAACTTTGCCATCTTCTCGCTTCAATTCCTTAGATCAAAGGAATACACAAAATATTTTGATGAATTGGATGCATCTGGAGGATTCTTTTACCACAAGTAAGTTGTGAACCGTAGCAAAACACTCAAAGCTCACAAAAAGGCCACAACAGATGGGGAGACGCATTACCACAAACAATTGCAGCTGGCCTTTTGTTGAAGCGCTCCGAAATTGCCTTTGATGATGTGCCAGGCTATACCTTTGCTGCTGGAGCAGTGTGTCCGCGAGATATCAGTGAATACGCCAAACTGAAATGTACATGTACTCAAAATGACTGGAGAAGTAAGTTGCTGATGGATAGGCACGCTATGATGCAATCTAATCAAATTCTATAGCGCATAACATGAGACACTGTTCGCCCACTTTCATGAGAGCTATTGATGGCACTCTTTAGATTCATTTTCTAACTTAGTATCATCATTTGAACTATGTTGTGTTGTTAATAAGTATTTGGCAGTTATTGGATTTTTGCATCTCCTTTTTATCCGTTTGCTTGCTATTGATCGTACCAAATGATCGGTTTCTTACCTGCGTTGACATTTGACGTTCAACTAAATATAAACCACACAGAATTAGCATTTGGATGAGAAATCCACAATGATAAGATTCCAAAGATATAAGGTTCTGTAAAAAAAAAATAATCAGAATATACTGGTCAGGTAAAGCTACAATGCGTTCCAACTCGCAAGCTTCTTCCATTTGCTTCATGAACATCAATTTCGTCATGAGCAACGTGCTGGCCACCGCTAAAAAAATTAAACTCAGTGTTTTTTCTTGCTCGAAAAGGTCTTAATGCGGCTTGATTGATCTATTTTGTCAGATTCGACTATGTAAGTTGTGGTTCTCATGTCAGGCTCCCTAATACTTCTTAGGAATACTTTCCAAGGCGCATCCGTTGGTGACAAATAAAGCAAATGTTTTGAATAAACTTATCGAGCAATTCATGAAAATATGAAAAGGGGTTTTTGGCCAAAAAGTCGAAATTTTACATATCAAAATCTCAAAAAGATGATTTCAGGGGCTACGTTAGATCGATAGAAACATTTTGGTTCAATACATACCATAGTAAAAGTCTTCATTATCCAAGGTAAAAAATACGATCGTTTGATTTTTGATGAAAACCATGAGGGGTGCCTCATGCTTTTTGGTCGAATTTTGTTCATGTTTTTTTGATCTCCAAAAAGTTGAGCAAAGGTGTCAAAAAGTAACTGCCAGATGAGAGCAATTGTTTGGTGCAATTCTGACGGTCTAAAACGGTTTCCAGTACAAGAAAACACGGCTCAATTGCACCCAGATTTTGCTGTGTTTTGCACATATCTGAACAGTAAGGCATAATTCAGATATAGTGCTTTTCTGTATATGAATTCTTTCCGTTAACGCAGACGTAGATCATCGTAGGAGAACTAGATCTACAGTTACAGATAGTTTTTTGGAGGGATTTTCAGCAAAAGTGGGATGTCAAAATGCCAGTATACTACGAGCATTTGCTTTGGATTCCTCTGATAAATGCTGTCATAACAAAAGTCTAAGATTCTCTTCAAATGAGCATCTATATCATCCAGTAGATGAAATGCCATGGCTTGTGGCCTTGAGAGGCTTAATTACTGAGCATCTGCTATCAGCTACAAGTTAAAAGGAAACTAAGAAATAATGATGTATCTACGTCTCACTCGTTTTCAAACACATTTCTAGCACAATGCAATTTGGAAACATGCCCTGAGACGATGCGTTGCCATCGAAACTCAGCATCCAAATGCATGGCCTTTCCATCCCTTTACTCTCCAAGCTGAGCATGCTACAGCCTGCCTAATGTAAGGGTGTTACCTCTCAAGCTAAAGCCCTCTACGTCCCAAAGGTAACATGATTTACATGATTCACATAGCCAAATCGTTGAATACCCGACGTACTTGCCATCTTCGTGACGTTGACGAACTCAAACATCGAGAGCTTACAATATGTTCATATCAGATACTACATCCGACAGATCTTTTTTCTTTTCCATCTCTGCTCTTTTGGTTCCTTTTTCTCTCTTTTTATTTCTCTTCAACAAAGCAATAACTCAAATATGGCCAAAACTCTTAGTGCACGTGAAGCATTTGAACTTCACAAGTCTGCTGTTACTCGAGACTTTATTGCTAAACCTCGTTTAGGTGCGTAGAGAAACATCAATTCCATGTAAAGCAAATGAGAGAACTCAAATCATTATACTGTGTAGATTACCGTACTGTTACTGGTGTGAACGGTCCTCTTGTTATTTTGGACAATGTTAAAGTAAGTTGAATAGACCGAAGGGCCCAAATGTTCACTCTGTAACATGCACCTGGCTCTGCCTCTCTCCTGTTTGTTTCTACATTTGAAACACTAAACACCTTTGTCTCGTGTTTATTCCACATAGTTTCCCAAATTCTCTGAAATCGTCAACTTGACTCTTCCTGATGGTTCAGTTCGTGCTGGTCAAGTTCTTGAAGTGCAAGGCAAAAAGGCCGTTGTTCAGGTATGAAAAAGAGAGCATTTAATTGCGTCATTGTTCTTTGCCCCCTTATCGTTTTATGTTCTGTGTTTTTAGGTCTTTGAAGGTACCTCTGGTATTGATGCTAAGCAGACACATGTAACATTCACTGGACAAACACAACATATTCCTGTCTCTGAAGACATGTTGGGTCGTGTATTCAACGGTTCCGGTAAGCCCATCGATAAGGGTCCCAAGATTTTCGCTGAAGACTACTTGGATGTCAATGGTAATTACTGGATGAAACGCGATTTCCACTATAATACAGCTAACGCATAACTACCACAGGTTCTCCCATTAATCCATTCTCTCGTATCTACCCCGAAGAAATGATTCAAACCGGTGTCTCTGCCATCGATACTATGAACTCTATCGCTCGTGGTCAAAAGATTCCCATTTTCTCTGCTGCTGGTCTTCCTCACAACGAAATCGCCGCTCAGATCTGTCGTCAAGCAGGTCTTGTGCAGAAGATGGCCCCTACTAAGGGTGTTCATGATGGCCACGAAGAGAACTTCTCCATCGTCTTTGGTGCTATGGGTGTCAACATGGAAACTGCTCGTTTCTTCAAGCAAGATTTCGAAGAGAATGGTTCTATGGAGCGTGTCACTCTTTTCCTCAACTTGGCCAACGATCCTACGTAAGTTGCTAGTTGTTTGTTATTTGTTTATGTCTAACACTATCTATACTCAGTATCGAACGTATCATTACTCCTCGTCTCGCTTTGACCACTGCTGAATACTATGCTTATCAACTCGAGAAGCATGTTTTGGTCATTCTTACTGATATGAGTTCTTATGCTGATGCCTTGCGTGAGGTCTCTGCTGCTCGTGAAGAAGTTCCTGGTCGTCGTGGTTATCCTGGTTACATGTACACCGATTTGTCCACCATTTACGAACGTGCTGGTCGTGTTGAAGGCCGTAACGGTTCCATCACTCAAATCCCCATTTTGACCATGCCTAACGATGGTAAGTTACGCTGATTTTGCACTGTTTCATCATTAAACTCACCATCTCTACCATAGATATTACTCATCCTATTCCTGATTTGACAGGTTATATTACTGAAGGTCAGATTTTCGTTGATCGTCAACTTCACAATCGTCAAATCTATCCTCCCATCAACGTTTTACCATCATTATCCCGTCTTATGAAATCTGCTATCGGCGAGGGTATGACCAGAAAGGATCATGGTGATGTTTCCAACCAATTGGTAAATATGAACGCACAAAGAGTGGGCGAGTGTTCATGGTTTAACATTTCGTTTTGATTTAGTATGCCAAGTACGCTATTGGTCGTGATGCTGCTGCCATGAAGGCTGTTGTCGGTGAGGAAGCTTTGAATCAAGAAGATAAATTATCTTTGGAATTCTTGGAGAAGTTTGAAAAGACCTTCATTGCTCAAGGTGCTTACGAATCCAGAACTATCTATGAATCTCTCGATCTCGCTTGGTCGCTTCTCCGTATCTTCCCCAAGGAACTTTTGAACCGTATCCCTCAAAAGGTATTGGCTGAATTCTATCAACGTGAGCGCAGCAAGAGATCCAAGGGCGTCTTTGATACTAACGATGATGAAGAGTGAAGAGGAATCGTGTAAAGCAGAAAAAAAAAAAGGAAAAAAAGAACGAAAAACATCCCAACTATCTTTTTTTTTTATTTAATCATATAAAAGAAAGAAGACGAAAACCACCCAAATTTCATACCATAAATAAACTCTTTTTTTGAACAAAACACTATAGCAAAAGTGCACCCGCGTGGAGTAGGATAGCATTACTGGATTTTTGTGAAACTTGGTTGGTTTATTGTATGGAGAAGCACATTAATAAAATTCCAATTTTGCTAATTGATTGTAAAACCCTCTTTCTTTTGTCTTTTTGTTTGAAGATGGCATCCTCTTCTACAAATAGCCATCGGAAATCCGGTGGACTAAAAATGACAACAACGTCCATTCGCATAGGATCTCAACCATTGACGCCACCAGACTCTGGTAAGAAGCCTTTTGTTTCTCCATCTACTTTGAGCAACAATAGGAGCACCGGCAGTAGCAATAATAGTAGGAGCAGTAGCAGCGCCTCAACTGCCACACTCACTAGAAAGCCCTCCCAATTGCCCAAGCTAGATACTGCGGCTCGTCAGCAGCATAAACCAGCGAGTAGCGATAGTAATGACAGCAAAGCGAGTCGAGGTATGTGCTGTTTATTCAATTTGGGCGGGAAATATATACAGTGATCGTAATACCATATCATGCAATCATATTAAATATATTGAGGGGTGGGTTTAATTTAGAATCATCTCCAAAACACATTTCAGTTACGAAAAGTACGCCACAGCCAACAAATATAAAGGGGCCTTCCATATTGAAGAGTGATAAAAGCAGTAGTACGTCAAAGAGATCGTCTATTGCCTCGCCATTGACCTCATCTCGACCAGGTTCCGGGTAAATATCCATTAGCAATAGAAATACACAAGCCTAAAGACAGATTAATTTATGATTCCATGCTGTGTGTTTCATATATAGTCATGTGAAGCCCAGACCAAGTGGTAGTACCAAGCGAGTGTATGACGAAAACTTGAATACCCTGAAAGAGCGCATCACAGTCAACGCAACAGCAAAAGTGGGCTCCAAAGACAACATCAAGCACAAACCTGGAGGCGGGTCGGTAGAGATTTACCACGACAAATTGACATTTGTCAAGTTCAAGGAAGTCAAATCAAAAGTAGGTTCCAAGGACAATATCCAACACAAGCCAGGAGGAGGTCTTGTGCAGATCTACGACGATAAATCAGTGCTTATCAAGAAAGAGGTCAAATCAAAAGTAGGATCGAAGGACAACATCAAACATAAGCCAGGAGGTGGCCAAGTAAAAATTTACAATGACAAAACGATTCTGATCAAAACTAAGGATGTCAAGTCCAAGGTAGGATCAAAGGACAACATCAAACATAAACCTGGAGGAGGCGAAGTCAAGATCTACGACGATAAATCAATTTTGATTAAGTTTAAGGATGCCAACTCAAAGGTAGGCTCTTTGGACAACATCAAACACAAGCCTGGCGGTGGAGAAGTCAAAATATACGACGATAAATGCGAGTTCATAAAATCAAAAGAGATCAATTCCAAAGTGGGTTCTCTTGATAATATCAAACACAAGCCTGGAGGTGGCGATTTAAAAATCTACGACGACAAGTTTGAGTTTATCAAGTCTAAAGAAATCTCATCAAAGGTCGGCTCTTTGGGAAATATAAAACATAAGCCAGGAGGAGGGGATCTGCTAGTCTATCACGAAAAACTATCTTTCAAAGATACAGCAAATCCTCGTATTGATGTCGGCCCCAAACGACGAGTCAAGTCGAGTCAAAGTAGCCACTCAAATATGGTATCTCCATCGTCTTCTATCAATGAAGCAATGAGTCCAATAAGCATCAGTACAGAGCAAGACGAATTAGACAGACAAGAATCCTTGGTAACCTCCCCTATTTCAATGGATTGATAAATAAAGCTTAGTTTATGCATAGTGAGTACCAAACACCTTCCATCCCCAAATGTAGATAAAGAGGCACAGATCCAGAGCAAATCTTAACAGTAATGTAGCGACACCTTGAGGTAGAAAATAGCATTGAAGAGCACTTTAGATATCAGTAATCTTTGAGGCAAATTCAGCTGCTATAGCATCTTTCAATTAGTATTTCCCTAGCTATGAGCATCAGTAACATACATGGTCTTCATGAGTTAACCAGCTGGCCCGCTGCCAAAATCAATTCAAACTCAGTATTAATATTATTTTTTTTTTTCGCTTGAAAAGGCAAATTGAATATAATTTCGACTTGATTGATCTATTTTACTTATTTTGACTATACAAAAAGTGATGATTATCAAATGCCTTCTTAAGGTTTTCTGGAATACCTTTCAAGGCGCAACCACCGGTGTCAAGTAAATTAAATGTTTTGAATAAACTTATTGAGCAATTCATGAAAATATGAAATGTATATTTTGGCCAGAATGTTGAGGTTTTACATATCAAGATGCTAAAAAAGTACTTTCGGGAGTTGCCTTGGATCGATAGAAATATCTTGATTCAATATATACCATAGTAAAAGTCTTCGTTTTTTGCGGTCAAAAATGCGATCGTTTGATTTTCAATGAAAACCATGAGGGGTACCTCATGCTTTTTGGTCGATTTTTGACCATGTTTTTTTGATCTCCAAAAAGTTGAGCAAAGGTGTCAAAAAGTAACTGCTAGATGAGAGCAATTGTTTGGTGCCACTCTGGCGGTCGAAAACGGCCTGTAACATCAGAAATCACTGCTCAAATGCACTTAGATTTGGCTGTATTTTGCATATACTCGAGCATTAAGAGGTAATTCAGGTGTAGTGTTTGCCAGAACACACACTTTTTTCATTATTAAATACATAGTGCATCATACAAAAGTCAGATACACAGTTACAGATGATCTATGGAGGGCTCCAATGTGATGAAGGATGGTTCAGATAAAGCTTGCAGTATTTCCATGAGATGAACAAAAGTGATAAAAAAAAAGCAAGCCGCCGCTTTCTGGATTGCTAGGAAAATGATGCGATTAATAATCAGCATCTATAACAGTAGCGCAGCGAAAGTAACTAGTAATCACGCAGCATTTGAATACGTAATCCATTCAGCCTACATGGTAGTATCATCGTCAGTTTCATGCTCCAGTCAAAAATACATCATTGTTGCATTTTTGGCAACTCTAAAGTATTTAGCTAGCTTCTGCAACGCAGCTAAAACGCCACACTTTTCAGCCAAATCTATCAACTTGGACTGAGCTGTCTTTGATGAATGCTGCCCAAACAAAAGAACCTATGACTGTTTTGTTGTATCAAAAGTATGTAGCATGTGAATCAGCTCGATCCATGTGTATGCCATGTAAATACTAACTGCAATGATGCTGCTGCATTTCTGATCATTGATATGTGAGGAGCATTCAAATGCATCCATCAAATATAATGCCTCAAAACAATAAAAATTTTCTGTTTGGTCAAGGCATATTCATCGTTCAAATAGTAAACAACACATTTGTAAGAACATACGAGCAAACAAACAAATACCTCTTCGGGACTGACCACGTTTTGATCCAAAAAAAGAGTGTAAAGTTCTCGAGTTTCACATGAAATCAACCATGAACCAGGTACAAACGCCTTATTACCAGCACGGCTATTTGGCTTCTCCATTAGGTTTGGAATGACCACATATGCAATCGATGCTGTTGATTGGAATACATACAATCTCTAATGCATAACACATCTTGGGCGCTTCCCAATCGTGATACTATTACCCACAAAGTGACGGATGTTGACCCGATGTTTAAACTTTACTGTTTACTCCTTAAAACACCTAATTCTATGCCATACTGTGATTATACCCTTTTCGAAATATAGCTCTTGTTATGTGCGTCTAGGCGATGCTCTTCATCTTAAAAAAAGCTGTTGATTGTTAGTTTGGCATCGTCAAACTAGGGCGGAATCGAGTAGACATGATGGTAATTCGTGTTACATGCTTGCCACTCCGCCTACGATGTCTAATTTGATCCGCCAAACGCTATGGATCGCGGCACTCTGCCTGATGCTGTTCATGTGCCTAATCGGCCATGAACCAGAGACATGCTCTGATGGCAGCGGATGAAATGATATTGATGGACAATCGTCTATTGTGATTTGTAAAAAAAAAAAAAACTATTACACACGCCCTTTACCTTTTTACTAACAAAACGTCAATTTTCCATGTGTCACTTGAAATCAAGTTTCTATTCTTTGAGTGGTAGCTCATAATCACATCATTATGCATGAAATTATAGCTTATTTAGTTTATATGGTGAATATAGCTAAGGTTTGTTTTGAAGTAGAGTTGTGCGTGATACGATCATTAAAACAAACAGTAGAAATGTGTTTGATACGAAATTTTTATTCGGTTCACTTATATATATATACAATCTAGTACATCCTATCAAGCACGTTGTTCATAGCCAACCGGAAATATATCCTTGCTCAATTCATCTCGATCATGATTAAAGTATCTATCTTCATGCTGGAAAAAGAAATTATAAATTGCACTTCCAAAGCGATTGCTGTTTCGAGTCGGCTGTTGATCCAAGTAAACAACAGGCCTGAAATCAGGCGAGCCATGATGAAATGTCTTTTTCTTGCTACTCACACTGTCGTCCTGCGTATGATGATGGGACCTTGGGGTAGTGGTAATGTCCATGGTAGGTGAATTGGTGATTTGTATCTTGTTGTTACTGCCATTGTGTTTCTTTTTATGGAGCAACCGTTTGAAATCACTGCCTTCGCTGTCACCAAATTTCAATGGTTCAGTATGTGTAGTAGGAGATTTCATGCCCTTGTTGAGCAATTCTTGAAATAAACCAGAGATGGAGCATTCAGACACATTGGAGAGCATAGCCAATGGGTTGTTGGATGCCATTTTAGAGTGTATAAAAGAGTTAAAAGAAACGGAAAGAGCAGAGGCAATTGCATGAACATTTATACTCTCCATTTCTGTGACCTTTGGGTTGAGACTCAATCATGTAGTGCCTCTAAAAAAGAAAGGCCTTGGGAGAAGTTGGATTGCTCCCTTTTCTTTTACTCGTTTCAAACAAGCAACATTATCTATAACATCAATATGTCTAATCTACAAGCAGAACATATTCATCATGCTCAACATTCAAACCCATTGAAGCCTCGTAACCAACTGTTTACCTGTCTCGCATGTCAAGTTGCTTTTCCAACCACTGACCGACAAAGAGCTCATTATCGTACAGAGTAACGTTGTTTTGTTTTGCTGCGGTCAAACACATATATGCTGACATAATCTTATCCATTTGACAGTTGGCACAAGTATAACCTCAAGAGAAAGATTGCTCAACTTCCATCCGTCAATGCCGAACAATTTGCTCAGAAAGTTTTAGGTAATAAGCCAACAAGAATACCAAGAGTAGTTGTTCGTCGACCTGACATGCTGATTGTATGATAGCCCAGCAAATGAAGGGTAAAGAAGAGGAGGAAAGACAGGGTCTCGTCTATGAATGTGTCATTTGCAGGTAACCTTAGGGAAAAATCAATGGAGAGAGTTGTATGCTGACAGAGACGTGCTTTGCTAGAAAATCTTACTTTTCTGAAAACGCATTTTCAAACCATCTCTTGTCCAAAAAGCACAGAGATCTCGAATTCAATGCAGACCAAGAACCCCTGCCTTCGCCTGTCGTTGCTCACAAGAAGAATGATCGACTTTTTTCAGACACGGAAGAAGACACTGACACTGATTCAGTCGTCTCCTCGCTTGCAGATCTCGGCTTGAGCCAAGATCGTTGTCTATTCTGTAACATGGCTAATGGCGATTTTGATACCAACCTCAAACACATGAGCTTAGTGCATGGTTTCTTTTTGCCAGATATTGAATATTTGGAAGATCCCACTGGATTGATCATTTATTTAGCTGAAAAGGTAGAAGATTGCATCTGTCTCTACTGCAATGGACGTGGAAAGGAATACAAATCTCAGGAAGCTGTGAGAAAGCACATGGTAAGTTTTGGTTCCATGGCAGGAGCGTCAGACTGACCTGTGTATTTGGCCGCAGTTGGATAAGGGACATTGCAAGATGGCTTATGACGAATCAGAGAACCCGGGAGATCTGTTAAAATTTTACAACTTTGGCACCATGTCAGAAGAAGATTTCGAAGCCGCGACTGTAGACACAGTATCAAACCAAGACGATGAGTTGATATTAGAGTCTGGAGAGAGATTGGGACATCGTCGCTTCATGAGATACTACAAGCAAAATATGAGACGCTCGTCCCAAGATGAGAGTGCGGATCCGTTATCCATCACACAGGGAGAAGCTGGTGTCGCTTTTGAACCACGCAATAGAAAGGAGCGCCGCAGCAAGTTTGCCATTACAGACAGATCTGAACAACATAGAGCCGACATGCTGCGTCGATTACCTGAAGTTGTACAGAAGCAGCACTATCAAAGACAAGTATCAAAAAGAGATAACCTTGTGGCAACTAGTAGACTTCGTATCCAGAATCCAGTCTAATGGTTTTGGTCACTTATGCCTTTCTATGTGCTGGGGATAATTTTGTACTATTGATGGGAGGCACTCTTCTAACTGTCAAAATAAACAATCCACATTGCTCAGAGTCGAAGCATTTGTTGATAAAATGTTGCGCAGAGACATTTCATTTCAATCTGTGGGTGTGTTGGATGAATGGCTGTTTAGTTGATGTTACAAAGGTTGTAGCTAACATGGCATTTAAAGCCAATGCTTTCCCGAGGCTGCCAACAAGGGACGGCAAGATTTGCTGGTACGATATTTCGAGGAACGCGCCCTATTCCATTGCAATTTAATTTAGGGGCAAGACGTGTTTTTCACTTGACCGTTTCTTTCTTTCTTTGCATTTGAGATTCTTTAGGATGAACATGAAAGATCAGTTTGTCTTGTCAGACGAAGTACTCAACATCCAGCAGAGTGATTTGAACGACTATGTCATTCCTAATGAAACACAAATACAAGGAAAGAGCGACCAAGATTTAGCAAGATATCTCAATGGTAATCCCATCATCCACACGCTCTAAACCACACATACTAAACCATGTGGGTAGAGATAACTGACAGCATCCAAGTATCATCTGAAAATATATCAGACCCTCTAGTATTTGATAAAATACGCAGCTTTCTCAAGTGAGTGTACATCTCTCAAAGACAGCGTCCCACTAAACACCAGCACTATAGATACTTCACCACACCTCCACCTCGTATCCTCTCTCGTTTATTCGACATTTTATTATCAGGTAAATCGACGACTACAAAGCAGACTATATCACAATTAATAGTAACCCACTGAAATCAGCATTTCGAGTCGAAATCAAGGCCACAGCGGATGATTTGGAGAATAATGAAAAGGAAACCTTCAACAACCATCGTCTTCATTTAGAGCTGTATGGATTCTTAGTGCATTGGTTCTTATTATTGGCTGAAGAACATTCTACATCTTCCAACATGGTTCGCAAAGCAAAGCCGAGTTCAGCTGGGGGACACAACTTGAAGACATTCGACTGGAGTGCACAAAAACTGAAGGCATTCGATCTAGCAAGCTGGCTGCTTGACCTCAAGTTGACAAAGTTGTGGACATTACCGCCCGACAGATTGACGTTTGTTACATTATTCACCAAGCCAGCATATCAATTGCTCGAGAATCCAGCACACGCAAAGTCAAACCCTATCAAGGAGCGCATCTTTCGCGTGATCAGTCTGTGTGTAAAGCATTACGATCATTTACCAGGTAACTAGAGGTAGTCTTTAAGGAGTGGTTCATTATGTTAACCGATCTACGAAAGCTGCACAAGCGACCATCATGCAAAACCTTCAATATTGGGAGCATTCTGCTGAACCCATGGCTGAATTGTTAGTGTATATGGTGGACAAGCAAAACTACACTCAATTGGCCGATGAGATTCTGCGTGAGATCAGCAACAGAGAATTTAAGGACACCACCAGCAAAGAGGTCAAGGATTCACCCAATCCCAAGACATTTGCTACCTTTTTACAGACTCTTGCTGAGCTCTCAAAAAAGACAATTTTAAAGAACTTGACCGTGTTGATCAATCTTTTGGCGAGTGATGTAAGTGGAGGATCATGCATTGATCTTGGACAGTGACTAATCAACAGGGTAGTCTTATATTATGAGAGTAGCACTGATCGAGATATTGGGCCTATTGATCGCCGAGTTATTCAGAACAATCGATGATACTCCTGACAACAACCATCTTGAACAGATCAACGGATTCTTTGATCTACTGGAAGAACGCATGTTAGATACAGTAGCTTATTGCAGACAGAAAGTACTGCAAGTGTATATCCGCTTATTCGAGTGAGTGTCTTTTTGCTAGTGGGCGAGAGCCATCATTCACATATTTTGTAATTAGGTTAAAGAACAAGTTTCCCAGTAGAAGACAGACCATTACAAAGCTCTGTGTCCGACATTTACAAGACAAGAGTAGCACAGTGCGAAAATACACTATTCGAGCATTGACAGCATCGATCACTACCCATCCCTTCAGCATGTACGGCGGCGAGCTTGATTTAGAAGAATGGCAAGGCAAATTGGACAAGCTCAAGGAAGAGCTTGAGGTAAAAGATGCAGTGTTAGTCATTCAGCACAAGGCACTAATGCAAAGGATAGCATGTGGCATCTGAAGATGAAGTACGTGACATATTGACAGCCCAAGCAATGGAGGCAGAAGAGCAGAAAGAGGTTAAAGAAGCAGAGAAGGAAGAAAGTGCAAATGAGCCAGCCGATGACGTAGATAAGGACATTGTTATGGAAGACGTTGATGCAGTTATGGATGAAAACAAAGAGGATGACAAGGAAAACCAGCCTGAAGTGCCTTCGGAAGAAAAAGAAAAATCGTCTACTGAAGCAGCTACAGCCGAACCTGATCAACCACAGCAGCAACCAGCCGAAAAGATAGCAGCACCCAAGACCATTGTATCCAACGAGAAGATACAGCAACTTGAAATGATGTGTAAATATCATACAGACGCCACTGCCTTTATCAAACTCATTCATGAAGCAATCCCAACCATCATCCAATTGCTGTCGTCCAAATCCAAAGCTGAAGTACTGGAGTCCATGGATTTCCTGGTAGTTGGCTACAATTACAAGGTCAAGCCTGCTGCTGATGGTGTCAAAAAGATGCTTCATTTGATCTGGACCAAGGATACCAGCGACGAAGGCAAAGGCATCAAGATGAAGTTGATCAAATGTTACAGCAACTTGTATTTAGACAGAGATGCCAAACTCTCGAGACAAGCCAATGTCAACCGCATTGCCAAGAACCTGATTCAATTGACTTATGATACTACATTGGCCGAATTGACATCCTTGGAGCAGCTACTCAGTCTACTAATGGCAGAAAACAAGATTGCTGTCGATGTAATTCAAAAGTTATGGTCTGTGTACGGGTTCACGCAGGGCCGCATACAAAAGTCGCAACGTCGTGGCGCGATTGTCATTCTCAGCATGCTTGCAAAGGCTAAAACGAAGGTAGTGTCTGATAAGCTGGATGTGATGCTCAAGATTGGACTGGGCCCTCTTGGCAAAGAAGATTTGGAGTTGGCGAGATACACATGCATTGCTTTGCAACGTCTGGAAGGCACTCGATCCAAGGAGAAGAGTCGCGGTGTTCATGAAGGTGTTCGATTCCCCAACAGCCATCCGATGTTTGCAAGATTGAAAGACGTGATTGAGATCTCTACCGATAGTCAGCTCTGGTTCAGTTTAGCTGAGCAGGCGGTCAATACTATCTTTTTGTTGTGCAAACATCCTGAATCGCTCTGTGAGGAGATTCTCCGTAAGAAGACAGCCAAGGTATTCGGTGTGAAAGAGATCAGCCTTAACACGTCTCCTTCTCCCTTGAATGACAACTCTACACCGGTGGAATCTTCCTTTACGGAATATGACATGACTCAACAAGCACTGCCCTTTCCTCAGCACCCCACCTATCAGAAGCCCATGGAACTTGCTCAGTTGTTCTTTTTAGTGGGGCACATCGCCTTGAAGGAGATTGTTCATTTAGAGATTGTCGAAGCTGCTTGGAAGCGCAAAAAGTCTGAAAAGGAAAAGGACAAGCAACAGGAAGAAGGGCATACAGCTGTCGATGATGAACTGGATCAAGTTGGCGGTACAGCAGAAGACGACATTGGTGATGCCATGACCAGAATTAGAGAGAGAGAAATCCTGTTTGGACCCAATTCACTGCTTGGTGTTTTTGGCCCCATCTTGACCGAGGTGTGTGCTCGCAACAAGATCTACACAGTAAGCAATACTCTTTCTATCCAAAGAAGCATGGCTGACTTTTTTTTTTTTTTTTTTTTTTTTTTTTTTGCCCTGTAGGACCGTACACTTCAAGTAAATGCCACGCTGGCATTGACCAAATTTATGTGTGTCAGCTCTGATTTCTGTGAAAAGAAACTGCAGTTGCTGTTTACCATCCTTGAAAAGTCCAAAGACGCCAGTATTCGCAGCAACATTGTCATTGCATTGGGCGATATGGCTGTCTGTTTCAACACACTAATTGATGACAACATCACCTTCTTGTACAACCGTTTATCAGATCCTGACACCATTGTACGCAAAAACGCAGTGATGGTACTGACTCACTTGATTCTCAACGGCATGGTCAAAGTCAAGGGGCAAATCAGTGAAATGGCAAAGTGCCTTGAAGATCAAGATCAACGCATTTCCGATCTGGCCAAACTCTTCTTTACTGAACTGGCCTCCAAAGACAATGCCATTTACAACAATTTGCCCGATATCATCAGTTCTTTGACCAACAGCCAGCCTAGCCGTTTGGAGGAAGAATCATTCCGAAAAATCATGAAGTTCATCTTTAGTTTTGACTTTACAGAAAAGGAGAAACAAGCGGAAAATATTGTCGACAAACTGTGTCAACGTTTCCTGACTGCAGAGGATGAAAGAAGCTGGCGAGACATTGCTTACTGTCTGTCGTTGTTGCCATTCAAGTCTGAGAAGCCCTTTAGGAAGCTGCTTGAAGCTTGGCCCACGTATCAAGACAAGATTCATGAGGATTCCGTGCACAAGAGCTTCTTGGAAATTATTCAAAAGGTAAGCAAACTCACTCAAAAGAAGCAAACATTCTGATACGGATGCTCATTTTTCGGGTTAATTATACAGGGTCGTATTCATCACAAGAATCAAAGACCCGAGTTAAGAGCTCTGGTAGACGATTTTGAGCAGAGAATTGCCAAGCAGAGAGGTCCTGAACCTGAGAAGGCCGAGAAATCACCCAAGAAAGGTAAAGAGCGCGATCAAATGGTTGGCTTTGACGCAGTTGTATTGACATGATGTCTAGTTGGAAGAACTGTCAAAAATGAAAAGAAACCAAAGAGCCAGGAGACATCAACCACCTTAGCGGACTCAAAGAAACCACTTCGTAAGCGACAAAGAGTTGCAAAAGAGATGGAAACCAGTGAGGACGAAGACATGGATGAACCTAGCGATATAGGATCTGAGTCAGAAGAAGATAGCGAAGAAGAGGAAGACTATGAGGAAGAGGAGAATGGAGATGACATTGTCCCTATTGTCAATTTGAGAAAGAACAAATCAAAGCATGCAATCAGGGACGATGAAGATGACGAAGACGAGGATGAAGAAGAGCCGGTAATAAGACAGAAATCTACAAGATCTACACGATCTCGACGCATTATCCAAGACAACGATGAAGACGAAGAGGAGGAAGAAAATGACTTGCAAGTAGATGTGGAAGGAGAAGATGAACAAGAAGACGATGCTATGGATGAAGATGAATAAGCTAGACGATTGCACATTTCCAAAACTTTATACCCCCCCTTCCCTTTCGCTCTCCATTTCAATCATGCAGCTATAAAATAAAGTAATTTTCACCCTGTACCTGAAGCAAATATTGATGTATTTAGGATCTACGTTTGACAAACAATTTAAAAGGTCATCTGCCGAGAAATTTCCAGCTTGACATGGCAGAATACAGAAAGCACATGTCTACTCTGTCGATGCCAATGCTGTTTGCAGAATCTACAGCAAGGTATGGATACCAGCTATACACTGAATGTGTTTTCGGTGGAATATCTCATTTGCTCGCTTTCTTTTGTTTCGCATAATAATCCATGAACATGGCCATCTGTGATCCGTGCGAGCCAATTTGATGTCCACATATGGGGGCCCCTTCTATTCATGCAAAGCCTCAAGAAGCATGGGAACACATGTTTCACTTCCAATATGACAGGACACTGATGTCGCCCTGTTTACCCTGAATTCTAGCATGTAAAACTGGTACAATGAAAGTCTCCGGGAACCTTTTCGAGCAAAACACCTCAACCCAATGGTTAGATTTTTGATGTGGTTGCGCTAAAACTTCCGATCTAAAGTCAAACCTTCTCAAAGATTAAACGCAATTTGTTTGGGCTTGATTTGCATGAGAAGCCATGTCTAAGTGTCGACTAATTGATAAGGGATTTTACAGGCAACAAGATACAAATGTGATCTACAAAAGTAAGCTTGAATCTATAGTTTTCTCGGGAACTAAATGCAAAATGAAAAGCTCTCTGGGCAATTCCACTCAAGCACAAAGCAGTAGTCAGTATACGCATTCGAAAACCAAAAGGACGCTGTTAAACGTCTCGGGCAAATATAATTCAACGACCTGATTTAGCCCTTAGAGCAATTGAGAGAAGAAGAAAAAAAAAAAAAAAGTAAAACCCTGAAGGAACCATTACATTTCTTTTTTTCTTCTTCTTTTCTCCTACTATTTTCCTACAAAATACACTCAAGCGCACAACATGTTTAATATGAGCACTGCTGATCTACAGAATCATAATGAAAGATTCAATCAGAGCATGCTGCCTGCTGTTGCTGCGTCTGCCTCATCCTCGTTCATGCGAGAAGAAGATGATTCTTACAATCAAGATAACAAGTCCGAGACGTCTTCAAGGGGTGGCAATGCCAAATCAAAAATGTTCCAATGCACTGGTTACGGTGAATGTCGTATGGTGTTTACTCGAAGCGAGCATTTAGCCCGTCATATGAGGTGAGTGTCGTATCAGATAGCCATGCGCTTGTTGCTAATCTGGCAATTGGCTCTTTAGAAAGCATACAGGAGAAGTAAGACAACTTGCAGCTACGTGAGAACCACTGAATTTGACATTTTGTATTACGTAGAAACCGTTTCAATGTGTCGTCCCCGGCTGTGAACGTATGTTTAGTAGATTTGACAATATGATGCAGCATACACAAACCCACAACAAAACTCGTGGCCCACGACGCACTAAAACGACCTCAACCAAGTCTAAGCGGGGTGGCAAGAAATCAGGCAACAATTTATCTCGACGTGCTAGTTCCTCATCAAGCGATTATGATGAATATGGACCTTTGCCTTCTCCTCCTCCTTCTCGCAGAGGCTCCTCCAACAACATTATCAAGGAAAATCAAATCATTTTACCTAACCCTAAATATCTCGAAGTAGATGAAGACATGGACGAGCTCATGACAAGTGAAGATGACGATGATGATTATGAATTCTACCAAAACGACACCAAGACAATCACCTCTACTTCTCGCTTCCCTGATTCACCAGCATCCTCCTCTGATTCGTCTTTGAGAAACAACAGCACAACCACATCCAAACTGAGCCGACGTCGTAGATCCGCACCTCAAGTACGTTACCAACCTTATCCATACAACAACGCTTGTTCAGAAAAGCAGAGCAATAGGCCACGAGAAAGCATCCCCCGTCGTAACTCTGCCTTGTCTGAATTAGCTACATATCTCGTTGATCATCCCGGTCAGTCTCCTGAAAGCTATCTGACTAAATTCCATAGCCAAGAGATGCAGTTGAAGCATCAACAACAACAGCCATTGCCGCCTAGATTACCCACTCGACGTTTGTCTATTCAGGACCTGTCTAATCCCATCGAGACACTGGACGATGATAGCAAGCAGCATAATAAACCAGAATGTAAACATCCGCAGCAGGAACCCGAACAGCACAGACAAGATGGCGTTGATCTAACCGAAGATGAGTTCCAGGCTATTCAAGGTTTTGGCCAATTTTACAAAAGTGCAATTACGTGTAATAAATAAGTTTTGTAATTTAGTAGTAATAAACAGCTTTAATACTTGGTCTATTGTTTACATGTTGATGGTTACACTTTATTGTGGCCACGGTGTCTCACTTTGCTTCTCCTGAAATCAATTATAAAGCCTCCTTAATTTCATATATCATGGCTACTTTTTTCCCTCTCTTTTTGTTGTATATCATATATAATGGGCTTCTTTAATACAACGCCTAGAAACTTGATTTTTGTGCCTGCCATTGATCCAACTACTGCTGCCGATCGTCACTGCTATCGCACTCACAAGGCTGCAAATACCACATTGACGCATGTCATGCATTTGTTTGAAGAGAAAAACAAGTATCCTCCTGTGCCTGTAAGCGGTCCCCTACCTATCAAAGCAAATGGTGCCATTGTAGTCAATCGACCTGGTCAGCAAACTGCTGCATCCATCCGATCCTTGCCGCTGTATCTTCAAGGTTATGAGAGCGATAATGAACAAGAAGAATTGGTATGCATCTCGGAGAAAAAGGCAGCGCAGCCAAAGGAAAAAGCCCAAGAAAACATCGCAGAAGCTAAAGAGAAAGAAGAACAAGAAGAGGAGGAAGACGAATACCACACAACAACCGAATCTTCCATTTCTGACAACACAAGCAGCGATTCGAATGCATACAATGTTGTGCATCTCGTCCACGAAGAGAATCATCGGTTGCGCCAACAAATATTGCTTGAAAGGGAGCAAAATGAAAAGCACAGACTAGCCAAAGACCATTACGAGCAAGAATTAATATTAGCAAAGCAATACATCAAGAGCTTGCAGCGTGCCACAGACAGGTTTCAAAGGATACTCTCATCTGGATTTGGGACAACACAATCTCACACTGCCAAGCAGCTGCGAAGACAATCCACAGGCGCTTATTTCACTGATGTGTCATCTACTTTACCTACCAACGCGATGGCCATTTCTTACGAGCACAAGCTGCAAATCCTCTTGAACGAAATAGAAGCCATGGAGCAGGATGAAATGGAGTCTACCAAACGCATGACAATACAAAGGAATGAATGTGATAAACTGATGCGCAAAATCAAGTTCAAAAATGATATTATTCGACAGTTGGCTTATGATTTACAATTTGCAAAGAGCTCACGTTGAGCTGTCAAATACACTTCATGTGAATATATTATTTTTCCCACAATCACCGATGTTTTAAACAATTTACCGAGCAAATGTATGCTATAAATCTGTACCTAACCCTCCCCTTCATTTTCCCCACCCTCTTATTTCCATTGACAAATAAATGGGTACAAAACTATTATCGTGTGAGTTGCAAAAGAATAATAAATCTGTGGTTTTCCTCATCGTTTTCTTCTTTCTTCTCATTGCTTCTTGTTCGTTTCATTACCAACAGTTACTCGTAGTATGTCTACCGCTGCTCAAAAACCTCTTATTAGACCATCTGCATCATTGATTATAGCTGCTCCAACACCCGGAGACGGAGTAAAGGGCGGCAGCAACTATCGTGTTTTGATGGTCAAAAGGTACAGCATTAAAACGCATGATGCATAATACATGAATAGGGCATTGACGCAGTGTGTGTGTGTGTGTGTGTGTGTAGAAATGCTCGAAGCAGCTTCATTAATGCTCATGTATATCCTGGCGGCATTGTGGATACAGCAGACCATTATTTAAATTGGAGCAATGATGCATCTACCACAGAATCAGAGTAATGTCAATATGCTGCTTCATCCAGGAACGCGATACTAAATATCAACCAAAACAGGGGAAAAATCCTGACAAATAAAATTTGCGCTATTCGAGAGACATTTGAAGAATCAGGCTTATTATTATCCCACCCACCAGCCAACACCATCAAGGCATTAGACGCCAATGTATGGAGACACAAGGTTCACAATGATGCCACTCAATTTAAAGTCATGTGCGATACCTACTCTATTCGCCCTGCTGTCGACAAGCTGATCCCCTTCTCCAATTGGATAACACCCGCTCAAGAAAAGAAGAGATACGACACCATGTTCTTCTTGACTGTATTGGAAGAATTCAAGACAAAGCAGGAGCAAGATTTGCATTTGAACGTGGTTTCCGCTGATGGCAAAGAAACTGTCTTGTTTGACTGGCTCAAACCTGAAGAAGCACTCTTAAAGAAGCAGAACAAAGAGGTCGTTATGATCCCTCCTCAATGGTATTCTCTTTCACTCATGAATCAAATCAAGGACTACAGAGACCTCGTCTCACAAGCAGGCGTTGAGGCATTCAGAACCAAATCAAATCAGGTCATTAAGATTTTGCCGCAGGCAAATCCCAGTGCCCCTGATTCCAAGGAGGCTAATGATGGCTATCTCTTCTATTTGGCTTATCCCGGTGATGAACAGTATCAAAGCACTGAATACCTGTCGAAAAAGGGCAACAGACATAGACTTTACATCAAGGGTCGCATGGAAGATTTCCGTCTTGAGAGAAACGTGAATGTCTCAGACATTATAAAGAGTAACTCATCTAATTTATAAATAAGGCTTTTTATTGAAATCTATGTATACAGAATAAATAAATAAATGCTAAAATAAAATGTAATATGTAAATGTGTTGCTTATGTATATTGGGATATGTTTCTTATGTGCATTTCTTTCATTAGTTGACTCGAGCAAGGGAGATAAACTTCTGAAGCGAGGAATGGGATGCATCTTCCAGCGATTGGTGATACAAATTTACAGTCATTTCTAAGTATGTAATCAATTCGACTGAATTCTCCAGATTTTGTTGAATAACAATAGTGTTCTGTGCGGCGTTTGAGTCTTTGAACGATTTTCTGTCTCTAATCTTTACAAGGTAATGGTTGAAATGCGCTAAAATGCCATTCACATGTGATTGAGTTGTCTGAAATAAAGGTGGAAGATCTTCCATGACGATAGATGTCAAGATGTCTTTAACGTGGTTTTGAATATATTGATCTACACGAGTTACAATCTGATTTGCATTTTTCTCGATACATGTGTTCATCAGTGTGTTTTCTGTCGTAATGGTGCAATATTCAGATGTTGTTTTTTCAATGTATTGGCTGATAGACAATCTATCAATGACACTGGATCGAGTATTCCAAATGGTAGGTAGTGAATCCTCAATGAAAGCTAAGAATTTCGTGATGAGCGGAGTTGTCATGCATGCAGGTACCACAAATACTTACATCCAACAGCACCTTGCAATTGACCTTTCAGCAAGTCCACGTCTACCTCGAAATCATCATTAGGACCACCACCCAACGGCTGAACAGTGACCTGGATAAGATCTTGAAAATGCTGAGATATACGTTTTGATAAAACAGTCAATGTTCCATCCAGGTGGTCGAACAGGAGATGTGATGAAAAAAATTGCGAAAACTGATGAATGTCAACATAATGTAGCTGCTGTCGATCATTTGGATACGGTAATGCGATGGTAGCTGAAGGTAAGACTAGAAACACTAGCAACAACCAACAGCATTTAAAACGTAGCATATATGTCTATATTAGTGACTAAAATGTTGTCAAAAAAGGGAGAAGAAAGGTGTTCAAAAGCAAAAGAAGAGAAGGAAGAGGAAGAAGAAATTATATTTTTTTCTACAAATTCCATTTTATAAACTACACAAGAAGAATAGTAAAATTAGATTGAATATCCGAAGTCATAGTGATTGCAATCATTCAACGCTTCCTGGTGAGAATTTAGTCTTATAATCTGGAGAATCGCAATGTGCGTGTGCGTGTGTGCTACATTATATGTTGACCTTTGACCTATTTTTGTCATGTTAATAGACGTGTGCCTCGAAAAAATGATACTCTGTACAATGTGATACAATAATTATGATAAAAAGGTGCAATATCAATTCTTCCGGTATTTCTATCCTACCAGCAAAGCGGATGTATTGTATATTAATTGAATACATATATATATATATATAGTTCAATTTTTGGATTGATCTAGGTTTGTGAGGTGATCATGTACAAACAAATCATAATCATATATTGCGTAAACACCAAACATCCAAGTTCCGGAATTAGTTCCTTCATTGGAGCTCCTCCCCACCATCAATCTCCCAATGTAACAGCAAGCCGGTATCTTGTGTATTAAAGAAGACTACATTAGCTAGAACGGAAATGGGATTCCTATCGCAGTTGTATGTAAATACATGTATGGACTAATATGCGTAATAAAATGAATCGTTTCATATGCATATCATCATACTTACACAACGTTTGGAAGCTCAACGTGTAAAAGAAGAGGCAGAAGAAGCATTGACGTCTATTATTTTTAATTTTCATGTAGCATGTCTTGCTATTCCTTTTTCTCTATTTGAACATCATCATCAATATTGAAACCGTCTGCCTTCAAAGGCGTATAAATAACCATCTAATGCGCCTCTTCTGGCTTTATCAGTGACACTCGAGAACGGCAAATTTATAAAGTCTGAGAAGCAACACATGTTACTTGACAACGACCCCATTCCACATGTGAGCATTTCATACGATTAAATATTGATAAGCAAATAGGTATGGCAATACTGGAGTCGAAGACTAGCCATGATTATGACCCTTTACTGCTTGCCTATTTCTAACATGCAAATATCATTTTATGAGTTGCTGTCATCTTCAGAGCAATACTCTCATTTACGTGAGGTCCTACTTTGTGTCTTTATGGACGGAAATGATGGTAACTGATACAGGCAACAGTTGAGCCGGTAATTGGACTCATTTTAAGGTCGAAGCATCTGGAATTGCATCTGTAGTACAAACCCTTATTGCAGCTTTCGTTGAGCTAAAATAAATGAGCTGGTAATGTGTCCTAAAAAATATCAAACTAGTCCCTAGTTGATAAGGATTTAATGTTTGCTTAATTGAACAGCAAGTATCGACAATGGTAGTAGGATCAGAAGCATGAGAGTTTCTCAGGTCAATCCAAAAAATTCGTGGAAGCACCACCTAATGAACGGTGCCTTTTTTCCGTGCCTGAAATTGGGTCGTGCTTTAGTAGTAATGTGCTTAGTTTTTACTAGCCACTTATCAAATGAAGGTAAACTTATCATTGAACTGAGCCTCTATCTCGACCCTTCATGTTACCAAGTGATTATGATATGCCTCATTTTAGGCATGGTATTTAGCCAGTAATGGTCCTTTAAAAAGGCGCATTGTTGATCTGCTCATGTGCACATGCATAAATGTGATGCTTTATTCAGCAAATTTTGTGACGCTAACATACATGACAGTACATGTTATGGCTCAAATTGTAAACTTGCTCAAAGTTCGCAGTGTCCCAGAGATACCTGAAAACGTTTAAAGACTTGAGCTCCAAGTCAAAGATGTTACAGTCCAAAGGTTGCGAGACAAATTTTTCCTTACTGACGGTAACGCCACGGTTGAATGCTATAAACATGACCAGGTTTCTGGCTTGAATGAGTCTTCAAAACTGCCATTATTTCTGATACATGATGAGTATTTGTACTCGTCGACCATATCATCGATGTTGAGCGTATGTTATGTAACAGGGTCAATGCAGGCAATTACCAACTGCTCCAAAGAAGTAGTAGACATAGTCACTGGCTAAATGCCTTGTAAGGATTCTTTTCCAAAGCATAGCCTGCAGGTGCCCAAAAAGGGCGTCTTTGAAGATGGTCTACTGTTGCTAATCATTATCTTCGTTATATATACTGTAAAGCATTCAAAAAAAAGTAGACAGACCGATCATATCCTTTCAATTTTTTTAAAGAATCGTACGCCGTACAAGGCGAATAAAACCACCGGCCAAGCCGACAATGGGGAGGGGGTATGGGGAAAGAACATAACGCATTTAATCCAACACTTGGTAACATTGACCTATATGAGGGCTTAATCGCAGCGAAGCAAAGATGCAACCTATGGCAACTAAGCATCCAATGCAGCATTTGATAGGATTGGTCTATACGAGGGCTTGATTGTAGCGAAGCGAATACGCAAAACCATAGTACCTAAGCAGCAAATTCGGGGTTTCATTTCCATTGTTAATAATCTTACCAGCAACGTAGCGCATCAAAATTTGCATGAATCAGCTTTTCCAAAAAAAAAATAGGACTCCTGTTTGAATTAGAAGTTGTACAGACTGCAGAACCGCCCTTTCAGAAGACTTCAGCTACCAAAGATGTGATTTATGCCGTGTAAATAAACTCTATAAAGCAATACCTAGCCAAATTTGACAGCTTTTAAGCCTTCATATCTTGACATGTAGACCTTTATGAGCCACCGAAATAACGCCAAACAATTGCACTTGAGTAGTAGTAACTTTCTGACACCTTTGCTCAACTTTTTGAGGACCCAAAAAACATGGCCAAAAATTAACCAAAAAGCATGAGGCACCCCTCATGGTTTTCACTGAAAATCAAACGATCGCATTTTTCAGCTTGAAAATGAAGACTTTTACTACGGTATGTATTGAGTCAAAATGTTTCTCTAAACCCAAGCAACTTCTGAAACTACTTTTATGAGTTGTTCATATGCAAAATTTCAACATTTTGGCCAAAAACCTTATTTCATATTTTCTGGAATTGCTCAATAAGTTCATTCAAAATACCTATTGTAAATAGTACCATTGGAAGCGCCTTGAAAAGTTTTCCAAGAATGTATTAGGAAACATCGGATGATCATCACAGTTTATATAGTCGAATAACACAAAATAGATCGATCAAGTCGAAAAAAGACAAAATCTGTCCAATCTTGAGCAGAAACAAATAAGCTGTGTTTGAATAAATTTTGGCGGCAGTGGCGGCGGCGGCGGCTGCGCTGCTGCTGGCTGGCCCAAATGCCTTTCTGATGATGACAATGATGATTGCGATGCAGATTAAATGGGGATGTGCTGCGTGTAGCATCATATGATGAAAGGGTTAACCATTTACGAGGTCATGTAAGGACAGCTCTACTGCGTGAACCTTTAAAAGTAAAGTTTCGGTCGACTCGAAATGATCTACAATTTCGCGATACGAAAGAAAACAGAAACTCGTTGAGAGCCTGATAAAATAGTCGATACATTTCAAACTCTTGACTGGTGCAAACTCTTCCACTAGTTCAATCTTGTTGCAATATCCAATCATAAAGGAATTTCTGGCTCCTTTGGTAATGGTAATGCATCCATTGGCGTTTTCAGGCTCAACAAATTTGACATCAAAATCAAGATTGGGGATGTGCTTGATAGCATCAAAGAGCTCTCTGAAATGTCGACTAAGGTCCATCTCGTTGATGATCAAAGTGTCCAATTTGAAGAGCTGGAACAAAAGGAAGAGAAGAAGAGCGAGGCCTTTTGTTTCCTCCATAGGGATGAGCTCCAGCCTCTTCATAGTTTCAGCCTTTGTGCTATCTTACTCCAAGGCATCGTCGATTGATGCGACGCTGGCAATCAATATCAACGAATTCTATGAGGGTTTAGTTAGGTATGTGCTCAATTCCTTCATATCACGAAAGTTGGACTTGACCAGGGTCGCCTTTTCCAAAAAGTGGAAGTTTTCTCGTTCCAAACCAACATCATATATCTGTCCTTTCAGGGCATACATACAATGTCTAACTGTTTCATTGGAGAATAAAAATCGAGAGTTTTGAAAGATTTTTCACCCAAGCATACTTGCATGGTGCTTCTTGAGCTAGCTAAAGAATTATGCTGTGTATTCAGGATCTGTAGACCCCCCCCCCCAACCTCTGGTATTCTTGATATTGCGATTCAGGACCATTTCAAGATGGATATGACTGTTGTCATGTTTGTGTTGAACGGAATATTTAGATCAACATCAGTGACATGCAGGCCCAAAGTAGGCTTTTGAAGTAGTCGACGGTGCACCTTCTCTATTGACGAATTCTTCTCCCAGAAACTCATTCCATTACTGAACATCACATTCTCAGCAGGAGCATCCCATGCTTTGCACACAAGTTTACATTGCAGCAGTTGCCTTGCGGCATCCATGTGCTGAAAGACTTTCAGCAATGGTTCTGTTAGTAGCGTAGGACTTTGATGCGTAGCGATAATACTTGATTAAAGTTACAAAATGTGAACGAATAGTGACAGAAAAAGCCACCATTATGTATCCATCAAAAACTGAAATCCATCAAAAACTTGATTTAAAGCCAAGCATGACCTATCAAATACCATCAGAGATGTCTCAATCCCCCAATAGGCATATGACGCAGTTGTTTGATCCTCATAACTGATCAATCCACGTGAGGAGAGGCATCTGGTTTGTGCATCCACAACTCTTTTTCCTTTTTCTCTTTCTTCCCTATCTTTTTTTTTCTTTCTCAATTTTACCCCTTCTGTATATTTCGCATGTCTACTTATAACTATATTATCAAGGTAAGTGAGTGAGTATATACTACTTTTCGACACTAATGTTGCCAAATGATAGTACATTATCGTCGGAGATTCTGGTAGGTCGATTGTTTATGCTTGAAATTGCTAAATCAAATGATGCTAACCATCACCTTTCAATACAAAAGGCGTAGGAAAGGTATAGTATGTAGACACCTTGGATAATGCGACTGTATACTCAAAATCTGTTGAATTTAGTCTTGTTTACTGCTCCAATTTACAGATAAACGATTCTATGCAGGACGTGAGCTCACTATTGGGTAAATGAAAGGAACGCATGATTGTATATTTACGCATACACATACTGAGCTATGTCTCCACAGCGTCGAATTTGGTACTCGTTTCATTACAATGCAAGATGGAAAGCAGATCAAGCTACAGATATGGGATACCGTAAATAGTCAATCATCAAAAGATTATGGCATGACGACTGATGAGAGTGCATAGGCTGGACAAGAAAGCTTTCGAAGCATTACACAAAGCTATTACAGAGGAGCAGCAGGAGCATTATTAGGTATGCAATTAAGATATCAGTGATGTTTGGCAGAGGATATATACTGATTTAGAAATATTTGCAAGTCTACGATATATCCAGAAGAGAGACATTTGAGCACGTATCCACGTGGTTGGCAGATGTTAGAAAACATGCCAACCCTCACACAACTGTTGTGTTGGTCGGCAATAAATGTGATTTGGAAGGTCGTCAGAGACAAGTTACTCGAGAGGAAGGAGAGAAGTTTGCTCGTGATAATGATATCCCGCTATTCATTGAGACATCAGCTAAATCAGCTGAAAACGTAGAAGAAGTATTTGCTCAGACAGCTGAAGATGTTTACGAAAAGATCAAGTCTGGTGTCTTTTCACCTAATGAGGTACATATTGCTTGGTTTTATTTATATCGACTATGATTGACACTATTTTAAATTGATAGACATCTGGTATAAGATTGGGTCATACGCAAAGTGCACTTGCTGATGAGACTCAGGGAGGATGTTGTTAAAGCTTCTTTAATCTTGCCAGCGTCTCCAAAGCGATAATCCGTATACCTTCATTTGCACTTCTTCCTTTTGTCATTTCAACAATATCTTGAATTGGAACTACAGTTCCTGTGATCTACAATTAATTATAAATTTAATATATCTTTATACTCACCATTCAAGTCTAAGGGGTGGATAATTACCTTTGCATCGTGTATTTGATTGCTAGTTGTGTCTATCTCCACATGTAAAACTGAATTCTTTGGTTTCATATAGTGGATAGAGACTGATGAGTCTGACTCAAATTTGATTGTCTCGACACCAAACAATCGATTGCATAAATCTGTTGCATCTAGGAAATGATAATAGCTCTCTTCCACCTCTCTATCTCTATTGCGTTTGTTGATAACAGCCTGCTCTGCTTCTGCGTTCTTCTTTTCCAGATCGGCTTCCAATTGCTTTATATCTGCTTCCAAGTCTTCGACACGCCATCTCATGTCAGGAATTCTGATCTTCTTTTCGTACGAGTCTCTATTGATCTTTGCAATCTCGTCCGTTTGTTGATTCAGTAATGCTTTTGCCTCTTCGACTGTATATGAACTTTGATTTGACACCTTTTCCTCAATGCGTGCCATTTCTTCCTCCATGTGGTCAATCAGGTCCAAATCATCGATTGCTTTGTCTGCAATCTTCAATGCCGTAGCTCTAGCTATTCTAAAATATTAGCCAGTGCTTACTTTTATCTCACTGAAATGCTTTACATTGCTCGACTGACTGGGCTTGCAAGCTAATTAGATGTTCTAATTCCTCCACCAACAGTATATATCGCTCCATTTCTTTCTTTAATGCTGATTCCTCTGCTGACGCTTGCTCCTGCTCTCCTTCGCTAATCTCCAATGGTGGCTCCTGCAACATGTATTGAAGAAAATTTTTCTTTGCAACAGCTTCCATGTAGTTTTCGGATAAGTTCGCAAAGTGTTCCTATAAGCGTCAAATGAGATCTATGAAACAACAATTCAAGTCTTTATGCTACCTTGATGTCCTTTAGCTCATTTCCGAGCGCTTTGGGATGGAAAGGCAGGTTATTTCGAGCGTGGCCGGATAATCCAACTTTGTTCTTGTATTCCTCTTGGGATTCATCAAGGTTAAGCTTCTCGTCCTTGAAGCGCTCGATTTCTCTAAATAAACTATATGAGAAACACAACTTTGGCAAAGTGTATTGTATGATTTTTACTTTCGCATTTCAGTCAAGTAGTCGGGTTTTGATGGCCTTTGCATAGTGATGTTGGAATGGAAAAAGAGGTAAAGTGCATCCTGCTGGCAAAAAGTCAGGACTGCAGAATTTATATTCGACTGCTAAAGGCATTTGCAGGCAAAGTAAATGGATCAATAGTATTTTGAAACATCTTTGGGTGTAAGCAATAGGGTCAGTTACATTGCAATATTATCTGACTAGCATCTTTGCCTCGAAAAGCTCTAAACTCTTCAAACTGTCTCCAACAAGGAAAGGCTGGCATTCGATATACCTATGTTGCCCCTGTTCCAACTTGAAAGCCTTGCTTGGATGCCAATAATGACTCAATTGGAAATTCATAAACCACGGGCTTTCAGATGAAGTCTTCGCTATTGTGCCTTGACTCAAACAGCAGAAAAGAAAAATTATCTAACATCACTTTCGCAATCTACAATCATCCTTTGAGTAGGAATCAGTGCCTGAAAATGACTGAGATCCCAGTGTTATAGTATACAAGTGGAGAGCGAGAGCTAATTTTGATACGATGTATGGCCAGACATGTGCCATAATTTCTGACATAGAGCTTAACTATCGTATTATAACTGGAGCATATAGTCTAAATGGATCAAAGGCCTTAATGAGCATAAACAAAGTGATCAAATGTACATTGTACGGCTGCTGTGATAATAAGAGTAATACAAATCAGTCGAGAGATCAATCTATTCATGAATTTCGTTCTGGCTTTACGCGACGCTCCATTAACTATTCAATATATAGCTTTTCTGTGCGTCTTGCGTACAGACAACGAGTCGAGATGAGTCACGCGAAATAGCTGCCCTGTCTTCCATCGTGAAATGGTTTATCGTTAGGCGCGTGAGCTCACGATCCAACCTAGTGTCAAGTCGCTGCTTTGTTCAGATATGTTTGGCATCAGGTATATTTTGGTGCAACTCTACCAAGTAGATTTATTTCGAGAATACAATCCCATTGTGGATCCATTGTCAGTGGTGGCTACTTTGTTGGGATGCTCTTGTTATTCTATGGGTTGCGAGATTTTACAAGATGTAGCTCTGCGATTTTAATCTGATTTCATCGTACAACCCTAGTGTATTCCACCTGAGATTCTATTTAAGAGCAATTTTGCCAATTTACTTGGTTGTACACATTCATTGATGTGCTACTTGCATCCACAGCACTCAACGGAATCCAATTTCCTATTAAAGAAGTGGTTACAGCCGACGGTAAATCTATTGTTGATGAATCCAAGCAGTAAAATGTATTTTTACAGAGTTTTTTTTTCCATGATTCAAATTAAGTCTCAAACCTAAATGTTTCTATTTAGTTGTGCTGTCTACAACATCTATAAAGAAATGCTTGTTTCTCTTGCTCTTTTGATTACTAGTTCGAAAATGATAGAGATGATGGTAGCACAAATTAAATTTCTCATTGTGCCCAGAATTGAGAAGAGATCCACAGTTACATTTGCCACAACTGTGCCGATTCATCGAGCAAAATCGTCTATCCGTCTTGTTGAAATGATAATCAAGGCAAACCCCGCTTGGAACATTCAGTTCGTTTTGAGCCTATAAGTCTACTCTTTCCCTTTTTTTTCCTCACTCCCTCTTTCTCGCTCTCTCACTTCTTTGCTGCCTCCACTGGAAAGACCAAGATGATACATGTCAATAAGACTGCAATCAGGGTCATTGCAATTTCCATTGTCCTATTCACAAGTGTGTATCTGTTTACACAATCATTCTACTATCAAAATCATTTCAGAAACAACAGCCATCAGGACATCATTACGAAGCCATCGACATCATCCAGCACAAACGACGCACCACAGCGCATAAGCTTCCCAGACGATTATTTCCATTACGGCTCCTTTTATCAGCATGAAAATCCAGAGAAATTGACATACCCACACAACAGATTCAAGGCTGCTTTCATCACATTTGTAAAGAACGATAAGGCTTCGCTATCAAAGCTTCGTTTCACTGTTCGCAATCTCGAGGATCAATTTAATAAGCACCATCACTACCCTTATATCATCTTTACTGATCAGGATTTGGATGACGAGTTTAGAGAGTTGGCAAGCTCTTTGGCCGGTGAAGCTACTATGAGATTTGAGAAAGTTGGAAGCGACTTGTACGGCTACGAACCCACTACTGATCTCAAGAAGGCAGAAGAGGCTCGCATTGCTCTGAATAACACCATGTTTGGTGATAGTGAAGACTATCGGTTTCAATCGAGATTTATGGCAGGCACTATTTACAGGTACTCCTCTTTCCTTTTCCCCCTTTTTATATATATATATATATATATACAATATCACTCCTTTTTCGCTACTTTTGCTAACTTTCCGGGTAATAGACATCCTCTCATGCAAGAACTAGACTATACTTGGAGATTTGAAGCTGGAACAGAGTATATTTGCCCCATGGAAGAGGATCCATTCCAGTTTATGTTTGAAAACAAAAAGACGACATCGTTTTCAATGGCATTATACGAATACAGAGAAACGATCCCGACATTATTTCAAACTGTGTTGGATTACGCCTCCAAGCACTCTTACTGGATTCAACCATCAGGCGATCCAAAAACCTTGTGGCATTTTGTTTTGGATGAAAACAACATGTTCAATGGGTGCCATTTGTGGAATAATTTTCAGGTACGAAAAGGAGGAGTGTGTGTATGTGGGTAGCAGGCTTACTGACGGTTGGGATGCAATAGATTGCGGATGTGAGCTTTTATAGAGGAGAGAAATATCAATCCTTCTTCAACTATCTGGATACATCAAACGGCATTTTCTACGAAAGATGGGGAGATCCAGTGATTCAATCGTTAGGCGCAACATTGTTCCTCACCAAAGACGACATTCATTTCTGGGACAATGTCGGTTACCGTGTTGCGAATTACTTTACCCACTGTCCCAGCGAAAAGTCATTGTACTCGAGATGTACATGCCGACCAGAAGAAAACTTTGATTTCAATGGATACAGTTGTTTGAAATTTTATTAATAAACATAGACCTTTTTGTAATATATAAATGACACTTGATGTTTATTCATCGTCTTCAGCTAAATTACTACCCTGTTGCTCCTTTTTGCGCTGTTTATCCATGGCAATCAGTTGAGCCCCTATAGACTTTTCGTGCTCGTTCAATTCCTTGATCTTGTCTGTTTCCTTAATGCAAGAAGTGCCAAATTCCCAATCCTCGCCTTCAGCAAAGTGTGTAAATTTCAGATATCTATTGTCCCACTTGTTTTTGTCTCTGAGGATGCCGCCATTCCACCACCAAGGTCTATTGTTTGTATCCAAATGAAGTTGATTGCCACAGACAGTTCCTGCTGCACCTGCATCGCCCAATCCACCAATCACAGCACCGTATGATCTAACAAATGCGTAGGGTGCTTGAATCATCTCAAACCCAATCCAAAAGGTTTCCTTGTCTCCATGTGAGTGTCTATAGGAAACTCGGTCTCTCTCCAGCTTGTCGTTCATCTTGCATGTCGCCAGCAGACCAAACAGCCCTTTTCTCTTGTTAATCACAACAATACCAGATTCTTGTTCATGAGTAGAGGTTGTCTTCCACCATCTCGATTCTTTGAGGTACGTACTATGCGTGGGCAAGAATGATTTGAGCCATTTGCGGCCCTCGTGGTAGTTGTTGAACAAGGTGCGATCCAAAAAGAACAAAGCACCCGTCTTCTGGTAGCCCTCGTCTTGGAAAAATGACTCGGGCTTCTTGACCATAAACACATCGGCATCCATCAAAATGACTTCAGTAAAGCTACTGGCCAAAATGGCATAGGGTTTAAGCGCCCATCCTCCAAATCGAGTGTAATAGTTGTTGATGCGTTTCGAAATGTCTTGCGTTTTGACATTGGGGATTGAGTTGAAATAGTCAATCTTCTCCTGCGATAAGTCGTTTCCATCGATATAAAAGATTTCGATTGGCAAGTCTGACTTGAGGATCTCTCGAACAGCATGGACAGAGGTGGCTGCGTGCTTAAACTGTCCATTGCCCACACACATGACGATACCTTGCGTGTGCTGTGATTTCAGGTTCATTTCAAAAACATTCTTCCAATAAGGTCGGATCCAAGGGAAAATGGCTTCTTCCAGTTGATTGTACAGCTTCCACGTGTCCTTATACAACGGATCTCGAATGACATCCACTTTGCCTTCTGCCAAGATGGGGTCAAAATACTGAAACAGAGATTTCCAAACTCGTTCCTGGGTTGTCAGCGTCTTGAAATCTGGCATGCTTTCAGGCACAGTCAGTAAATCAGCCTTGATTTGCTGGCCCAGGGGCGATTTCAGTAATTGAAGCGTTTCGTCTGTTGTTTGATCTTTAATGAGCTTTGGTTACACATTTTTATATTGCCTATTTCTTTACCTGTCCATGGTTCTACGGGTGTTGGAACGGCGATATAGTATTTCTTGAACAAGTCTTGATTGGTATTTTCTAAAGTGAGGTCTGGTATTGCACAGAAAAGAATTCAGAGAATGAGACGATCAGATAACCAGATAAACCTTATTCCCCTGACTTACCAGGCTCAATGACGGCTCTGCTGTCGAGGATTTTTTGAATGCGTTCCTTTTCCTTTTCTATCGCTTGCTCCAAAAGCAGTTTCTTTTCTAACTCTTGTTCTGTTTTCAGTGTGAGTCTAGCTGCTTCTTCCTCTTGCTCTTTGCGCAGTGTGTTTTGTTGTTCGAGGTCTAGTAAGTAACGGAATAGAAAACACAGGCAGAAAATGACGAGGATGATGGATCCAAGTCGAACAAGTCGACTGTTGATTTGCGGTTTCATAATCTAATATTTCAACACCCTCAATGGAGACAATTCAGGGGTTAATGATGGTCTTAGTAGGTTGTGTGGATAAAGAAAAAAAAAAAAAAAAAAAAAGAGAGAGAGAGTAAAAGGAGAAAAAAAAAAAAAGAGAAGAGAAGAGTGCAGACAGAAAAATGAAAGAGGGTTATCTTTTTTATTGGGCTTAGGAGTTGAAAGGAATACGTTTTATGGCAGCAGTTCAAGTTGCACAAGGCCAAAATTGTACTCGATAAATAGAGTGTCGATCGCTATAGTTGAAGGAGAAGGTACATAATACAGGCTAATACGGATGGCCTAGTGTACGTATTATTGATTACTATGAGGTACTGCATCTTTGAGTAGTTCTTTTTAGTGGTTTCTATAAATTACAAGTAGGCAATCAGCACCAGTAGCAATCAATTCAGCTTCTATTATTATCAATCATTGCGGCAGATCTCCGAAGAAGATGGCAGTAGCCTAATTGTCCTCTTTCCTACAATTGGACACATCAACAAACAAACAAACAAACAAACTAGCAAGTAAAAAACGATGGGCAGTTTACAGCAGGGTGTCTCTTTTCATGCAACTTCCATCCACAATATGAACACTTGGCTAATGTGATACGCAATACGCATTGTTTCTTTACATAATACGGTCGCACTAATATAGATTACAAATGGATACATATAAATAGGAATGAAAGAACGCCTGGTGGGGCTGTAGCAATAAAGGCGTAGACTACTTTGATAATTGCTGGTAGTTGGATCTGAAGCACTAATTCTGGGCAAGCCTCTATGCACTGTCAATGCCTCGCCCATTTTTTTTTATGCTGGGTACCATCGTTTGCCGTTGTACAAGCAGCATGAAGACAATGTGGTTCAAGTTGGAGAAGAGCAACATGTTGCCAATGTCTCGCCTTGCGGATGCTGCAATAGCAAAACTAGAAAAACATGCATGTTGTCTTCAGAAAGGCAATACGGTGTCATCATGCTCATTTTAAAATCGTTTCCGCAAGCTTTTCGTGGTTAATTTCATTTGATTTCTTCTTTAGGACTCATGCCAATACCCTAGCATCACCCGAATAATTGCTGGACCAAACTTGATTGCATTCCAAGTTGATGGGACTTGGTGTCATGTTCATAATCACAATAATCGCATTGATTTTGCCACCACCAGCCGCCTACCTCCAGCAAAGATATATTAAATCTCCGAATTATATTCTGCTTAAGATTGGCTAGATCTTGATTCAAATTGACACAAATCGATCTATTTTGCCAGATTTGACTATATAAATTGTCCTAATCATCTAATGCCTCCTAATGCAATCTAAAAGTATGTTTCAAGGCGGATCTAATGGTGCTATTTATAAGAGATACTTTGACTTATTATATTAAGCAATTCAAGAAAATATGAAAAACGGTTTTGGAGAAAAATGTCGAGATTTTGCATATGAAGTTTTCACAATAGTGGTTTCAGGGGTTGCCCTGAATCTATAGACGCATTTTGATCTATTATATACCCTAGTGGAAGTCTTCATTTTCGCTGTCAAAAGTGCGATTGTTTCATTTTCGGTGAAATCCATGAGGTACCCCTCATGCTTTTTCGTCGATTTTTGACCATCCCAAAAAAAGTTGAGCAAAGGTGTCAGTAAGTAGCTGCTAGTTAAAAGCAACTATTTGGTGCTACTCTGGCGGTCTAAAATGGCTTCTAGCTTGAGAAAACACGAATCAAATGCATCCGATTTTTGCTGTGGTTTGCATACTTTTGAGTAGTTCAGTATATCAAAAGCATGCTATAGACCCGTATATAAACTGCTCCCATTGACAACGATGTGGAGCATCGCAAAAGAGCCAAACCTACAATTTCAGATCATTTGTGGAAGATTCTCACAGGTGAGACGAATATAACAACTAAAAATTGGTATAAAGATGTGAATAATGCCAGATCAAATGGGCTACCTGTCAGGGCCATCTCAAAGGCAAGACGAATTTAGTATTTCCTAAAAAGTATGCTACGTTAAAGAGTGAGCAAAGTGCGATATCAAGGGGAGATCAAATCGATTGCACTGTGGAAGCCAAAAAAAAAAAACTACTGGTCACATTCAAGCTCTTAAAATCACATTCAACAACTGCCAAACGGGTTACCTTTTTTCAATCACCATTCAGCACGCTACTATGGAAGACAGTTATGCAACGGCTCGAGATCAATCTGATGGACACAAAGCACTGTTGGAATTAGAAAAGCAGTTCAACAAAAAAGCAAGAGCAGCGACTTTGAGTATTCAAGGCTCTCAAATCCAGGCCCTCACTGGCTTCATTCACATGTTTGAACAATACCCGTATCCTGTGGTCATTAATGCTGCCATTCTGAAACTAGCGGATTGGTTTCGACTCCAGTAATGAGTAGACTACATCACGATTGGGATTACACATCCACTAACGGGCCATTGTAGTAACAACAGCGTCAAATACTATGTGTACAAGGTATTTAAGGATGCGTCCGATCTTCATTTGACGAAGGTGATCAATATCGAGGAGACTGTGAGACGTATTCTGCCAATATTAGGCTCCAATGATCCCATTGCTCGATCGATATCGCTTCGGTATGTTGTTTCGTGTGTGGTGTTTGTGTTGTTTACTCATGCTGATATAGTGTATTGGGCTGCATGTCCATGATTATCGCAGAGAAATTAGATGTTCAGTTTGCGTAGGTATCCATCACAAAAGCCTGGATTTTATGCACTGATTCAAATATTAGTATTATACAACGATTGGAATTAGCTACAGACCGAATTGAGTTGGAGGCAGCCATCTGGGCCGGTGATCAGATTTGCGCCAGATCAAACAGATTTCCGTCTGTCATTTTCTCAAAAGTAGTGGACAAACTTCAAGGTAAGAGGGTTTTAGCCGTGGCCTAGTTCAGCTATTCACAACTAAGGGCCAGATAAACAAACGCCATTTGACATCAAGCTGCGACTCGTCAAGATATTTCGACACATGCATCAAGACATTGGCATGGCGAGACAGGCTAAATTGACATGTCTCGTACTATTAGAAGATCCACATACAGACAGCAAGCTCGTTATTGTCACACTCAGGACATTGACTCTACTGCTTAGTCAAGCTGTCATTGATCGCAAGGAACAGGTAAGCATCCCTCTGACTCAATCAGGCGCCAATGTATTCACCTGATTTGCAGATCAATCGATTGCTGGATTACGCTTTGAATGACCAAAGAGAGGATATTTGCTACAACGTGTTGTACGATCTTGTTTTGCTTGGAAAAAACGATATTATGTTTGACGAGACGCATATTATTCGTCTACTGCAGATGATTACAACCACGAAACGACGACGCATTCAGCAAAGAGCCATGCACTGTGCGCAGACACTGATTGAGACGCATCGCAAACTGATTGTACGCATCATGACAAACGAGACAAGATTAGCCACATTTATGAGCCATGTAGAGGAATGCGAGAGAATCATGCATCGCTCCATCGAGCTGCAGCATTATACCAACATGATATCCAGCGCACGACTTTTGTACAGTATCCTTAGAATCGCATTTACGCATCAAGTGGATGGCAATGCAATGGATGTCGATATCCCAGTCATGCCCACATTGTCGGCATTAGGGCATCGAGTGGCAGACACCATCACACAGGTTGATTTGAAGCTGATCACTCAAGAAAAGTCAATCACTCAGTCCAACAAATCGAGGGTGAGAAGAGCGTATTTTTGACAATTCATAAGCACTAACAGAGCCGCTTAGTTACGAGAGCTATTAAAGATCAAAGCAAACTTCTGCTTGCTACTGGATGATTGGGATTGCGATGCGACATTTAGACATACATACACATTACTCACAGATGCTGATGGTGAGTTCGGAATTAGATAGTGGCGTCGTACATAGCAGCGACTGATTCCGTGGTATAGATGACACTGCTGCTGTGCTATTACCCTATCTGTCTACGATATCAAAGAAATGCAGACAGTTAGCAAACTGGTTTCCACAAGAAGCAATTGAGGAGCTGCAAAAGAGGATCAATAGACCCTCTGTCTATGTCAATTTGATACGTTTGCTATTGAGAACAACCGAAAGCAACCATGAAATCACAGCAACCCTGTTACAGCTACTACATGAATTTGGACAGTGGGATCAAAGCACCGAGTGCTACTCCAAGAATGGATGGAATCTGTATTTGATTGGCTTAGAAGCAGGGTCTTGTCAGTGGTACGAACTGATGTACTTGATCATGAAAGACTTGCGAAAACGAGTGGACACGGAAGCCAGCTATTTCTGGTTGAGTGCCTTATCCTCACTGGCTCAGGCAGAGCACAGTTTATCCAACAAAGATGCCGTTTCAGATCTATATATTCAATCCATGCTTGAACTCAAGGTAATTTTCACTAGAAAAAGATGACACTCGTTGGCTCAGTGCATACCACAGGCTCTGCGATCATTTGACCAACCTCGATTCGACCAAATGTGGTTTATTCAATTACGAATGGAGTTTATACAAGCCATCGAGCGTACGAAAGCTATTCTTGCTGCTACTTTGTCGCCCAAGAAATTGGCAAGACAGATGCAAACAAGCGCCGTCATGTTTCGCGAGATAGCATTTCGATATGATTTTATTGCACAAGTGCAGTTTGGTGCTGATAAGGAGGTGTTGAATGTGATAGAGTCCTATAAGATACGTGCTTTGGTTTGCGAACATGCTGCTCGTACATTTATGGGGTCTGATCAAGTGTTCTTTTGCGTGGATCCGTCTTTGATACCTTTGATTACCCAGACAGAAACAGCAGCACCACATCGAATGGTCGATACAGCAGGATACATGATGCATCAATCGAAACAGTTCTTGAGAAAGGTGACAGCATGGGAAGAGTTAGCTCACTTAGAGGGCAATGACCGTAGACAGGTGAGGCTTGAAACGGGAGCATGGTAATGGCATGACGCTGACCTACTATTTGGTAGACTTGCGAACAAGACTTTGTGTATATACTAGATGCTATTTTAGCAGAGCCCTTGTTAATCCCTCGATCCTTCTTCAAGAGTCGAAAGAATGTTAATATCCAACTCACAACAGAACCTATGCTGAGCGAACTGAAGCCTATTACATTACAGCAAAACGAAGACCTTGTCATTGAATTCGAAGGACTCGTTCAAGTCAATCCACATGTTAAATGTAGGCTGTCAGCATTTGATCACAAGCATTTGTTACTGAACATCTTAACACAGATCTAGAGAAAAAAATTCAAAAGGCAGTGATTGTATGCTTTGTAACAACAGAAAAGATATTACACTTGGATGATCGCATTGGTGTCAATATGATCTTCTCGGAACCAGCTCAAATGCTTCAAGCAGAAAATAATCAGGTACATTGCCACATGCTCTGCATCGTTTCTGGATGACTCACGCTGCTATTGCAGTCCATATTAGTGCAGCCACCTACTGTATACGTTGCCAACGTGCGCAATTCATATTTTACATATACGGGGTTGCTCAGTTTACCCAAATCGAAAACGCGTGAATTGTTACCCAAAACCAAAAAGGAAGCTTGGGTGAATGTGTTTGTAAAGATTTTAGACGAGGACTCTGGCATTTGGTCTATAGGTCCATTGCAATGGGGAAAAGTGATATGGTAGGACGCAGTTTGCCGATTCATGCTCGCTGATGTTGTTTCAAAATAAAATGGCAAATGTAAAACAGATTTGTAATGTTGGTAAATACCAGAATTCAACAACTGGCACATAATGAAAGTTCGCTTTTAAACACACTACTATATATCATGAAAAGATCTTCCCTGAGCAACCAGTAACTATGGATCTGAATCTTTTTGGGATGCTGCACGTCTTTATCAATGAAAACAATTCATATTCGCGCAGGCATCATACTGGCGTTTTTTTTATCACTACCCAAGTATGCAAACCACAGCAAAAATCGGATGCATTTGATTCGTGTTTTCTCAAGCTGGAAGCCATTTTAGACCGCCAGAGTAGCACCAAATAGTTGCTTTTAACTAGCAGCTACTTACTGACACCTTTGCTCAACTTTTTTTGGGATGGTCAAAAATCGACGAAAAAAGCATGAGGGGTACCTCATGGATTTCACCGAAAATGAAACAATCGCACTTTTGACAGCGAAAATGAAGACTTCCACTAGGGTATATAATAGATCAAAATGCGTCTATAGATTCAGGGCAACCCCTGAAACCACTATTGTGAGAACTTCATATGCAAAATCTCGACATTTTCCTCCAAAACCGTTTTTCGTATTTTCATAAATTACTCAACAAGTCTGCTCAAATACCTATAATCACTAGCAACATTGGATGCGGCTTGAAAAGTACTCAAAGAATGCTTAAACGAGTAAGGGACGTTCATTATGACCTATATAGTCAATTTTTGCAAAATAAATCGATTATGTTGATTCCGAGTACACTTTTTGCCATTTTTAGTAAAAAAAACAACAACAACAACTGAGTTTCAATTGGTTTGGCTTGCAAAATGCTTTCTTATAAAGAGAATAGCCATTTTGAAGTATATGAAAAGGATTATTCTACTGGATTAGCACTTTTACTTGAAATCAAAGCTATCAAAGATGCTGTGAATCAAAAAAGTAAGCATTCATTTGAAGTTTATGAATATCCATACATCCGTCTGACGGAATGCCACAACCCCAATTTTCCCTTTGTAAATATAAGCCATTATAAACATTCAACAAGGATCCAGGAGCATCTCACAACGCAACAAGAACGAATAATCTAAAACACAACCATCATTCCTCTCTTGCACTTCGTCCATGATCAAGAAATCAAGCAATGGAATAACAACAACAGTGGATCAGTAACGCCTCGATCTTTTATATCTCGTACTTTTCATTATTACTCAACCACCATCCTCGATTACATCCATACGCATTATGCCCAAGTTCGCCCCAAGTATAATTCACAACTTTATTGACTTTATCTTGTTGCATCCATCACACCCATTTTACGAGAAGTAACTGGATCAAACAATCTGTCTATGTGTAACTCTAGAGTATAAAAAAGTTCTAGCACACCACGCATTTTCCATCCTTTTCTTTCAACGATAACAGCTTTGCCAAATGGATTTGCTCCTTGTCCGTGATGTTTCCTTGTTTTACCTTGGCTTGTAATCGAGCAATGTCTTGTTTTCTTTGATTAGCTGCGTTCACTCGATCCCTTCTCTGCCTTTCCATCTCTGTCCTTGATGGCTGCTGTTGCTGTTGCTGTGTTGGTTTCGATGTGTGATTAAACGGATTCATCTTCATCATAGGAGTCGCTGCTTTTGCTGGTTTTCCTTTGCACTGATGATCCACTTCTAATCGGTGCTTGACACAAAACGAAAGCCCACATTCAGGACAGTGCATTGGCACCAACATCTTTGTTGTACAGCCCTTTTTGCGGCATGTGTTGTCGTTTTTGGGTTCCAAATCTGAGCAATTGCTTTGTATATGCTGATTCATCTGCATGGACATTCGTCAATAGCACTCCAAGATGTAGTATGAACTGCAACTTACTCTAATATTTGGATCGTCGCCTCGTTTCGCCGGCACTGGCTTCTCGCAAATTGGACAGATGGGCACTCTGAAATTGAAACTGATGATGAGTATATGCGCTTGTTTTTTTTTTTTGGCAAGCTCTAATAATTTACCGAACATCCATACTTGGGTCATTGAGACTAGGGCAATCATGCGCCTGTAGCTTAAAGTGGTCTTGGCTAGTTCAATGAAGTCAGCCTCTTGCTTGTGATTCCTCCACTATGGTGCCACTTACCAGAATACCTTTTTACAGTTCACACAAGTATAGGGTAAAAAGTCTATTGTTCGATGTGTCAAAATCGTAGGATCAATGGAATTCATGTACACATACCATACAAATTACAGCTTTTGGCTGTGCAGCGTTTGCCAAGTTCAGGGAATTCCATTACGTATTCAATTATCAATAAAGAAAAGAGAAGAGAAGGAAAGAAATTACAGGAACATGCTCTCTTTATATTTCTATATTGGGCTGGATTCCAATTGGCACAATCCGTAGTAGTAAATGAATCATCCTGGATTGCATAAGCAAAAGGGGCATACGCAATCAAATGGATTCGATGGAATCCAATGGAAGTCGGCCATACGAACCCCTTCTTGGCGCGTTGTTCTGACGGTCTACAATGGCACAGTCGAGCTTTTTACGAGATGTTAATCTTTGACATGCACGCTCTTCTCGAACCATCCACGAAAAGCTCAACGCCAAGATTTGTAAAATCGGCACTAATTACATTGCTATCGCAATCCACAATAGCAATGTATAGAGCGCTTATAATGGACAAATAGCCAGTTGCTCTTGCATTCACCATGGCATTGGTAACTGAATTTGACTCAAATCAACAAAGCATCTGTCTCAGTGACCGTTGATACTTTCGAGCTAAACTTCTGAGCACTAATAAAACACGTTTATTTGGTGTGGATCCAACCTGTTCTTTCTGTTTGTTTGATATACCAACCTCTTCTCATCATGGCCACACTCTCTGACGATACTATTCGCAAGGTAATAATACTCACACTGTACATCTAGTCAAGACATCCACTCACTCACTGGCCCATCTTAGGTCTTTGTGGAATTACAAAGCAAATTCATCCATAGTCAACAACAAGCAAATACAGTAAAGGCTCAAATAGCAGGCAAACAACGCGAGCGTAAATTGGCAGAGCTTACCAGACGTGAATTGGATGGCTTGGATGACAATACCAAGACGTACAGACCTGTTGGCAAAATGTAAGCACCCATCAAGATCTGACATACATATCCATGCTGACACTCTATCCATAGGTTCATTCAAAGCCCATTGAGCGACATGAAGAAGCAATACGTAGACTCGATTGCAGCAGCAGATGAAAATATCAAAAGCTTGGAAAAGACACAAAAGTACTGGGAACGATCAGCTTCTGATGCTCAAGGCAATCTCAAGGATATTCTCCAAGGCCCTAGAACCTGAGAAGAGATTTAATAAAACAAGACTTTATTTTGATGTGTGCAGTAAGATATATATATGTATATTTATGAAAATTACGATATTATTCAAGTAGGGTTTGTGATGGTATAAGGATAAAGATAGAAGGAAGGAAAGGAGGAGGGGGGAGGGGGAGCTGCTGTGGAGGGGTTGGAGAGAGAAGAGCTTTGTGTGTGGGATAAGCATCAGGGAGACAAAGGGATATGATATAAAAATACTGTAACATAAGAGAAAGAGTAGAAGAAAGGAGCGGGTTGAATTATAAATCAAAGGTGCCTCGTAAGATTTGAGAAGTTTTGGTATGGAGATATTGTCTGACGCCTACGACAGCGGTGGACGGACTACTATGACTATCGCCACTCGCACTGCTCTCACCACTGAATGTGCTACTATTACTGCTATGGACAGAATGTGTGTTGGTTGCGCCATTGTTGCGACTCGCCTTCTCCATTTCCTTGGTCGTCTTTGCACCCACACGTCTAAGGTACTCAGCAATGGTCTTGAGCCCTCCTGATTTAGCAAGATCCAGTGGGGTTGGCACCTGTTTCAATATGTAAGGGTTTGGATACACACCCAACTCTCCAACCAGTTTAGCAATCACTTTTAGCTTTCGATTGCGAACAGCATAGTGGAGTGGAGTTTCGCCCTTCTTGTCTCTTGGGTCTGGTTTGGCTTGACAGTCTCTGACAAACAAGGTGATAAGACGAGTCTTGCCGGTGATACAGGCATAATGCAGCGGTGTAGCTCCTGATGTTTACATGAGTCAATAGGGTCAAATGGCACACTCAAGTACCTTACCATTGTCGTCTGCCATGTCCAGCAGTGCATTCTGAGATAGTCTCAGTATGTAGCCTGCCATCTCATCTGATCCACTCTGAACAGCGGCATGAAGTGCATTTTCTCCGTAGGGTCCTCGGTCATTCAGTATGCTGGCATCGCCGTGTTCTTTCAGTAACCGAACACCATTCATATAGCCTAATTTAGCTGCCAGTACAATAGGAGTGATCCTGTCCTCCTTCTTGGATGTCAGTGGGTAGACGCTTGTTTTCGCTCCTGCGTCAATGACTCTCTGTAAAGCGGATGTGTTTTTGACTGCAATCAATGCATGAATGAGACCATATCCCTCTTTTACGCTCTTGACAGAATCTGAATTCTTTGCAACATTTGGATTTCCACCACGGCGAATGTAGTTGCTAAGCTCAACGGATGAGTGTCTCTTTTCAAGCTGAACATTGAACAACTTACCCTACAAGCGCATCCACACCTGCCTTGTCTGCTTTACCCCTTGCAATCGTGTTCCAAAAGCCATCGCCGCAAGCAAAAGTCAAAATGTCTTCTGGCGGTGTTTCAGGATGCTTAGCAGCTGGTGCTATTGCTGCACTGCTGTTGCCATCGTTAATAGGCGGCTTTAAGGAAAGGGGAGAGGGGACAGGGGTGATGTTGGGGGAGAGAGGCAAAGTGGAAGGGCCAGGATCAGACAAGGCAGAATAGGGTTCAAATGCGTTATTATTATTGGTATCAATATCTTCATCGTTATCACTATCTACAAGCAAGTGGCTGTCAAATAGGATGGGATCAATGATTTCGTCTGCCAGCGAGAAGGATTGTCGAATAGAAGAAGAGCAAGATGACGACGATCGTGCAGACGACGATGACAGGAAGCTTTTGGATGAGATGCAGCTTGCATTGCTTGATAGGATGGATCGTCTTCGGCTGCTGTAGATCGCCTTTTGTTGCTGCAGCTGCTCCAATCTTGACTTGTAGAGCTGTGTCTCTCTCAGAGAACGCTCATAGTTTTGTGATTGCACGTTGAAACGATGTTCCAACTTTTTTCTGGCCTTTTCCAGCTGATCCAGTGCGTCAATCATGGCGTCGTGCTTGTCTGTCCAGCAAGTGACAATCTTGTCCATGGCGAATTTCAGTCTCTGTTGAAGATCGTCGCAATTGACTTGGCTTATTATCTCTCTCAGCTGTTTTTCATGTTCGGTTTCTTGGTATCGTCGATGAAAAACGAGGCGTGTGGGTGATTTGATGGAGGAGGGCGATGGCAGCGGTGGGACAGGCGGCAACGATAGTCTTTGATAGTATTCTTCGTTTACAGCCATGTTTGTAAATAAGTAGAAGGATGAAGAAAGTGGAAAAACAAAAAGAGAACCAAGCAGTATATTCTTTATATCTCTTACCTCTTCACTTTTGAGCAGCCCCCTTTCTTTCTAATATAAAGTGATAATCCCAAAATTTCAATTGGGCCAAATGATGCTTGATGATAGCCCCCTTTTTTTGCGTTAATAAATACACTGCGAGGAGTTGTTAAACAGGTTGGTTTTATCATGTATGTACTCTATAAAAGCAGCACATGTAATAAAAGAGGTATACATGTTTATTTTTCTATAGTGTGGTGGTTGGTATATATATATATATATATATATATATATATATATTCTAATCTGCTTCGGCCATTTCCATGCCGCGATAGCCTTGTCTATTTCTGTGCCCCTTGATTCGACTGGTAATGTCTGTGTATATGATCATTGTTAGAGTGTACCGTGCTCCTTTTTCTTTTATAGTTTATTGACTTACGTTCCCACCCTCTAGCAATCCATGGCCTAAACTTGACATGGACAAGCCATATCGGAATGGCCAATAACACAATCCCCAATGCAATGACACTTTCAATAGGGGCTTCTATGAACGGGGTCGTACATAAAAACAGTGCGACGATGCAAAATAAAATGGGTGTTGATAACCATACACGATAGGGCCTCTTGAGATCGGGTTCAGTGTATCTAAAGACGAGCAAAGAAAGCACTGCCAAAAAGTAGAATCTGCACTCATAGAATCAGTAACATGGTCTCCCTCGAAACCAACACACTTACATCCAGGATGAAAGCGAGTAAAAGTTCACCAGCACTCTAAAAGAGCCAATCATGATCATAACGGTCGTCAGACAAGCTTGCAAAAGCAATGCTAATATGGGCGTCTGTCTTGACTGACTGAGCTTGCCAAAAAAGCTTGGGATATGTCCCTGCTTTGCAGACACATAGATAATACGTGCTCCTGTGAACACACTTGCATTGGCAGACTATAGGAGTAGGATTTAGCAAATAGAACAACGAATATAAAAAAAAATACAGCATGTACCCCAAAGCAGCTCAGTGCAACACACACTGCAAAGATGATTCCACCCGCTGGTCCAAATATTTTCTTTCCAAAATCCATGGCAACCGTATTCGTATGCATGACAACTTCAGATCTCAAAGCAGCCAAATAAGCTACGTTGGATAGCATGTAGCAAAAGATGACCACTGGGATGCCAAAGATAATCACTCGTGGTAAATCACGATGCGGGTCCTTCATCTCGCCAGACACGTAGTTGAGGTTATTCCAACCCTCATAAGCCCATAGACCTATGAATCCATGGGATCAGTATATGATTCATGTTCAGTCACAATCAATGGTACCTGAATAAAAGGCCACGGCAAACTGTCCAAAACTGATGGATTCAAATCCTTCAAACGGATCTCCTTGCAGGCTGTTTCCAACCACTAATCCCTTGTTGGTCAACACCACCACACCCACCACAGAGATCACAATAGCCGTCAGCACCTTGACCACGGTCAATACGTCTTGCACACGAATGCCAGCACGAACAGAGAGCGCATTAATCAGTGTCAATACAAACATACAAATAACCGCCAATAATTTCGGCAAAAACGGAGGGATCACAGAGTCTGCCAGCTCAACAGAAGCATCCGAGTCATGTGGCACATTGAAAAAGTAGGTGTGATATGCAATACGTGAGACGTAATCACCAAACACGATACAGATAATCGCTAAGCTGCCAGGCTTCTGTATCACAATGGTAACATATTCAAACATGAAGGAGATAAGACTACCGAATGCTCTGCCTAGATACACTGCTTCACCACCGTTCATGGGCAACATGGTGCCTAATTCTGCGTAACACAAGGCACCACACATGGCCAGCAAGCCAGAGATGAGCCACACCACCAGTGCTGTACCATACGCACCGGATGATTCCAAGACAGGCCCTATGCCATTCTGTTATGCGATGCCATTCCATGTGATCGCTATGCCATTCGCCTACCTGGAGAGCTGAACAAACCACTGCCAATCATCAATCCTACCACCAGCCCCAGTCCATTCCAAAACGACACCTTCTTTTGCAGTTCAGGCCCTCGTGTCTGCGTCTGCGACAATGGGATCATGGGTATAGTTTCGAACGAAAAAACACTGTTGGAGGAACTGTTATCATGGTGCGTTAATGGGAGTAGCGTTTGGTGGTCGTCGTCCATGTCATTGTGCCTATCCTCCTCCTCATCTTGGCCATCTCTGTTGAATTGGTGTGAGCCAGTGCTAAAAAGTGAATCAGCGTCGGATTCGTGGATTCGAAATGTTGCGTCCAGTGCTGATTCCTGGTAAATACTGTCTTGGTTATTGTTCAAAGCCATTGTAGTAGATCCTCTTTTCTATTCATGGCCTAGTCGCAAAAATGAGAGAGAGAGTGTGTGTGTGTGTGAGAGAGAAAGGGAAAATCAAAAAACTGTTAATTACAGACGTGTGGTGTCGTATAGGCGATTGAAAATCACACTGTCTACATTGCAAGCACAAATTTTTAAGGCTTTGTTTTGGCTCTTATTCTCACAAATTATACACACAAAGAATGGAGCCCGCAGAGGAGACACATACCGCAACGGTAAAGCATGCAACGACCGTCGAAGCGCTCAGGATGGCATTGGAGCAGATGGGGCTCAGTACAAAGGGACATAAACCAGAGCTCAAGCAGAGATACAGAAAGGCAGTAAAGAAACAAAAGGAGACAGCTGAAGCAGCGAAAGCTGTAGAAGCACCACCAGAGCCTGTTGAGGAGCCAGCAGAAACAAAGTAAATACCCTCGTTTTCGCATAGATGTTGCTCTATGCTAATTTGAACCAGAAAAAAGCAGCCCTTTGACTACTATCTGTTCTTTGATGTGGAGGCCACTTGCGAGGCCAATGGAGGATTCACATTTCCCAACGAGATCATTGAATTCCCTGTTGTGCTGGTGGATGGCGAGACATTTGACATTGTCGATGAATTCAGATCCTACGTCAAACCCACCATCAATTCGACACTCTCCGATTTTTGCAAACAACTGACAGGCATCTCACAGGAAACCGTGGACAAGAGTCCCATCTTTATCGATGTCTTGAACGAGTTTCAAGAATTCATGGCTAAATACGATCTATTCCAAACCAAATCCGCAGCATTTGTGACAGATGGCCCGTTTGACATTCGAGATTTCATCACCAAGCAGCTCAAACACAGCAAAATCAAGCCAAGGCCTGCTTACTTTGATATGCATTGGGTCAATATTCGCAAACTGTTTCGAGAATTCTACAAGCAAAAGGACAACAAGAACATCAATTTGATGTTGCAGCATTTGGGACTGACGTTTCAGGGCAGAGAGCACTCGGGCTTGGATGATGCAAAGAATCTAGTGGCTATCGGCAGAAGGATGCACGAGGAGGGTTGTGTATTCAAAACAAACTGTTGGTTCGATCCAAAGAAGCACAGAATGTATGATAGAAAGCCGTCGTCGGGTAGAAAGAGAAGATAGATGTGTAAATAGTGGAGTGCCATGTAAATAAAAAAGCGGGCTGGGAGGGAGAATTCAGTCTAGCAAAGCTGGTATATCAAGTTTGATCCTGTGCACTCATTTCCACCACGTTGAATTGGCCCTTGTGCTTTGAGCCATATTCAATTGCATCACGCAAGTGATACTATTGATCATGAGTGTGGGGCTCGAATCAATGCAATCTCCAGTGACCATTTTATAAGTAAATCAAGCTAAAAAAAATCTGACAAGCGACCGAGAAAAATGGATCCACTACTCTTTTTTTTACTTCACACAATTCACAGCCTAGATGATCTGGACATCCTCCACAGGGTCTATTGTAGCTGGATACGTTTCAATCGTATTCTGGCTAGTTGTGTTTATACCGTACATGTCTTTGCTACAGTTGTTGCTTTGTTTACAGTGATACTAAATACATGTCAACCCTCATTTATAGACAGTTACAAGAGAATTACAGACGAAAGAACGGAGATGGGCTCTCACTCACATTTCTTTTGATCTGGCTTGCTGGAGATTTATTCAATTTAGCTGGTATCATTATGGAGAAACTCATGTTTACAATGGTAATTAGGGCACTGGCTTGTCAAATATGTAACATGTTATTGAAAAATTTGTTTGTTCGTGGGAAACCATCTCTAGTTCCTATTGGCTCTGTGGTACACTGTTGCAGACATTGGTCTTCTTTGGCAGGTGGTTTACTACCAACAATGTCTCGCCGTAGAGATCAAATGTGATCAAGACGAAGCTATTGTGCTACTGAATCGCAAAACCTCACTCACTCAGCGAAGAGTCAGTCTGGAGAAACCAACAATGCTGAGCAAAGTAGACACAGTGGCATTGGAAAAGCAATCAAGTGTCCATGATGTACTTTTAGATGACGATGAGAATCATGCAGTGGCAGCAGCAGCTTCCAATGCAGACATGATCAATGGCGATGGCATCACATGTCATAATCTCTCCAGCAGTAGCTCTGACCGAGATAGACACACAATCCAGCCCAAGGTCAAACCTATGTGGGTCAATTTAATCGGATCAAGCATGATGATCGTGTTGATCGCAGCATCATGCTATGGCTACATGATGACAGCAACAACAATAGAGATAGTAGACGATGATGAAACGATACAGCTAGTGCCTCACATATTGGGCTGGTTGAGTGCCGTGCTATACATTGGCAGTCGGGTGCCGCAGTTGATCAAGAATTGGCGCCAACAAAGCACAGATGGCCTCAGTTCTGGCATGTTTGTGTGCGCTGTGTTTGGCAATTTTTTTTTCGCTTTGGTAATAATGCTGAATCTTGATGCAGATCCAATAGTTTTCTTATTTGTTTGTTATGCTAGTCAATATTTCTTAGATCGACGGAAAGAGGATATATCATCAAAAACATGCCATGGATTATTGGAAGTTTGGCAACTGTCATCTTTGACATTATGGTGAGTTGGTTCAACTTGAGATGAGGTCATGCGTCTAATTTGATATGAAAACAAGATCTTTTTACAATTTTATGTGTTCAACAGACGCAAGCTCAAACACAGAGCGGATTAGAGAGTTGCATGTATATTAAAACGAATACCTTGGAAAAAGAGTTTGCACACACATACACATTTAAACCCCTTCATGAGCCTCATTGTTTTTCAGTAACAAAGCGTTTGTTGGGAGTAAGTTTAGCAAGAGGAGGAAAAATGACTCCTTTGAAAAACAATATCAAGACAAAACATCCCGTTATTGATTTCTTGTATTTTTTTTTCTTGTAAAACACCTCGGTCATTTCCCACATATACTTAGCAGAATACTGCAGCCTGAAACCCCATTTTGAATTCCTTTTTTTTTTTTTTTTTTTTTTTTTTTTTCTTTCAATCAAGCATGAAATCATCGAGGTTTGTTTCCTACCTGATCTTTGTATTCTGTGCATGTATTGTAGCGGAATCGCGGTCAATTGCGCCCAGAAACGCAAGTAGTGCTAGGATCACATCCATTTTCGCATTTGGTGATTCATACACCGATAATGGCTCATTCAATGATTTCTACATGAGCAATACGGATGAGATCAATCGAGCAAGGTACAGTCGAGTAGTGAGCAGGAAGGACCATGCCTACTAATTTGCTTTTGTAAATCACAGCTTAAGAACAGCTACTGCACCCAGGGTAAGGTCCATACAAGTGCGTTGTCATTGAATTGGAAATGCATTCATTTCTTTTATGTCTAGATTAAAAGAGAGGCGGATGGCCCATTATGGGTTGAGTACCTTGCAGGGTTAATGGACGACGCTTATCTGTACGATTTTGCGAGATCAGGTGCAACTGCAAATAATGTAAGCAGAGCAAAATGTCATCATACAGTACTGGCTCTCAGACATCATGCATAGAAATTGATTTTGAGAAACACAGAGGATATGGACACTCAAGTGAACAGATACTTGAGATCTGGTGCAGCAAGGGAACCCAAAGAAAACTCGCTCTTTACCATATGGATAGGTGTTAATGACATGACAGACTTGTTCAGCAAGCATCCTTTAGACACGCCTCAAAGACAACGCATCATCAATGGTATCATGACTACTATCCGTTACGATATGGTGATTTGTTTAATCAAGCTGTGTGCGCTGCATCAGTACTGAATGCCGTTTTACTCTTAGGAGAAACTATACAACGTAGGAGCAAAGAATATGCTACTTCTTGGACTGATTCCATTAGAGAATCTGCCTGTGTATTGTCAATTGACGCCTGAGACAAGACATCAGCTGCAAACGCTAGTATCAGAATACAACACGAGACTCGCTGAAACTCTGCGCCATTTTAAGGCTGATAAGCCAGATGTGAATGCATCATTCTTTGATATGAATATGCTATTCAAGCAGCTTTTTGATAATGAACAATTTGAAAGCAATGCCTTATCGCATTGCAACAAGAAGGCAGATTGTGGAGAGTAAGTTTCCTTGTCTCATCTCAGTAACAGTCTCATTCAACCTTTCATATAGCCGTATATGGTGGGATCATTTGCATCCTTCCACTAAAACGCATGCAAAGTTGGCAGAGGCACTATACCTTTATATTAGTTTACTTGAATGGTAATATTTACTTTATATAAGCATTGGCGCATTTAATATGAAACAAGAAATAAAATTACTCAATCAAGCAAACCACTGCCATCGAGTAAAGGCGGCATCTTTTCTCTTTTTGTATAGAAGGACAATTTTTCGCTCAAAGTATTTCGATCTCATGGGTTGCAAACTAGTACCCCGTACAAGTCTTAAATGTACAATAGTGTTGTTGTTGATTCCAGAATTGGGGACATCCAAAGTCAAATGTTGAGACTTTGATGCTAGAGCATTGAAAGTAGTGTGCTCCTATAGCCAAATCTTGCCAAAAAAAAAACGATGGTGTAACTGGACTCTAGATCGGATGGCCGCGTATTTTACGAAAATGGTGGAACAGCTATTCCAGGACCTATGTTGATGCTACAACCTTTACATCAGGGCCTTTGTATGCCCATGTTGAGGGGTTGCTATACACACAATAAACGTATTTTCAATCGCCACAACATTGGCTGTCAAGTAATTAAGCGAGTAAAGTGTAAAGTAGCTAATATATAAGAAAGCTGTGTTTTGATACTATTGTTAGTAGAACAGCCAATTTAACCAGGCTTCTTCTTTACTAATTAAATGTTGCTTTCCTGTGTTTGCTATGCAAAATGAGACCTCGTTTGGACACGTACTACGATACATCCTTCCAAAAATTGATTTTTTGACCGCCAAATTGTGCTCGAGTCTATAAAATAAATTTAGAGCGTGTATTAACTAATGCTTGCGCACAAATGAAAGCTTATATGCGCCACTAATATACAGTCGACGAAAAAAGGTTGGCCCAATAAAAAAAAAAATAATTGGTCAGCTTGAAATGAAAATGAGCCACCGATTTTGAAAATGGGTCGGCCAATGAAAATGGGTCATAATTTTGAAAATGGGTCGCTAAGACAAAAATGGGTCACTGTTTTGAAGATGGATCATTTAATACGAAAATGGGTCAAGCTTTCTTTCGTATGGCAAACATTACACGTAGTAGAGCAAATTCAAACGATCCAGCTGCGGCTAGATCACCCTCTTCCACCCAAATGGATACTCCATGGTCAGTTGTCACCGCTGGCAAGGGTAAAAATCGTAGTAAAAAGCAACATCAGCTTATTTCCTTCAAGCCTACGTTTGTTCAGCCTCGAGCTTCCACCACGGAATCCACCCAAGCTTTGACTGACCAGCCTCCTCCAGCTCCTGTTGAGCTTGTTGTACCTTACATCAAGGGTGCTGAGAAAGGCTCTGTACTTATTGACATCACCCACGTCAAGAATCTCCACCTGTTGCGTGAAGCATTGGATGCCTTTAACAAGGATGCTGATACTAGCGGTAGGGGCTACAACGAATTTCTAGGTCGTTGTGAAAAGAACCGCACCTATCTGAATCATGTGTACATGGAAACTCTCTGGGCTGCTAATACGGCATCGTACAATACGATTGTCTATGAAGGTATTATTCTCTCTGATAATACCTTCATAAAAGGATTTCCGTCTTACCCTGCTGACGCCTCCATCGTCCGTCTATCTCTTTCTGGACTGCCTTTCCTCCAACTTCCTTTATTGAAGAAGGCATTGAAAGAATGGCTAACTCGCTTTGGTGAAGTGCTAGATTTTGGGCTTAGCAAGAAGGATGGTTACGCCACTATTGCAATCCCTCCCGGCAAACCTTGCGCTGAAGAGTCCTGTCAATTGGACCATACTCACTTTGAGCCCCTTCAACGGGCTGTTCCTTGGACCGAGGATGACGGGGACCTACGTAAGATTCTACTTACCTGGGATGCCATGCCAGATTTTTGCCGAGTCTGTGGATCCTCCGACCATTGTCGTGCAGACTGCCCTGATCGTCTGAGCTGGTTGAAATGCTACAACTGCAATCAAAAAGGACATGAATGGAAGCACTGCCCTCGCAATAATGATGCCAAAGATACCGAAGCTCCCAGCAAAGCTCGAGCTGTTCCTGAAGCTGCCAAGAAGACGAGTCGTAAAATTCCTCTAAAGGTTAACAACTCGACTACCTCTCCCATGATTGTGGATAGTCCTACACAATCTCCTGTCGTTGTTCAGGAAAATTCTGGCTCTCGTCCTGAAGACTCAGGCTCTCCAGCTCCTCCCGAGGATGCTGATATGGACGAAGCCAATCCTCCCCCTCATCACCAACAATTGTCAATTGACAACCACGTCGGACAAGCTGCACCGATTAATGAAGCTGGATCAACCTCCACCAAACAGTATAAGAATCGCTCACAATCACCCGAGCCACAAGATCACATGAAAATAGCTAAAACCAATGACTCTAGCGATGTCACTGCCCGTCGCAACCAACGGAGTCAAGGTCAACCAACTAATACTGACAATATGCAGAGTATTAATATATCGGGAAGAAATGAAGGTGATCTTCACCATGCTGAATCTAATGACAGCAGTCAGCCTCATACTACCCAACAATAATTAATATTATGACACCCTCTACAATCAAAATTGCCACACTCAATTGCCGTGGCCTCAGAAAAATCAAGTATCCAAAAAAACGACAATTATATATTCGACATCTACGCTCTTTGGGCTATGATGTTTTACTACTACAAGAAACTCATGCAATCAACCAACAAATAATACAGGACTTCAACTTCCTCTTCCTAACAACCTCAAGTCATTGGACTCAACACTGTGGCATTGTTAGTCTTAACAATAGATACAGCATAGATATTCTTCAGGATGGTATCGATGGTGGTCGCTTCATCCTAGCAAATATCAGACTTACTGCAACACCGGAGGATGACTTAACAACAGGTCCCACCGTAGCTACAGTTTTAAACATCTACGGACGAGCTGGAGCCCACCCCCAGCGCTCAGCATTTTTCTCTGAACTGCTCAGTATTCCCATCGTCTCAACCACTCTCAACAACGCCTATCACTCTCCTACTTTAGTCATGGGCGATTTCAACTATTCCTTTGACACGCACCGACTAGCAGATGGATCCTTAACAAGTGCTCCTACTTCATGGACTTCACTTCTCAATGACCATTACGTCGATTGCTTCAAGCATCAAAAACAACCCACCTGGTCCGTCAACTCCAGCTCATCTACTATTGACTATATATTCTGTGACACAATTTCGCATCATAGAGTGAATGATGTTGAACAGGTCTTTATCAGCAGTACGTGGACAGATCATGACCTCCTAGGCATAACTTTCCAATATGATAATCCTAACCGTCGAGGTCCCGGTGTATGGAAAGCAAACCCTCTTTTTGCTCAGAGTAAGAAGTTTCGATCAGAATTAGCTCAACATTTACAGTCTAGACAATCTGACCTTGCTTCTATTCAATCCTCCTCAACGCCTCAACAAACATGGGATTGGGTCAAAGGGGATGTCAAAACTTTTATCAAATCCTACCAACTCGCCGATAACAACTGGAGGGCAAAGGAATTGAAGAGACTACAAAAGAAACGAAATATGATGCTTAGACAGTCCAGAAACCGAGGCCTCTATTTTCAAGTTTTGGAGACAATCAACATTCAGATTGGAGCCTTGCAGGAATCAGTAGCCGAAGTACAAGCTTTGAAGGCGGGAAAGAATTGGCGTGAAAAAGGGGAAAAGTTTGCTGGCTATCTTAAACGCACAGCTACTACCAAGGAGGCCCAGAGGAGTATTAATGCTCTGCTTGATCCTAACACCAACACTGTCCATACCGATCAACCCAATAAGCTCAGAATTGCCCAGGAATTTTACACATCTCTATTCACCCCAGATGTGGTAGAACCTACAGTTATTCAAGAATTGTTGTCGTCTGTCCCTGCCGAACTACGCCTAGATAATACTGACCAATCTCTGTTGACATCTACGATTGCCTTTGAGGACATCCTGGAGGTTTTGAAGGAACCCCCTCGGAAATCAAGTCCTGGAGCAGATGGCTTACCATTTGAAATCTTGAATCTTGTGGTCCGCTTTCCACCACTCAGAGAAATACTCACCCAGGTTTTCAATGATGCGTTGGAACAAGCTCTCTTCCCGGATTCATGGAACGTTTCTGTTATGACCTTGCTGAAAAAGAAGGGCGATTCAAAGAACATGGGAAATTATCGTCCACTTGGTTTGGCCAACTGCGATTACAAATGTTTTACCAAAATTCTTAACCAACGCATGATGATTGTATCACCCAAATTGATCAACTCAAACCAAATTGGCTTCATCCCTGGCAAATACATAGCTGAGAATGGTCCTCGCTGTCAAATACTGATGGAGGATGCTGAATTGAAATGGAAGCTCGCCAACCAGCAGGGTACAACTTCTACTATCCATCGAGACATTGGGCTGCTCCTTGACCAAGAAAAAGCTTATGACCGTGTTAATCTGTCTTACTTTCGGGCTGTCTTGAATCATTTTGGGTTTCCAGTGAGTATTGTTAATTGTCTCTACAATCTCATGGCACACAACCAAATCAAGATCAACATCAATGGATACTTTACTGATCCAATAGCTAAGCTACGTGGATTCAAACAGGGTGACCCTATCTCTTGCATATGCTATGATTTAGCTTTTGAGCCATTTCTACAAAGCATTCTACAGGACCAGGATTTCCGTGGCTACGAAATGGAAAATCAAGTGAATGCTGCCGCTCCCGTTATTTCTACGAAAATACTTTGCTATGCCGATGATGCACTCGTTTTTGTACATGACAAACAGGATCTTCGTTTGTTGAAGTATTACATGGACTTATTCTGCCGAGCATCCAATGCTCGCTTCAATTATTCCAAGGTGGATGCCTTCTCCTTGTCTGGTCGTGATACTAGTGACTATTGGAGCCGGTCCCTCGCCGATATGAACATTCACCATCTTCATACTGCTTTGGATCCTGATCCTCTGATTTATCTCGGATTCCCACTCATTCAAAGCACTCTCCAACGGAACAACTTCATGGCTTCCCTTATTGTTAAGCTCAGGAAGACTCTACAGCCCCATTCCTGTAGGTCCGTATCAATTCTTGGGAAAGCCACGATTTTCAATACCCTACTGCTATCCAAATGCTGGTACATCCTTCGCATCATGCCTCTGACACAAAAAGACCTTCAACAAATCAACTTCTGTTGCCATCCAATTTCTTAAACAAGGCATTTTTCCTGTCATTCCCTGGCGAATATGGACTCTCCCCCGCTCCCAAGGTGGTCTCGGCATACTCGACGTCAATCTCCAGTATGCTGCATTGTACTTTCGTTGGGTATCTCCCTTACTACAATTGGATTCCTCGTCTTCCACTAATAATCCACTGCTGGCTATTCTCGTATATCATATCAACAACCACAACCGTTCCTCTCATCATCAACTACCGCTGCTCTTTCCAGTTGCACGACGACGGCTCACAACAATACGACGCGCAAACACCATTGATATGATGTACAAATCAATCGACATGTTACCGAGGAACTTTGACGACGTCGTGATCAACTTGCCCACTGCTCTCATGCTACCTCTATCCATCGTCATATTTTCCGACCCTCTACTTGGTGTCAGATTGCCTCGCAAAATCCATTCAATGACTGTCGCCGACGTCTTTGCTGTGCATACAACTGAGCAATTTCTCCATTGGAAACGTTCCTTCGACTCCACACTTGCTGTATGGCAGCGTGCACCTCGACAACTGATTCAGGGCATTGCAAAAGGCACATTTAAGTTGCAACCCTTCTTTCTCTCTCTGTGTGTTCCTTCCTCCGCTGTCTTTCCTTCACCATCCAGTCCTTCATTGCAACCATTTGTTGATCACCTCACAACTGACAACAACCTTGCAATGACTTCCACTGGCTGTAGATCCGAATCGTTTCGGCAAGCATGCTCGTCTGCTTCCGTCGTTCCTCAACGATTGGCTGCCATAGCATCTCCCCAATGGTCGTTTTTCTGGTCTTTGTCCCTGACCATGATCCAAAGAAATGTCGTATATCGATTCATCAACAACTGCATTCCCCATCAGTCTCTATTGAATCTGAGGTTCCCCTCTGTTTACTTGTCCCCCTTGTGCTTTGTCTGTTCCTCAGTTGAAGATTCCACTGACCACTTCCTTTTTGAATGTCCACCCAAGGCAGCGGCCTGGCAGGGTATTATCTCTGAGTTCCTCTGGCCCACGGTAACCATTGATGATATCCGCCATTCCCTCCTCACTCTCGACTTTTACAATATTCGATATAGTCAGCGGCCTCGTGCTTCCTCCCATCATATAATCATCATTGCGATGTCTAGCATTTGGAAAGCTGCTCACTATCGTCTAATCTTCGATCAAACTTCCTTCGCTCCCGCCGCTGTGCTGAATAGTATCCGACTCGACATCCAAAAATGATCGACGAAGATCTCATTCATGCCAGCCTATAATAGTCCCTCTTTTATATCGTTCTCATATTTTGTCTAAACATATATAATATTATCACAGAAAATTGCGCCCGCCGCTTGATTATAGTCCTGCTACTATTGTCTACGCGGAGCAAGTAATAAAAACCTTTAAAAATAAAAATACGAAAATGGGTCACCAATAAAGAAATTTAATGCATGCTTTTTATTTTGCCTCTTATAATCCTTTTTCACAATTCAAGCATCTCTGCCAGAACGTCAAAGAATGCTTTATCCAATTCTCGCAGTCTTCTCTGCTGATGTAAAAAATGATGCGTTGCGAATACGATCAGAGATTTTTTCATTCTGCCTGACAGAAGAGGGATCGTTATTTACAACAATCTTCAGCTTGGACCAAAACTCTTCGATTGGATTCAAAAAAGGAGAATAAGGGGGCAAAAAGAGAAGTTTATAGCCACGTTGACCGACCCAATCTTCAATAAGTGCAGCCTTGTGAATGGATACATTGTCAAGAACTAGATATTTGTATGTAGCTCATGCTAGCCGTATCAAGTGTCGTGAGGACTTGCTCTATATGTATTCAAGGAAGTCGCTGCTGGTAGTACCCTTTTTCTTGAGGGCCTGAGATTCCTCACCAGTTCGAGTTCGCTTTCCACTCCTAGCACCAAGTATAACTTCTTTTCTGGATAATGTGATTAAACCACACTTTTACAAATAGCACCCAAGATGCTGACATTTGCTCCCTTCGTTTGAACATCAATTTTGCAAGGTGTTCCCGGCCTCAGACCATCCATATGAGCGATGCATACTCCTATATATTAAATCCAGCTTCATCTAAAAGTACGCATTCATTCATAAAATCTATGTTCTGGCTAACCCAGTATGCTACCGCATCTCGTCTTTTGGCAACAGTCTCATCCGTGTTCCTGCCATAATATCTAGGAATGATATACGCTTGTAGGTTAGGCGACACTTCTTCTTCATATGATTTTCCACTGATCTAAGGGTGTGATCTGTATATCTCTAAATTCTTTTGACAGGTTGTCTGTAACAGCTTCGACTGTCAATGTTGGCTCATTAGCCAGCAGCTCAAAGATAAATACAGTATGTTCGTCTTTGAGTATTGCTGGCCGTCCCTTTCCTACTTTGGTTGCGATAGAATCAGGGAATCCCTTTTCAACTATTTCGCTTGTCATTTGATTCCACTGCTTGACTTTACGAATAGCTGTTGACTTGGAGAGCCCTACCTTTCTATACCCGCTTCACTGATAGACATATTCTCAAATTCTTACAATAAATTGATCAAATTGACTACCTTTGCTTCGTTCTTGATGATGTATGATCCCCTTTCCTTTTTTACTACATCAAGGGGTGGGGGGGCTCTTCGGAGTGAGGTTTGGTCTTCCTCTTAGCTTCTTTTTGTGCTGCATTTACTGCTGCAGTCTCTTCCCAGTTCATATATGATTGTGTCATCACAGGTACTGTCTTACTGTCAAAATTGTATTCTTCGTTCATGTTATAAGCAATATAAAAAAATTCAAGAAGAGAAAAAGAAGAGAGAATTTGGCTAGTCCTCATATTGCATTTCTTTATTGGTGACCCATTTTCGTATTAAATGATCCATTTTCAAAACAGTGACCCATTTTTGTTAAAATCGGTGGCCGATTTTCATTTCAAGCTGACCTATTTTTTTTTTATTGGGCCAACCTTTTTTCATCGACTGTAGAAACTAAATCTCGAATCCTTTTGATATAGTACGAATTTGGTAGCTTATCGTTCCCTTTAGTTTATTTTCATTTATTTCAAAGTATCGATAGAATAAGACTAACTTGTGCTTTCGATTAGACCGTAGTCAAATTCAACGTCGCGATTTCATTGCAAATTTACAGCGTCAAGATATGGCTTTGTTACGTTACAGCGGAATTTAAAAAATTACGGTTTTGTTACGGTTACGTTACGCTTTTGTTACGGTTACGTTACGCTTTTGTTACGGTTACGTTACGGTTTTGTTACGTTACGGTTTTGTTACGGTTTTGTTACGGTTACGTTACGCTTTTGTTACGTTACGGTTTTGTTACGTTACGTTACGCTTTTGTTACGGTTACGTTACGCTTTTGTTACGGTTACGTTACGGTTTTGTTACGTTACGCTTTTGTTACGGTTTTGTTACGGTTACGTTACGGTTTTGTTACGTTACGGTTTTGTTACGTTACTGTTGTGCCAGAAGGGCTACAACTGTCTATAAAGATTAAGGTATTCTTGATGGGTAGATATGTCTGTGTTGTGCAACAACATGGACAAGCTATGATAAGTGAAGTGCATCTCATCTATCTAAATACTGAGGTTCACCAGATGTGATAAGCGTTGTACAAGATAAATTGCTACTTTGGCATTCAGAACTTAGTATAAATAGAATAACTCTTGTCTTCATCAATAAATCTTTAGTTTTTGTGTCTGATCTTATTCAAATAAGTCTTTTCTTGTTTTTATAATATCGAACATGTTTTATAAGCTACAAATAATAATCCTTTTATTCTTTGTGCTTAACAGTTACGCTTTTGTTACGGTTTTGTTACGGTTACGTTACGCTTTTGTTACGTTACGGTTTTGTTACGGTTACGTTACGCTTTTGTTACGGTTACGTTACGGTTTTGTTACGTTACGGTTTTGTTACGTTACGGTTTTGTTACGGTTTTGTTACGGTTACGTTACGGTTTTGTTACGTTACGCTTTTGTTACGTTACGCTTTTGTTACGGTTTTGTTACGGTTACGTTACGGTTTTGTTACGGTTACGTTACGCTTTTGTTACGTTACGCTTTTGTTACGTTACGGTTTTGTTACGGTTTTGTTACGGTTACGTTACGGTTTTGTTACGGTTACGTTACACTTTTGTTACGTTACGGTTTTGTTACGTTACGGTTTTGTTACGGTTTTGTTACGGTTTTGTTACGGTTACGTTACGCTTTTGTTACGTTACGGTTACGTTACGCTTTTTTTTTTTTTTTTTTTTTTACGAAATGACTGATAAACGTAAGTCTATATAACCTTTTAGTTCTTTTCAACTAGACAAGTTATTAATTTACTGTTAAATAGAATCCCTGTTAACATCAATAATTCCATTTACCGAGCGCCCTGGTACTGACAAGATCAGTAAAATTATTTTAAAACATCCTTTCGTAAAAAACATCATTACAGTTGCCATTTTGGATGTTAATGGTGATAATTACAGAGTTGGAGATGCAGAATGGCCTGACGGATCAAGATCGGACGTTTTATATGAACCATTAGATAGATCCCTAAAGCAATCACCTATAATCGTTGAAGTTCAGAGAACAGTTGATGTCAATTTCATGGCAAGAGTTGTTCATTACTATGTAATGGCTTATCGTCGTTATCAAGTCTTCCCTGTACTACTGGTATTCGCTCCCGAACATGTATCAATACCTACTGAAAATATGCGCCTATCAAATGCTAATGGTGCTTTATTACTTAACTGTGAATATTGGACCAGAAAAGGATATTTGATCAGACTTAAAGATGTTTCTACGCTTACCAGCTCAACTGATCCATTTGCTGCAGTTTCAAATTTTATACTTCAGCAACAGACTAGTTTATTGGAAAATAACTCGTTGGAAAATCTGACTATTAGACAATTATTTTCAATTGCAACAGAAGTCTTACGAGAAAATATTGATCGAGAGCAACAATTACTTAATGTTATCAACTGTGCTTGTGATGTGGGAGTTAAACATTACCAACAAACCCTAGAGATAGCGGAACGTTTACAATATGATTCCCCGTGTATTCAAAATGAAGCTCTACTTGGAATATCAAAGTTAAAGCAAGTAAAACGATCAGCTGACGATGCGCATATTGATGAGGAGGAGCCAGAAAATACTCAACTGGTTAGCCAAGATGAAGAGAGATTTGAAAACACCATGGATTTTGTTCAGCGGTACAAGGAAACTAGAAATCGAATGAACTGGCGTGGTTGTCATGATATACTAAAGAAACAAACCAACGTTATCCATTACAAAACCTCAGAAGTGTTGCGCACAGTGTATAACAGATTCAAGACAAGAAGTTAAAATGTGTCTTTTTTAACCATCGTATCCACTATAATTATAAATATGTTTGTCATAAACTCGATACCTATAGCAATTCCTTATTCATAACACCGTATTTATCATTTAACAAAATTCACGTAAAAAAAATAAAAAATCCCTTTGTTCTTTACTTGTATTATTTGTTCATATTTCGTAAGAAACATTAAAATTATCTGCTACTATGAATGGTTTTCACCAAACTTTAGAGTCAAAAGTGAATTCTTTGATTGTGCTTTTATTTTCAAATAAGTTCTTTCAATTGAAAAGAAAAGATAAAAAAACATTGTTACCATATTCATTGAAATAAGTTGCAGTTAATGAAGGGATGTTGTATACACAGTGCTTAGATAGCTAGATTATAGATCTGATTCATGATCTATATTTAGTGTCATTATCAACACATCTATAATAACTTCATTTTAGCATCGTTGATACAGGGGTCTTTTACATATATAATAACTATTATAACAGACGTTATCTGAGTAGTCAAGTTTAACATCTTTACCATTAATAGAAACTCAAGTCTCAATCAGTGTCTTAATATTGTAAATAAGGATTTCTCTTTAGTTTTACTTTAAAAAACACTTTTACATGACAATTTAACCTGGTTATATAATTGTTTTTTTTAAAATCTTTGTTTTTATTTTTCATTTTTTTATTTTATTTTATAAATACTGTCATTCCTGTTAATATTTAACAAGGAGATTAATCAAATTAAAAAATATTTTTGCATTTAATGTACAGTTCCTGAGTGACAGGGTCTTTCGATTTCCCAATCTTTGCTATTGCCTGATTTTCTTGGAGAAGAAACATTGATAGAACGGCAAGTCCATTAATATTTTTGTCGTCACCGATATTTCGTTTGAAAGAGTGTTCAGATATTAATAGACATTTCTGTGACCAGAAAGTGTCTGGTAAATAATACAAGTACGAATTACCTTGTAAAGGTACAAGCAAGTCCAAAATTGGATCCGAGAGTCTTACAGAACAAATGGATAATATCAACGGAAGTTGATTTTTTTGTACCTGAACTTGGTAACATTGATCAATGGCATTTGTCATTACATCTTGATTAATATATGGCTGAAAATCTAAGACGATAGGAGGCAAAGCAGAATGATTTACTAAACGTGGTTTATATGTGATGCTTACTCCATTCCCGAGAATTTCGAATGAATCACACATGTATGTATTTTCATACACATTCAATAAATTCTCCGTTATGATGTCGATGATATTTTGATCTTCAGAGAGTATCTTGCAAACCTGTTCGTTGTTCAAGTAGTCGTAAGAGGAAAATTGGTGGCTAGACATTACAAAAAAAAGAGAAATAAATAAAACTTTTAACGTAACAAAACCGCAACTTCTACATTCCGCTGTAGCGTAACAAAAGCGTAACGTAACAAAAGCGTAACGTAACAAAAGCGTAACGTAACAAAAGCGTAACGTAACAAAACCGTAACGTAACCGTAATAAAAGCGTAACGTAACAAAACCGTAACGTAACCGTAATAAAAGCGTAACGTAACAAAACCGTAACGTAACCGTAACAAAAGCGTAACGTAACCGTAACAAAGCCGTAACGTAACAAAAGCGTAACGTAACAAAAGCGTAACGTAACCGTAACAAAACCGTAACGTAACAAAAGCGTAACGTAACCGTAACAAAAGCGTAATGTAACAAAACCGTAACGTAACAAAACCGTAACGTAACCGTAACAAAACCGTAACGTAACCGTAACAAAACCGTAACGTAACAAAAGCGTAACGTAACCGTAACAAAAGCGTAACGTAACAAAACCGTAATTTTTTAAATTCCGCTGTAACGTAACAAAGCCATATCTTGACGCTGTAAATTTGCAATGAAATCGCGACGTTGAATTTGACTACGGTCTAATCCAAAGCACAAGTTAGTCTTATTCTATCGATACTTTGAAATAAATGAAAATAAACTAAAGGGAACGATAAGCTACCAAATTCGTACTATATCAAAAGGATTCGAGATTTAGTTTCTACAGTCGATGAAAAAAGGTTGGCCCAATAAAAAAAAAATAGGTCAGCTTGAAATGAAAATCGGCCACCGATTTTAACAAAAATGGGTCACTGTTTTGAAAATGGATCATTTAATACGAAAATGGGTCACCAATAAAGAAATGCAATATGAGGACTAGCCAAATTCTCTCTTCTTTTTCTCTTCTTGAATTTTTTTATATTGCTTATAACATGAACGAAGAATACAATTTTGACAGTAAGACAGTACCTGTGATGACACAATCATATATGAACTGGGAAGAGACTGCAGCAGTAAATGCAGCACAAAAAGAAGCTAAGAGGAAGACCAAACCTCACTCCGAAGAGCCCCCCCACCCCTTGATGTAGTAAAAAAGGAAAGGGGATCATACATCATCAAGAACGAAGCAAAGGTAGTCAATTTGATCAATTTATTGTAAGAATTTGAGAATATGTCTATCAGTGAAGCGGGTATAGAAAGGTAGGGCTCTCCAAGTCAACAGCTATTCGTAAAGTCAAGCAGTGGAATCAAATGACAAGCGAAATAGTTGAAAAGGGATTCCCTGATTCTATCGCAACCAAAGTAGGAAAGGGACGGCCAGCAATACTCAAAGACGAACATACTGTATTTATCTTTGAGCTGCTGGCTAATGAGCCAACATTGACAGTCGAAGCTGTTACAGACAACCTGTCAAAAGAATTTAGAGATATACAGATCACACCCTTAGATCAGTGGAAAATCATATGAAGAAGAAGTGTCGCCTAACCTACAAGCGTATATCATTCCTAGATATTATGGCAGGAACACGGATGAGACTGTTGCCAAAAGACGAGATGCGGTAGCATACTGGGTTAGCCAGAACATAGATTTTATGAATGAATGCGTACTTTTAGATGAAGCTGGATTTAATATATAGGAGTATGCATCGCTCATATGGATGGTCTGAGGCCGGGAACACCTTGCAAAATTGATGTTCAAACGAAGGGAGCAAATGTCAGCATCTTGGGTGCTATTTGTAAAAGTGTGGTTTAATCACATTATCCAGAAAAGAAGTTATACTTGGTGCTAGGAGTGGAAAGCGAACTCGAACTGGTGAGGAATCTCAGGCCCTCAAGAAAAAGGGTACTACCAGCAGCGACTTCCTTGAATACATATAGAGCAAGTCCTCACGACACTTGATACGGCTAGCATGAGCTACATACAAATATCTAGTTCTTGACAATGTATCCATTCACAAGGCTGCACTTATTGAAGATTGGGTCGGTCAACGTGGCTATAAACTTCTCTTTTTGCCCCCTTATTCTCCTTTTTTGAATCCAATCGAAGAGTTTTGGTCCAAGCTGAAGATTGTTGTAAATAACGATCCCTCTTCTGTCAGGCAGAATGAAAAAATCTCTGATCGTATTCGCAACGCATCATTTTTTACATCAGCAGAGAAGACTGCGAGAATTGGATAAAGCATTCTTTGACGTTCTGGCAGAGATGCTTGAATTGTGAAAAAGGATTATAAGAGGCAAAATAAAAAGCATGCATTAAATTTCTTTATTGGTGACCCATTTTCGTATCAAATGATCCATTTTCAAAACAGTGACCCATTTTTGTCTTAGCGACCCATTTTCAAAATTATGACCCATTTTCATTGGCCGACCCATTTTCATTGGCCGACCCATTTTCAAAATCGGTGGCTCATTTTCATTTCAAGCTGACCAATTATTTTTTTTATTGGGCCAACCTTTTTTCGTCGACTGTACTAAACGTTAGCTTTGACGGAAGAACATTTGTCGGAATTGAATAAAGACCTCTCACTTCTACTATGCATCTCTGCTCATTCTCAGATCCTCTTATGTAATATAAAACGCCTGATACATTTGCCTCTCAGAGATGATTTATATCCTAAGCAGATCTAAGCGTCAGAATAGAAATAAACGCGTCTGTCGCTTAGGAATTGAGTCCCGTACAATGCAGAACATCTGGGTCATCAAACAAAACTGTAATTTAGTCACTTCTTTGAAAACATAACTTATGATGCATTCTACACCATAATCCGTCATACTACACCTGATCCAGCACATCAACATCTCATCTATTTCTACATACACTGCAAAGCACACATCAAACCATAGTCTACACACACACACACACATATCATTTACAACAATCTACTGGATCATCACACTTAAATTTACATCTCAGGATCTGACATTCAGAAAGATATAAAAAAGGACCATGCATTTCATTTAATAAAGGATCTGATGTATCATTTCTAAACCGGATCTCCAAATGCGTAGAAACAAGCAGTTCAAGCACCGATCACATCAGATCATAAACTTTGACATGAAACAGGATTCAGTTACTATCCATATCATGGCATGTTCAGGATAATAGATTGGATCTATTATCCTATCACCCAAATCAACCCATCTAATACCTTATCCTCACATCAAATCCCTCACTTCGAACAGTATATAAACCCTCTTATTTTCAATGTAATAAACGATATTCTTTACCTGATTAATTTCATACTCTCTTATATAAATAATTTATTTCTGATAAATCAGAATGTTACATTTCATTAGATTTCCACCACCTATTACCACTACAGACTTTCTCTAAGAATAGACAAACTGAGCCTTTAATCATCTTTCAGTTTACGTTTAACTGTGAACCCAAATCTACTCCCAATATACAGCTCTTTAAGCTTTTTACATCGTATCCAAAAAATCAAATAGTTGATTCGAGGAGTTCCTGTCACCATCGTCTTTTCCACCACCCTCCCACACAAAATTAGCATACGTATTAGTTTTTGCTTCTATCTCAACAACAGTAAAGAGCCCCTCTGGATGTGCCGCATCATAAAGCTCTTACGATTCCAACGGGTTTTTAGTATTGACAGTGCTTCGATAAGCACACTGCTCGTATAAATCGTGGTTTGACAAAAGCACATTTACCATTATTCCATCGACGGTGGTGGATGGAAAGAAGAGACGAGTACAGTGAGCATTTTCCATATCAATAGCGCATGTGTTGACGGTTAGCTTGTCAAGTTTTGGTACATAAAGTGACATTTGTGGTAGTGCCGCATTGTTGATGATTGATTTAGACAAGGCACACTTGGAGATATATTTATCCTGGTGGTGATATCGCTGTTGGTTTTGATCGTCGGTTTCTCCTGCATCTGTCATTTTGGTCCAAATTGATTTGGTTGAAGCAAAGAATTGGCGATCGAACCCAATTGGCAAAGGATACCGCACCTTTGAAAACGAACCAACGCAGCTCGCTTCTGCTGTATATATTGCTCCAACAAGTGCTACGAAAGCTCTTGTATGAGTCGTTGCATATATTTCCATTCCGTGCTTTATATTTCAATACTTCTATAGGCAGGTGAAGTCTCTGAATATGTATCTTGTGATGTTGTTTTTTTTTGGTTGTATATTGTTGAGCTTATAGACACACACTAACACTTCTAAACTTGGAAAACAAAGGGTGTGCACTGTCTGAGGGCAGCATTGCAAGTATTGATCAAAAGAGTGCAGGAACGCACTAATATTGAAATCATTAAAAATCAGTTTCCTCTGCAACTCAAACTGCTCCAGTTTATCCTGCAAGCGGTAGGTGCCGAGGATGGCGGCTGTCTGATTGCTTGAATCCACATCTTGACAAGGAAGCCCAGTCGACTTGTGGATCAGACGAGAAGGAAAAAAAAAAAAAAAAAAAAAAAAAAAAAAAAAAGTCAAAACTCTTGGTCGCAAGACTGAGCCCAGGATATCTGCTTTTAAGCAAACGGGCGAATACATCTAGTTGTATATAGTTGATAGACATGTCTCTAAAGAGTATCTGCTGAGCTACATCAGGTAAATCTGGATAGGCTGTTGGCTCAGTCCGCAAAACAGCCACGTACAACTCGCTTACCTGCTGCTCACAATGTTCTTTGGCATGCGGTTTGATAGTGGGAATCACGCGACGAGACTTTAGAATGAGTACTAGAAGCAGAGATAGTCAAAGCATCAAATACTCTATATTACGATTTAACACATGTCAAGCGAGGTTGACGGATGAATAATGCAATTTCGGCAACTCTAATTTCACTGGGCTAGATTCGTGTTTAAATATGATTTGAGTGTAACTCAGTTCATCTTTTTTCTTTTCCTTGTATTCATCACAATTTAGCATGACAGCAACACCTAGGATACTCAAGGCTATCCTTGGTCTTGTCACAGTGGGTTTGTGCAATCTGAAGTGCGTATCTGCCTCTGCTGGCACAGATGCATCACCCACTGTTGACTTGACCATGATTGCACCTTGGTCTGCACCAAATCTAGTAGTTGAAGTCGCGTAAGAATAAAGCTGCTGGTATATTCAGGATCATCCAATGACTAATGTTCTTAATGAAGCGAGACAATAGCCACCTACAACGAGTCAGCCTACTTGCATCTTATTCATGATTTCGTTTCATTGGAACAACAATCTGTTTCATGGACACCACATCAAACGTACAAAGAAGCAGTAAAGGTCATCTCTTCATTGGGCGTGGACGAAGCCAGCTTTTTCAAGCTCTCGCTCGCCATCCATGAAGCAGCGCCTCGTATTGAAGCCTACAACCAATTCTATCGAGAAAGCATCGTGCCTGGCGTTTCAGCATACAATGATGATTGTGATGTGTGGGCTCAAATTGAAGATCAACAGTTCTGTGATATAACTCAGTTCATTGATGCATTAACAAGCCAATCAGCAACATCAACGAAGCCTATTGAATTGCTCCCTTTCGATCATATCGTGTCAAAGAGCCAAGCGGATCCTATCGTGGCACTGTATACTGACCGCTTCTCGGCCAAGTTTGCTGAATTCCATGACGCCCTGAACCAACAGGGTATATCACACGTTATTCGCTACAGGCCAGACACTGCTAATGTGCCTGTCCCTTTGTATTTATCTGGCTATGGTGTCGAAATGGCACTAAAAAAAACAGACTACCTGGTGATTGACGACAGATCGTCTCAGAGTAAGTACTCAGTCATTTGCATTGGGAGGGAAGTGACTCATTGACGTGAGTAGAAGCATCCAACATCAAGGATAAAATTGCAAATATGGGCAAAAAGTTTGGACAGTCGTTATTTCAAGCAACTCAAAAGGAGACAATTGAGCCTGTAACACCTGGCGAAATTCATAGGCTTAGCTTTAAAGCAGCACAATACATTTCAAAATCCAGCAACCCATTAGCAACGCTGAATCAACTGGTACAGGATTTCCCCAAATACGCCAAAAGTGTCAGTGAATTGGATGTGGATATTGAGCTGGAGGAAGAGATTTTGGACAATCAGCTGAACTTTCTTCACAGCGGCATGAGTGCTGTATGGCTCAACGGTAAAGGTCTTGAGTTTAGCCAGATGGATCCCTTTTTGTAAGTAGATTATCGTATCTGGGGAGTGATTCAAGGCTAATTGTGATTTTATAGCCTCATTCGTGCTTTGCGAAAAGAACGAGAATTGATCGCTTCGTTTGAACAGCTTGGATTCAAGCCCAAGGATGCTATTGAACTTATCTCTCACCCTGCATTCACCGTGGCCTCTCAAGCAAGCAACAGTGCAAATGTTGAGATATTTGACATGAGAGACTCACCTGAGGAGCCCTTTGTTATTTGGTGGAACGATTTGGAAAAGGACAAGCGATACAATGATTGGACTTCTAGCATGGAAGATTATGTCAAACCACAATATCCAGGACAGCTATTGCCAGTCAAGAAAAATATATTCAACTTGATTATGGTCGAGGATTTGGGTCAGCAAGGCTCCATTGCACGCGTTGTGAACGAGCTTCATATGATGATCAAGCGATTGGTTCCTGTTCGCTTTGGCATCATCTCCATTATTAAGGACAAGGACAGTGTATCGACCAGGATGGCGCAATCTTTGAACTACCTTATTGAAGAGCATGGCAAAGGCGCTGGCATGAACTTTTTGGCAACAGTGAGTACATGAATCCGACATGCCATTACTCAGGGTTTAATATGAGATGACATACAGGTACTAGAAATACTTCGTGCAGAGGGCAAGAATGAGCCTACTCCGGACATCATTACCAATGCCTTTGCAAAGATTGTTTCCAGCTCTGGAAAGCCCAAATCTGGCAAAAAGATCACTTTTGAAGAAGCGCTAGAAACACAAGACAGCTACACACAAGCCAGCAGCCAGTTCTTACAGCGTATGGGCATCACTGAGCTAGGCGCTCAAGATGGTATTATGTTTATCAACGGAAAGCTCCTCGAGTTTAACGAGGAAAGACCCTGGATCCAAGTGCTGATGCCTGCTTTGCACGAAATCACAAGAAGCCTTCAAAAGATGGTCTACTTGGGAGACTTCCTTGACGAAAAGTTTGATTACTATCAGCATGTCATGGCACAGCCTCACGTTGCAACACATCGCAATTCTTTCATTGTGCCCTCCAATGCGCATCCTCTTGTCATCCAGGAGTTTGCCACTGCTCGCAAGTCAGAGGAGCTCAAGTACTTCCAAATGGGTGAACAGGATGCCACTATCAACCTGTGGGTTTCTGCTGATTTAAATACGGCTCATGGTTTGAGACTCGCATCAGAAGCACTGTTGTACGCTGAATCCAATTCCAAGGTCCGAATTGCTTTGATCCACAATCCTGCTGGTGTCAGCACTGAGGACGCACCAGAGATCTCTGTCCCTGTGGTGGATGATCAGCATCACAAGCCTACTTTCTCTGATTTACTTGGCAGCGTCATCTTTACCAACAAAAATACTCACATTGAGCAACTGGTCAAATTGACGGAAAATGCGATCGAGCAGTTCGACAGTGGATCATTTGAAGGCAACGTGGTACCTGAAGCCATTATCCCTGGCTCACCCATCATTGAAATGGAGGCCAAGACGCAATCCATCAACTGGAGAAACTTGGTCAATGCACTCAAGAAGGACGGTCTCAGCACGTCTTTTCAGGGCATCGTCGTCAATGGCAGAGTCGTAGGTCCTCTTCCTCCCAGCACTGTATTTAGCAAAGAGAATTTCGCTGCTTTGGTGGATTTGGAGTATAGCAAGAGAATTGCGCCCATTGAACAGGCCATTGCTCAAGTCAAGTATACGGTGCCTGTAGGCGAAGACGTAGCTGATGTCCTGACAAAGATCTCTGTGCTAATTGAAACTGACAAGGCTGTTACTAGCAGAAGTTTGGTGGAAGAAAACGAGCCCGTGTATCGTCATCGTGTTTATGAAAACATCCCTAACACCAAGCACACGCGTCTCACTATTGGTGATCCAGACAACGCATTCTTGCAGATTGGATTCATCATTGATCCCTTGAGCGAAACAGCTCAAAAGTGGGTGCCATTGATCAACACGTTAGCCGGAATCGACGGTGTTTCTGTCACCATGTATCTCAACCCTGTCAATGGACTACAAGAGCTGCCCTTAAAGCGTTTCTATCGTTACGTGTTTGACAAGGAGCCTCATTTCGATCCTGTTACTGGCGTACAAGAAATCCCCACTGCTTACTTTGATGATTTGCCTACGGATCCTCTGTACACATTGGGTGTTGAAACTACAAACGCCTGGCATGTCACTGTGCGTGAGGCCAACATGGATCTCGATAACATTGTTCTGAAATCACTCAGTAAGGAGGAGAGCAGTGTCTCTGCTGTGTATGAACTAGAGAATATCCTTTTAGAGGGCCATTGCTTGGATTCCAACAGCAAGTCTCCTCCTCGTGGCCTTGAATTCGAGATTGCAACGCCTTCCAATCACTCTCACAGGGACACACTTGTCATGGCCAACTTGGGCTACTTTCAACTCAAGGCATTGCCTGGTGTCTGGAATCTGGGATTGCGTGAGGGACGCTCCTCTGCCATCTACTCTATTGAAGATATTGGCACAGAAGGCAAATGGAACTGGGATGCGTCTAAACAGAGCAAGAAGGCAGAGCAAGGCAGCGGGGTCTTGGCATTAACCTCGTTTGAGGGTATTACTGTCATGCCTCTGGTCCACAAAAACCCTGGCATGGAATCAGTAGACGTCTTGGAGAGTGCAGACGATCGTAAGCAGCACGGTGATGGCAGTGGATTGTGGTCTTCGTTCTCTAGCAAGCTGTTTGGCGGTGGTAGGAAGGATCAAGATGTGGTAGCCACCAAACCCAAGCAGGCTGACATCAATATCTTTTCTGTGGCCTCTGGAAAGCTGTATGAACGTTTTCTTTCTATTATGATTGCCTCTGTGATGGAACACACACAAAGCACCGTCAAATTTTGGTTCATTGAGAACTTTTTGTCGCCTGAATTCAAGGATTTCGTGCCTTATATGGCCAAAGAGTATGGATTTGATTACGAGATGGTGACCTACAAGTGGCCTGCTTGGCTTCGCGCTCAACATGAAAAGCAACGTACTATTTGGGGCTACAAGATTTTGTTCCTGGATGTTCTTTTTCCTCTTGATTTGGACAAGGTGATCTTTGTAGATGCTGATCAGGTAGGTAAGGTCTGTTTGTGGTGATTCAGTGACTAACTTGCTGGATAGATTGTCAGAACCGACCTCAAGGAATTGGTCGATATGGATCTTCAGGGCGCCCCTTACGGTTATACACCCTTCTGCTCAGATCGCACTGAAATGGATGGGTTTAGATTCTGGTCTGAGGGCTATTGGAAGACACATTTGAGAGGAAAACCCTACCACATTAGTGCTCTCTACGTCGTTGATCTTGTCCGTTTCCGTCAATTGGCAGCTGGTGATCGTCTGCGTGCCCAGTACCAACAGCTGAGCGCAGATCCTAATTCGCTGGCCAATCTGGACCAAGATCTGCCCAACAATATGCAGCACATTGTGCCCATCTTTTCGTTGCCTCAGGAATGGCTCTGGTGCGAGACCTGGTGTAGTGATGAGAGCTTGAAAACTGCAAAGACGATTGATTTGTGTAACAATCCATTGACCAAGGAGCCCAAGCTGGACCGTGCTCGTCGACAAATACCTGAATGGGAAGACTACGACAACGAGATTGATCAGTTGCGCAAACGTGTGTCTTTGGGCCATCCTCCTGCTGTTGTGGCAGATGAACATGGTGAGCAAATAGTGATTTCTGGTAAAAAGGAGCATCTCAAAGATGAATTGTAACACATAAAAAGGGCATATTTTGTTTGTTTACATGAACTGTTGTTGTTGTCTGTTTACATACACACATTATTGCTTTGGTGGCATTTTTAAATTGAACCAAGCTTTCATCAACTATGTAGTCATTGGTGTGTTTGAGGTGAATGAGATCCATTGCTGTCTTGTTTTTTTCTTTTTTTTTTATCTCAAAGACACGCTTGAACATGTTGAAAAGGCTCTTCTCTGCCATTGCGCCCGTTCGAAGCAAAAAATCAACGAGACGAGTGCACCATACCAACCACAGTAATATCCATGACAGCAATGAAGATATACTAAGAATCATCAAGCTATACAATCAGGGCACCATGAAGACCATCAACGATGAGGCCACGCTGAATGGCGTCAAGTATCCCTGCTTGCTCAAGTATAGAGCATCCAATTTCTACGTGTTTATTACAGCTGCCCTGGGCATATTTACAAGTGTAAAGAGAGTCGTCTTAGAGATGATGCTTGTAAACTCACCAATTTCTCATTAGATCTACTCGAGTATTTCTCTATCGTCCATCATATTCTACATTATCGAAAGCCAGATCAAACCAGCACAATCCACTCTACAAAGCGACATGGACATGTTCTCTGACGATGCCGTGGTTTATGTGCTATCCAGCTTTTATCTCTCTGGCTTGCTGCTTGGGTCGTTCATGTTTGGATGGCTGGGTTGTCAAATACGTCAACGAAAATATCTGCTGCTGATAGGTACATGTGCGTCAATGTTAGCAGGAGGCGCCTTCATGGTCTCCATTGAGTATTGGATGCTGTTTCCGGCAAAGTTCTTGCAGGGTATCTCGAATGCATCTATTTGGCTCATGTGTACTGCATTGGTAGCAGACGTGTGGCCACAGAGTAAATGGGGATCCATGATTGGGTTTATTCTATGCGCATATCCACTGGGCATGTCGTCTGGCTTGACCATTGGGGAAGGTAATTTACATGTTGAAGAAAGAAACCTTGCTATGCGACTAACCCACTCTACTACAGCCATTTTTGAGCATGCCAGCCACACGGCGTGTTTCCTCTGTGCACTAACACTATCTTTTTTGACGTTGCTAATGCAACTTTTTGTGATTGAAAGATGCACCATTCCAAGCGATTGGATTGAAAGCAAGGAAACTGTTCAAATGGACCACGAAAGTGAAATGCAAGAGCATCATTTCAAGGACATGCAGAGAGAGCTAGATATCATGGAAGAGGGCGCCATGTGGAGCAAGAGTTCGTCCATGTCAACTATCAACTTGCGCGATCAACCCATTATTTTTGAAAAGGAAATGGAGAGCAGCATAAAGACTAGCGCCAAAGTAACGCTCCAAAACTTGTTGGTGGTTCGTCTGGTGGGATCAGCGGAATTCATGGCCTGCTTGTACCAAGTAATAGCCATCACAGCCATTCTTGGTGCTTTGAAGGTATGAGTCATACTTGATGCAATGCTCTCATACTAATCAATACACTGTACAGCCGTCTCTCATGATCAAACTCGAATTTCAAATGAGCGTGCTCAACATGGCTTACAGAAATATCGTCCTCAGCACATTCTTATTACCTTGCGCAGTATCAGCAATTGTTAGTGGCTGGTTATGTGATCGATTTGGTACAAAAATTGTTGGACTTACCTCCATGATTATCTCGATCCCTGCTTTCATCTGGATTGGCGTTCCTAATCAGAACATCCAGAGTGTCGTTTCAGCTCTTGTTGTTGGCGGCATTACGTTATCAGGCATGTCTGTATCCACAGTTTATAGCACGATCAAAACCATGCAAAAGATCTTATCACAGCAGCAATTTGAAAAGACCAAGCAGCAGCAACAGCAATACCAACAACAGCACATGCCAGCCATCTTCGCCACCATCTATCTCATGTCAGGGGTTGGTTTGTTTTTGGGCTACTTTCTATCCAAGCTGAATGATATCATTGGATTCTTTTGGTTATGTTTTGTCTTTTCTATGCTACTAGTTACATGTGTGCCTTTCATGGCTTACTTTCCCAAGGGTAAATTGTTTCGAAATAGCGGCAGCCAGACAGGGTTCAATGCAAGTACAAGCAAGAAATCCATCGTCAATAATACAAGACCAGAGAGTTTTGCAGAATCCATCCTCTCTGATGATGAAACTACGTTGGGATCATCCTTGAAATTAGACTGCAATGTTACTTTAGAATCTAAATCCATTATTGTTATCCCTTAAACTCATATCATGCTAACATTATTATTTAATAAATCATTGACATAAAAAGATACTCTTGACAGGCCAATTGTAACCATGGCAACCACTTAGTCAAAATTATTATTTGAATATCTAATCGAATCTGAAGCAAGCAAGACCTTGTATTCTCGGATTATATACGATATATGCTATCTGAATAACGGCTGTAAAATATCACTATTCAGGACAACTTGGATAGACAGAATTTAATACAAAATCTAGGATTTTATTGTAATGGCATGGATATGGATTATACGAAAGGGTAGAATGAGACTAAATAAATATGTTTATAGTAATGCCATTGCTTATGTGTGCAATTTGGAATATGATAAGAATGAAAAAAAGGGGTAGAATGTCCATGTATTGCAAGTCAGCATAAAGCTGCGTCAGTCATCTTTTATGGATGTCAGTAAAGATCAAGCACGGTTTCTTTGATAGAGCATACTGACATGTTATAGAAATTGGCACTGGTAATGCAAGGGTGTAGATGGCCGTCATGTATCGAAAGGTTGCTCCAGAGTCTTGTAGGCGATACCGAACACAGATCAAAGTGCCTCTTATCCATCAGTGAAAAAAAAAAATAGTTGGCTGCATACTGTGTGTATTCTGAAAGTCGTTGTTTTGCGGAAAAGAAGAAAAGGGAAAGACAGTAGAAAGAGAATGATGAACCTTGAGATTGGCAGACATTAGATGTAATCAAGGTAATCAACATACTTGTGGTCTGCCGCTCTACAAGGCTCATCGTCGGCCTCAAACAGGTACGTAACCACGTCTTTGTGGAAACGTACCCGCCGAGAACCCCTCTCGTTGCCAACAAACTCTTTCTCCACAGGAACTGTATCATTGAAAGAGCTGCTTCCATCCCCCACTGAAGGTAATTCGGATAAAGATGACTGAGGTAATGACGGATTGGAAGAGGAGGGAGGTGCAACTGGAGGAGTAAGATGAGAGGAGATAGATGGCTCCCCTTGAAGGACAAGAGTAGTATCCTGTCTCTTCAAAGGTCGCTCATCCAACTCATCATCTGCCGACTTTCTCTTTCTACTGCTGCGGATGCTAGTGGTAGAGGAGGGAGTAGAGAACTAGGCATGAATGTTCATATGTCAGTACGAAATATTGCTTCGCGGTAGTTGTCTTGTGTCATGATACTTACACTGTATTCATAGCCTGAGCGTAACAACATTTTAATAGTAATTATTCAAACGAGAACAAAAGGTAAAGAGGGAGAATTTACAGCATGAATGCACCTTTATACCTTCAATTGCCTTCAAAAAAATAGTGTTTTAGTTTCTTTTTTGATAGCAATACGCGTCAATAAAGCATGACAGAATGAGATGCCACTTTCCCCCATGTATTCTACAGTTAATTTGAGACATCACCAAAAGTAAAGCAACTTTCAATTATCATTTCCCGTAGAGTTAGAAGCAAATGTAGTGTTAGCCTCTTTCCCTTCAATTTTGCAACAACACTTTTCATAACAAAAACTTTTACAGGTTCCTATACCTGTGTAACAAAAGTCATCACAAGATCACAGAGGAGTTTTGTCTTACCGCTTTGAGCTTAATCTATATCCTGAACAGCAATGTCCATAAAAGACGGGATCAAAAAATTATTATCGAGCAAAATATCGTATAAAGCATCAAATACCCTGATAGTGTGAATCTTTTGACCTTCCACTGGCATGTGAAAGCCACTCATAGCTGTTGATTTGACTCTCTTACAATGCACTTCGTCTGTAGCAATACAAAAAATTCATTTAAGGGCCCACAGCATACTAGCAGCAGACCTTACTACTCGAAAGTAAGTAAAATACAGCTTGATTTGGATGCATTTGAGGTGTGATTTCTCAGGTCAGAAGCCGTTTTAGGTCCCTAGAATTGCACCAAACGATCACTCTCATCTAGCACTTACTTACTGACACATTTGCTCAACTTTTTTTTGGGATCGCCAAGAAACTATGATAGGGTGGCCAAAGTTATTTTTGGTCTTGCAACCAATTGGTCGAAAAAAACGCCCAAAACCTTAAATAATGCCCACCTCAAGAGTTGGGCATTCTGCATAATTTTCTTCATTTTTTGAAAAAACAGTTACAAGTCTAATGTAATAAGAGTGCAATGATTCTGTAAAAAAAAATAATATATATATCTACTAGGGAGGGGCGGATTGGTGTTACTGTTTGCATGTCTTTAAACTTGGGCAATATTTATTAGAAAACATGAAAAATATTTTTGGGCGAGTAATATTAGGATCAAGTGATGGATTTATTGTGATAAAAGTACTGTATATAATGAGTAGTAATGACAGATATTTTCACTACCGTTCAATGCTTGTCAAAAAAAAAGACTATATATATATATATATGTGTGTGTGTGTTATACTAATGTTTCAATCATGCGGATTGAAACGTATGTAATGTAGATCATTACATCTAGCTGTTTCTTCTGCCACTGATTGCTCCTTCAATTTTTCCTCTCATCTCTTGATATACTCACGCTTCTTTCAAATTATAAATGTAATCAAAACAAGTTGTAGATTGATAAAAAGGAAAGGATACGAGACCACATTGACAGCAGCAGATCAAGGATGGCCAATGTTGTAGGGCATTCGATTGGCGCTGTTTTTTAACCAGAAAACGCCCAAAAACAACTTTGGCCACCCTATGAGGTACTTTTTTTTTATTGATTGCTCCGTGTAAGTAGGTCCCTAGGGCACTACCAAGAGGCGGGCGCAATTGATATGATATTCAATTGTATTTAGGATAAAGCGATAGATGACAGGAACAGATGATAGATGACAATTGTGATTAGAGAATTACAATTGCTTGTGAATTTCAGTTTGGGCATGTAGTTGAAGGAGCTCGTTCTTGATCTGCTGGACCACATCGATCCATATAAATGGAGTCGAGTGAAAGATCATACGAACTTGAGCTCGCCAAATGTTGCCAAGTGTTACCAGTACGACCATGTGAGCAGTGGTGTATGATTTGGAGACATACTTGATGTTTTCAAAGTCAAGCGAGGAACAGGCTTGGATAATATCACCAATCGAAACGGTTGGCCACAAAAATTCAAAGATGATAGCTTTCCAGATGGATGCCTTACTGGAACAGAGGAAAAGCAAGTGTACAGCATTTTCTTCGTTACCACAGATTGGGCAGAGAGGTGACTCGGCTATCTCAAAGTAGTGTAGCAGGCGTTTGGTCGGGATGGTGTGGGTGAGGAAGCGATAGATGACATTACGGTGGACAAGGTTCAGGGACAGAGACCAGAAGAAATTCCAGTTGGACCTGGCGATGCTGAAGATATGAGCCTCGATGCATGCTGTGCGGAATGTTCTGGTTGAAATCTGTCGAGTGAGTCCTTGCTGGCTGTTGAAGTCATAGGAGTCAATGAACGGTTCGAAGGAGATGTCGGTTGTGCGGTTGGTGCCATCCTGAGGGGGGTTGTAGCATGAGGTTAAAGTACGGTTGGATATGTACTTTGTTCTCGTTGATTTGCTTCAGGATTTTCTTGCAAGCGCCTATGAGGTACCCCTCATGGTTTTTATCGAAAATCAAACGTCCAAGTTTTTCACCCCAAAAATGAAGGTTTTTACTATGATACATTAAATCAAAATGTTCTTATCGATCCAAAGCAACCTCTGAAGCTTCATTTGTGATACTTTCATATGCAAAATATCGACGATTTTGCTAAAAATCTCATTTCCTATTTTTAAAGATTGCTCAGTAGGTTTAGTCATAATATGTTTTATAATTAGCATCATTAGATTCGCCTTCAAAGGTACTTGAAGGAAGCTTAAGAAAGTATAGGATGATTATGTCGACTTACATAGTCGAATTTGATTCTGGACAAAATTTTCACCATTTCGAGTAAAAAAATGAGACCAGAGTTTGAACGGCTTTGGCTGACAAAATGCCATCTTGATGAAAGCAATCAGTGTTTGTGAATCTAATGAGAAGGGAGCTGCGCATTGCAAAGCACTGTAGCTTATATTAACTACTGCGTTTTGCCCCTGCTACAACTTCTAACATCTTTGGGGTATTAAATTGTAGCATAGACTAATAAAATAGATCCAGATGTCCAATGATGCAGTGATGATAAGAGTAATGGCCACCACTGCCTCATGTTATCATTGAATCAAAACTATACACATCAAATGATCTACAAGCTAGTTTTATTTTACACACATTTTCTTCTTTAATAAGGTTTGAACTTTCTAGTTTGTTTCAATTGAGCAATCTTTGCCTTGTCCTCCTCGAAACGCTTTCTCAACTCCACCAGTTCATTCTGCTTCTTTTCGCGCATTTGGAAGCGATAAAAGTTGACTAATTCCTTCTTCTTTTTGAGCTGGTGTTCTCTTTGAGCCTCCGCAGCTTCTGCAGTAATGGATCCCACATGAATAGTACCGTCAGTCGCCTTGGTCTTCTTGTGACGAACCACCACTGTGAATCCATCATCGTCCATTTGGTTCATACGCTCCAACTTTTCGCGCTCTTTTTGGTATTCATCGGCCTTGAACTTCATCATGAAAGAATCCACTTCTTGTTGAAGATCTTCGGCATTGGGTCGTGATAAGTCGTATGCTAAAATGTAGCCTGTGCACAGCATACATACACATATTAGATCCCTATCTATACAGCGGCAATCAACTGGAAAAACACTTACGTTCAAAGCCTAATGGCTGATCAACTAATTCGTCTTCCTTTGCCCACTTCTTCTCAACACGGCGCATCGACAGCACCTGAGTCAAATCATCATCCGTACTGAATACAATGTGTGCTGAAGATCCGCTTGTAAATAGTTTCCTTAATTCTCTCACTTCTGGGTCTTTTTCTTCTTGCTGTTGCTTTTGGTGCTTCTTCTTTTTCTTGTTGGCAGCTTCTTCTAATTGTTGTTGCTGTTGCTTTGCTTGAATCTTCCAGTAATCTTCAGAAACGGATGAACCGGAATCACTGTAGGTAATTTGATCAATGCCATGTCCCTTGAAAAGCTTCTTGATATGGCGGTCTGTAGTATCAGCAGGTAAATTCAACATGAAGAGTGTGCGGTCCTTGATGTCCTCATCGACAAGTGATTTGCTTTCGTGCTTTCTAATGTAAAAATAGTGGCGAACACTCTTGTTGTTTTCATCCATGATGACAGGGAGCACTTTGAAGCCTTGGAAATCTTCCAATTGCTTGGGTGTCTTTTCCTGAATTTCAACGCTTTGTTTGCTGCTGTTACTGCTCAATTTCTTTGTCTTGCCCATGATTGTTTTTGTGTTTAGTAATGTAAAAGAAACAAGAGTTCGTACACAAAAAATGTCAAAAAATTATGTGCAATTTGATGTGGCTCATTTCTCATCAACGCATGTAGAAGCAAAGGGTATTTCGAGTCACATGTCTTTATTATTACAATGCAGCATAAGGTGCTGTGTTGTTACTACTCGTGCTGCTTCTTGATGTATCAGTGGGCTGTGTAGCTTTAGGCTGTGGTGGTGTGGTGGGAATCGGGATATCTTCAGGGGTTACATCAGCCTTCACTTTCATGTAAATGGTACCAATGATTCTCAACCCAATGGCTCGGCTTTTGAGTGTTTCTCTAGGCACAGTGGGATCTGTCAATACTCGATCGCATACTTCTCTCAGCACACTCTCAACCTCCAGCTTGGAGCCTCTCCATATAGCTTGAAGACCCTGTAATTACGTCTCTTAATGAATGACATTGCATCCCACACTACATCTTGAACACATACCTTTGTTGCAGCTTCAGTTTCCAACTTGATTCTTTGTTCCTCTGTCAAGATACCCTTCTCCTCTGCCTTTTGCAATTCTGTATAACTGGATTGCAGATCAAGTGCAGACCTAAGTGTACCTACAGTCTCACTAAGTATGTATCCCTTCTCCTTCATAGAATGGAACATGCCGCCTAATCCAAACGCAAATCCCTTGCTAATGTATTGCTGTGCTTTGGCTGCGTATGTATAACCTATGGCATTCAACAACTCTACACCATGGCTCTCCCGCTTAAGGTCTTCAGCTTCAATTTGGATGATGTTGGAGAATGCTGCTGATCGAGCTTCCTCAGGGATATCGTTGAGTTCGGTATATAAGCTAAGCTTGTTGATCAATTTCGTCGTTAATGTTTGCACTCGGGTTTCTCGGGCAGCACTGCGCGCCTTCTCTAGTTTCTCCTTCTTTTCCTCCCGTTTTGCCTTTTGCTCTGGTGTCAGTAGTTTGGGATCCACCTCTTCTTGCTCCTGCTCGTGTGATTCCAATACCTCTCTCATGTCTTTGCCGATGGAAATCTCGCCAATAATGTCTACAAAACGATCACCACCGAATGATTGCTTGAAGAAATCCTCAGGATCCACTAAAGAAACAGAGCATTGCAATGTAAGTAGTCTGTATTAACATTGATTTGCTTTTTGATAGCTACTAAATCCTCCGTCTGGATGCACGCCGTTCTCTTCACCGAATTCATTGTATCTCTTTCTCAATGCAGGATCGGATAGCACTTGGTATGCTTCAGATATCTTCTTAAACTAAGCGTATCCATTGCTAAATCAGGGGTCGTTTTCAAGAGATCATAGGTCTGGGCTTACCTTTTCCTCTGCTGTAGGGTCATTGGGATTCTTGTCTGGGTGGTATTTAATGGCTAATTTTCTATATGCTTTCTTGATTTCTATTTGTGTTGCTAAAGGTGCTACTCCAAGAGCGTCGTAGTAATCTGTTGACAATGGATTCTCGTCTAGTATAGAATTGGAGGTTACTCTATCGTTCATCAAGCATTAATCCAGAATACGCACCAGTGCCTCGTTTTCTTGACCACTTGGATGTCGCCTTGCTAGCATTCGTCTTGAGCTTGGTTCCAGTAACATCAATTTCAAAAGACGAAATAGCTCGACACGACCAGCATTGCACCTCCACCTTGGTGCTCTTTACACCAGGAGATGGTAAGAATTCCAAGGGTTGAGAGCATTCTTTGCAAATGGCCTGAATGTAAGGCTCTGGTTTCCGGGAAGGGTATGCCATTATTGAATGAAATAAGAAAAGAAAGAAAAGGGAATAAATGCTGCCATTTCATTATAAAAACTAATCCCGAAGCGACATGTGGAACGTGGCTGGACCTGCGTGTAGAAGGCCAAGCAAGCACTACTTGTAACTTGATGCAATTCATTGGGATTATAGCTAAATGATCCTTTTGCAGCACCGTCAACATTTGATCAAGTAGCACGTAAGCGAATGCTTTTATTAAACGCAATTTGCAATGAATGAAGCTGATATCCTAAGCATAAAGCATGCCAGCAATGCCGCAATAACGTTCGACCTAACAGGGATCGACATTATACCCAGCATCTATACAGAAGACTGTACCTAAATCACTGAATATGAGTACGACAGCAAGAGGTACACATGCTACAGCGAGAAAAAGCATCAATTTGAACCAAGGCTTGTAACTTCGAGTCTACATGTTTATAATAGATAGCATTCGAAGCTAAACAGCAGAGCAACACCTTGAATTTGATCCAATCTGTCAAAGGAATGAGTTTCAATCAGCCAAATTTCGTTGCTTGGTACGACCCCCAGCAGCCATACTTTTTTTTACATCCCCTCCACAAATAAAGCTTTTTTTTTCTTTCTTCCTCTATATCAGCTATACATCATGATTGGATTGAAGGGTACACTTAACGTAATTGACAACTCTGGAGCTATTGTTGCTGAATGCATTCGTGTGATGAGTGGTGCTCGTTTTGCTAGAGCTGGTAAATATGAAGGCTTGCAAAAAAAAAACATTTGACAAGGGTGAGACTAACATCCAGACTAGGTGATGAGATTGTTTGTGTAGTGAAGCGTGCCAGACCTATCAACCCAAATATCGCAGGCACCCAAGCAGCTGCACAAAAAGTAAAGAAGGGTGATGTTCGCCATGCACTTGTTGTTCGCACAAAGAAGGAAATGTCTCGCCCTGATGGCCGCACCATTCGCTTCGATGATAATGCCTGTATTTTATTAAACCAAAAGAAGGAGCCTCTTGGTACTCGTGTTTTGGGTGTCGTCTCTGCAGAATTAAGGACAAAGAACTGGATGAAGGCTGTTTCTCTTGCACCCAGAATTGTATAATAAGATCAATAAACCGAATAGAGTGTCAAATATGAAAGAAGAACGAGGATCTTTGTTGGCTTGCAGACATGCTTTTGAGAGTGATGATGATTTATATGCAAAAGACATTGGAGAGGCACATTGGTCTTGAATAAGGTGAGAGATTCAATGTGTATTATTGCTCGGTTTGAGCAGTTTAAGCAAATGGTTGGGCTGATCCAGGAGTTGGTTACCACTGGAAACACTGCTTGTATTTGATATCGAGGTTGCCCCTTAGCAAAGTTGCTTTCCATTACAGCCAGAATTCAACTTTGCATGCAGCTTTTCGAACAGTTAATATTCGTTATCCTTTACGAGCCTTTCGACACTTCGGGCGGTTTCCTGGCCAACGCTTCGCTTCGGTGAAAACCAACTTGCACAGCGGCAGCTCGCACTACCGATTGCCCTTGCGTATCTTATCATAATACTACTACGTTCAGGTTAACCCTCTACTTACACATGAAAATCCTTCATCTTATCTGTGGATCTGAATCTTATGTGATGCTCTGCATCCATATACACGTAGCGTAGCTACTTCATATACGGGCAAACAGCATACTGGTATTTCTCCTTTTTAGCCGTTAGTGTCCCTGATACAGCAAAATTTGAGTGCATTTGAGCTGCGTTTTCTCACCTTCAAGGCCGTTTTAGATGGTCAGAATAGCACCAAACAATTGCTCTCATCTGGCAGTTACTTCCTGACACCTTTGCTCAACTTTTTGGGGATCAAAAAAACATGACCGAAAATCGATCAAAAAGCATGAGGCACCCCTCATGGTTTTCCTCGAAAATTCGACGCCTGAGGAACGTCGAAGATGACAAATGTACCCTCTGTAATGATACTGAAGATGCCAAACATCTCATGGTTAGCTGCCCCCCACAAAAACGACATTTGGTCCGACATCTTTGAACAATTCCTGGGATACCCCAAAGCTGCTAATCCACAGCAAGTATACCAATCCATAGTCAATTTGAACCTGAAGCAATACTTCATCTACAACTTAGACATCAAGATTACAACCTTCGACCTGTTTGCTGCCACCGTTCGTATGATATGGAGATTCCACCTCCTACTAACATTCGAAGAAGTGCCTTTTGATACCAACAATGTCACCAACAAGATCTGTGCTGAAGTGATGAGATTGCCAGATCTCAAGCATTAATATTAGTAGTAGTTTCAATAGATTTATATGTGGCAAGTCACTTTGTTACAAACACTTGTCCATCATTTGATGTTCTTATCATATTCGTATATTTACTAATAAATAAGCAACATCCATACAAAAAAAAAAAAAAAAAAAAAAAATTCATCGAAAATCAAACGATCGCGTTTTTCACCTTGAAAATGAAGACTTTTACCATGGTAAATATTGGGTCAAAATGTTTCTATCGATCTAACGTAGCCTTTGAAATCATCTTCGTAGGACCTTAATATGTAAAATTTCGATTTTTCGGCCAGAAACCTCATTTCATATTTTCATAGTTGCTTGATAAGTTTATTTAAAACATCTATCTTACTTAGTACCGTTGGATGCGCCTAGAAAAGTACTCCAAGAAAGCTTAAAGAAGTTTTTTTTTTGTTGTAGTTAATATTTTATTTTATTCAAATATTATTTTATGAGGGACACATCGCGGAGTGGTGGACCTCGAGCAACTGAATGAGCATCTAATCTAAATTATATTGTAGTAGGTAGCTGTCTATCAATTAGACAGACTGTTCTGGAGGAAAAGTGTTCTATGGAGGCGGTGGAAAGTGGTACAGGGTTCTGTGAACCGTGAAGCCAATACAGATTCCACATTTGCCATAAGGTAGTAGATATGACGGCGATATACTTGGATCGATCTTTTATAAAGCGAGGAAGATGTAGATACCGCACTATGCCATATATGATCTCGGAAGTCAAAGGATATTTGGCGTAGTATTGTGAGATCACAGATTGCCATAGGTGCCACTTGACGGAACAGTCAACGAGGAAATGTCGCAACGTATCGATGCCTAGGGCACAAAAGGGACAGATAGAGTTTTCCACAGTGCCAATTGTGTACAGGTATGATTTATGAGGGATGCATTTCGACAGTGCCCGATAGAGGACCGTTCTTGCCGCTGGATGAGCAGGTGCTGACCATAATGTCTTGACCATTGAATTGTTGAAACGATGGTCCGACGGAACCAACTGTTGTTGCTGCTGACGAAAGGTTACGGGATGGTATTGAGTCCATAGGTCTTTGGTGCCCAATTTGCCGAAGAAATCAAAGCTCGTCCAGTCTAAGGTGGAGGTGGAAGGAGGCTGCAGAATGTCAGGCCACACACCAGGAACCAGTTTGACGGTTTTGAGCATGAGAATTTCTTGATAGAGCGAGGCACAAAGAAGCGAGTAGCGTGAATATTCAGAAGCAACACGAAGCCGCAGCCTTTGTTGTTGGCTATCAAAGATCAAGAACTTGCTTGCTGGAAACTTGGGATGACGCCGGAGCCAGTGGTCATCGCTGAGGCCTATGAGAAGCTTGTGCAAAGGCAATTGCAGGATGGTCTGGACCGGAAGGAAATCCACTTGTTGAAGTCCACTGAAATCAAAATAGTCATACATGGCGAAGATAGAATGCCAAATAGAAAGATCCTTGTGTATCAGGTAGGGCTTGCGGTATTCAGCATCGACGAAGGCCAAGTAAGGAAACTCTGATGAAGCCGGTAGCAGTGATACGTGATAGAGCATGAAGGGCAGCAGGAAGGACGGATACTTCTGTGGTTTAACGAGGTAATTGAGCCAGCGTTTTTGGAGAATCAGTTGTTGAAGAGAAGGGTTGAGAACAGCAAGACCACCTCTGGACTTGGGTAGGAATATGAGTTCTTTGCGTAGTAATGGCCGCTTCTTCTTCCAGACAAATTGATAAACACAAGACTTTACTTTCTCTAAAAACCGTTTGGTAGGCTTCAGCATGCGCAGACTGTACTGTAATGAAATAGCCACCCAAACGCAACTTAATTGAAAACCAAAGTTCATCAAATAGCACTCATTCAAATTCATGCTATTTGGATCTATTAATGAAAGCGCTCAAATGTACATCAAAAAACCCATTTAAAAATACTAAAGTAAAGATACACGCTTATATCGCACATCGTGTGAATGAATCACTCCTGATCACAGTGTATTCAATCACACCCATGATGGTCGTAATAGGTGATGGTATCTTTATCCAAATAGAATTAAATCAATAACAAGCATATTCAAATATGACAACTATGCCCTGCTGCCATAGTTGCACAATATCCCAGATAAAGAATTCCATGCTTCAATAACAAACATCACACTTTAAACCATCAAGGTTACATTAAATCATGCTATGACGATAGCTCACCCAAGCCCATCAAGGTTACTCAAATCGACCCTTATGGCCAGTGCTCCTGCATTGATTACCACTTTAAATCAAACATCGACAACATTTGCCAGATATCGCAATAGCAGCACCTATTGCTCTCTATCATCACTAATCCTACAAGCTAGTTGCAAATGTATAAATACTCTTCTTTTTTTTTACTCAATTCCAGGATCTTCAGTTCATTTTATACACAAAATAAAATACAGTTGATTTCTATTGTATTTTACCTTTGCTTTATTTTTTTTTTGTGAAATCCATTAAACCTGATTTCACTGCATGTACCACACCTTGGACAAAATGAGGCTGTTGGCGATGGTGACTCTACCCAGGAGAGACAGTTGTCGTTGTCCGTAGATCTGACATTGAGTTCTGACTGAGTTGAGCAACATCTCTTCTGTTTGAGCACGCTGAGCATAGTTGTAAGCAAAATACAAACCAAGATATCGAAAAGCCGTGATGGAACCTTGATGGTGGTATGTGTGAACGTTCATGTCTTCAAAGGCTCGCACCCACGCCGAAGAGCGACAGCCAGACAGAGAGAATGGCTTCTGATTTGTCTTCATTGAACTTGGCATTGGAGACGGCTGCATAGTTAGCCATGTGTAGTTGGAGGCGATACAGATCAAGTTCGTCTCGTAGAAGGACACAGACATCATCAGCGTACGCAAGGCATTTGACAGCTGGTGGGTCACGAGAAGAGACCATATCCGCAGATGCACCATTGCTTGCCTTAAAACCATGGAAACAAGTGTCTTGCAGGATGGATAATAAGAAAGGCTCCAGTGCAACATCGAAAAGAAGAGGGGACAGAGGATCGCCTTGACGGATACCCCGTTCCTGCTTGACGGCTGAGGTGAAGTACCCATTGACATTGATGTACATGCTATTGCCAAAGAACAATGATTTGACACATGACACACAGCTGGCGGGAAACCCAAGACGACGAAGAACAGCACACAGATAGTCAGCATTCACCCGATCATAGGCTTTTTCCTGATCAAGTAGGATACCAGCACCCTTGTGATGGAAGGCCCGAGCCTCTTCCAAGACCATCGATAACGCTAGGCCATTGTCACAGATGAACCTTTGTTGCAGGAAACCAGATTGGAATGGGTTAATGATCCGCCCAAGAATTGGAGCCATGCGAAGAGCAAGCAGTCTGGTAAAGACCTAAGCTTAAAGAAGTATAGGATGATTATCATATTTTATATAGTCGAATCTGCAAGAATAATTCAATCGAGTCGAAGATTATTAAAATTTGGCCAATCTGGAACAGACTATGAGTTTGGGTTTGAGCTAATTTTGGCTTATGGGGTAAGCTGGCAAACTCGATGCCCTTCTAATAATCATGAAGGCGATACAATAATAGATACTTTTGAAGCGTGTGGAAATTAGGTGGAAAATTACATAGCGCTATCTTTAGTATTGCTATTCTTCTTGCGTTCTATATTTAATAGCGTCAGTCTACCAAAATACTTGCTAGATCAACTTCTTTCCTTTTTGAGGCTTTGAAAGTGTCTAGGGACCGAACATTTATTATGTTATGATATCTTGGATTTATCAACGCATTGCATTTGACGTTGCTCAATACAATCTTTAGAAATAGCTCATTGAATCGGTCGTCTCCTTCTAATTTCTGTAAGCTAGCTGCTTCTTTCAATGATAACTGTTCTTTATTGCGCCTTTAACTTTGGCTGATGTGCCATTTATCAACAATTTGGAAAAATTCACATCTATAGGCAAACGCTTACCTTTCATCGGCCTGGAAAATTGCAGTCTTGAAAACCCTGACGACTACGAAAAGTTAGCCCGCTGACGAACGGTGATCCCAATAACACGATTTATATGGATTGAGGATCATAGCTATCAGAGCCTACATTCACAATGTGGAAAAATGCTACTAAGGAATTGAGCCAAAGTGAAGTTCATTTAGAAAGACATCTGCCCCACAAAGTACTCCAACGTTTATTGTCAAGCATTGGTATTTCAGGCGTTTCAAGACTGGCTGTGGATTGTCTTCATAATAGGGATTGTACTGTAACTTATGACTCGAGGCCGTCAATGTATTTAATGTCGTTCTATAACATGCATAAGAGAATACCTCATGTAGAGAATCTTTTCTTCCTGAACGCTTTTATCAAGTACCAGCATCTGGATACAAGCGAATAAATGCTGCCAAACCTTCACACCATCCATTTATGGGGTATCAAAAATAACTCTCGAGAGTTGGCAACAATAAGCAGAGTCTCGCCAAAATTACATACTCTATGTCTTTTTTCATGTCTGATAAGTTCGAATGGCAATTTTGCACAAAGAACAGCTATACACATGCTTAATACAGCTTTTGCTATATTGGTATTGATCGCATAAGATAGACGCAAGATTCTCTCTTCGCCTAGCGAACTGAACAATTTTGATGAGAATGACAACGGGGAGATGGCCTTGTATGAGTATTATACGTCAATTCATAAATTTACGAAGGTTCAGGATATCGTGCTCAAATTTCAAGAACCAAGAGCAATGTTACATGCTATTCCCGCAGATACCGCCAATGCTGATCCCAAAAGAGGAATTACAATTGTACTCTGCAAAGCGCCAAACATTCGACATTAAATGCAAATCAATCGCATCACTTAACATAGTAGTTGAAGGTTTTGCTGTTAAAAGTGAAAAGTTCACCTAGGATAGCGAACTGGAGAATGGATTAAAAAGCCTTATAAAGATGCTAGAAGAGCAAAATGCGACATTGAACCAAAAACACGACATACTTCAGAAGCAAAAAGTTCAATTTCGAAGAGAAACTCACAGCATCCGATCGTGACTCTATTCAACTGGCCGAACCGTATCTAGAGGCAGAAAAGAAGCATATCGAGGCGTAGAAGAGATGCATGAAATCTGAAAAAACAATCTGTTGCAGAAGGAAATGTGGATGAGCAAGGCATGTTCTTCGCCTGATCAACCTTTGCAAATAGTGGCTTCAAATAAATTATGGGTATGACATGATAATCGTTAAACATGTGGCCAGCTCATTGACCGCTAAAGAAACAGGGATAACATCACTCTTGAGATGTCAAATCATTAGCATTGGTGACATTAGCAGCGGCCAATATCTTGAAGTATTACTGCCACCAAACACTATGTAGATTGCGCCGAATGCAGTGCGCAAACCCATAGCTTTACATTCGGTATCTTCGTACCAGAGCACAAGCTCATGGAGCAAGACCATAAACATCTAATTAGCTGTGCACACTACACATGTAGAGCAACCCCTCTTTCGTACTATTTCAATGGAGCAACTCCGCGGTAATTAACTTGAGTCTTTAACACCTCACATCCTCTTTTTGTTTCTTCTTCTCACTTCTCCTCTCAAAGAAAAGGTTGTTTTTACAATGATTAGTGCCTTCTTCATCTATAATCAGAAGGGCGAGGTCCTTATATCACGTTTATACAGACATGACTTGAGGTAAGTGATGAAGACTGTGCTATCCTTTGATTGTACACAGTGAACTCAATTACCACTGCAATTCCATAGACGTTCAGTTGCAGATATTTTTCGTATCCAAGTGATATCCAACACAGACGTGCGCTCACCTATTGTTACCTTGGGCTCAACCTCATTCTTCCATGTTCGACACGAGAACCTCTACATTGTTGCAGTTACAAAATGGAATGCTAACGCTGCTTTAATTTTCGAGTTTTGCTATCGAGTTGTGAATATTGGAAGAAGCTACTTTGGAAAGTTTGATGAAGAGGCTGTCAAGAACAACTTTGTGTTGATTTACGAACTATTGGATGGTAAAAAGGGCAGGTTCAAGTGAGCTAATTCGAGTTACTGACATGCCACACTAGAAATTCTCGATTTTGGCTATCCTCAGAACAGCGAGACAGACACACTCAAAATGTACATTACAACAGAAGGCGTGAAATCCGAGAGAGCAGCAGAGGATTCCAGCAGAATTACCATCCAGGCAACGGGCGCAATTTCCTGGAGAAGAAATGACATCAAATACAGAAAGAACGAAGCCTTCATCGATGTCATTGAGAGCGTCAATCTGTTGATGAGTAATACAGGTACTATCCTCAGGGCAGATGTAGCAGGTCAAATTCTGATGAGAGCATATCTATCTGGTACTCCCGAATGCAAATTTGGTTTGAATGACAAGCTGTTACTCGACAAGGACACTGTGAATCGCACTACGTAAGTCGAATTGAGCATATTGAAGTGGCACCCGGATTGACAATGAATGTGTAGAGCTCGTCGTGCCAATGCTGTTGAAATTGATGATTGCCAGTTCCATCAATGCGTCAAACTGGGCAAATTTGACAATGATAGAAGCATCAGTTTTGTGCCCCCCGATGGTGAATTCGAATTAATGAAGTAAGAGCTACTCGCCATGTTGACCAGATGACTCGTCGAGATGCTTAGCAATTCATGTAGATATCGTACAACTGAAAACGTCAATTTGCCTTTCAAAGTGCATCCTGTTGTTACTGAAATCGGAAACACTCGAGTGGAATACAATATCAGTGTCAAGGCAAACTTCTCGCCTAAACTATACGCCAACAATGTTGTATTGAAGATTCCCACTCCTTTGAATTCTGCCAAGGTGGAGGTGAAAGTAGGTTCAGGAGGAAAAGCAAAATATGCACCATCCGAGAACTGTATTATTTGGAAGTAAGGCTTTGTTGAGATGCATGGATTCACAGGAGATTAATCTGACAATAATGTAGGATCCCTCGTTTCCAAGGCCAAGCAGAGTTCAACTTGAGTGGAGAGGCAGAGCTGACATCAATGACCCATAAGCGTGTGTGGTCAAGACCTCCTATATCTATGGACTTTCAAGTGTTGATGTTTACCTCCTCAGGTTTGCTTGTGAGATTCTTGAAGGTGTTTGAGAAGAGTGGATATCAATCTGTCAAGTGGGTGAGATATATGACAAAAGCAGGATCTTATCAAATTAGGGTAAGTAGTGCATTGTATGATGTTGTGCCACGGATGACTGATTCGATCTCATAGTTTTAGTCAAATTTTAAAAGCAAATCTAATACTCATCATACCCTTTTACCTATAATAAAGGAATCACTCCATCTAATGCAAACCCTTTTGATTACTGCACCACGTAGAATTGGACACCCGTCGCGTGCATCATTTAAAATTTTTCGAGACTCGAGATTTCATTTCAGCTCTTGTTCCTTTTTCCTGCATTAAACAAGCTCCCCATTCTCTCTAAATATCACACAAATGAAGGACATAGACCGGATATCGACTGTAGACATTGAAGATTGCGTCTCCAGCAAACGCCTGTATCATTCTGATCAGTATCATGTAGTATCAGAGGATGAGAAGGATAGAGTTCAAAAGCAATTGCTAGGTTGGTATCAATCTGAGAAGAGAACCAACATGCCATGGAGAAAGGACAATGAAAAGACATGGGATAAGCAGGTATGGGTTATTGATTGAGCTAAGGTTTCAAGTATTGATCTTGTTGCGCAATCAGACATTAGGTCAGAGAGCATACGAAGGTAAGAAAAATCAATATCACAACCTGTCAAAATATGTCAGAATGCTCAGTTGTCGTTTCGCTTTCATAGTGTGGGTCAGTGAGATAATGCTTCAGCAGGTAAAGTTGGGCTTGCAATAGAATTAGACAAACAGCAATTGATCAAAGAATACAGACACAAGTAGCTACTGTGATTGACTACTACAATCGATGGATGGCAGCATTTCCAACGATCCAGGATCTAGCCAATGCGGATATCGAAAAAGTGAACACTCTCTGGGCTGGCCTAGGCTATTACTCTCGAGCCAAAAGATTATGGGAAGGTGCTCAGAAGGTAGTGAATCAACTGGGCGGACTGTTGCCGGATAATGCAAAGGATTTGCAAAGTGAGATACCTGGTGTTGGGCGTTATACTGCAGGAGCAGTGGCATCTATTGTGTTTGGCGAGACTACACCTGTGGTGGATGGAAATGTGATTCGAGTCATTGCAAGATGGAGAGCCATTCATGCAGATCCCAAGAAAGCAAAATCAGTGGAGCTATTCTGGTGAGTATATTGTATTACTGACATGTGTGCATCAGCTTATGAATAATTGAGTTTTTCAGGGACATCGCAGCTAGCCTGGTACCTGAATCGAATCCAGGCGATTTCAATCAGGCCATGATGGAGTTGGGCGCCCGTATCTGTACTCCACAAAACCCTGATTGCGACAAATGCCCTATCAGCAATGAATGTAAGGCTCTCAATCAGTTAAAATGCGCGAAAGAATTATCAAAGAATGGCTTTTTCGACGAGAAAAAGAAAAAGAGAAAGACAGTAGATAGTGAGCATGGTAAATTAGAAAGAGATATTGTATGTAATATATTCAATACTGATAGTTTTTTATTAGATTGCTCTGTTTGCCAAGAGCTACCAGATGATTTAGATGAAGCAGCGTATGCAGTGACAAGATACCCATTGAAGGTGGATAAGAAGCCACCGCGAGATGAGGGTAAAGCCTATCTGCAAATTGACAAGGATATCTTATTCTAATATTGCTGAATTACAGAATGTGCTGTTACTATTGTTGAAAGAATTGTGTCCAAAGAAAGCAAACCACTATATCTGATATCCAAGCGACCTAATACTGGTCTGCTAGCAGGTCTTTGGGAGTTTCCTAGTCTGGAGCTGGATTCGCTGGATACAGACTACAAGGAGAGATTGAGCAAATCAACGCAGTTCTTGAAAACAAAATATCAGTTGGAACTAGATCAGCCCACTAGACATGATTTGGGAAGTGTTGTCCACTTATTTTCGCATATCAGAAAAGTATACCATATCGAGTGGATTCAATATCAACATGATCAAGATCTGATGGATGTGGATGAGGCTCAAGTGAAATGGGTGACATTGGAAGAACTGAAAGCATCTCCTATTCCCACTGGTTTGAAAAAGGCTTTGAAATTGTTGGAGAAATTTAAGGTAGCTATTCTTGTAATACATATTGATCTCGTAAACCAACATTTGGCTGTAGACTACAACACCCACACCGTTGAAAAAGAAGGTTGTTGTCAAAAAGACCATGAAGACGGCTGATATCAGCTCTTTTTTCATGAAAAAGGATTAAAAGAGCAGGCTGAGTAGAGCTTCACTATTTATTTGCAATTTACCAAGAGATGTTCTCATTTGAATAAAAGCTTTAACAATATAGAATTCATGAATTTGTAGGAACAATACTACAAATGCACTGTATAGTGTTCTCCCATTTGCACCGGATGTTCAAAATGCTTACATTGTGACCTTACCTGGCATCAAGTAATTGGGAGGTGTCGTATTTTCTGCTTGTACTTCTATTCTACACATCTACATCATTCGTAATGGACCAAGAAAATACAGGTAGAATCATACAGTGACATCTGTACAATCTCATTTCTCAACTTCTTTACTCAGGCAAGGTAACACGCCTTGTTGTGTTTGCTTTCTGGAGTGTTGTATTAGTTGGTCTACCTTTCTGGTGGAAGACGACTGAAGTATACAGAGCCAGTTTACCGTTCTCAGAGATTGATTCATGGCAGATCAAACAGGCAAGTAGATAGTAACAGTATTACTATGCCTTATTTTGACCATTACTCTACCATTAGGCTTGTGATTTTGTCATGCCTACGAAGTTCACCATTTTTATACCACCTACCGTCCAACCATCAATAGATAATGATCAATTATCAACAGAAATCACAAGCAAATTAGCAGATAGACTCTCCAGCTTTAAATACAAGACCAATTTCCCTATCGATATCTCTGTTCTTGACCAAGGTTGGATAATAGCAGCATTCAGACACAATATTGGCATGCGTACTAAGTAAATGCATTTCTAGATAAAGTGGATGGGCATAAAGAAGCAAGCATTGGACATTATTTCATCTACCTTGACCAAGCTGATAAGATAGACCTTAAAATCGGAAGTGAGAGATCTAGCTTTCTCAAAATCAGTGACATGACCAGCAGTAAATATTTGCAAGTACCCCTTCAAGGCATTGTTCTTACACCCACTCCTTAGACAGCATAGCCGAGACATTAGCTACAGTGATTCCTCCAGTGTATTTGAGCGAGTATCAGAGCTTGGGAGATATGGCATGTCATATCGAGAACAAGGACAAGGTAATTTCAGTAGAATTGAGAGGATTTGATGAGGCACTAATGATGGTTTCACATAGAACGATGTTTCCAGCATGCGAGCATTCAAGTATTCCTCACAGTACGAAACAACATTCAGTCTGATGAACAACAATCCTGAAAATATGAAAATGGATTGGGAGATTCGAGATGCCGTCAATGCGTACCTTTCATCCTTTTTGAAAGAAGTTTCTGTTGTGTCTAATTTCACCATTGATTCACAGGTACAACAGGCATTAATGCATACATATAACAGCTACTAACGCTCGCTTGACAGATCCAAAACTATGCGCCTTTATCCTTGAAACCCCATTTCAAAGAGAGAGTTGGAAAACCAAGTTATTATTATTTCGAGCCTCAACATTTACCTCATTTTGTGAATTCAGCAGAGTGGAACTTGGCATCGACAATCACATCATATCCCAGTATCAACTTTGTTTTGTATGTACCCTCTGCAGAAGAAGCACCACTCCGTATTCATGATTCTAAAGGTAATTCAGGTACACAATCAAATCATCTGGCATGCATTGACATTCAGGCTCAGGACAACCATTATTAACCAGCGCATTTCTGATTCCTCGCTGGGGTGGCATCGTCATTAAGAATCCACCTAAGGCAGCAACGGAAGAATACACATTCACCAAGAAGGATCTTCAGCCCATCATGAAGATTTTTATCTCTCAACTGAGAAGCTTGATCGGTGTTCATGATTTACAAAACAACATTTCCAACAAATTTGTAAGTATGAAACGACTTAAAATCATCCCAAATCTAACGCTTCTGCGTAGCCTGCAAACTATCATGTTACATTTGAGCCTGCCATCAAATCTGGCATTACAACACTCGAAAAAGACAACTTGATCCGCTCGAGAACACTGGAAAATGTCGTCAATACCATCTCTACTCTGAAATCTTTAGCTCAATTAGTGGATGAGATTCCCAATATGGTAGTAGAGGATCATATCAGTATCAAGGTGCGTCAATCTCTCGATGCATTGGATGCAGTGAGTAAGGCCCTGAGCGCGGAGGATTATATCAAGGCGTTGCAGAGTTCCATCGAGACGGTTGAGTTAGCTGAGAAGGCTTTCTTTGATCCTACAATGGTCTCCATGCTTTACTTTCCTGACGAGCATAAATACGCCATCTACATGCCCTTATTTGTTCCTATCTCGGTTCCGTTGGCCATGGCTTTATTAAAGGAGATCAAGAAACTCAAGCAAGCCAAGAATATTAAAAAGAAGGAAGAATAACTTTATCAGATTTTTATGTCAGATGGTCGAATTTATCAGATTAAATTGCACACACATATGTACACAAATACAATGTACCAAAAATCTTGATAACATTCACTGGTATTCCACTTTTTAGCTTTCCACTATCGCACGAGATCCTTCCATAAGCAACTTGTAATTGTGGATTTAGCTCTTCCAAGGTACTTCACAGCTGTTCTTAAAGAGCAATTCATATACTGGCATACAGTATACTTGTATTACTTTTTAATACCAGGAAGTATGCATGTCGCAGCGAATTTGGTTGCACTTGAACCGTACTTTCTCGTGTTGAAGGCCTTTGAAACCGCCAGAATAGTGCCAAATAATCTCTCTCTTCTAATACTAACTTTTTGACACCTTTGCTCAACTTTTTGGGGACCAAAAAAAACATGGTCAAAAATCGACCAAAAAGCATGAGGGGTACCTCATGGCTTTCATTGAAAATCAAACGATCGCATCTTTCACCTTGATAACGAAGACTTTTACTATGGTATATCTTGAATCAAAATGTTTCTATCGATCCAAAGCAACCTCTGAAATTATCTTTGTGGGACTTTGATATGTAAAATTTCGACTTTTTGGCCAGAAACCTCTTTTATATTTTTACAAATCATTCAATAAGTTTATTCAAAACATCTATATAACTTGGTACTATTGGAAGCGTCTTGAAAAGTACTCCAGGAAAGCTTAAGGAAGCATGGGGTTATCATCATATTTCACTTAGTCGAATCTGCAAAAATAGTTTAATCGAGCCCAAAATTATCAAAATTCGTCCAATCTGGAACAGACTGTATATTGTTCAAGTAACGGAAACTAATGTTGATGAGAAAGAGACTGACTTTATTATGTTCTGTGAAATATGGTTATTTATACTGTGGTTAAATATGACATGACAACTGTAAGTCTGTGTTTTAATTAATTTTGGCTTGTGTGGCCAGCTGGAGAACTCGATACCCTTTTCATAGGGCAATACAGTACTAAATGCCCTTGAAGCGTATTGAAAGTAGGTGGCAGGTCATAGCACTATCGTTTATTATGATACTTTATTGTATTCTATATCGTTCATAATAATATTTTCTTGCATTCTATATTTAATAACTTTAGTCTGGACATTGACGATCCATGGGCTGCGTAAAATGTCTGCAGTAAGTATTGAAATCTCTGAAGCTCCGAACCGTCGTTCAAGGAAAAGGTTGGCAGCATTGATCAGAGGAAAGATGGTAAAAATAAAAGTAGTTTTTGTTGATTGATCGTAAAATCATTATCCACATATGAGCCAGGCCTGACAGATGCCTTGAAACTCAGGTTCCATATTAGGGTTGTAAAGTGCAAAAGGATTATATCAAAATGATCTTCTCTATCTAAAGTAGCAGCCCCTGAAATCTTGTTTGTGACACCTTCATATATATAATCTTGACATTTTGATCAAAAACCTTATCTCATATTTTCAAGAATTACTGGTCATGCTCAATCAAATAACCTCTTAAATTAGCCCCATTGTATGCGTCTTCAAAGGTACTCCTAAAATGCATTAGAAACTTTTTTTTTGTAGATAATATTTTATTTTATTCAAATATTATAATTTGGAGGGACACATCGCGGAGTGGTGGACCTCGAACAACGGAATGACTATCTAATTAATTACCATGTATGTGCAGGGAGCAGTTTGTCAATGTGACAAACTGTCCTAGAGGAAAAGTGTTCGATGGATGCGGAGGAGAGTGATGATGGGTTTTGGCTACCGTGAAGCCAATATAAGTTCCACATTTGCCAGAGGGTAGTAGAGATGACGGCGATATACTTGTAGCGATCTTTGATAAAACGCGGAAGATGGAAGTACCGCACTGTGCCATAGGTGATCTCGGCAGTCAGAGGATAGTGGGAGTAGTATTGGGAGAGCACGGATTGCCAAAGTTGCCATTTGACTGGAAATGCATTAGAAACTACGGGGTGATCATCATACTTTATATGGTCGAATCTGAAAAAATAGATCGAAATTAAACAAAATCTGGCCAATCTTGAACAGTATGTTTAGCGAAGCGTTAATCAAATTCGGCTGGCAATTTCGATGTTTGTCTCTTCATTCATTAGGGCAATCCATGCTTGTACACAATCTCAAAAACTGTTTTATCATACCAAAAAGAGAGAGGGGGTTCATATATTTATGCAAAAGTTTTTGAGGAAAATGTCATTAGTACACGGAAAAAAGAGAGAAAGAAGGTTTTACAGTAAGGAATAAAGCAGAATAGACGAAATAAACAAATAGAAATGAAATCTATAAAATATGAAAGATTTTAAATTATGTGTCCTTTTTTGTTGGTTGATAAACACCAAATCTATAATCGAGATCCAACAACATTTTAAGTGCATTAGTGGAGCGAAGAGTGGCTCTTTGTTCGATAATTCGTGTTGGGTCGGCAGCGGTTGTAGTTGTAGTTGAAGTAGTGTTTGCAGCAGTACCATGGCCAGGGAGAGGGATCATTTGGTGCAAGAGTTCATATACAGTCAAAGTAACACCAAATTGAGGTGAAGAACGAAGGATACGAGCAGGACCGCCCTTGAAAAAGGCCTTGAAACCTTCTTCTGCAAAAATCTTTCTAGCAGCATCAGCAATACCGGTATATGTAGTTTGACCCTTACGAGCCTCGACTTGTAAACGAGTCTTGATCACATCAGCAGGTGTTGTGAAATAAGCAGCTGGCATACCAGCAATAGCACCAGCCATCAAAAGCTCAGAAATGGCAAGCTTATGATCAGGTCCTTCCTTGAAAAGATCCTTCTTCAAATGTGCATAGGCAGGGAAATAGATGGCAGAGAAAGGAACATCTCTCAACAGACATGCAGCAACACCCTTATACAAACCAACGATACCCAAATGCTTCACAATCCAAATGGCAGATCTACGAGGAGCAGCATCAGCGGCTAGATTCTTGGCTTGTTCACCTTGGATTTGAAGACGAATCTTGACGATTTCAAGGGGGTTGGTAAAAACAACCTGGGAAGCACCAGCGGCACCACCACCGATCATCTCTTGCCAAAACTTGATTTCTCCATTTTGCTTGCTAGTAAACTTACTACGAACGAAATCATTTACTGTCAATTTGATAGCTTTCTCAGGAGCGACACCCTATCGGTAAAAAAAAAAACAGACAGTGAGTAATGATGAATAACAAGAAATCCCCTCATCTCTGTTACACATAATTTGTAATAAACACTTACCACAAGCTGAGGACCAAGACCTCTGTATAAGCCAGTAAAACCCTCATTCTTTAAGACTTTTTTGAAGCAATCTAAACTGTTTTTGTACAAGAGTTCACCCACAACCTTGGATCTCTGGTTTTGCATACGAGTCTTAACCAAATCGATGGGGTATACGGCAGTGGCACCAACAGCACCAGCAATGGAACCGAGGGTAAAGGAGTACATGCTTTCAACGAGTTGCCAGAGAGCGCCTCTGTGTGGTTGCTGAGGGTGATCGACGTGGAGGTCTTCTGTCTTGGCCAAGTCCTTTTGTGATACAGTCCAACGAGGATCCAAAATACGAGCAAAATCATCTAACCCAAGCACACCAGAATCGTCATCAACACCAGCAAAGTGGAAAATAACATCAACTTCCATAGGCGTAAATGCGGTATATCGGCTGGCCTCATGAGCGTGTTTCAAAAAGTCAGATTTGGTGATCTTTTGGTTGGCGTTGTTCTCGATAGCTTTGCGAATAACAGACTCGACCATGTCAATGTTGCGAATGACATTATGGAAGGCGACAACAGAGGAGAAGCTGATTTTGTTGCCACTGTAGAGGTTGCAGAGTGTAGGCAAATGATCAATCACATCATCTGATAACTTGTGTTTTGCTACATCCAAAATGATCTTTTTGAAATCCTCGGGTTGAATAAAGCCAGATTGCTCCTTGTCATAGTGCTTGAACTCTTGACGCAGACGCTCGCCTTGCAAACCCTTGATCAGTTGTGTAAACTCTTGATAGCTGAGTTCATGGTGACCTTCCTTGGACCCAATGTACAGCTTGAGCCAATCGCAATCAAAATCAAAGGGAACAGCATCTTGAGGCATGTTGCTCGAGAGAACACTCTTGAACTGATCAAAAGTAACCTTACCAGTACCATTCACGTCAAACACACGGAAAGCGACCTCGTATTCAGCATCAGCCTTTGACAATAAATCTTCAAATATAACGAAATCATCAAACGAGACAACACCCTTGTTGTTTTTATCAGCCAATTTATACAACAGTTCGAATTGTTCACGTTGAATCTTCTTGAAGTCCTCCCCAGGTGCAATAGCAGACAAGAAATCATCCTTGGTCATGTATTTCTCTCCCTCCTTGTCAACGGAAGCGTACTTTTGGAATGTACGGCGATAGTACTCTAAACGACTTACTGTGTCTGCCATGTTTGTAAGAGTGAATAAATAAGAAAAAGGTTAAAGAAGAGAGAAAGAGGGGGAAAAGAGAAAGTTTTTTTTTTTTTTTTACTAATACGATATTCAACTCTTCACAACTCACACACACACACGCACAATGTTGGATGAATTCAAGGTACACAAAGAGAGAGGGGGGGGGCCAAAAATAACCATAAATTTTTCTGGTGTACGGAAACATCGGGAGGGGATTACAAATCCAAACCAATCGCATCCATCATATCATCAAACACTTTGACTTTCTTAATAATTGCCATTCTTAATAGATCAACGACATTTGAATAAATGTACTGTATGTCAAATGCATCTAGATCCAAGGGTGATGAAGGAGGAGCAATTGGTTGCCATGACAGCGCATCCTATCTTTCTTGCATAGACATTTCATTTATAAAACACCAATGCTCTCGAACAAGGAACCAATGGTGGTGAGAACATGTGAATGTAAATGAAAGTTTTGGCTGTGGGGAGTTGAAAGGAAGTGGGGAAACCAAAATTTACTTTCCCGAGTTAACCTTAAAATGAAAAAAAAAAAAAAAAAAAACTTCCTTTTGATTGATATAAAAAAGTGTATTATAAAAAAAAATGGATCACTCAATGTCTTGTAAGACTATACTGTATGGATAAACTCGATGAAAAATCGAAAGTGCAAATCAACCATTTGAGTACTGTATTTCCGCTGTCAATTGGTCCCTTTTTATTTTTATTTTTTGTTTTACAAAAATAAAGGATTATTTACCAACTCTCAGTAGTGGGTGCCATTTGGGGTTCCCTGCTATTTTGGGACCCAGATTTACATAACACATTTTACGCGATTTTTACAAAATCCACAGGAAAACAAAGATATTTATTAATGAAAATGCAACTATTGATGGTAAAAAAGGCTCAGCTAGAAGTGTTGCAATTTTCTTCTTTTCGTTTCTTCGCAAGGAAAAAAAGCGCCTTTTTGGAGCTCGATGCCCAAGCGATCCAAAGACCAGTGGCGAGTGTTGAGCACCTTTTGTAGGGCGCCTACAGCAGAAGTGGGGGAGAGACCAAGATCCAGCTGAAGGTCTTCAACGGAATCAATGATTTTTTTTACGGATATTGAACCATTTTCTGTCGTCTTTTCTCCATTTAGCGCCCCACTTGTCTTCTAATTCTTGAACAGACCAGAATCCATCTCGACCTATTGTCCACTCGTCCCAAAGATCACACACAATTGTCACTTGTCGACTCATTTTGTATAACGGTACACCTTCTTGATTGTATGGAAGTGAAATAGTTGCAACTGCGGTGTTGTTGTAACCTGGTGGTGGTGGGCTTTGTTGGGATGCTTCCGAAAATTGTTTTGATTGCGATACATCTTCTGATCTTGGCAAGGCAGAGGTTTTTGCGACAGCTCCTGTTGTCGCTACTGCTTGGTTCCCTTGCTCCATTCTAAAAGACAGTTGCAGTTGCTGCTTTCCGGTGACTATATTGTCAAACACTTTTTGCATTTGCTGCTGGATTTCATCCGACTTCTTTTGACGTTCTTTCAATTCTCGCATTGTATTTGCTATACTTCGGTTGATGCTGGAAAGCTGCTCTTGTACTTCAGGCGCAAATCTTTCAATAATTAATGAATGGGGCACTTCATTTTCTTCAACGTGAGCTTTTGCTTTTCTATAAATAAAGCAAAAAGATCAGACACACAGTTTTCATTTTGAAAAAAAAAAGCTTTATACCTTTGAAATTCTAGAAAGAGTGGGTTTCTGATTAAATTTCAGGAACATAAGTACAAACTAAAAGCGAAAAAAAAAGTTCTTTCAGGTGTTAATTAACCAAAAGAATACATATATTTTTTATGATAAGGCCTTGGATAACGCACATATCATTAGAATGTATTAAGTCCTAATATTTTTTATGTAAATGTCAAATATACACACTTGGAACGAAAACTGGAACCCAAAGATCAATAACAATTGTTATTTGACAAAGTATTGGCTTATAACAAAAGTTATCACTCCAATCAGGTTCCAATTTTGCTGGGAACCCAATTTTTTTTTGGAACCTCCAAAAAAAATAATAAATGCTCAGTCCTTAGACACTTTTACAGCCCTAATATGGAAACTGAGTTGCCTGGCATCTGTCAAGCCTGGCTCATATATGTTAAACCAGCCCAACAGCAAAAAATAATTCATTCCAGATTCATAGTCTGTTCTAGATTGGCCAAAACTTAATGATTCTCGACTCGATTGAACTATTTTGCCATATTCGACTATATAAAATATGATGATCATTCTCTGCTTCTTTAAGCTTTCTTGGAGCGCTTTTCAAGGCGCATTCAATGGTGCCAAGTAAGATAGATGTTTTTAATAAACTTGTTGAGCAATTTACGAAAGTATTAAAAGCGGTTTTTGGCCAAAAAGTCGAGATTTTCCATATCAAGGTCCCACAAAGATGATTTCAGGAGTTACGTTAGATAGATAGAAATATTTTGAATCAATACATGCCATAGTAAAAGTCTTCATTATCAAGGTCAAAAACGCGATCGCTTGATTTTTGATGAAAACCATGAGGGGCACCTCATGCTTTTTGGTCGATTTTTGACCATGTTTTTTTTGGTCCCCAAAAAGTCGAGCAAAAGTGTCAGAAAGTAACTGCCAGATGAGAGCAACCATTTGGGGCTATTCTGACGATCTAAAACAGCCTTGAACGCAAGAAAATGCAGCTCAAATGCACTCATATTTTGCTGTATTAGGGACACTAAGGACTAAAAATGGGAATACCAGTATGCTGCTTGCCCGTATATGAAGTAACTACGTGTATATGGATGTAGAACAGCACATAAGAATCAGATCCACAGATAATATGAAGGGTTACTATGTGTAAGTGGAGGGTCAAAATGAAAGTAGCAGTGTTTTGATAAGATACGCAAGAGCAATCAGTAGCACGAGCTGCTGCTGCGCAGGGTGGTTCTCTACCTTCGCTACGCTTCGGTGAGAACCATACGAAGCATAAACACTCATATGATTAGTGATTATATATCAATCAACAATCAGGGTTCTTCTTCTAACATTTTAGCTATATTAATATTGGGATATTAGCCAAAGGCCCGTGGCAGCGCGAGCCGTTTGAACGTAGGTTGGTTTTCACCGAAGCGAAGCGTAGGTCAGGAAACCACCCGAAGTGCTGAAAGGCTCGTAATAATAATAAAAAGATCAAGAAACGATCTGTCCTGCTGTTTGCACGTCGATTCTTTGTATACGATACGGCGCTTTCCAACTCTCCACGCTGATAATCCGCAGTATCCTAGTTTATCTAAACGCTTCCTCAAGACGGACGTCTTCGACATACTGACACACTTTGGGATAAAATTCTCAATCTTCATTCAACAAAAAGTGACTCTTGCAGCAACGAGAATTAGAAGAGGAACACTACGAGGTCTCATACACGACAGGAAGTAAAGCTAATTCTTGTGTGAGAGCCTTTGATATTAATATTAGAACTAGTACGACGAGTCTGTTAAGAATGTTTATAATTTACCAAGATCAAAGTCAATCTAAAAATTATACAAAATATTATTATGAAGGTTCATATTGGATTATTATAATCCAAGGGTCTTGATCTGTTCTCTTGATAGTTCAGGGTTTCACTAGCTGCATATTGGTAGATATTATTGTTTATTACTTTAGTGGATTTCCGTAGTTGGCAGTAGTTATTGATGTCCAGTGAGATAAGTAGATTCGAGGCGTAAGTAACTCATTGTGGACAATATTGCCTGGGTCTAACTATAACCTGAAAGATCAGTATTATCAACCTCTTATCTTATATTAACTAACCTTAAACTAGATGTTCGCGTTGCAAACTCCAAAGATTGATTGTGCAAGATGTAATGAAAGGACTGGCTTAAAATACACAGAGTTGTATTTGAGAAACATAATGTCCCTTTATCCGTGAATAAAAGCACTGCCAAAATGAAGTGATTTACTTTTGAAATCACCCAAAAAAAAAAACCGTTGCAAGCCTTCATTTAATACACGCAAAAAGTATACCCAGGTCGCCATGCACTGGAGCAGTTAGTCATTTCATTCCTCTTGCAAACTTCATAAAAAGTGACCAATTGATTTTTCGATTAGGTTTCCAATTGCATTTGCAATATGCCTTTTCGGCACTTTAGAAAGCAATGATAAGCGTCACTGATATACAGATTGTTTTAGTTTTTGTGACTTACTTGCAAGTACTTCTTTTAGCTAATTTAAAGTATGTTTGCATGTAGCTTGGTCTATTGTTAATAGATGGATATATTCTATAGAACTTTGGAAATACTGTCATTTAAGGTTATTTCAAAAATCACTGCAAACTACACATGGCAAAATTCGGGTAACAATCTCACGACTCCATATGACAATTTTTGACACATCCAGATCTCTTTTTAGTGAGTGATGAATCAGCCGATCGAAGAATGAAAATGGTGCCTGAGATGTTGCATTTCGTCTTTGTTTGTGTTTGCATGCGTGTCGTGTAGAAGGGCATCATGTTGTTCATCATGGCATCCTTCATGTAGTAAGTTCATTAATCAAATTAAGTAACATGGCATAGAGGTAAAATAGCAAACAACGAGATCAGGGGTAAAATTACTGCTGGATTCAAGGGAAGGAAAGGAAAGGAAAAGGTTTATTTTAAGGGTTCTTTCATTGCCCCTTTTTTGGCATCTTTTTCTTATCATCCAAGTTATCCAAATCACTTTGCTTGTAATAATGAGGCGCAACTAGTCGAATAAATGAGCGTGAGTCGACCAGATTGTTAACAGAAACCAATTTTTTACATACCATCTAATAACCAAGAAGGCTGAATCTCCATGACTTGTCTCATGTACTCTTTGCTTGTCAATACCAATTCAAAGTAAACCAACCATTTAGGCTTCTTTTCAAGCATGCCACTGCTAGGATGAATATGCACTGTTTGATTTTGCTTCACTGTGCGATAAGAATCGCCAGATTTGTTTAGTCTTGCGGCGTTAAAGAAGAAGCCAGATGTGATGGACTACAAACAACAGAAACATCAGCCAATATGTCACGAATAAAACAATGGATCATAGACTCACCTTTTGAATAGGGACTGGATCGTTAGGGTTGGGATTACTGACCAACTTGACTTCCACACGATCCATCAGCTGCACTAGTTGATCACGCACATTACGCACACGCTCTAATGTCTTGACTTGCACAAAGTTTTCATAGCACCATTGAACAGAGAAATCAGTTTCGACCCACTGATTCCAGATATTGAGTAGTGTCAAATGATCCCCACCTGGTTTCACTAGATTTTGATGTGCTGTGTCTGCGAGAATCTTCTTGTCTTTGGGTCGGTATAATAAAGAGCTTTGCTCTGACAGCATAGCACACACAGAGACTACTTCATCTGTACATTCGTATTTCTCTGCGACTACAATGGCTTTGGATAAGCATGGATCCATAGGAAATTCAGCCATTCTTCTGCCCAGCTTCGTTAATTCGGCTCTATCGTTCAAAGCACCCAATGCGTATAGTTGACTAAGTGACCGAATCATTGTGTCCTCAACAGGTGGATCCAAGAAATCAAAATTGACCAAATCATTGATACCCAAGCTCTGGACTACATAGTCAGTAACGTGCCATAGTGAGCAAATACAACCCAAACACTCACCTTTAACAACAAGACTACATTCGATAAATTCACTCTCTGTATTTCAGGTACTGTATTCTCCTCCATTTCATTGTAGAATGCCCATTGCGTAAACAAACGGAAACATTTACCTGGTCCCGTGCGACCGGCACGACCTGCGCGTTGGGTGGACGAGGCACGAGAACAAGGGACGACTGTCAATGCTTCCATGCCAGTTCTAGGATTGAATGTCTTTTGCTTGTTGAATCCAGGATCAATGACAAATGATACACCATCGACAGTAATTGAGGTTTCTGCAATATTTGTAGCTAAAATGACTTTACGAGCGCCTTCTGGTGTAGGTTCGAAAATCCGAGATTGCTGCTCTGATGGCAAGTTGGCGTAGATTGGACAAATCATTAGTTCTGAAATCTTGCTGCCTAGAGATTTGCATGCTTGAGTAAGGCCTTCCTGTGCCGCTTCAATTTCATCTTGGCCCTAGTGATACAGATCAGATCATGGTCAATGACATGCATTAAAAACTTACCGTCAAGAATACAAGAATATCACCCTTTCCTTGCGTGACATGAATAGTCAGTACTTGAGTAATAGCAGCACGCAGATAGTTTGCCTCTGGTGCCTTTGTATAGTAGATTTCGACAGGATAAGGACGGCCGGGAATATTGAAAATAGGAGCATCATCAAAGTATTCAGAGAACTTTTGAGCGTTCATAGTGGCACTGGAGATCAACAACTTCAAATCAGGTCTAAATCGAGCAATATCCTTGATCAAGCCAAACAAAATATCAGTAGACAGTGTTCTTTCGTGAGCCTCATCAATAATCATGCAGCTGTAGGAAGCCAAATCAGGTTCCGTCATGAACTCACGCAGCAGCATACCGTCTGTCATGTATTTGACACAGGTCTTGTCTGATGTGCAATCTTCAAAACGGATACTGTAGCCTACTTCTTGACCCATCATGACACCCATTTCTTCAGCGACACGAGCAGCCACACTCATAGCAGCCACACGACGAGGTTGTGTACAGCCAATTTTTTTGCCGTCCTTTGTGAATCCATGTTCGTACAAGTACTGAGGAAGTTGTGTTGTTTTACCAGATCCAGTTTCACCAACGATGATCAACACTTGGTATTCATCGATAGCAGCCAGTAAATCATCACGGTATTGGTAAATGGGCAGCGACTTTCTAATCTGTTCTATGGATTGCGCTTTTCTCTCTGCAGCATCAATGCGTTCCAGCAACTCGACATCCTTTGGATCAGGTTCGTTCAACTTGGCTGCCATGACAAAATCAATCTTTTGGTCCTCATCAAATACATAGTCGTATTCATCCTCTGCTTCTTGTGCTGCTGATGGCTTGGCTGTTGCTTTTTGGATCTGTGATTTCTCCCAAATGTCGTGTTCTGTCTCGAACTTTTCCTCTTCTTCGTAGCGCTTGTACAGAGCATTCTCCTTCTTTTTGCGGTCAATTTTACCCTTCTCTGTAATGTAATCCTCGGGCATCATATAACCGTCTTCCTTGGTATCAATGTTCATGCGAGCCTTTGCTAAACGAAGCACCTCCTTCTTGTACTCCAAGTCCTTAATTTCTCGGCGAGTCATCTTTTGTCCACTAAAGAATCGCTCTTCATCTGCAATCTCTTGTTCCAAAAGCGCTAATTGTTGTTCTTCACGGTATTTCAAGTATTGTTGGTTGGATCGAGTTCTCAGTTCTGGCAACGCTTCTTGTCGAGCCTTCTTGTCATCTGCTAAATTACGACGCTTTTGTGCCTCACTGCCCTCTTTAGCGGATCTATCTTCGACAAGCTTCTTGGTTCTCTCCTTGTCCTTGTCCTTGAGTCGTTGTGCTAGTTCATCGCGCTCTTTGATATCTTGTAAACGCTCTAATTCCGCCTCTCGTTCTCGCTCCTCTTCTGAATTTTCGCCTTCATCTATCTATGGCGTTAGCTACTATGCTTATGCCACTAACTCTACACAACTTACGCTTCTTGTATCTACTACTTTCAGTCATTTTGACCTCTGTATCATCGTCGCTCAAATCCTCTTGTCTTCTCTTTTTGCGAAGCTTCTTTTCCTTTTTTCGAATGCGTCTCTCTTCTTCATCCTCTTCTTGATCAGCAGTGGGTTCTTCCAAAACGACTTTGAATGACTCGTTGGCTTTGCGAAGTCGAGCTTCTTCCTTTAGCTCTTTCTTGCGTTGTGCTTTCTCTGCCAGAGCAGCAGCAGCAGCGGCAGATTTACTCTGTTTGCGTGGTACTTTGTTGAATAGCTCGAATGCAAACTGTTGTGTGGTAGGATCGCTAGGTGCACCTGTACTGACTAGCTTCTGATATAGCTCTTGTGGTGAGGATGCTTTTTGTGCTGTATCACTGCGCATTAGCTTGCTGACATGTCAATATAAAGTAAAATTGTTTACCTGTGGCGATGATAAAATCAACAATGGTAGTCTCAGACATACCAAGAAGCTATCAGCAATCAAGCATGAGTTTCATTGTATCGTATCAGCATGTGGTTTGTCATAACATACCTTCATGGTATTGTCAGATACCCAAGAGTGCAAGTCCATTTTGTGCGTCTGTTTATGACTTTGGGAAAGATGAAAAGATGATAATTTGAAGCATGGCAGGTAAAAGCTTTACTTGCTTCTAGTGACTGGCCTAAACCGCATTGATGCACTACTCAAATTCAAACAAGAGAGCTGCGGTAAAGCAACCTGTCAAAGAAAAACAAGCTACAGCAACCTTGGATGCGTGTAGTTCTTGGTATCTCTATGACATGTATAATCTGACTCATAGACTTCAAAATCAAACTGCTTTGCATGGATTGGTTCCATTTAATCATAGGTTCATGCGTCCAATTATGCATTTTGAGTGATTGCTGTTGTTATTATGATCCATCAAAGTAATATCCAGAGTCATCTCCATGTCAGATCCACGTATTTTGAAATCAAAGATGCCCATATAGCGACGTAAATCGCTGTTCAGTTATTTTTATCAAGCAAAATTTTATTCAAGAATTGATATGTACATGCCATCCAACTTAAACTTTGATCTTTTTGTTGGAGTCTTCTTGATCTTGATCAGTGTTGCTCTTGCGTTTCATCATCATGCTTCCCATCTTCATTCCACTTGAAGTCGATGATGCTGTGGGAGCTGCTGTCGATGAGGAGCTTGATTTCTTAGCTAATGCTGAAAGACCGGTTCTCTTCTTCATGCCTCCCAACATCATTTTGGATCCAGTTGATTTGGGTGCTTCAGCGGCTATCGTGGTTGGTTTCATGTTCAAACTTAATTTAATCGGTTGCTCGCCATCTCTTTTCAGTTCCGTTGCTTCCTGCTCCACAATGCCACGCTCCTCAGCAGTCTTGGATGCCTTTTCGATCTGTTCTTTCAGCAATTCCAGCTCTCTTTCCTCGTCGTCTTTCTTGGCTCTGTCCATCTTTTGAATTGCAGCCTGTACATGGCATTAGTCTACATGCTCCTATCTACAGATCTCACTCTGAACTTACCTGCCTGGCAAGGGCTTTTGGACTATTATCAACCCAAGTAATGTACAATCCTCTTTCAGCTTCATCCACACGCAAAATACCTTCTCTACCCATTTGCTTACAGAACTCGCTCAATGAGTTCCACTTGGTTGCGTTCATGTGAATGTGCTCCTTGAAGGCAATATATTCCTGATACACCTTGTTTGCCAGCACTCGTTTGGTGCCATGACGGCGAGACAGGATGCCCAAAAACTCTTTTTTGAACTCTGATGAAAAGTTATGAACAAATCTGCCAGGATTTGCCGCTACCAGTAGCATTTGTCGTTGATGCGATTCAGACATAGTATGACACTTGAAGCCGTTTTCGTCTCTACATTGTTTCTCACAAGCTTGGCAATAGAATCGCAACTTTTGAAGACCTTTGGACTGCAAGATAGAGAGCGGTAAGTACATTGCAACTAAATGCCTTCCAATGTCATGCACAAATACCTTCATACGATTGCCAATATCCTTGGGCGACATGAACTCTGCTTTAGCCATTTTGTATTAATGATTGTATTGGAAGGAAGAAAAAAAAAGTGAGAGAAACAGGAGAGAAAGAGAGTTTATTACCAACCACGGACCAATTCCATTACTTATTTTGCAATGGAATGATTGGTTTGAAGACACTGTGACGCTACATGGTTTAGACGATTTTGGCATTTGGATAGCTGTTGAATCAGTCAGCAGGCTCTTTCTGATAGACAATGCCTTGCCCATCATGTAGCAGCAGTGATGTGGTTCATGATGACGACGTCTTGGCGTGCCAATCTTGCGGCGCAGTCTTGGAGGATGCTTTCTTTCAAGACAACAATTTCACTTCTGCTTCGAACAACATTGAATACTTTGTAAAGACAAAGAAAGCTCAGACTGGCAAGGTAGGAATCTTCAGCTACTTGGAGTCAATGGCTTGTGCTAATGTTCTCCCATAGCATAAAAGTGCCAAAGAATGTGTCAACAAAATAGCGGCTTATTTTCATATCCCAGAGGATCTCGCTACCAAAGCAAAGCAGCTCATTCAACAGCACTCTACCAAACTCTCCAATCGACACAGTATGGAGTTGGCATTGCTTGTTGTCTACTTGGTCGCTAGAGACTGGTTGTCTGCTTGGTCTGTAGACGATTTCATTGAAAACTTTCCTGTACCTGTTGACAGATTCGAGGTTCAGCGCATTCAATTTATATTCGCTCGAGAATCAGTGATTTACAAGGATATACAATGCAAAACATCTCATCAGGAACTGCAAAGGTTTCTGGTCACCATTATACCCCATCTCAGAAATCAGTTTGATGGATCCCCTAAAATATCAAAAACGACATTGATACGTCTAAAGCACAGAACAGAGGCTTTGATCAAGATGGGTGATCAATACTTGCTCAACACAGGGAGAAAGCTACGGCCCACCGTCATTGTCGCAGCCATAATCTCGTATGCCTCAATCCTCATCAGCAATCCCAAGTTCAAATATTCAGGAAAGATGAGTATCTATCTTGGTCGTCGTCTTGAAGTTTTTAGAAAATGCTGCGCTTTTGGTCCTCGAATTCTCAGGATGAGATTGCAGGAATACACCGATTTCTTATTAGTTTGCGCGCAGAATATACCCTGGATCAAGGATCCCAAAGCCGAACATGTGCACTACTATCTGAGTGACATTCTTGATCTGTATGCCAAAAAGGAGGGAGAAGAAGAGCCTTCACTCAAGCTCACTGACGATCAATATTCCATCAGTCTTTTAAAGAGGGGTGCTGAATTGGCCAAAGAGTACGAAGTCATGTTCCAAAATGCTCAGCAACATCTAGATAATGGCACCGAACCCGAAAATCACGCATCTCTAGGTTACTGCATTTACAATTTGATGAAGATGGGCTACGAAAAAGAGCATTTGATTGCTTGGTCAGAGAAAACCATACGCGGCATGTCTGATTCCCTGAATTATCGAGCAAAATACGGCAGAACGTTGAATACAAAGCTGGACTTGGATAGAAAGGAATTGGATGATAATGACATGTTGGACTCTGAAGTTGATCTTTACATAAAATAAAGAAATGGGTTTGTTTTTTTTTCGCTTCTTGGTGCGTCTTTGGCATCAACTTAAGAGCAATCAATTCTTTTTGAACTTCGTAATGTATGTTATATCAAATATCCTAGCAAGGCCTCACACTAAAGGTCGTGGGCTATTCTTAGTTCTTTTGGGTCACAAATCATCTGTTGGGTAGATAGTAAGTTATAGTTCAGCATCATGCTGTAAGCCTTAGCATAATGAAAAGTATATCAATGCATCCTCTGGGTGCATTCTCCAGAAAAGTTTAATTCTTTGGCAGATTCAATTCTACATTGTACTTTGACATGATACTCCTGAATATCAGCCGTATTGTTAAGATCTTGAAATCGTTCAACAAATTTTTCAAAAATCGTACATAATTCTCTTCATCTTCTTCATAGCTTCCTTCTTCAGGCCTGCTTGGTTTCGACCACGCTTGTTTGATCCTTTCTTTCGCAAATCAGACCATGATTAAAATTGACCATTAACCAACTGCTTAGCATAACGAAGTGCCATAATGGTAAACAAACGAGTAGGTGTTAAAAAGCATCTCCAGCTGCCCTCTAAGCTTAATTGATGAGGAAATAAGACACGTTTATAATGGTCCAAATTATCCTCAAAAGTGCTTTATTTTTGTTAAAACATGGCCATTGCATCGAATGCGGGATGCTTTCTTCTGCAAGAAGCAAAATGGTTTCTGGTCCAAATAGCAACTTGAACGCCTTCTCAGCTTTTTCAAGCCTCATGGCTACTGTAGTTAGCGTTTGGCTTCCTCCGTGGTGGCATCATACGATATGCCTAGCTGTACACAGCTGGGAAGCTCGTGCTTCAAACGAGCGATTTCTCCCCTTGAATGGTGGCATTTATCACTACCCAAATGGCTCCTATTATTATCATAGTAAAAGGCTTGTGATAAGAACGGCCCATGCTGTTATAAACTCGAGCTGCTGATGGTTCAAACAATTCTCTTGATTTATTCATGGATGGCGGTGGGCTCGTTAAATTATAATTCATGAAATATTCAGCTGCCAGCTTTATCAAAGCAAAAGCAAAGAGTTTCTTCTTTATTACAGGATATCTAACCTGAGTGTATTTGTAAACATAAATGTAATTTAATACGGCTAGCATCATCTATGTTGCTACATTGTAAAAGTGGCTTGAGGAGAGAGTGAAGGTAGCCTAGGACGCATGCTTGAATGCAACAGTAGCAAAAACATGCTTTTTTTTTAATAACCCCACGGAGACGTCCATATCGTGCTCAAGTCTATAATATGAATCCAGAGCGTGCATAGGCAAATGTTGGCGCATAAAAGAGAACTTATATGCGCCACTGTAGCAAAAGTTAACTTTGAGCTAACAGGTTTGGACACTTTAGCTGGGACAGACCTTCTTGGAAATGTATTTTCGTGAAACCATTTAAGCTCGATTTCACTAAAGTCTTTTGATTATCGACTCTTGATTCAAAGAATCTGTAGGCATCATGAAACCCTATTTGCTTGATTTGGATATAAAATTTTGTTATTTACTTCCCCAATTGAGCTGACACCGACTTGGCGTGTTCGGCATTAGCCATTTCTCCTTAATTATAACTGTCTAACATTGTGGGTGGTAGACTTTATTAAGTCTAATTTTATGGCTAGGTAGGATATCTCTGTTGTGGACGACCATCAAAAGTGTTTTGCCGACCTGATAAGCATTTCATTCAAACTGAGCAAATCGTTATATTCAAATTTGCATAACATCATTGACTCTCACGCCTTAAGATTCCTGTAATCCCGCATTTCAGAAAGCAAGATTTGAACCTTAGAATTAGAATAAAAGCGTCTGTCATTTAGAAATTGAGTTCTGTACAATACAGAACATCTAGGTCATCAAATAAAACTGTAATTTACTCACTTCTTTGACAACACAACCTATTACACCTCACTTTTTGGTCATATTCTGTTCAAATCTCGACATTTTCAAGCACGAATAACTCAGGCTACAAAGTGTTTTGGACGCTTGGAATACGGCCAAACGTCTCTCCTTCGTTTTGCTTTACCTACTGATGCTTTACCTCAAATTTTTTTGGGTCATTGCAAATTCATGAAAACCATCGTTTTCTCATGAGTATTAGCAAGGGAAAATTCTTGAAAATCAAACGGTCGCGTTTTTCATCCCAGAGATGAAGACTTTTCCTATAATACATATAAGATCAAATTGATCGTAAAGACGAGATACAGCACTGGAAACTCTTTCTATGGGATTTTCCTATGTGAAATTTTGACATTTTGGCAAAAAACATGTTTTCATATTTTTGCAAATTACTCATTATTTTCGGTCTGAAAGCTGAATGTAATCAGCACCATTCGATGCGGCTTATTTATTCTTTTAAAGGTATATTAGAAAGTTGTATGAGATAACGAGAGTTTTCATAGTCAAATCTGGCAAAAACGTTTAAAAGATGTGAGATCAAGTCATGTTTGAACACGAAAACACACATTACACAAATCCAAATTAAATTACCGCAATTACGGCTGCCGCGGCAGAAGACTATGACTAAATCTACTGGCCGTGACTTCGGATAGGGTGCCCTCTAATTTTTTCATATCCCGTTTTTTTTTCCCTTTTTGAAAAACGCGTTTAGTATCAAACCATGGCTGTTTTGGAAATCGTTTGACTAATAATAACATTCTAGCTTCTGACAACACTGTCGTGCACTGTTGGAAGAACTTGATACTGCTTTTTTGAAGTGAAATATAGTAGGTACCATTCGACAACGAGCACTGGAAGGCATAGAACTAACACTAATTGAGTTTATTTATTCGGTTTTGATGATTCTTTTTGTCTGTTTGACATGGGTACAGCTGCCATTACTTTTCTGCTATCTCTGATGTCTGCTTCTTTGGTTTATCATGTCTGGTGATTGCTTCTTTGGTCTTTGTTTGGTCTCTGGTGTCGTTTATTCTTTGGTTTTTCTATGGTGCTGGTGTTGCTGCCGCTAATTATTAATCTGGTCTTTCCTCGTCTACCGTCTTTGTTGTATGCTTGTTCTCTGGTTTATCTCTGGTGATTGCCTATATTCTTATGGCCTATCTGTGGTGGTGATAAGTGGTAAGTAACTTCTTTGGCTTTTGTCTGCTCTCTGCTGATGACGTTCGTTCTTTAGTTTTTCTATGGTGCTGCTGTTGCTGCTGTTGCTGCTGTTAATATGGTCTTTCCCGGTCTACTGTATTTGGTGCATGCTCGTTCTTTGGCCTGTCTCCGGTGATTGCCTATACTCTTCTAGTCTATCTGTGGCTGTGGTAAGTGGTAAGTATCTTGTTTCTTCTGGTCGCAATGATATAAAACTTCTTTGAACGCTTATATTATTGCTTCCTTTCTCGTGATAATGCATTCATGATGTTTGCCTTATTGCGCTTTTTTCTTCTTCTTTTTTCTTTTGCTGGTGGTGGTTCCTCTGTGGCTTCACATGAAACTACATTAGTCACTATGTTGTATTGCAAACTTATAATACCACTGTTGTTTTTGCAGCTGTGCGTGTTTATTTTGCTTTACACCCGACTATTATTACCATGCGCGTTACTCATGTACGCACTTTTCTTGCAACAGCAACGAGCTTTTTTGAACATCTTTGATGTTGTGTTTGTTATGCTTTTCTTTGACTCGCTTCGTGTGAGTGTCTCTTTTTTGCCTACATACTACTATACTTCTATAGAACAGTAGTATGTTCTTTTCTTCTTTCTTTTATTATTATGATGTTTCTTTGAAGCATACCTTTTTTACGTTGTGCGGATGTGCCTATCCCTGAAGCTCAACAAGACTTTATCCGAGGCTAGGAGGTAGATAGGCCGCCTCCACTTGGTTATCGCTACTTACTTTAGTGATGATTGAGGGTCTCAATGCCTGAATTTAAAGCTAGGTGGTGTAAGTAAGGCATGCTCTAGCACCTGAGGGAAGTTTGATGATAGCAGCGGCTATATTGCTATTATAACGGCGCTTAAAATTTTGCCTCACATCAAAACAGGGGGAAACCCTCGCAAAATTTTTTTTAGGTCAGCGGAGTTTTCAAGCAATCTGATTGGCTCAGGGGTTGAAACAACGAAAGTCTGCAACTAGCTGATTTCCTATTGATGTAGCATTTAATATGGTCTTGTGTTCGTAACATTAAAAAGGTGACGAAATTGATACAATCTAAATCCATTTTCATTCAAAAGTAATATAAGGTGCAATGATTGAATTCATCATCGAATAAACAGTTTTATGTGAGAAATGCTACTTTTAAGCCTATTATGTATGGAAGATTATATATTATGCTGTACTGCAGCAGTACACTGGGCGCAGAGTTTATCCAGCAGTACGAACTGCCCTGCCAAGCATGCAATGTACATCATCATGGTCTGCTATCTTTTATCTCATATCCAAGTCTCTGGACGTACAAAAGTATCTCCTGATTTGAAATATTATTGATGCGAGATCTCTGAAAATAGCGTGTTTCTATAGAAAACTGCCGCGAAAAAATCATTAGTGTAGTTGAACCTTAGATCGGATGACCGGTTATTGATCAAATATAGATGATTCCAAAAGTAGACGATTTTTAACAAAGGTATATGTATAAAAACTACTATTAAAAGCTGTTGTAATTGTAAGCAATTAAAAAGTATTAGATCCATGAATTAGGTGTTGGGAAACGCTGTTGTGGAATTTGAGGCTTTATAGACTAAAATTCACGGAAAAAAAAGAATAAAAAAAAACAGTAAAGTCAACTTGATAAAAAAGGTATATTTTATTATCAAACTGACAGGGGTAAAGTAAACTGAAGTCTCTCTACTGGCCAGGTAGATGATCCTTCTTATATACTATAACAATGGATAAAAGTTCTATTAATTAGATTGACAAATAAGTCAACTCAGATCAACTAATGTCTAATCATGCTAAAAGACAACTCCAGCAAGCTAATCATGATTTAGCTTTGCCTGGATGAACAGTTAGACTCTCATCCGAAGTACCCTGATCTATCC